TCCGACGGCGCCAAATCATCAAGGAACTCGAATCGACGTACGATGCGCGGATCGCGCTGCCGCCAAGCGTTGAGGGGCCTGTTACTTGGGAGGTGTACTCGCGGGATGGTAAGAACACCATCCGTGCTCGCTCCGACATTATGAACCTCGTTCAGGCCCACCCTCCTGCCAGACTTCGCCATGTGCCCGTTGACCCCTACTACCACCCCTACCTTCGCTCCAGTAGCGCAAGCAAGCTTCAGTCGGAATACGGTGTCCATCTTCTGGTCCCGGACAACGTCGACAGCCCTGAAGTCGTGCTTGTGTACGAGGGTCCTTCTGCGACTACTTCGCAGTACGAGGTTCCCCGTCAACGTCCCTCTCCAGCTGATATTGCAACTTTCGAGCAAGCTCTGCAAGAGGCAGAGCAATATCTGCTTAGCGCACTGGGTGACCAGGGTGATATCATCGCGAAGTCAGTCTCGGTTCCTGCCAAGTACCAGGAGAAGGTGCGAAAGTTCATCATCCGCGAGCAGAATGCCAAGGGCGAGAACAGCATCCCTGTACGTGCCATCGTAGGCGATGCGCGCGGTAGCCAGTGCGATGTGGCGCTACGTGGTCCGTCGGCCTTGGTGGGTGACCTCGCTAAAGCAGTGGATGCGTTTGTTGTTGAGCAGGAGAAGGACGACCTAGAGCGTGGTTACACGACCTCCTTTGACTTCCCTCAAAAGTACGCCAATTTCCTGATCGGCAAGCGTGGCGAGAACATCAACAAGCTCCGTGAGGAGTTTGACGTCGACATCAAAGTGGAGAATGGCAAGGTCGAGGTCAAGGGACCCAAGGCCAAGGCGGACGCTACTCGCATGCGCATCATCAGCCTGGGCAAGAAGTTGGAGGATGAGACTACCCACATCCTGAAGATTCCGGCGCAGTACCACCGTGAGCTGATCGGCCAGCGAGGTAGCCAAGTCAACCGTCTCCAAGATCGCTACTCGGTTCGCGTCCAGTTCCCTCGCGCGACTGTCCCCGATGACTCCGTAACGGATGCGGGCAGTGACGCTGGTAGCGCTCGGCCTGGCCGGGCTCAGCAAGCCCCCGATGAGGTGTTGGTTAAGGGTCCGAGCAAGGGCGCCGACTCCGCTCGCGATGAGATTCTCAGCCTGCTGCAATGGGTGGCAGACCACTCGCACACTGCCACTATCTCTGTGGCCCAGAACCAGGTTGCATCTCTGATCGGTCAGCGCGGCCGCGAGATGGACAAGCTTCGCGCGGATACCGGGGCCCAGATCGACGTGCCGAGTGCCAATGACACGCCAGACGCCTCGGGACGGGTGCAGATTCGTGTGAAGGGCACGAAGCAGCAAGTCAATGAGGCCAAGAAGGTCTTGCAGGAGCGGTCCAGCGAGTTTGATGCGACGGTCACCAAGTCGATCGACGTGGACAAGAAGTACCACAAGGCTCTGATCGGCGGAGGCGGTATGTTTCATTCGTCTAATCTTACGTTCTCAATTACTGACCAACACTTCTCAGGTGCCAACATCCGCAAGATTGTGGTCGAAGCCGGTGGCCCCAACGACGGCAGCGCTGCCCGTATTGTTCGATTCCCGCGCGCTGAGAGCAGCGAGTCTACTATCCGCTTGGAGGGCAACGGCAAGGTGGTCGCGAACATCATCCAGGCGATTGAGGAGTTTGTCAAGGAACGCGCGGACCAGGTCACTGAAATCCTCGACGTCCCCACCGCCCAGCACCGTATGCTTATCGGTCGTGGCGGCGAGACTCGGCGCGACATCGAGTCCAAGTTCAATGTCACCTTGGACATCCCCAAACAGGGTTCGGGCCGCACCGACGTCAAGCTCAAGGGTGCCAGCAGCGCCGTCACGGACGCCAAGGAACACGTCCAGGGCATGCTAAAGCAGCAGCATGTCGAGTCTGTCGACGTGCCGCGCCACCTGCACCACGTCGTCGCCGACGGCGGCGCCTTCTTCCGCCAGCTCCGCAACAGCCATCAGGTCACCGTCGACCACGCGGGCCAGTCCGTGCCGCCTAACCGCGCCGCGGACGAGACTCGTAGCACCGCCAACGGCGCCTCCATGCCCCTGATCACCGATGACCCCAGCGAAGCGACGGACGCCCACTCGTGGAAGGTTATCGACAATGCCTCGTCTGCCGATGCTGCGGACGAGGCCCCCTTCCCCTGGGTCCTGACGGGCTCCCCAGAGAACGTGGCCAAGGCCAAGACCGCTCTCGAGAAGGCCATCGCCTCGGCCTCGCAGCAGTCCGCGACGGGCTACCTGATCCTGCCGGACCCGAAGACCTACCGTTTCGTCGTCGGCCAGGGTGGCAGCCAGATCAGCACTATTCGCAAGAAGACCGGTTGCCGCATCAACGTGCCCAAGGACCAGGCTCGTGGCGAAGCTATTGAGATCCGCGGTAGTCCCGATGGCCTGAACCAGGCCAAGGACATGATCTTGGAAGCGGTCCAGAATGGTCTCAGCGGCGTTTCTTCGCGGTGATGATATTTCGAAAAATCTTCCAAGATGAACATAGGAAGTTTCTTCCCCTTTCCTTCCATACTGAACCTTTTTATGTTATACATACGCAAAGAAGCGAGATATCTTTATTGTGTTTTTCTCTTTCATGTTCAGCATTTAATTGTGGTTCTTTTATTTTAAAAAAATAACTAACCCTTCTCATCTCACAAAAGAATGAATGGTCTTTGAATTTCATATTCTGGTTTCCCTTTCCCCCCTCTACCTAACTAGTTGGTTCTCTCACCTCTCCTCTCTTTCTCGCTCTGATCTGGTCTGCTCTCATCTCTTATTCTCTTTCTTCGTGTACTTACGTTCCCTTCACCCCCACACTGCATCCAAATAAACCTTCTAGTGATGGCCATCTAAAATGTCAATAAAGCAGCGATTCCCAAAAAAGTAGTTCTATTCAACGATATGTATCAATAGTGGACCCAGAAAGGGAGGAGGGGCCGGTTCTATGGAGGTGCTCGCCGAAAATGACCCAAAACGGGCAACAAAATCCCGGAAGTCCCCAACCCGACATAGCCAATGGATCCTGAGGGCCGGAGGGAGTCACAATCATGCCAGACAGATTGTAGCAAGCAGATAAATAGCAGAAAAAAGGATAGAGGATAAAAAGTGACAATTGACAAGAAACGAACAAAAGGGGAAACCCAGAACACATACACCGCCTATTCTTCACACATCTTTCAGTGTTTTTTCGTCTTCTCAGGACACTTCTTCCACACTCCGACAATCCAACACAACACATTCCCTGCCCATCACCCCTGATTCTCTCTCTCCACTCTCTCTCTATCTCCGATATTGATCTTCCTCATCTACTGCTGAGCCTGCTGAGCCTGCAGGTAGTTATACGCCGCATAGGCAACGGCACCACCGACCAGGATAACAGCGTAGAGGCCGACACCGAAGCCACCGGAGGACGAAGAGGCGGCGGCTGGGGCAGAGGTAGCGGGGGCGCGGGGTGCAGGGTCGCCGGGCTGTAGCGGGCAGATGTTAGTTAGAAAGCAATGCGCGGGCGGGCGGGCAGATAGGAATAGGAATAGAGGGTGGGTCTGGTCTTACCATGCGCTTGACGGTGCCGACGAGCAGGCCGTCGAGAATCTCCCGCGCCTCGTCGGAGTGGCCGACGTCCTCGAAGGCCTCGGTGCCGTCTTGGCCCGCGACGTCGAGGAGGACCTCCTCACCACCGCTACTTCATGTTAGTCTGGTGTGTATAGCGTGCGGGGATTGTGGGCTGTGCGTAGGTGTGGGTGTTTCTGAGGGGGTGGGGAGAAGGTTCAGGAAGTGAGAGAGTGAGTGGGTGGGGAGGGGTTTATGGGAGAGATCGGGATGGGTTGGGGTAAATGCGCCAAGCGACTCCAGGCCATTGGGACGAAATGAATGTATGAGGAGAGAATGGTGCGGGGCCAGGACGTACGGGTGCTCGTCAACGAAGCTGCCACAGTCGTAGACCTTGTCGTGGACGATCAGGAACAGGTCCTTCTTGGTGTTATGCTGGGCCACCTCCTTGAGGGTGAATTCCTTGTTGTCAGACATGGTGTGGTGTGGGAGGAAAGATCTGGACAGGCCGAAAATAAGTCAGTGGCAGTTCTGCTCGTCTGTTGGACACGTTGGACAGATTTGAATAAATATTACGGGTGGAGAAAGCGATCGATAGGAGAGAAGAAATCGGGAAATCTCGCAAAGTGGCGAGTTGGCTGGGAAGGATAGGGAACGAACTCACTGCGAGGAATGGAACCCGAGGAAGAGGGACAAAGGGAAATATGTGCAAGACGAGAGAGGGGAATGGGCGAGTTGGAAGAAGAAAAAGTAGGGTCGGAGGAGGAAGAAGAAAAGGGAAGAGAATCAATCCCAAGTCCCAGGTACGGGCGGTAGGCGGTGACTCTACGGCATGGGCCAGGTACCAGGGACTTTGGACTTTGCAGAGAGTTCAACCCACCAACTACCGCGAATGCCACCCGGGGAGACGAGGAGGCGCAAGATTAAATTCATGCATACATATCTACTATCTAACCACTCTGTAGCGTTCAGGGTTGTCCCCGCGCGCAACACTCGTCGCAATGGCGAACATTCGCTCTCAGCGAATCAGCGGCTGCTTATTGGGGGCCTCATTTTATCCTCGGCGACACATGTGAGTTATACCGATGCACAAGTCTAGCCGAGAGCCTGGACACCCAAGTTGGAATAATAGACAGGGATCGGGCCTGCAAATAGTTAACCAGGATTACTATCCGATGGATGCACCCATCTTGGATCCCTCTTGCCTCTTCCCCCCATAAACCCCGGACATAACCTCGGGGAAGCCGGCCTCGGGTACGACGGACGGGATCCGCTTTCCCGCAGAGCGGAAGTGATGGAAGTTAAACGGGCGTCTCTATACAGTGGGGTTCATTGTTCGAACACTATACACAGTGAAAATATTAATAACGTTCGTCTCTATCCAATCGTGACATTCGTGGCAATGCATTAAAAAAGAAAAAGGAGCGCTCATTTCGCTGGCACGCGCTCGTAAAAGACAATGTACGCTTGCTCGTTCTGCAGCCGGTCCCGGGCCCGCAGGTCGCGCGGATTGAAGTCGCTCGCCCGCTCATCGTCGAATTTCCGCCAGTTCTGCCGCGCCGCGTCACGCACGAGCGAGATGTAGTGCCCGCTGCCCATCGATGATCCAATGTGTCGGAGCACGGCAAAGGCATCGTACGTGAACGGTGGCGCGGTAGCTCCCATCGTTGTGGAGGCGGGGCTGGTGTCGGCGTCCGAGTCGGTGGTGGCGTTGCCTGGGTAGGAGATGACAAAGTCGTCCATGCGCAGGCCGTGCAGAGGGAACTCGATCGGCGTGTGGATCTTGCGCGCGCTCTGGGTCTTGGACGCGGAGAAGCGCTTAAAGTGGACGACGAGGATCTGGGGCGCTCGGGTGATGATGATCTGCTTGGTGGCTAGCCGCTTGCAGTTGCAGTGAGGACACTTCCACTCCTCGTCGCCGCTCAGCATCTCTTCCTGGCAGTAACTGCGGAGACATTGATAGATATCCCCGGTACCCGTAGGCGGGATCTCCACGCTGATACTGTAAAAGGCCTCGTAGGTGGTCGAGGTTTGACGGCAGGTGGTGCAACGGAGCCGACTGGCATGCTGACCAGCGAACAGGGACGAGATGTAGGATTCTTCCCGGTGACAGTACCGGTCCCATTCGATCTTGGACACCCGCGAGACGGGCATCCGCTCGCGCTGCATCTCCTCAGAGAAAGTCAAGGGCCGGAGCGGTGTTCGCTGCCAGTTGATGTTCAAGTCCTCATGGAGACAATCTACGGCAAAATCAAAGAATTCCTTGGCATCCTGTTGTCGGTCAATAGCCCATTCGCGGTTCAAGCGACCACAGAAGTTCCGAAACGAGGTGGGCATGATGACTTCCACATCATTCTTCCATAGGGACCGAATCAAATTCGCATAAAGGCCCGGCATGACGCCCTGAGAGCCCTTCCAATTCTTCTGCACGTAGTACCGGAACCGATCATCAATGAAAAACTTGCTCAGCATGACTGTGGCACTAAGACACTGTATAGTGGAGTTCATGTAGCACGTAACGCCGAAGTTGGCCAGCCCAGTGCGAGGAAGCTTGAGGCGACTGAGGAGAGATGGGGTGTATAGAGCCGTTCGGGTAGCCGAGGTCTGCCGTTCAAGAGGTGGCTGGATCTGCCGGCCGTCCGACACTCCGCTATAACTGGGACGGGGCACCGCAGGAGGCGGCCGAGATGGAGCTGGGGGGGACGAGTGGGGCGGCATAGTTGGGAACCGGAGCAAGAGCAGGCTGAGACTCTGGGAGCATCATCGACTGCTGGATGTGGTGCGGTTCAGGGAAGCGGCGCAAAAAGTCTTCATAGTTTTGAACAAATGGCGTTGTCGGTTCCTGCTCTGCTGCTTCCTCTTCAGGCTCTTCAGTCAGTTGCTCCTCTTCGATGTAGGTACTAGTGTCGATCTCTTCATTCTTCGATGTTTCCATCCAGGCCGACAATTCTTCGGAGTTGAGTGGGGTGAACTCGCGAAGTCTTCTCTTGCGCACTTCCAAGCTCGAATTGGCACTGGCCATGGTGGGAACTCTTCCAAGTGGGCGGCCTGGCTTAGAGACGGGTTTCTTGGATTGAATAGATCCCATAACAGCCGCAGTAGAGGATGTTGCCAGAGACTGCTGCCCAAGGAGATCGATCCATGCATCCAAACCGCCAAGCAGGAGCGCTGGCGGCCGACCAGCCTTGAGTGGCTTGTACGCGTTGAATTCGTAGAGTGTGTCATGGAGGGCTCGCAAGTGCGGCGCGGATGTTCCAACAGGCGACCCGGCAAGGTAGCTGACCGAGCCGGTGCTCTGGTCGTAGTAGACAACAAGGTCGAACTCGTTGCGCTTCTCAAACAACGCCTGCTCATGCTCTGGAGACACGACCAGTCGCTCCTCAAGCTCCTCCGCCGACACATTCTCCTTCAAAACTACCGGCTCAACGCAGATTATCGATTTGGCATAAACATGGCCGTTGTCGTATTGGTCACGCGGACGAACATCGATCAACAGGACATTGAATTTTCGAAGATAGTCGAGAAGATCGTGGGCGGTGACGGCAGTGTTGTAGGGTAGGTCAGGCGAATTGCTTCGAGTCCCCTGCACCGAGTGAACACCATTAGGGGTGAGCGACCTGTACGGGTTATCTCGACTCGGACTGCCACGTGGAGAGCTCGTGAATTGAGAATATCTTGGGTTGACCGAACGCCCGCTCTCGGTCGAAGTTCTTGGCGGATTTGATGGGAGCTGCGATGACAAAGTAGTTATGGGACTATAAGCCGGATCTGGGGCTCGGGGAAGCATGGTGGTAAGAGGAATTTTCGGAGGCAGAGTCGGCATATTGGTGGAAGAGTTCATGCTGCGAGGTCCCATCGGGCGTCTTGAAGGCGAGCCTGGTGTAGAATCATGCGGCTCCTGGGGCGTATTAGATGAGGCGAGAGAAGGGCCCGGACGTGCGCCTGCACCGGACTCATTCTGGTGAGAAGGCTGAGATGTCCTGAGCTTTGCAAAACGCTGAGCGAGCACGTCTTCTGCGGGACTGGAAAACCGTTTGATCTGCGCTTTGACATCCGGTGTTGGTTGGAACTGCGTCGGGGTCGGCATTCTGGCAGAATCGTTTGCAGGCCCATGATTTTCACGCCCGCTCGGCATGGTAGAAGGTCCCTCTGGAAACCTTGAAGCGACGGCGCCTGCGGGTTGTATGTTGCTGGCCAGGTTGTCCTCGATGATCTCCTTTTTGATCCCATCCATTGTCCCTTGTTTTGTTCGTACCGCCTATATACCAGTGTCAGCCCGTCCTGTTGTCGGGATACTGCTATCGAGATAAACCCATACCATCATCAAATCCGCAAATTGTTTGTACCATCCAGGGCGCTCGGTGACCGTCTGTCGGTAATCAGGATGATGTGGAATGATGTTTACTGTGATTTCGGAGGCTCGAAGGTATTGTACATAGGCCTTGTCAGATTGCTCGGCATCTGCAAGGTTCCTAGCTTGCTGGATCGCGTCGGAGGCGGTGCTCAAAAGGATAGGGAGCTATGAGCCAGCGGGTTAGCAGCCAGACACGCCATATTTGTTTTGCGCAAGGAACATACCGGAGTGGTCTCATTCACATTCAACATAGCAGCCTGGTCCTGTAGGTCTTTGATGTTGGGGAATCGCGGGCGGCGAGATAGTGGCGGGCGGCCGTGGCCATTTGAATAGGGACCCGGTCCGCTGACCTGTGCGCTGGTATGCATGTTGTGCCCCACCGAGTAAGGACGCCTTCCGTCCTTCCACGGTGGCATGTCGGGCGGTGATGGCAAAGCCGCCGCATCAGACGACATGGTCGATCCAGGCAGAGTGGTGGGACTCAACGCATGGTTCAAGGGGGGGGGAGCGAAGGCGATGTGGGGGGGGAACAGGTAAAGCGCAGAACACTGATGCCTGTTGAGAAGTGGGAAGTGGGAAGAAAGGGATGAGGGTATGGTTGAGAGATATGCACGACAGAAAGAGATCCAAGTCTTGCAGGCGCGTGCCTGATGATGAGAGAGAAGCAACAACGAGCGGAGGAGAAAGAGAGTGGTGAAGTTGGAGGAAGCACCAGGTACGGCGGGATGATTGGGCTCTGGGGTATAATGAAACAGGGTGACCGTACGCCTCACCGCCCGAGCCTTATGACGTTCCGCGCCGAGTTCCGTTGCTCAAGCACAGCTCCAATAATCGGTCAATCAGTCAACACCATTATTGTTTCATCCTGTCCTCTTCCGCTTTTCTGACCCGGCTTTTCGCTGAGGTCTGTGATTGTTGTTAATCTTCCTTTGCCTGATCCCATCGGTGATCCTACTGCCGTTTCCCTCTGCCTCCGTCGGTTGAGTGGTTTTCGCTGCCTAACCCTTGTCATGGCGGGCTGGTTCACTTCGGCGTCGCCGCTCGATGAGCAGATCGAGCGCGCGACGTCTTCCTCTCTGTATGTCTAGACTGTTCTTTTGGCCTGGTTCGGGATTTGGATCTAGGCCCCCCCTTTGAGCTCTGTGCTGACCAACACAACAGCGAAGACATCGCCCTCAACCTAGAGATATCCGATCTCGTTCGTTCGAAGAGCGTCCAACCTAAAGATGCGATGAAGTCTTTAAAACGCAGATTAGAGAACCGGAATCCCAATGTACAGATAGCAACGCTCAAGGTAAGCCCTTCCCCCCAAATGGATGATCTCCTCGGAACAGGCGCTGATGAGCTTTCTCCCCATTTACTAGTTGACCGATACATGTGTGAAGAATGGTGGAACACACTTCTTAGCTGAAATCGCCTCACGAGAATTCATGGACAACCTGGTGTCACTACTTAAATCGGAAGGGGCCCCTCTGAACCACGACGTTCAGCAAAAGATACTCGAGCTCATTCAGGATTGGGCTATGGCAGCACAGGGTCGCGTGGATTTGATGTACCTGGGTGAGACGTATCGCAAACTGCAGCGTGAAGGGTTTCACTTCCCACCAAAGACCGAGATGAGCGGCAGCATGCTAGAAAGCAACGCAGTAAGTCCTGATCCGAAGCCCGTTGCGGTGGAAAAGCCTAACCCTCCCAACAGCCTCCAGAATGGATTGACTCAGATGTCTGCATGCGATGCCGAACTCCATTTAGTTTTATGAATCGCAAGCACCACTGCCGGAATTGTGGCAATGTCTTTGACCAGCAATGCTCCAGCAAATCTGCTCCTCTCCCTCACCTCGGAATATTGCAGCCTGTCCGGGTGGATGACGGATGCTATGCCAAGTTAACCTCGAAGCATTTCAGCCCATCGTCAGACCGAACCGCGTTCAAGAACCACTCGATCACTAAGTCCAATGCAATGGAACCACGTGGCGCTAAAGCAGACACTGGCTTTGATGAAGATATGCGCCGAGCACTCCAGATGAGCCTGGAGGAAGCGGAAGGAAGGAATGCCGGTTATGTACCACCTTCAAGCAATGCCCCGGATCCAGCGAAAACCCCAACGGGGCCATCAAATGTGGAGGACGAGGATGCAGATCTCAAGGCTGCGATCGAAGCATCCCTGCGGGACATGGAGCAACACAAACAGAAACATGCGGCTGCATTGAAAAACACAGCTACCACCAGCGCCGCGCCGCTCGATTCCTCTTCAAGCACACCAACCCCGTTGCCGAAGAATCCATACGAGCTTAGCCCTGTCGAGACTGAGAATATTCACCTCTTTTCCGCCTTGGTTGACCGCTTGCAGCATCAGCCACCCGGTACGATCCTCCGAGAGCCGCAAATCCAGGAGCTTTATGAGAGCATCGGCGCCCTTCGGCCAAAATTGGCACGTAGCTATGGAGAGACGATGAGCAAGCATGGTAAGCCTTTCCCTCGTTATGGTTATAGGGTACCGATATTGACAGCTGACTCGCTGCAGATACTTTGCTTGACCTTCATTCCAAACTCTCCACTGTTGTCCGCTACTATGATCGAATGCTGGAGGAGCGCCTTTCCAGTGCCTATTCTCAGCACTCGCTGGGTTATGGCCTTGCCCCTGGTGCTCCTCAGTATCCGAATATGCACACCGGCGTACCTTCTCATGCGCCCGATACTAAATCCGGTGCCGAGAACTTCTACTACGGCAACCCAGCCGATAGCTCTCAACCTTCGGTCCCCGCATACGCACCGCAGCGAGTGAGTAGCCGAGGCTATGAAGGACCACCCAACGGAGTTGCGAGCGCCAGTGGCTATTCCGCTCAACCTCAGCCTGGACCTTCTGCGAATGAAGCGTACGATGCCAGTTGGGGGAACAATCCATATCCTTCGCTAGGCTCGCCTCAGCCCTCCGCCAACAACTCTGCTACCCCGGGCCCAGGAGGGCCAGCTCAGTATTACACGCAGCCCGGCCAAGATCCTCCTCAGGCGCAGACCCCATACCAACCCTCGCCGGTCATGCGGCGGGACTCGCAATATCAACCCAGCGCCCCTCCAACCGCACCGGTTCCCAGTGCACCCGAGCATACGCCTGCAGATTTCGTGCAGTCGCCTGGATATTCGGCAGTCCCTGCTGGGCCACCCGCACCCCATCCCCAGCCGACGGGGCCTTCGTCGCCTCAGTCCTATTACTATCAACAGCCGCCCAGTAGCTCCGCCAGTGCCTATCCACCCATGGCCGCTGGCCACCCCGGGGCATACCACACTCCCGAGACTGTGGGATCACAGGTACCGAGCGCGGCCTATCAACAACCCCAGCCGGCCGCACGGCCCGCGGTGGAGGAGAGCTTAATTGACCTGTAGCGTGATATTTTGATTTTGAATGGCGTTGATGCGCTTCCTGCTGTTCCGCACCATGATACCTCAGAAGTCGCAGATTGTTGAACCCTCGTTTGCTTTGAAAAATGCACTTGGATCTAATCTTATCCCCGTCTGTAGTTGTATCCGCTTCCAGCCCACCGCAGCCCACTTTGGTAATGTTACCGTATTTTTACCCTCCCGTCCGGACTCGGTCCAGATCCACGATGCCACACCTCTTCTTTCTTTCCTCTTTCTCTTCTTTGTATTCACCTGTGGCCACCATCCTCAAGTCACTATCCCGTGTGTCGCTTTTCCGCTCTGCTGCCTGCCGCGCACACTCGTTGTCCTCGCGAACTCGGGAGCTAATCGGTGTAACTCTCCTCCTGCAGGTTGCCGATTACCGTCTTCGCCCCGAAAGAGCATCACTGCTTTTGGCGGGCACCGTCTTCGACCTGCCGGGGGACCTATTGAACCGGTGCCCCTCGGCCAATCTCCTCTCCAAGTTCGATGTCCTGTGAAGTTCACTGATTACCCGCCTGTTGCTCCCCTGGGGGCTTGCAACTTGTCGCCATGCCGACATCTGGTACTTCGTCTCCCGTCAAGCGCCCCGGTCTAGGCCGCCGCGCAGTGTCCTCCTATGCGGTCGTCACGCGCACGGGCAACCACAACGACCTGTCGGAGTCTCACACCACCCTGAAGCCCCCCGTCCATCATAAACCACACCGCACCCACGTCGTCGGTGGCGGTCATCGCAACCACCATCGCAACCACTCCTTCGGCAAGCTGAACAAACTCCAGCGTCTTACGTCGCAGGTCAGTCTCGAGACCACCGGGCGACACCATCAGCGCAAGAAATCCGCCCCCGCGACCCCAGTAGCCAGCCCCAAGGGACACATACATTGGGACGGGGCTCTGGATGACCCCCAGCCGACGCAATCGATGAAGAGAAATTACTCCACCCCTGCGCTCCGGCGGAACACGTCTGGCCTGGCAAAGAAAGCCTTGACAACATCGCGGCCTCACTCCAATTCGGGGAAGAAGAAAACGGTCGGCTTTGAACTGGGCGATGTGGATAACGATGACGCCGAATGGGAGGATACTACTCAGTCGCCCCAGAGCACGCGCCGCAGCTCCGTCGCGCCGTCCGTCCACAGCGTCGATAACACCGCGGTCCTGGTCGACCCTCTTACCTTTGTGAAGCGCCCATACCCTCAGATGCCGCGGGCGACCAGCCTCCCTGAATCCATCACCAGCAAATTAGCCCGAGAAAGTCATGAAGCGGATGAAGACGACTATTCAGATCCCGATTCGGCTGCTGACGAGGCGCACGACGAGTCAGACCCTCACGCAGAACACGGTGATATCGCAAGCCGCCTCCTCAGCCCGTCGCACTCTGCCAAGGCTCCTCCTGCCATGTCATCGATATCGGCCACGGCCAAACCATCGGCCACAGACCCTGCCTCGAGCAGAGAGTCCCTGAACCTGGCTGGCCAGGAAGGCGGCGCCCGACGTACGTTCTCTACATCCAACATAGGGATAGCCAATATGCCCGGAAGCCATCCTCCGGCCACTTCCTCGTCCATCGAAGGTGGTGTCTCGAAATTTATTGTGAATAACAAGTCCGGAATACACTCGACTTCCCGAACCGACTCAGATCCGAACACTCCCTCTTCCTTTCTTCCCCATTACCATCCACAAACGCCCCCATCTCCTTCAAGTCGCAGTCTGAGCAAATCCGCCGTGTCCCCTGCACGGCTACGGGGAGCCGATCCACCTTCACGGACCCAGCAGAAACTTTGGCTTCAACGTACCGCTACTTTGAACAATTCTCCTCCGGAGTCCCACGGCGTGCCCGCACCTGGGTCTCAGTCGACCATGGACCCAGCCTTCATGACACCTGGCCACTCACGACCTGGCTCGGTCGTCACGTTCGACACCAGCCGAGGCGTGGTGAACAGTGGAGGGCGAGTCGGAGGCGCAGTGCACGACAGCGAAGCCAGACACGTCCGCAAAGCGTATGAGAAGACATCTCTGGAGTTGATGGTTGTGCGGCGCTTCCAGTCTCCCACAGGAGACAGCTTTGGTCGGCTGCGCTCGATCGCCCGAACATCCAGGAACTCCGCCGTCACCGGCGCTGGGAGAGTCTCAGGGCTCGGCAAGCCCGTCAAATCGGCCCCGTCATTAACCCTGCTTCAGCATGGGAAACGCCCCAGTCGCCTTAGCTCAAGCCCGGACCCGAAACTCACCAGCCCCAATCCGGCCTCTTCAGAGGAACCAGCAACTAACAGCGAATCCACCGACACAACCCAAGTAGCGAACTCCTCGCACCCATCCCACCGCCTCTTGTCGACATCCGATGAAGCCGCACATGGCCTCTCTGTGGGGGAAAATGACCCCGAAGACGAATTCCAAGTGAGCGAATCCGACATGATGGTTCGCCGCATGTGGGAAACTCGCGAGGTGGCTACCTCCGGCTGATTTTTCTTCTTTCTTTGTGAATAGCAACGTCCTCCGGGACTGGACAGTTTTGTTTTTGGCGTTACTGGGTGGCATGGCTACAGTGTCAGATTGAACATAGCCCCGGGTTTAAACTAAGCATGAACGTTTTGTTTTGTCTTTCATGGTGGGTTGCCCTTTGTTTCTTCTTCGCTTGATTTGCGCTGCACATTCCTTGCGCCCTGGTCGACATAGCAGATATTAGAGTATTGCATTTGGCAATGTTATTAATTTAATTTTCTACATGACAAAAGATGTAAGAGGTAGTTAGCCAGCTGGCTTCGTAATTTCTAGAGTAGAGATGACGCCCTTTCCAAAACCGAGGCCCATGGCTGAAGTATCCAACCGACTCCCTCTAGTTAAGCACGACGCTCCCAGCGCACCGTAGCAGGCTGCATAGGCCGAGAAAAGAGAGACTGCACGGCACAAAAATAATCAGCTTAACCCGACCTAACATACCGATTAATCTTCAACATAAACATACCGAGTAATCCGTCTCCGGCACCCCAACTCTCCCGTCCACATTATAAAATCGGAAATGTCGCACCAGCGTCGCCACGATAACCTCCAGATTCAAGTACGCAAACTTCTCTCCAATGCAGCGGTGTCGGCCCGCCCCGAACGGGAGGTACGGACTGCGAGTCCCTTTCGACACGGCGCCGTAGCCATAGTCGACCGTATCCTCGTTGTCAACATTGTCTCCCTCATTCTGCTCCCCCTCCTCCTTTTCCCACCTACGCGGATCCCACTTCATCGGACTGGGAAAATACTGCTCATCACGCGCTGTGAACCCCGGCGACGAGAGAAGGGTATGCGTCACTGGGACAACAAGCTCTGTCCCCGGCACGGGAAGCGGGTTCTTGACTTTGCGCATGAGCGTGTGGATTGACGAGTGGATGCGTAGCGTCTCTTTGATCACGTTTTTGTGCCTGGGCAGCTTGTCGAGATCCTTGTATTCCAGTGGCGGCAAGGTAGCACCGAGCTGCTGTTTCTGTTCTAGATATAGCTCTTCGGCCACGGCGGGCTGCGAGGCCAGTCGGAGCATGATCCAGCAGCTGATTGCGGACGAGGAGTGCTGGCCTGCCATTAACAGCGTGATCATCATGTGCGCGATTTCTTTGTCCGGGATCGGTGTGCCAGAGCGGTATACACAGTTCATGAGGTTGGAGATCATGTCGTTGGATTGAGTGGGAGACTGAGACTGTTGGTGGTTCCTGCGTCGAGACTGGATAATATCCAGGTAGATAGCCCTCATCTTCGCATGCGCAGCATCCCGCTTGCGGTTATGAGGCAGCGGCGCCCAGGGCAGCATGAAATTAATGGGCGAGAAGCCCAAGTCGAGGTCGTGGTACAGGTCTGCGAAGGATGAGGTGAGCTTTGCGCGCACCTCGTCGCCTTGCAGGGTGCGGCCGGCTGTGAAGATTGTGAGCTCGGCCATGGCTGTGCTTAGGTCGATGGTTCCGCTGGACCCTTTGAACCGGCCGGATGTCTTGATGTATTGTTCCACCTCTTCTTCGATTAGGGGGACGTAGGATTCTAGGGCTGTTTGGCCGAGGCCGAATTTGACGAACTTTTTTTGGCGTTAGTAGGAGTCTTTTCTTGAAGAAGGATAGGCAGAGGGAGAGAGGGAGAATAGTAAACCTTTTTTTGCTCCATCAGCTTCGAATTCGGACAATCATATACCACATCCGACCCAAACACGGGGGTGGTCAACTTGCCATAGACTTCCTCGGCATTGACATCTTTCAGTTTCCCATTGAGAATAAACTCATTTCCTTCAATACCAAGGTATACAGTGACCTTCCTACCCAGCAGGATGAAAGTGAAGATATCGCCATACTAGGTAGTATATAGGTAAGTAAGGATTCAGAGAAGGCCCCTATTCCTTCCTACCCTATCCCATCACCATGACAGTGACGATGACACAAAACAAGACAAGGCATACCTTCTCCCGACAAGCAAAGAAAAACCGATACGGATCCATGCCGTAGCTAACGGTACTCCCAAGAAAAGGAATCCAGTGCCACACAACGGGGGGTTCATTCGCACGGTGGAAGAAGAGTTGATTCAGAACGTTGAGGAAGACTGAGATACACACGAGGGCGGCGGCGTAGCATGCGATCCGCAGGATCTGGCCTGTTACCAGGTATGCGAGGGGATCCATTGTCTTCTGGTTAGGTGTCTTGTTCTTGTTTTTTGAATTGGAAAAAGAAAATGAGAGAACTATGCACGGGGAGACTGCGATGGATGGATTGCTCAAATCAGGTCAGGTCCATTATTCATCTTAGGGTTTGGCTTGCCAGTGTCACGCCATGCTAGGAATCTCGGAAGGGATCCTCCCGACGGGGCAACCTCATCCTTTCTTTCTTTTTATTTTTAGGGGTCCGTGGGAAAGGGATAATATCTTCTAGAGTAGCGTAGGTAGCAGTAGTTCACGTACCCAAAATCTAAAGGAGATAGTGATTCAATCGCCTAAAGAAACGAAATGGTATCCAATCAAGTATGTACTCCGAAAACAAAACTAGGAAACGAATCTCATGTATGTGTGTCGAATTCAATTCCCAAGAATCTAAACAAAATTCTAACACTTGCATAACCCCGAAAAATGTCAATTATCCCGGGAGTTCCTTGATTCGTGCACCGAAACGCCGTGTCTTTCGTCTAACATGACCATTGATATCAAACAACGAAGAGAAGAGAAAACAACCGGGTACTGTCTGACCAGTGTTGATAAGGATAAAAAAGTAGACATAGAATGAAATGAAGATAGGTGAATAATTCAATCCAACTTGGTGCGGAAGGAACTGCTGATGTTGAGCCGAAACTCATTCGAAAGAATGTTCGAACAGGACACAGGAAAATAAGGACCGAAATAAAAGAGACCAGACGTTGATGACGAGAATCAATAACTTGAACAACCCTCCTAACTTCGGCCCTTTGCTTTGCCACGCTGGTTTCGACCGCCACGGCTGGGACTGCTGTTCCCGCCGACACTGCCGGTGTGGTTCCCACTAGGACCCCTCTGTTGCGGCGCTGGCGCAGGAGCCTTCGTCTCTTTCTTGGGGGTAGTATGGTTGCCTTGATCTCCTGGCACATCAGGCGCAGAAATAGAACCAAGATTGCGATTACCTCGTCGCTTGCGCTGACCACCTCCGCCACGGCCGCCACGACCAGCACCACCCCTCCCTGACCGCTCTCGATCCGCATCAGGGTCATCAACAAGTCCCTGGACGCGCTTGCTCTCCTGGTCCCACCACTGCTGGAACTCTTGCTCGGCTTGAATGTCCTGCAGATTGTGTTTTGCAGTGGCAGCCTCGCGGATCTCGTCTTTCTCGCTTTGCTGTTGCATCAAGATGGCTGCGAGGGAGAGACCACTGTAGGATGGGGAGCGAGACCCAGACGCTGTTGGGTGTGGACCTGGGCGAGGAATGTGGCGGATGGACTGGATGGCAGGTTGCGGCGATGGCGCGGCAGGACTGCTGTGCGATGGGGTCGATGGGCCCGGTGGGACAGACTGTTTGGATAAGGAGGAAGGTGAAAGGGTTCCTGAAACCTTCCGGGTCGGTGTCTGGACGGGAATGGACTCGGACTTGGAGCGGGGTGGAGGCGTCCCAGCCACGGTCTGCCGGAGTGTCATGGCTGGCCGCTGTGGTGTTTTTGGAGGCTCGGGGTCCAACGAACTGGGTGTATGTTGGCCCGGAAGAGGGTCGAGCGAGCCTGGACCAGCCGGCGCAGCAGCTGGGGGCAGTTGCCATGGGTTCTGAGACGCTTCTTTCGCCTGTTGCTGTGCGGCTGCTTTCTCCTGAAGCTGTTGCTGCTGCATTTTCTTGCGCTCCTTTTGAGACATCTTCGATGTAAATTTCCCGCTGCTCTCTCGCCGGTTTGCCATCTCCAGAGTAAGGTTCGACACACGAGATGATGTCTCGCTCATGATATTTTTAAGATCTTTCTTGGAGCTTGAGATGGCTGACGATGTCCATGGTGCCGGAGAGAAATCGGACGGTGAGGCCAGAGGTTGCTTCTCGTGCATAGCAATTACCCGAGATGGAGACTGCATGAGCAGCGTGTCTTGCGTGGGAGACATTTGCTCGTCCAACAGGCTCCGATCCCCAAGGGATTCAGCCTCGGGAACGCTTCCTGCCAGCGCCGGAGAATCGGGATAGGACCGGGGCTCAAGCATACTCTCTCCCGGTCTTGGCCCGCGCATGGCCTTTCCCTTGCTCGTATCGCCGGGTGATAGAGCGGCTTCGTCATCCATCTGGAACATCAAGTCCCCGGTAGACTGTTTCGGCTTCAGCATTGGACTGCTTATGAAGCCTAACCCGTCTCTAGGCGCGCTAGCCTTCGCTTTGCGTGCGGAAGATGCCAGGTTGGTCTTTTCGTTTGAGACCAACCGTGGTCGCACATCGTAAGACTCGACTCGACTTAGGCGAGATTGCAGGGTCATCGCGTCAATGCGTCGTTGTTTATCTGCCTCAATCGATCCGACAATCTCTGGATACCTTTCAAAGATGTACTCTTCAGAGTTTCGCCCACGAGAAATTGGGAAGCATGATAGTTGGTTCTCATGGCAGATCATATCCAGCTCACTGAGGAGATCGTCTTCCAAGCCTTCCAGATACCTTTAAGCCATATACGTCAGTTGATGGAAAAACAGGCGTGTGGACTCAGTGACTTACCTGTTCGCAAGCATGTCCTCGAGATTGAGACAGATGTATTCCAGCGCGGCATCTTTGAACTCCGTAACACAGCAAGGAGCGACACAGCTCAGAAAATAACACACATTTCGTGTAGTGACTGCGACTAATTAGATGAAACCCGGATAAATGATCAAAAATGGAACTCACCAAACCGACCCAACATCTTTTGACAAACCTGGGACAGCCGGTCGATCATCAACTCATTGGCCACAAACATCACATCCAATATTAAGTCGACAAAGTCATCAAGATTCTTAGTTCGAACTTCGTCAAACAGGCGCTCTTCCATATCAGCGTATAGGAAACGCAAGACAAAGTCGAATATCGGCTGGTCGATATGTTTGAGGTCGACATGCACACGATCATCTGGGTCTGCTTGGCGCAGCTCTAACCACCTTCCACCCGAGCGGCCATGAAAGATGGCATCGAAAAACGGACATCTCTGGCACACTACCTGGCTATGTACTAGGACACTTCCGCCGTTCAGCTGCACAACCACATCTCCACTGTCGAAGAATGAAGGATCCCCTATGGCATTCGCCATATCGATCTTGAGACTGCTTTCTGGGTCGACCATGAGCCTGGCGGCTCGTTCTAGTGTTGATAGGCCCAGATAGGTAGCAACCCGCATAACCTCTGTGCGAACCTGGCGGTAGCGAGACGCATTCTGAGGCGACTCTCTCGTCTTATGCCAAAAGTCAACGGTCCTGTCAGTGTAAAGGAAAAACACAAGGTTCAAGATTGTCAGGAAATCAAGAGCGTGGAATCGGATCTGGGTTTGGCCGTCTTTTCCATATTCAATGTCAAAGACATCCGGCACGGAGGCGTAGTACGACTGCCGAAACTCCTGGAGCGCTTTTCTGAGAACAAGACTGCGCCCATTCAAGAGGAACTCATGAATAGGGATTCGGGCATCGGAGAGGGAGCTAGTAACCCAAACAGTTCCCTTGGATGGTGCCGAAAGGAATTGACTCTCAATGTCCGATGATAAGAGCATGGCTTGTTTCATGGAGACTGCAGCAGGCAGTGGCTCAGCAGGTCCACCGAGAAGGTCATTCGGGGATATCGACTGCACATCCTTTGGTGTAGGCGTAGTGAATGGTGAGAGAGGCAAAATATCGTCCCAAAGCGTGCTCGGATCCACAAGGATCTGCTCTTTCGTCACGTCACATTCGCGCTGAGCAACGGCATAGGCACCAAAAGCGTTACTGCGCACGGCCACAGCCCTGGACAATCCAGGAATTCGGGCGAACTTGTAGTCCTTCAAAGTACTGTCCTTGGTCTTGGTTCGTTTCTCTTTCCTCCAGGCCGACCCTGATGTGGTACAGATGATGATAGAACCGTCTTGTCCCACGTCGACATCCTGCGCGGCCATATGAGACTTCTTGACAGACCACGACCGGACAGGGGTGGCGAGGGAATTCCGGATCTTGACTGGATTGGTGGTTGACGTCGAAGTTGAAGGGTTCTCCGATTTGTTGACTTCGACGGTGAATACGTCACCGGAGCTGGACAGTGCACAAATGGTGCTGCCACCACCTGCAAGCTTGACAATTCGGTTGACTGAAGTGTCATATCTTGTAGCCATGAAGCTATCTCGGATAAATCTGGAAGTGGCCTCCAGGGGAAACGATAGCTTGGAGTAGCCGTATTGCGAAAATACCCAAACCTCATGGTCCTGAAGGAGCACTGCCGTGGCACGGTCGATGGCCGACACCATCTGGATGGGGCAGTTGAAAAGAGAAGCTCCCACACGCCGAGGAGTGGTCTGAACTTCGAGGGACCGAGCATCGGAATCAACCAGGCCGAGTTGGCCTTCATTTTTACCAAACGTGTACAGTCCGGTGTGGGTGTAGACCACCGAATGAATTGAAGACGCCGCTGCGCCCAGAATGGTTTCCTTCTTGAAGGGATTGAAGATTTGGCGGGGTGTCAACTGCATTGGCACATCATTTCTGTTGTTGGTCCGGGGCAGGCCGTAGCCTAGTTGCCCAAACTTGTTGCTTCCCCAACTGAAGATCTCGCCATACTCGGTGATGGCCAAGCTGTGATCCTGGCCCAAAGCTACTGACATGACCCGCTTATCAGCAAGTCCACCGGTCTCGATACACACAAAGCCAAATTGAGTAGACTCGTCGCCCGTGCCCAGTCGTCCACCTGGGCCAAATCCGCAGATGAATAGATTGGACTCTGGGTCATTGGTGATGATGGCAGTATGGAGTTTAGACATGACAATGTTCTGGAACTTCATAGGCTTGTTCTTGATCAGCGTAGGCAAATCCTTGGAAGAGCCATACTGAACGGTCTCCTCGAGCCCAAAGCGCTCCACGAATTCCTGGTATTCGCGGTAGAAACGTTGCAGAAGATGGCCTGGCCGTTTCAGAGAGATGCGCTCCGGGAACTGTCGGTCGTCCTGGTCACCTAGTCCGAGGCTCAGGTTCTTGTTGCTTCCAAATGTGAAGACTTCGTCCGCGGCCAAGTCTGGGCTTGCTCTTACGACGCCCCGCATCACGAAGCCTTCGTTTTCAGATTCGTCGCCGTAGACCGATGGAACATGGTTGGAAGCAACGTCACTCATGGCATCGGCAAGTATGTTGCTGGAGAGCTTCGCGGTGGAGCTGACCTTGATGTCACGCGATGTGATGGTTGCTCCATAGACATCAAAAGGACTATACCCCTCTCGATCCTTGATCTTGATCAGACCACCACTAGACTGATTCCCTGGTTTGCTGAAGTCTGTTGCGTCGCGGATGTCGCGCGCCATCAATGTTCGCGCAATCGAGGCATTTCCCGCGTAGAGAGCTCGGTGAAGAGCCGTCCATCCGCTCTCCCAATCTTGTGCATAGATGTCCACAAATGGTATGTCCAACAGGGCCCCCGCGAAGTGGGCAGCGGTCGACTTCGATGACGAGGCAATATGATGCAGAAGCGTTCTGCCGTAGTGATCTCGAGCGTTGATCTCGGTCCGTGAGAGGGTCGTGTTTCCGCGCTGCAAGCCTAAACGGTCCGGTGCAGATGTCCCAGGGGATTCATGAACCTTTTTGCTTCTTGGGGGGTTGGGAGACGATGTGATCACCGATCCAGGGCTTCCGGCTTTGAAGGTTGTGGCTACCGACGGAGGACCAGCACCCCCAGTTCGCTGGCTGGCGAAGGTCGCGCTGGCCAGGAACCGCTGGAAGCTCTCGACATCATCCTGGAGGAAATATTCCCACAGCTTGCTGCTCATGTGCCCGGAGTGGTCGACGCGCAGAATCTCCTATCGGACCCGAGCCAGAACGTCGCCGGGACCACAAGGCACCGGCGGGCAAGCTCAGTGGGCGACAAGAGGATTCTGGATCTGAAGAAGAAGGGACTGAAGGCACGTAGACGCGTGGTTTGCAAGTGACTGGCGATTTGGAGGGGTTGGCGCGGGGCGCAAAACTCGATTTGTGCGGGCGGGCGATGACAGCTGGTTGCTTATCGCCGCGCGGGCTTGGGGGTTTCACGGGTGAGATTGGGGTTGGACGAGGACAGTGTCGGAGGGGGGATGGAAAGGCGCAGGTTGTCGAGGATCGAGAGTCGAGGGCGAGATGGGAGGGAAAAGAGAAGAGAAGAAAGAGTGAGAGTGTGTCTGTCTTATCCATGGAATCGCCGACGCACGTTCCCTTGTTCCCCGGGCGCGGATCATCCACACCGGGAGCTCGTGGGAGGATCATAGGCTGGCACTACGGAACTGCGCAACGAACTACGAACTATGGAATGTGGGATGATTTACATCAGCGGGAGTCTGTGTATATTCCGGTCGATGTCTACTGACTCCATCGGCGGTCGTCACTGCGTATATTATGGTCGTGGTTCCTATACTTCCCTCGGATCCGCAATCATAACGAGTCCAAGGAGACATGGGGAACTACCGGGGTGAAGAGCCATTCCTCCTGACTACACCCAGCATGTACTCTAGTTCCTTCTGTCAGATGTACTACCCTCGGCCCATCCATCTGTTGCTGATGTCGGAGTCAAGGGGAACAAACGAATGACGGCGATCAGCTGTTCTTATCGGGTGGCCCGTGCCAATCCTGCCGGTCGGGGGTCGACCTGTGTACTCTCAGGTACCATTGCGAGTGGTCGTGATGCAGGAGTACGGGTGGTGACCAGTGGTGGTGCAACGGGGACGGGGAGAGAAAAAGCAAAGAATAATTAATCTACGAGGGAAGGAAGGTATGGAGAGGAAAGAAAGCCGTGTTGTGGCTGACCGAACACTCGAGACCTATCGAGTCACCGGGTGCGTCACAGACCAGTATCTCTCCATCACTCACCCTCACACTCACTTCCCCCTTCTCTTCTTCTCTTCACTCTCCCTTATCTCCCGTCTCTACCACTCCCACCCTCCAACAAACACCCCTGCTCATGCTCTACTCCCTTTAAAGATCCCTAGACAACCATCCCCTCCCCACGGTTGCCTTGCCTTCAGCCCGGATCGAGATCCAGTCCATGCGGAGAAGCTCTAGACCGCAGGCTCCAAAGGTCCCAGCTGGCTGAGCCCCATCCCATACGATGGTCCCGGCCTCTATTGTTGTCTTCTCGCGCTAGCGTCTCGTCAAGGCCTCCCCATTTTCGTTTTGGTTTTGTTAGCATGGCCGTCCGCATCGGTCCCTTCGTCGTCCCGTTGCGCTCCTGATAACACAATCCTACGGTGATCGTCGTCATCGGCCCCCATCACCGCCCGTCGGGGTACGAGCTATCGGAGACCTTCTGGTCAGGACCCAACGGATTGCTAACTCCCTGCCTCCTTCAAGACCGCCACAATGCATCAGCATCCCCGGTCGCCGGCGGTGCCATCACCGACGCCAAACGTATCTTCCAGGCCGACGTCGGCCCGTACAGATGACCTCAGAGACCAGGAACCCACCACACCCAGCTCCCCAACGGCGGACCTACGCACCAACCTCACGAAGGGCTTAGGGATCGAGGCGGGCACAGAGTCTGCGGACCAGATCCAGAGGAATGCTGCACCAGGAAAGGAGGCCATGGCTAAGTTGAACCAGATCATTTCGGTATAGTCGCGATCAACCAGCCCATTCTCCTGCCGCGCCCTGCTAATGCGCTTTGTTTCCTGGCTCCAGAATTATCATACAAAAGCCGCCTTGATCATTTTACACTCCCGAGTGGAGCTGCCTCCCTCGTTCACTAAGGGGTCCGACACGCCGAGAGTAAATCGCTGGGTATGTTCCTCGATCACATTCGTCTAGTCGACATTCTCTTTTTCAAACCATGGGACTGGAAGCTGACTCTGACCCTTCCGTCCAGTTCAACGTTGAAGTAGATGACACCGACGTCCTTCGAGAGCCGCTCCGGACATGGAGAACGTGCGATGCCTCCGACAACCGCCCACCACCCCTCATCATCGAAACATTTTTGGATACAAAGGGTCTCACGAACAACCAGAGTCTGGTCATTCTAGACGAAAATGGGAAACGGTGGGACGTGCAAGAGTCGCTCGCCGCTTCTCGAGGCGCTCCCGCCGCCAAACCATACCAGTCGGACTCCGATGATATCATTTTGGAACGGTGGAGGATCGAGTTGGGAGAGTCATCTAGCAGACCCCCGGCCGATTTGGGCTCCATCCTACCGACTGTGTATAAGAAAAGCATTGTCCTTTTCCGTTCTTTATTCACCTACTCTAAGTTCTTGCCCGCTTGGAAGTTCTCCAAGCGCAACACCAAGTTGCAAAGAAGTCCCGCTCTCCGGATCAAATATCGAGTGGTAGACGGGCGTGCCTCTAACAGTGATTCATCCCGAGACCATCTCACAGCGCCGCTGTATGAAGGAAATGGAAAAGTTGTCGATACCTACAGTTTTGGAGTCACCGAGTCCCCCGCAGGGCCTTTCTCAGTTCAAGTCACCTATCGTACTAACTGTGATTTCCGTGTCGACGATTCGGAGGCTCTGCTGAGCTCGCGATTTATGGGTGCCGATGACGAGATCTTCCGTCCCTCTTTGCCCTCGGAAGAAGCCTCTCGGCCCAACCCGGAAGCTGGATCCGTGCCAGTGGAGAGAAGGACAATGGAAAATCCTGATCGTGCGCGAGCATATGGCAGCCTGTCAACATTCCATCAAGTCGGCCCAACGACTGGCGCAAGCCCTATCTCGGCGCTCCGAGCACTTAGAGATGGCGGCGCTGGCTCTTCATCCCAGTCGGATTCATCACCAAGGAAACCTTTGCCTGTGGCCAAGGTCAGTTCACCATCACGCCCTGGTCACCAGCTGGCAGAAGGTGGCCAAAGTTTTCCACGGCGCCCGTCAGTGTCCTTCCAACCGTTCAAGGCCCCCGCCCTCTCTGCATCTCCAGCCCTGGTCGAACCATCCTCGGCGCCGTCGCCCCGTCCTGGGTCAGCTCGTGTACCTACTGGTACTTCGGCAGACTTCAAGACTATGCCGCCACCTTCGGTGGCAGCCTCTGCTCGTCGGTCCGCGGCTGTGGCGTCAGAGCACGCAATATCATCTTCAAACTCGGCATCTCCGAAACCTGCTCCAATATCCAGGTATAGCAGCTCGTTCACCCATCGACGGGGCCGACCTTCATCTGGCGGGACCAACAAGGTCGAAGATGACAATTCCAGCGGCAAAGCCAGCGCGACCTCGTCCAACGCCCAGCCTGGCTCGGGGCTCCTAGCGGAGGGCACTGGTACGAGTGCTGAATCTATTCACGCAGATGACGAGAACATTTCCGAGTTCTTGAAGATGCTTGATTTGAGAAAGGATCTAATGAATCCGGCCCGCTCCACGTCACTCGAATCTGGACCCCGCAAGCCCACCGCCGCCTCGGCTGCTCTCACTCGCTTCCAGCGCATGCGCGATTCAAATGCTGCTCTTTCCGAGTCAATGTCATCGTCGGTGCATCTGCGCCGCTCCTCAAATGCCTCTAGTAAACAATTGTCCGGTGTGCCACCGATGGTCTCTGGCACTTCTGTATCTACAGCCTCGTCACCCGGCAAGCCAATCTCCCCGCATACTCCACACACTCCTGCCATCCGGTCGCGTCTGAGCTCCAACAGCGTCGCTGATGATCATGAACCGGAGCATGATCGTCAGAGAATACCGCGCATTGAGCATGACTCACCTCTCGAGGAGAATCCAGATGAAACAATACATCGTGATTCATCCACAGCGGGCGCTATCGATATTCCAACCTCCCCGCGTATCTTTGCTCCTGCCTATCGACGATCAAGCTCAGCAGCCCAGCGTCGGCGACCACCCGTCGTGAGTGATGAAGATGAAATATTCCCATTTGGGATGCGCAGCGTCAGTCTGGGGGCTGAGGAGAGGTCGCATATGAGTCTCGGCGCGCTCCAGCAGCAAACCCAGCAACAGTACTTGAGCCCGGATCCCAACGCGTATCAGACAGAGCAGGAACGGCGATCCTCGGCAGAAGATTCCCACGCTCCATCCGAATCCGCGACAGGCCCGTACCGTGAATCTGAATCGATCCGCGGTCAAACACCATCCGGACAAATGGCAACTTCGTCTTTCTCCAATCCGAACGTCTATCAGCCGCGGTTCTCCAGTTCCCGCGGTCGAGGGTTCTCGGGTGGTCCTCACTCGCTAAGCTCTGCATCCAGCAGTCTCCGCGGAGCCACCATCCCCTCCCACCTAGTGGAACGTGATACAGATCGCGACGGCAATGCCAGCGGCAGCGCGAGTGGAAACTCCACTGTCGAAGCCCGCCGAGGCTCGGGCCAACGGTCTAGCGGCGGCCGTGCAAACCCAGCACAAGCGCCTTTCGAGGAAGACGAACCGTTATTATTCGCTATGAGTGATTTCGGTGCATCTCGACGCAGCTTAGAGGAGGGCCGGCATGGAAACCATGGCGGCGCCGACTCCAGCGGCGGATCGAGGCGTGGCAGTGGCAGGCGCGGAGCTGGTCTACCGGGCTTTCATGTCTGGTCATAATCGAGCGTCGGCACTCCATATCTCTCTCCATACCTACTCATCATCTCTTCAAACCCTCCTACTCCCTCCTTCCTTAGGACAGGTCCAAGTTCATGGACTGACGTTTTCCGTTCCATACGTTTTACTGATTTGTTTCATTGATGCGCGTTTGACTGCTTTGATAGACTGACCACACAATCACAGAGTGATAATTGGGACTTGTGCATAGAGCTTCGTTCATTCCTTGTTTTCTCTCACTTCTCTCACCTCATTACTTTTTCAGGTGTTTTGGTTTTCTTGTTTCTCTTTTTCTTCTTCTCAGAAACGATCTCACCCGACTTGTTTGCTACAACTCCCATCCCTGCATGAGTGATATGACATGATGTCTCTTGGGCGCCTTGCTTTGCTTATAATCCAGCCTTGGGTTATCCTATAGTTTTGAATTTTGAGTCTCCTTGATGACATTCCCACGACTCTGCGTTTATTTAATCTTATCTTATTTTCCTTTTATTCTTTTCTGGCACTCAGATTTGGGGCAAAATAACCGCTAGACCAAAAATGCACCATGGGCCATTCTTAGTCTATGCCGTCACAAAAACCCGGTATGTAGTGTTAATTATTTACCATGTCTCGATTATACATTCTTCAAATCCAAAACCAGATGCTACCCCGTCTTCTCGACAGGATACTTCTGGAGCGCCTCGTACCATAGCAGCATGCTGCCAATCAAAAAGGCGACCGAAGCCCAGATTAGGGTCAAGTCGCCCTGATAGGCACACCAGCTGGGGGTGCAGTAGCCAAACGACGCCGCCAGGGTCCAGCCCACGGAGCCGATCAGATTCCACACTCCGATATGCCATCCCAGCAGATGCGGCGCCGGGGTGTACCAGGTTGGCTGGGTCTCGAGCACATACAGGACCGAGGAAATAACAAAGAGGACCCCGCCAACAAGATAGGTCAGATAATACACGCCCTCGATAGCACCCCGGCTCATGTTGTCGTATATCGGCGGGAGCGTGCAGATACCGGAAACGTAGAAGACGGTGGCACCGACAGCCAGTGTAATGGAGGCCACAAATCCGATCTCGTGGAAATAATGCGTCCTCAGTTCGTGCCAGGATGGCCACCAGGTCCATTTGCGGTCCGCCTTGGGCTGCTGCTGTTGCTGCTGGTGGTTCTGCTTCGCTGAATCTGTCTTGTATTTACGCTGGTGGTGGTGCTGGCAACTATATACGTCGGCCTTGGCCACCACTCTGCCGGAGTCATCGTCGTCTTCTCCTGTGAGGGCCCGGTGGAGGGCCCATCCAAAACATCCAGTTTGGCTCTCGTTGCACGCTTCGAAGACGAGAAGCACAGCTCCGACCTGGAACAGCGTGGCTCCGACAAATGCGAGTGCAGCGCCGGCCGTGGCCTCCGTGGAAAACTCCGAGCTGGGAGCTACAAGCGGCAGCCAGTAGAACAGGCCACTGATGATGAAGAGCAGGCACCCGACGGAGAAAAACACGGCGATCAAGTACGAAATGTCCCAGTACGGGCATTCGGTGCACATGCGCCACAGGCCACGGCCGACAGCGCGGAAGCTTGATGTGGAGTCCGGGTGGGAAGGGTCCACCCCCAGAGGGTGTCTTCCTTTGCGATTGTCTCGAGACCGCCAATTTATGAAGGCCGGTAACGCGACTTGTGTTGCGTGTGGATGCGGAAGCTTGTCGTCGATCAAGCCAGGATGAAGCTGTGCCTGATCTTCGACATGGAAGCGCGCCCGCGTTGGGTTAAAAAAGGGGAGCGGGCCCCGGACGGTCTCATGGTCAAGGCGGACGCCGACATGTCTAGCAAAGGGCGGCGGACGGCCTGGAGACGCGAATGAAGTATTGCGGGGCATGGACAATATTCATTGAAGGCGCGCGAGATATACAAAGGACGTGTCTTGGGACGCAGAGCAGATGGGAGGACAGGTGAGTCGTGCTTCAGGGATTTAATTGGTACATGGAAACGCCACTGTGCCGCAGATGAATCGGATGCCATCTGGGGTGGAGCCGCCCGCTTTAGGTCGACCGGTATCCCGACATCGTCCCCCGGACTACAGACACAAGTTTAACTGCTAGGGCTGTCTATCGAGTTCGTCTATCAAGTAGTTGGTTCATAAAATATTATTATAAGTTTCGAGGAGTATTAAGAAGATTTCGCCCTACGCTCATCCCTATCCCTTAACACTTCAAAAGCAAAGAGGCGACGGACGGGGCAGGCATTCAGCAGCGATATACCACCTCCACCATCTAGTTCAACAAATTCACACCTCAAAATTCTTTCGAACACACAAGCAAAGTATTAATAAACCCGATCAATTCATTCAGGATAGCGCCAATTTCAGACACCGCCTCGACCGGGTCTTCACAAGTTCGATCGAAACAGCAAACAGAGGTGTAGAGAATCGAGATTGTGTGTTATTCTGAGATTGTACGTTTGAGACCTACCAGCGCAGAACAGTGTCGATTGGGGTGACCACGACTTCTCATTACGGGGTATTTCTCTGGCGCTATGATAACTGTGCCTATTGCGGTTTTTCATAGCCTCCTCGTATTCTTGCTCGCACAATGGGAAGGCTCGTATTCATCAAACCAACAGTCGAATCAGCTTTCAGCTTTTCTCGACTCTCATCCCCGAAGAACGAGGATCTTCATCACGGTGGGGTTCTTTAATTTTACTCTCGTATCGACAACCAATTGTCAGTTTGCGGAATCCGTAAAATGGTACTTGAGGCTGAATCTATTATGGCCCCAAGTGATGGATGGGTATACTCCCCCCTTTATAACTCTCTTTCTTCCTCCGTCTTCTCCCACTTCCTTCTTAATTCTCATTCAATTTCTCCTGCCCTCTGCCGAGCACACCCTTCTTCAAGCGACTTATCCAAGACCTGTGAATCCACATTCTCTTCAACATGCGTTTCCTCATACCCCTCTCCGTCCTAGTCGCCTCCGCGCTAGCCGCCTCTAATAACTTCAACGAGATCTTGGATCAGCTCTATGGCGAGTGCGGAGGCGCTTGTGCTTCTACCGAATTCAAAGACAGCAAGTATGGCTGCGGAGACCCGAGCAGCTCCGCATCCAACACCTGCTTCTGCAAGAATTACGCCAACATTTTCTCTGATGTCAACGAGATGCGCTTTGGAAACTGTATGTCGAAGTGTAACATGAACGTTGGCGACCTGAACTATGCCCAGTTGGCGCACGATGTTAACAACATCTGTGGCTCGAACTTGGGTGCTGATACCACTTTCACTGGGTCGTCACCGAGTAGCTCCGCCACTTCCAATGCAGGCGGAGCAGGTGCGAGTTCCACCGCTGCAGCGTCGAGCCCTTCTCACACTGGTGCTGCTAGCACTATTGCGAGCTCCAAGACTGCACTTGCTCTGGGTGCTTTGGCTTTCTTGGGCTACACTCTGTGATTTCCTGACGTGTAAGGGAGAATGCGTTGGTGCTATGTTCCTGTCAAGGTGGAAACGAAAGAATCTTCCAATACCAATAACGCTGAATAGTTCATGGGGATGCAACGCATGGAGGTTTGATTGAGTTTGCACTCTTTCTTGCCTTTTGCTACATTCTTCTAAGTTGTGCATAACTTAATTATTTCTTAATTTGGATTTTATTTGTATTTTCGGCATTCAGGCAGCAGGTCTCTGCTTCATTTGACAAACCGCCGACATATCCAGTCCTCACTAGGCTCGACCTCACTAGGCTAATAGAATTTGATTATTTAATTGATAGTCCATGAGGGATCTATCTCCTTCTGAATGATGGAAAGATGCGTTGTCTATAACAAGAACAGAGAACAGACTTCGGAGCCGGCCATCTCCCAGATTGTTGGAGGAGCTGCTCAATAAAATCCTCAAATACAGTGGCATCTGTTGAACCCAGAAAAATCGGGGAAGGGCAATGTTATCTTACGCATTACCTAGAGTATTCCGTATCTAATCCGTAATACTATCGTATGTTCGCATGTGTATGAAAGAAGGACGAGGTGATTTGGATGTGAGCCGGACTGAGCATCTACTGTAGAAAGATACTATACACTCACCTTCCTGTCAACTTGTATACCTGGGCAACATATCCACGGCTACAAGTATTTACAAATGAATCATAATCCATAATAATTGAATATTCGGTCTTCCATTTCTTCGTCAAGGTTGACAGATTGGCCTATAGACATAAACTAAATATTGATAGCCATGCCACACCACATCTCACCACACCTATGCAGAGCTTTATCCATTATTCGCAGGATTCACGGCGCAATAATCCAGATTATGCACACTAGGGTCAGGGTTACCAGCCCAGGTTCTATTAGATAATGTCATTAGCATTCTTTGTGTCCCACAGCAGGTAGTTAGGTAGGGGAAAGGAGAAAGACATACGGGAAGGAAACTGCATTGCCCGAGCCACCGAAAATAGCAAAGGTCAAGATAAAGACGCAGACCTGGGTTCCGCCGTCCAGCGCCGCAGACACGATATAGTTGTACTTGGTGAAGTAGACAGGGCGGTACTTGCGCAGCCACCACTGGGCGAAGAAGCCGATAGCGAAGTAACTGAGGATGGAGGCGTTGATGCCCACAAATAAATAGCCCATGTACCAGAGGATGATGGACAGGTTGATGTAAGCGAAGATCTTCTTAGGCCAGAACTTGTAGGCGATCCAGAAGGGGAAGGGAACCACGAAGCCCAGCAGGAACGAGATCGTTACCCACTGGTACCGGCCGCCGACGGAGAACATGTCCTTGGCGATACTCCAGGCGATGGCTAGCGTATTGAACTGCTGGATGTTCTGTCCGCTCCAGATGTTGGTGCCCTGGATGGAAAGCAGGATGGGCGCTTGGTTTTGCACGATCGTTAACATCATGATGTAGTTGAAGAGGGCACCGACGACGCAGCCGCCGACTTGGACGAAGAATGTGCAGCGCGGAGACAGGTGCACGTTCTGGGCGAGACGGAGGTCCTTGGCGAGTACTTGGCCCATTTGTAGCGAGTTGTAGGTGTAGCAGGTAAAGTAGAGGTTGGCTAGTGGACGACCGGGGAACATGTATCCTGCTAGCATCTGGCAGATGGGCTGGATGTTGAACTGGAATCCCGTGATGCCCATCTGGGCGCCGAAGAAGAGCATGAAGATGAAGGTCAGCAGGTTGGCGATGATGAAGCCCCACCATGGAAGGGTCGATTTCATCACGTAGAGACAGATGAGGCCGACGATGAAGCTGGCGAGCAGCACGGCGCCCCACCACCAGTGAGGCGTTTCGTAGTACAGATTGCGCAGCATGAGCTTGTAGTGGGGATCGTAGCTGGGATCGTCGATCTTGCGCTGCAGACGGTCCTCGGGAGCCTCCTGGTTAGCCCAGAACTTGTAGGTTTGCGGCTTGAGGAATCTCTTCATTTGACTCGGGCTGGCCCACGCCCATCCTGCTTTCATGTCGTCCCAGTTCCACAGCAGCATGTGCGTGAAGGTGGCAGTGAGACCCATGTTCGAGGTGATGAGGTAGATCAGGTATGTGCCCGTCAGCCAGGGGATGCCCTGTTCGCGGAGCTTGGCCTCGTTGATGGTGTGATCGACGTTCATGATGAGGTTCTGGTCATAGGTATAGAAATTGGTGGAGGTGGAGTTGCCGTAGAACAGCAATTGGGATAGGAAGGGGAAGTTCTGAGAACTGAAGATGTTGCCGTAGTAGACTCCCATGAAGAGCATAATGCAGCCCAGGTAGCCGATCAATGAGTTGGTCAGGGCATACAGAGGGTACCACAGGGGAGATCCAGTCGAGGCAATGTACTGCCAATCGAAGCACACAGACACTTTGTGGTGGGTTAGTTAGTTAGGGTTTGGGTTGGATAGTCGGCAGGACTCTCTACTCACAGAAACCGAGACCCTCGTTACCGGAAGCACCGCCAAAGAGATTTGTGAAGATGAGATTGTTCTGGTCAGCAAGGCAGAAGATCGAAACACCTTCGAGAACAGGGAAGATCCACTAAAATATTATGAGAATGGGTCTTGCAGCTAACCGATGGAAGTGGTGATCTTACCTCGGGGATGATTTCCCAGAAGAACAACACAGTGAACACAACATAGAAAACCTTCAGACGAGATTTCGATTCGACCTTATCCCGATGAAGCGATTCCAGCAGCGTACTGATCGGCAGGGTCATAGGCCACAGCATCTTCGTCGGTCGCACCAGGACTTCCCTAAGCAAACCAGCAATTCCATAACCAATCAGCTGGGATGACAGCGTGATGAAGATACCCGCAGCGTGGCTCGGGTATCCACCGTAGAAGAGCTGCTGCGCAGCCAAAGCCTGTGTCGCGAGGGCGGATTGACCAGCGGCCGAGGCCATGAGAGCAATAGCGGCATGCTCCTTGCTGTTGAAGGGCCCTGGGTTCAAGAAGTTACCGAGCCATCCAATGCGAGGAATTCCATAAGCCATGCCCTCGCCGAGAACATAGGCAATAACGGTCAGGAACACCTGCGAGACGAGAATGGTCTGCGGCTTGAAGTAGAAAATCTCCTGGAGAACCGAGGCAAAGACCGAAAGTCCGACACCTATGACAATAAAGAAGTTCAGTGGTTACTCTTGCCATACTATTGTATACCCGAAAGAAAGACATACCTAGAAAGACCGTGCGGACGGTCCACGGGTTGAGAGATGGATCATCGTCCACATGGAGCACGTTCGTAACCAACTCCTCCGCGGTGTCGGCGTGGATATGGTCCTTCTCATCATTGTGTTCGATATCATCATACGATGGAGGCACGGGTTCAGTCGACTCCATCGCCGACTTTTCCTGCCCTTTTTTTCCATCCGATGGCGAATCCAAAAAGTTCTGCTGCCGCTTCTCATCCACAACGGCCTCTTGAGGCGTGGACTCGGCCACATGAGGTTCCTCGGCCCCAAAGTCCGGATCGGAAGACATCTTCGCAAATCAGCCCGCCGAGATTCTGTAGGGCTGGGAATTGGTTTGTTTAAAAGTGTTCCGCCGGGGAAGGAATCTTCTCAGGAAGCCTCGCAAAGCATTCTCTTTGCCCCTTGTGGCACTGTCCAGAGTATTTATCTCATTATTAATGGCTAGGGATCCAGTGTGCGCCGGTGCGCGCCAGTATACAACGCTGCCGATGCTACCCCGTGCATGTTAACCACATTAGGGATCGCGTTAGCCAGTCTGGGAAGGTCGATAAGTGATCTCTCGATGGTGACTGGCTTAGCCCCCGCATTGCATGGAACCGACACCTCCCTCCCTGATCCTTATCCAGGAGCTGAGTGGATAATAATCTAACGCCAGCGATCACGCGAACTAACTAGCTAGTTTAGTTATCTTTGACATCGGGTTAATTAAATAATTGTGGTACGATACGCTCAACAGACTGTCTGTGCGGGGGCGAGGGTACGTACGCTCGTCGGGAGGAACCTGGTTGGTGTGGGCGTTCACTATCGCCGTCGGACACCGGCAGGACAGGGTGTGCTTAGGGCCAGATCTTACCCATGTGTACAACACCTTGGCAAAGCTTGGTCCGCTCGCCTAGAAAACCCTCTAGAAAACCAAGTGTGTGGGTCTTTTGGAGTTCCCACCTTTTTTTCCCTGGGACTACTGTATATGAGATGTTCCTAGCGTCGGAGTAAAAGAGGCGATAAGGCCTAGTAGTGTTAGATTAGCGGGAGTTTACGAAATACTCCATGCCAATCGGAAGTAAGGCGTCCAATTTCTTTTTTATTGCCGGACTAACTATAGTACAACAACACACGAGGGTATATCCAGTAGCCGGCACTTGGACTACTGTGTAGATCCTGATCAGGTAGATCCAAGGGAGAAGATCAGCCTGAGGGATATGGTATGTAAGATGCGGTTGTGAGTGAGTGCCTCCCATCTCACTAGCTGCGACGCCACAGAAGCTTGGAGCAAAGGCCCGCCCCGGACCGTGCTGCGGATAAACATCCCTGCCAGCCCAATAATTGTGGCATAGCCCAACCAGAGCCGTGTGAATGCGATTATACAGCCTGGCCAATCTGCATCAGAGTAGAAGCTGTAAGGGCAATTACGCCCCTGGAAACAGAGCGTAACTTTGAGGACAACAAATCACATTACATCTTCCGGAAGGTGTTTCCTGAGGCGCTGCGCCGCTCCTTGGCACGGAAGCTTGTGTTTTTGTCATACTGGACTGCAGGCTCCGTATTGCGCTTCTTCGACTGAGGAGCGAAGACCATTTCCTGCTCGCCAACAACGCCGCGCCGCCGCGAAGGTTTCTGTTTCGACTTCATGTTCTGGGCGCGCGAACCAAATGACCGGTCCCGTGCAGAACTGGCGTTGGTAGAAGAAGAGACCTGCATGCGAGGCGGAGGCCGCTTCGTCCGCTTGTAGTCGGCAGAGGAGATCTTGCCAGAAGATTTAGCTTTGACGGGCCTCTCCTGCTCGCTCTCCGAGTCGGAGCCGTCAGAGCTCGAATTGGGCACGCCATCCACCGCCTCTTGCTCGACGGCGGTCAGACCACGCTCCTTTCGCTCGGCGGGTTCGGGGCCAGTGCTAGGGTTTATGAGTTTGAACTCAAACGAGTTCTCGTCAACAGCAAAGTCTTCGTCCTCAAACAGCTTGGTGAAACGGCTGTCGCCCAGCACGCCAGTTGGCTCTGAGGAAGTAGCAGTCGGGGCACCGACCACATCCTCGTCACCACCACGCTCGAGCACGCGCTTGGCCCGCCGCCGCTCATTCTTCTCCTCTGCGTTCAGCAGCTTCTCGGCGAGCTTCTTGTTCACCTTGACAGCAGCCTTCTTCTTGCCACGGATGCGACTCTCGCGTTCCTTGTCGATCTTCTCTTTTACCCTCTTGGCGCGTTCTTCCTCCCAGATGTAAGGGTTTGTAATCAATCTCGCCTCCTCGTACAGTCGCTGGGCCACAAAGTAGCCATGCATGTAAGGCCGCAGGAGGTTCGTCCGGCCGATGAGATGTTCCAGGTTCAGGGTCCGAAGTTGGGGCACAGACAAGAACTTGAAATTATCGTATACAGCGCCAGCCTGGGTACTGGTGAAGGCATTGGGGTCATTCGGATCCTCAGCCATCTCTTCGACGAGGTTGTCCAAGAAGGAGCACCATTTCGGCGCAGGCCCCAGTTGCGGAATGAAGAACGAATGCTGCTGCCGTCCTTCATTCGCCGTCAGGATCATACCGCTGTCTTTGCACCAGGCCACAGAGTTGATATCCACGGCTGGCTCGACGGAGGTCCACGGAGTGCCGTCGCGCGGATCCCAAATTTTGATAATGCGCTTATCGGCAGACAGTATCTTGGGTTCCATTGTGGCATCTCGCGTCGCAGAAGATGACTGGAGGAACGTTAGGGTGTGAATTGGGAAGCCATATCCTTGGTCCTTCTTCAGGAGAGGCACAGGCGATCGAAGATCGTAGAGGTGAATCAGGCCGTTTGACGAGCCCGTGCCCAGGGTAAGGCCAGAGCGCTGAAACTCCAAGGCAGTGATCTCTGAGCGGGCATCCTCTGGCCCGATCTGAGTCGGCGGCAGCAGCACACCCGCGCGGCCCTTGGCTCTGGGATCCCAAAGCTCCACAGTCCCGATTGTTGTGCCAAAGGCCAACAGTCCGTGGCTATCTTCCGCAATAGCGCCTGTATTGACCGCACCGGTGTTGATACCACCCTGCAGCGCACCTCCGCCGGTTGATGTAAAATCGTCACCTCCAACATCCACCTCGAAACTGCGCATGTATCGCCCGAGCTCCAGGTTCAATCGGAAAACCTCTCCCATCCCATCAGCGTTGACTCCCACCGCTGGCACCAATGCCTCGGTGGACTGGCGATCATATAACAGATCCCGTCCGTACCTTGGGAGCCTTGTTGTGTAGTGGCATCCTGATGGAGTGTGGAATTCGAGAGAGCGGTCAGACTGGAGGTGAAGGGACTTCGAGTAATCGGATGAGAGTAATCGGAAGGTTGTATTGAGAGCGACTGTATGCCGGGCCCAGGACAGCGACAGCTGGGGCAGGTAGTGGGTATGAATTTGAGGCTTGTATGTTCCTTTTTGCAAAAATGTTAGAGATTGCGCCAACCAAAAAAAAAACCTGCGTATGGTTGTAGACAAACCTGTGCTCATCACCCAATCTCCGTCTTCACTAACCCGAATACATTGGCTGGCTTCCTCGAATTCAAAATCCTGGAGAAGCTCAACGCGATTCGCATATTCGGGATCATCCTTCAAACTGCGCTTTCGCCGCCGAGCAAGCCATTCGGGCAGCGGACGCGCAGTGTTGGAGCCCGAGATGGTATATACCGGGACCTCAGACTGGTTGGTCAGCTTCATGGTGGGCGAAGCAGTTCAACCGATCGGTGAAAAGATAAAGAAAAAAAAAAGACCGCGATAGCAGATTGGGTTGTTGCACGTGACCAGGTCCCGTGCCGATCAGCATCCGGGGAGAGTCGGTTTGGTTTGTCTCTGTTGATCCACATCCAGAGTTGCGCTTCAGTTTCTTGGTCATCGGGCACTGCCTTCTTGCTCTGTTCGGTCCTTTTTCCTTCATTGTCTCCCTCGCCCAGCCAAATTCAATTCATTACATGGGCTTCCAGTCCGCATTCCCCATCCCCCCGTGCGGAGAGATGGCTTCCATCAGCTGAATGACGCGCCGCCCATCTCTGCTGTGCGCTTGTTTCACTCCTGGAGGATCGTGCAATGCAATGGAAATGACGCCCAAGCTGGACATTACGATCTCATTTCCCCCCTCGAAAAATCATAGAAACCGGTGTGCAGCAATCCTCGAATCATGGAATTTCCCGGGAACGCCAACACCAATGTTCATGTCATTGTGAGTGTCTTGGCAAAGACAACCTCGGTGAGAAAAAGCTAACTGGAAGTTTTAGGATGGGTTCTCCAACATATACTGGAGAATATACACGGAAGAGCCAGGCATCACCAATCAGCCTTCCGAAACCCCGGCCAATGGTTACACCATTTTGAAGCATCTAGGTCGCCTAAAAGATCTCGAAACTCGACTGAGGAGCTTTAATTGTCTAGCTTCATGTCCGAGGCGGCTTGGACTTTGGGTTTTCTCACCCACTCCCAATTTTGAGAGTCTGGGTTCCCTGTACGTCAAAGAAGGGGTTGAAGAATCAACCAAAATATCTGTTGATGCTTCCACTTTACGAGGTCAGTGTCTTATTTACGCACCGATTTCGATCAAGCTAACACGATAGCAGTCTCCGCCTCTGGGAGTATAACCTCGCTGGATTTGATCAAAGGCCTCTCTTCAGACACGCAGGGCCATCAGGCTACCCCGCCGGCAGGTGCTCAAAGGCCTCAGCAAGGTCAGGGCTCCTCTCGGCGAACAGATGGCTACAATAGTTCGGCCGCAATTTATGGCTCTTTCATCTCCGCTGTCACTGGCGCACTCAGCTTCCAGCTAATTCGCCACCATGGTGCTTTGCCCCTCGGGGCTCGCACCTTCTTTACCGCCGTGGAGAAGCTCGGCTACGAAAACCCAAGGATTGACAACCATAGTATTTTGTCGACGTCTTGCCTGACGACTCTCAATATCCAATTGACCGCGTCTGGGAGATTGACTGTTTCCACGCAAACGATCTCTCAGATTGGCGTCACCCGTCTGTGCAGCCCCTGTGACGACATAGCAGACGTCCTCAACATTCTGCCAGGTACAGATCTTTGGTTGTGTCCTTCCGGAACCGTTGCTAGGCTGGTCACGGCCAATGTCGAGACACCCGTGGTATCTTCTCCGGGCCTTTCGACTACTGGGAATGGAAATACTGCCGCAAAACGGCGACAGTGGAAGCTTGATGTTGTTCAGTGGCTCGCGAATTTTGGCCTGCCAGTTGACTCCATCGATGAGGAAATCTGGGTGGAGATCGAGGTTTGGGAGCCGTTTTTCGCCAGGCTGGCTGGAGAAGTCTGGAAACAAAGCGAAGAGTCTCAATCTGCACTGCCTTTAAAGCGTATGCTGTGGCCCGCCAGATTCTGTTTCGTAAGGACGAATTCGTCAACGTCCACATCAGGCACTCGGCGCCTCCCCTCTCTTGATGAACCCTTGGAGTTTGCAGAGCGATGGCCCACGAAAGAAATCTTTCTAAAGCCCGCTCACAGCACCCAAATCATCTCTGGCCCAGACGACATGCAGGCCAAGGACCACGAAATGGCATCTCCAAGGGCTGACATTCCAGAAAACATGGAAAGCCTGTCTCGAATTGCGCAATATCCTGATCTGCAAACTGCAAATCTCGTCTATCCCACGCCACCAGAGGGGGCCACCACTATCGGACTGCACCACGCTAATCCATCCGAAGCTTATGCCGAGGATGTCGAACTCGGAGATGCAACAAACCCCACGAAGAACTTGTCAGGGAATGCACTATCGCCCGAAGCCGGCCAAGATATTGTTGTCGGCTCTGGTTTGTATGATGCAGACGATGACGAGGACTTATTTGGAGAGATGGGTGGGAAAGATTTCGGATCCAAGGGAATCACTGATGCAGACTTTAGCTTCTTTGATGACCCGGGCCTCGACGATATGGATGATACTGTGCCAATGGAAGATGCTCAGAAACCTTCGGAAGATCTTCTGGAGACGAGCAATCCTGGACTGGATGAAACAGTAGATGAAAAAACGCCCTTGGAGGTATCAGAAACTCGAGCGGCTGTTGAACCCGACCAGCACGTTCTCCGCGCTGAGCCAATGACTCTGCAACCCGCCGATGAGCCAATGAATCTCGAGGAGCGGGTCGAATCGCCCGAGGACAAGACAGGCCAAACTATCAGCCCTCCTTTGAGTCCTGTGGAGATCAAGAAAATTCTGTTCCCAGGATCCGAAACTGAAGATCTTTCCAAGGATAGTCGCGGGCAAGGGCATTACCAACCCGTGGCTTTTGAGAAGAAAATCGGAGATTGGGATCAAAAGTACGGGACCTCTGGCAAGTTCTGGTTCTCCCCTGGCGGAGTATCAGCTGGATCAAGCAAAGCCGCCAATTCTATTCCTACCATCGGCATTCCTCATCGCGGCAAGAAAATAATCGGCTCCATAAGTAGCGACAAGGCCTCCCCGCCGGAGTTGATGGGTGGCCGTGTGCGCTCGGATTCGGTATCAAGCAGTAGCAGCAGCGATGACAGTTATGAGATGGTCTCTGAGCACGCTCCGACTCCAATTGCGTTGCCATCCTCTTTGAAAAGGAAACGTGCTCCTTCGGGTTCGGAAATTTTGTCTGCTGCGTCCCCGGAGAAGTCTCTGCCGGAAGGAGGCATGCCGTATAAGGCAGAGAACTCTGCATTTTTGGGGAATTTCTTCTCCAACTTCTCTGATTGGTCTCTCACGGGATACTTTTCTGCTTTGCGAACCAAACAAGCCCCAGTCCTCCTGCATCGCGAAGAACAAATTCAGATTGCTCAGCTTTTGGTTGATCAAATCACCCAGTCATCCTTGAATCATCCGTTGGACGGGCGGACAGGTCTTTTCGATCTTGAGAGTGAGGGTCTGCCTATACAACCCTATTTCGAAGAGACAGCATCCCTGGGAGAGATTGCAAGAATTGAACTGAAAGAATACACATCCTTGCAAGATGATCTTTCTACGCTCCATCCACAGTCTCACCCTAAAGACACAGGTAAGGGGTCCATTGCGAAGATCTTGGCGCCACATGTGCGTGTTCGTCGCGGCAAGGAATACCTGGAAGCTCTCCCTCCGGTGATATCCTTTTGGGAAACATTCGGTCTGGAGCCCGCGCATGGGCCGAAGGATATCTCCGCGTACTGCATTCGCCCTCATATTGCTTCAAAAGCGGCAGATTCGTTCTTGAGGCGCTTGGGCGTTCTTTATCAAAGCTGCAGTCTTGGGAACCATGCTAGAGGGGACCTTTCAAGCGCGTTCGAGGACGGAATGGGGACATGGGGCCCTGAATCGTTCAACCACTCCAGTTATACGTCCATGATGCGGACCCTTGGAACCATGTGTGAGGAACTTGGTATGTTCTTGACTCTCAACAAAGGAATGGCGTTTCTAACTCTTTAACAGGAACCACACTTTCGCAGACTGCAGACGAAGAAAGGAACTGTGTTGTGTATATTATCAACCCATTCGATCACGCAACAGCGCTGGCCGACATTTGTGCAGCTTTTTGGAAACTTCTCCAGAATTCAGTCGCCGACGTGGACAACCCCCGATCTAGGCAGATCAACGAACCTGTCCTTCAAGTGATACCCATGGATTTTGTCATGTCAGGTGACTCGATGGTTGTACCATCTCAGACAGAATATCTGAATCTGGCTTTGGAGATTTACAGTCGGTGCTCGCCCAAAGACACCAGTTCTAGCCCTTTGCTTTGTTCTCCGCCAATCCTCCTTGCTGATTCTCTTCCCAAATCCATTCATTTCCGGCTTGCTTCCGAGCGAGGATCGCCGCTCCAGGATGGAAAGATCCTTCATATTGCCTACTCGAAAAGCTTGGACCAGCGCTGGGTTTCGGTAGCCTGGTCAGATAGCTCCGGATCTTCGCAAAAGTCCATGTCCTACTGTCTACGCTATAAGAACACCGGTGTTGCCAGGACGATCTCAGAAGTGCGCAACGAAATATGGGCTGTGACCACTCACATCATGGATAAGGCTCAGGCTCGGTGGAAGGTGATACTGGTGAACACTGAACCTGTGGATACTGATGAGGTTGAAGGTACGATTTCCTTTCCCTGTGGCTTTTAGAGACATGTCTAACTTCATTCTAGCTTGGACAAACCTGGCAGATCAGCATAACAAAACACACCCGGGTTCTCTAGAACTAACAATCCTAACTGTCACCACCGCTCCCGATCTGGTCCTCGAACCTCCTTCTTCATCCATGTCAATGAACGTCTTCAACCCGCAATCCTCCTCTACACCCGTCACAACCCCCAATCCAAGTGCCAGCATCGCATCCCCCGAGCAATCCGGCACAGCAGCAACCCCCAGCGCGGCATACAACGCCCCCACACCAACCGACACCTCCCCCGAAACCGACTCCGAGGCTGTCCTCGCAGACATCTGCGATGAATCCTGGATGGTCGTTCTATCGCATCGCCTCAACAGCTCCCCACACCTCACCGAATTCCGCCCCGCGCTGGCAAGCGGCTATCTCCTGCGTCGAAAGGGCACTACCGATGGCGATGGCGTGTTTTCAATGACCGTCAACCTCGTATATACCCAGCGACCATCATCTTCCTCTCACGAGGGTCTTCTGAAAGAGACTATGGGCATGTACCGTGACTTGGCGTCTCTGGCCCGTGCCAAAGGCATACGCAGTGTACAAGGTAATATCATGCCCTGGCATATCGCTACCGCCCTTCGTGCGCAAGAGCTATTGAGTTATGTTTTTTGAGGGATGGTTCTTTTTTTTCCCTTGTTTCATGGCGTCTGGGTCTGGGCAGAGTTTTGAGCGCTCTTTCATGGCGAATATACCAGTAGTGACTGTATTCTTCTCTCCATTCCTCCCTCTCCAGTTCAGTCGGGATTTAAAGCAGGCAATATTTCTCACCACCATACGAATCAAAAATTCCTTCTTCAACAGTTGACACTGATTACTTCAGCAGTTTCATTGTATGAATAATTCATTTCCAATTCCTCATTCTCATCGAGGCCAGAGCCCGCCGGCCAGTACGCCGCATAGGTAGATACATAGTATAGAATGTAGTCATGTCCATCAAAAGTGAGATATCTCATCACCAAAGAGAGAGAAAAACGTACAGCCAAGAAAAGAAAAGAAAAGAAAGCACAAGCCCAAGCGCCAAAAACAACCACAATAACGACCCAGACAACAGGTACCAATCAAACAATCAATATATACCCAGTTCCAGCTCTTCTTTCTTTTTTCCATTTCTCACTCAGCGGATTATACAGAGATGCGCAGGTATGTTGTCAACAAGCAAGCAATCGAATCGTGTGTATCGGAGGAACTCGTCATCGTGTCGGAGGAAGTGTTAAAGGAGGACATGTCGTAAAATGGGGTTTTGCGTGTCGCTGTAGGTTCGATCGTCGTATAGTATGTAATGAAGCGCACAAAAATATATAGAAAAAGCAAAGGTGATGTTGAGGCTGCCATAGATTATCCCTCCTCAACACTCTCCTCATCAACGACTTTCCTGCGCGAGAAGAAAGCCACGTGGTTTTGCATGAACCAGATGGCGAACGCGGCGATGGCGAGGACGATGAATAGCACGATGATGATGATCGCGATGGTGATGTTGCGCTGGACCATTGTTGCTGGTGGGAAGGAAGACTTGGGGTCTTCACTTTAGATAGTGGTTCTTTTTGTTTTCGTTTGATAAGGGGCGATGATGAGATGATCAATGGAAGAGGACAGGGGAAAAGAGTATGTAGGATGAGATGAAAGCAAGCAAAAGCAGGTTTGAAACCAGCGGTGGGGTGGGGTGATTTGTACAACCCCCAGTTTGAAGCAAGTATATACTTCGGCTAGTGCGACTCTCACTGAACCAAGAACAGAGGAGAGCAAAAACCCCGGAATGTAGTAAGTGAAGTATGAACAAACGGAAAATAAAATAAAGGCGCAGAATTGGCGTCCGCTGGAATGCGCAATCGGGGGGTTTTAAACATTCTCCCAGCCATGTGCTTTTTGACAGTTAGTCGGGGGCTGGGGATTGGGAGCTCCGGTGGGGCGCGGGTTGCGGGTACTTGCGTACGAGCGTTGACGGTAGAGGGCCGGGCGGTACCTGGTACCTGCTCTCCGCCCAACCAACGCAAGATTAATGGGGCATTTGGTTGACCGTGTCAGGCAGGATTTAATTCCCTGGCTTGGTTTCAATTTGATGATCATGTCATGTCGTAGGATAGGATTAATTTATTGCGGATACCTATAGAGCAGTACATAGGCCCCTAATAATCTAGTAACAGATAGTGCAGACGCACTCGCTGCGATCGCATTATCGAGAAATAAAATGAAAGGGCTCTGATTAACCCAGAATCTTCAAGCCACCCTTCGTCTTGCCAGACTTCTTAATCCCGTCGTGCTTGGTCTTGCCCGACTGTCCACCACGCCCACCACCACCGCCTCCCTTCTTGCCACCCTTAGTGTTCGACGTCGGCTTGACTTCGGTGGTCGCGCGGCGCAGGAGAACCGGGTGAGACCCGATGTATTTACCCTGCATCTCACGCGCAGCCTTGAAGTAGTCGTCGCCATCACTGAAGCTCACAAATCCATACCCTTTGCTCTTCTGCGTGCGCTTCTCACGGATGACGCGCGCTTTCTGGACGGAGGTGTACCGCGCGAACGCCTTCAGTAACGACTCATCGGTGACTTCGCCTGCGAGATTCCCCACGAACAGACGGAAATGCGCTGGGTCCCATTCTAGCAGCGTCGGGTCGTTCCACGATTGACCGCCGCCGGTCCGAGGGACGGTCTTCTGCGACTCTGGCTGAGGGAGAGGTGTGCCTGCGCCAGTTCCGCTGGAGGGTGTTGCGCCCGTGCTAGCAGCGGACTGGACTCGGGCGGCGCCTCTGCTCGCGGAGTCGTCACTGGGATTGGCATAGGCGCTCTGCCATTGGGCGATCTGGGCTTCGGTCTCGGGGTCGTAGCCATTTTTTCCAGTTGGCGTGGGACCGAAGGGGTTTTGAATATGTGGGACGGTCGGGCCGTATGTGTTGTCATTGTACAGGGGTTGTGCTCCATAGTAGGAAGGCCCGCTTTGGTAGCTTTGCGGCGGTTGCGGTTGTTGATAGTAATTCCCGTAGCTCGGTGCCGGCGCCGCATACCCTGCTGAGGAAACTGGCGGAGCAGAGACCGCGGGGCTGCTGGTGCGCTGCGGCTGGCTGGAGGAGGCTACGGAGCGTGGCGCGAATGCTGTGAAGGCGCTATAGCCCGAGGGGCGCGAGGACCCGCCATGACCCGACGAGTTGGAGGATGGGGGCGGGCGCGGAGGGAGTGACGAGGGCGTCTGTTTGAGACCTGGAGGTGGCGGAAAGGACATGATGAATGGGATGCAACGAGACGGGAGGGAAATGTAGTGTGCTATTGGCAAGTAGCCGCCGCAACGTACCTTCAGGGCCTGACTGGCACCGCAGTCATCCGCCAGACGTCACCTGAGACGGTCCCGAACCCTGGAGCACGGAGTGAGTGGTTGATGGGGGTGAAGCAAGCGAGTCCTTGGGGAAGGTGATGTGATGGTTGATTGACAGAGTGAGTGAGTGATGCCCACGTCCGAATTTGTTGATGAGTCAGCCATTGTGACATAAGCACCATGACATAAGCCCCCTGCAAAGTGGTGCCCCCACCCTAGACCGCAAACGGTTAGCTCCAGCAGGGCCAGGTCGAGCAGTTTTTTTGTTGCCAGAAGAGTTCACCGATGCATGGGATGGGCCTAGAAATCCACTGGGAGGATTGGATCCAAGTTCGATCGTGACGGGGAGTAACTACACAGTTCCTAGTCCCCTCCCGCGACCCCAGCGATCGAGATCGATACACCACTGCCCCTCCATGCCCCGCCATCGTGCCGAATGCATGCAACGGAAGTAAATCGCAGGACGAAGTATGGAGGATTTACCGACAGAAAATGAGAGAATGCCCCGGAGTGCCGAGTGGGATGACCCGGACTGCTGTGCTCCTGTACCGGGTACTTAGCCTACACCGGGCCAACAGCCAGCCCACAGCGGTACCCGGTACATTCCCCCACTACATGACGGAAGAGTTGCTCCGTCAGCCGGTGACGTTCTTTTTCTTCCCCCTCCATCTTCTCCTGCTTCGTTTCCTTTTCCTTTCCATTCTCCATCCTCACTTTTACTCCCCTTTCACTCCACTCTTGCCCAATCTCCATTAATCATGGCTGATCAAGCTGTGTAAGTTGTCCATCTCTTGCCCCTCCTTCTATCGCTCTTCACTACCTGCCCCTCCAATGATCCCCCCAATCCTCCAATGGATCGCCATGCCTTTTCCGGACATCTTAGCAGGCGCTGGGAATTCTCTCGTTGGTAACCCTATCATATAGCGGCATTGATTGATCCAATGCCGCTACACGAGGGTACTGCCAACGGGAGAACCCTCCTGGAGTCTCGGCTTCGGAACGGCACGGGATTTCTTCTACCCTATTCCCTGCATTCAATTTACCCGGCTATTGACAAGAGAATTGATTCGCTGACGCTAGCGCCCGTCTCGCCGGCATCGATGTCGGCGCTCCGGCGCACCCTATACCCAGTGCGGATTTCGGCCTCATCGGTCTGGCCGTCATGGGCCAGAACCTGATCCTCAATGCTGCCGACCACGGCTTCACCGTTTGCGCCTTCAACCGCACAACCTCCAAGGTCGACCGCTTTTTGGCCAACGAGGCCAAGGGTAAGTCAATAATGTCAGCTAGGGCGCGTTCAACGACAAAGCGGCTGATGATTCTCTTCAGGCAAGTCCATCGTCGGTGCTCACTCCATCCAGGAGCTGTGCTCCAAGCTCAAGCGTCCCCGCCGCGTCATGCTGCTGGTAATGGCTGGCCAGCCCGTCGATGACTTCATCGAGGCTCTCCTGCCGTTCCTGGAGAAGGGCGACATCATCATCGACGGTGGTAACTCCCACTTCCCCGACAGCAACCGCCGCACCAAGTACCTGTCCGAGAAGGGCATCAGCTTCGTCGGCAGCGGTGTCTCGGGTGGCGAGGAAGGTGCCCGCTATGGTCCCTCCCTCATGCCCGGTGGTAACGAGGCCGCCTGGCCCCACATCAAGGACATCTTCCAGAGCATTGCGGCCAAGAGCGACGACGAGCCTTGCTGCGACTGGGTCGGTGACGAGGGTGCCGGTCACTACGTCAAGATGGTCCACAACGGTATTGAGTACGGTGACATGCAGCTGATTTGCGAGGTGAGTTTTCTTCAATTGGAGAGGCGAGATCCCTGCTAATCCCCCGATTCAGGCCTACGATATCATGAAGCGCGGCCTGGGTATGTCCTGCAAGGAGATCGGCGATGTTTTCGCCAAGTGGAACACCGGTGTTCTGGACTCCTTCCTGATTGAGATCACCCGTGATGTCCTCTACTACAACGACAACGATGGCACCCCGCTCGTAGAGAAGATTCTCGACAAGGCTGGCCAGAAGGGTACCGGCAAGTGGACCGCCATCAATGCTCTGGACCTGGGCATGCCCGTCACTCTGATCGGCGAGGCCGTCTTCGCCCGTTGTCTGTCCGCCCTCAAGGATGAGCGTGGCCGCGCCAGCAAGGTCCTCGGTGGCCCTACCCCCAACTTTACCGGCGACAAGCAGGCTTTCATCGACGACCTGGAGCAGGCCTTGTACGCCTCGAAGATCATCTCTTACGCCCAGGGCTTCATGCTCATCCAGGACGTACGTTTCTCATCGTCCACTTGTTTTCTATCTCTGACTGACCATTCTCTGTATAGGCCGCCAAGCAGTACAACTGGAAGCTGAACAAGCCCTCGATTGCCCTGATGTGGCGCGGTGGCTGCATTATCCGCTCCGTCTTCCTGAAGGACATCACCAACGCCTACCGCACCAACCCCGACCTCGAGAACCTGCTGTTCGACGAGTTCTTCACAAAGGCTATCCACAAGGCCCAGGATGGCTGGCGTAACGTGGTCAGCAAGTCCGCCCTCTGGGGTATCCCTCTGCCGGCCTTCACCACCGCTCTGAGCTTCTACGATGGCTACCGCACCAAGGACCTGCCCGCCAACCTGCTGCAGGCCCAGCGTGACTACTTCGGTGCCCACACCTTCCGCATCAAGCCCGAGTGCGCCAATGACAACTTCCCCGAGGGCAAGGACATCCACGTCAACTGGACCGGCCGTGGCGGTGATGTCTCGGCCTCGACCTATGTGGCATAAGCGGGGAAATTGTTGCAACGAGAGAAGGGTAAAGAAAAATACGAGATATTGTGATGTATTTAGATGCATGATTTGAATTGATTCCACCCCGGGGCAGTCCGGGGACGACGCAGTGTCGGTCTTTGTAGAGATGTCCATGGTATTTGTAGACCACGAATGCCTGAGGTAGTCAAGGGCGTAACGCTAAACCCGATTAGGTGCCGTGCAACTTCCCTCTCGATCACCTCGAATGTGCTTCGACCCGTCCTGGGCGCTTGACTGTCTACTATCTTCGGGCTCGTCTCTTTCTTCTCTCCTGCTCCCTATCCCCTTCCTCCTTCTCTTCCCCCCTTCCGAGGTGTCGATCCAGGCCAAGCGTCCCTGACATTGGAGTCCGTCCCTCGTATATACGGGAGAAGCTGGTGGGTACTTCCAATGTCCTGAGCTTGCTGCCCGGGACTCGATCACCGCACCGCAGACTGCAGAACGTGTCCGTGCTGCGACATTGGGCTGGTCGTGCACCACAGTCCCCGCAGAGAGGTCGGCGATGGCAGAGAATAAACGCCAGAGCGTCGGAGTGAAATCACCCACACAGGGATCCGCCAACTCATCGGCGAACGACATGGCCGCGACCATGGTGCCCTTGGAGGCTGCATTGAGCGGCGCGATCGGAGCCCGGTGAGTTTTTCTTCTTCTCCCTTTCCAACAAGTTGGTCACTGGCTAACTAACTGGCTGTGCCTGTCTGTCCCAGCGTCCGGCTCACCACCGCATCGCCCACCGTGTCTACCCTCGAAGGGACCCTCTTCACCGCGTGTCCGATCACCAACCTCGTCGCGATCAACGTCTCCCCAGCCTCCCCCGCCGCAGATGCCAAGCAAGCCCAGAGCGGCGACTACCACGTCGTCCCCGTCTCGCGCATCCAGTCTTTCCAGATTCTGTCTCTCCCCTCATCCACCTCCACCCCCTCCTCCGAGCCATCCTCCTTCACCGACGCCCAGCCCACCATCCAGGCCCTCGATCCCCGTGCCCTGAAGGCCCGCGAGGCAAAGGCCATTGGCGAGGCCCACGACCGCGAGGCCCGTCGCGGCAAGGGCGTCACCCGCGAAGCGCAGGATATCTTCGATGCTTTCAGCCGCACCATGCCTGCGCGCTGGAATGGGTCGAATATCATCGTCGCTGATGCTGTCACTATTTCCTCACCCTACCGTGTCGATGATTGCCGGCCCTTGGTGGAGGGTGATACTGCGGCGCTGGCCCGCGTGCGCAAGGTGGTGAGTCTTCCTTCTTTATTCGTTTTGTTTTACTTGCAGTCCACGTATCTAATTGGCATTATATGATTCCCAGCTTGAAATGGAGCGCAAAAAGATTGAACTCCGCAATGCGAGCGCTGCCATTGGCTCCACTGGTGCCTTCGCCCGCAACGCTGGCCCGGCCCAGAACGCCGCTGCTACCGGTGTTGTTTCGGGCGACCAGCGCAAGGGCGGATAGACTCGCGCAAGCTTGTCTGTCTGCGCAATATTCCCCAATGTGGGGAAATGGGACGCCTGAAATGGATGCGAATGGGGTTGCTGTCCCCCTTGGATATCGAGCATCACAGCATAAGTGATGGTGCCGTATTCATCCGCGGTTGATCTGAAAAATATCGTGGAACGGAACGGGACGGGAGGAGTGCAATAGGATATACGCTTGTTTGTGGCTTGAGAAAGGAATTTCGAGGCAGGAATTTCGAGGCTCCAACGGGGTATGTTCGAGAAAGAAAGCGAGGAGGGCAAGCATCATGCATGGCGGTGTGTCTATCTGTCTGTCTGTCTCTGTTTCTTTTTCTGATGGATGATGTCCTACTGGACTGCTGGCGTGCAGCTCTCTCTGTTCTGCATTATTTTCAGAGGTGTCTGTCTGTCTGGTCTCTGCGCTTGCCCGAAGACGGGGTTAGGTCGTGCACTAGGAATCACGTCATTTGCTCTGATGATCTCGATCTTTTCTCTTTTTGTGTACTGTGTAGATATGATTCATTCGTAGATGTCCGTCTTTGAGGTACTCTGGGCTCTACCGAACTCATTATCCGCGGGCAGAGCTACCTGGGGACGGTACGTATTATGCTTGGATAGAATGTAGTTTGTGGGTCCGTCATCATTCCTTGATCTGACTAGACTTGTTGCCCCATTGTATTATGTACATACACTTGCGGTAACTCAGTGCAGTCCCTATATCCAATTCAAACAAGCTATCATGCACTTCGTCCGAGAAATCCTTCACATCATTCATTCCTCACTTTCCCACCTACTCCCTCTCCACCAGGAATAACATCACACACCGTACCCACGAACCCCTCCAATCCAGACATGATGACAGTCCCCGAGGCAGATGCAGACGCCGGCGCCACAGCCGCAGAAGACGAAGACGAAGATGCCATCGAGATACCCGGCATCACTAGCACCGGCGATCCGGTTTCAACCCACTCGACGGAGGTCACCAGTGCGAACGTGATGCGGACGTCTTCGTTCAAAGATGTTGCCGACGCCGTGGCTGCGGGGCCAGTAGAGCTTGAGACGACTTTGCTGATATCTGTTGCGGAGACGCGGCGCATCGAATTGGCATTATTGTCGCTACCAGAAGCACGCTTTGTTATGTTTCCATTTCCATTTCCAGTGGTCTTATCCTGGCCCGGAGCAGTATCGCCGTCAAATCTAAAGAATTCAGGCTCAGAGGGTGAAGACTGGTCTTCTTCTTCTTCTTCATCGCCGTCTCTGTCACCATCACCTGTGCCCGCGAGGGCCATGCAGACGACGCGGACCGTTGTCCGGATATTGGAGATATAGGCTATGGCATTACCGCCCAGAAGGAGAGGCGGCGAAGTCGGGGAAGAGAATTCAGCCGCCGGGAACGTGGCAATGAAGCCCGTGTGGAAGGGCAGTGATAATGTCGGAGGCAGCGGGGTTGGAGGGAGAGAGGTGGAAGTGGTGTGGAAATCGGACAGGACCATGCCCTTGCGGATGCGGCCGATACGAGGAGCAGCGCGGCCATTATTTTCGGTAGCGGGATTGATGATTTCGATGCCGATGGTCCCGACTTGGTCCTCTATTAGTCGGTGGACGGGGAGGCGGAGGTCGCGGACGCTGACGACCCGGACACGCTGCCACTTCGCTTGGGCAGCGTCCTTGCCAGAGAGAATATTCTGTGCGAAGGACGTTGAGAAGTCACCGGATGGTGCGGGGCCGCTGCTGCGCGAGAGCTGGGGTTGTAATGCTTCTCGCCCGGATTCGGAGGACGATGTGTCGACTGGGACTGGTCCGATCACTAGTTCATCTCCGATTGAGATGCTGCCGTGGCGGACGAGGCCGCATAGGACCATGCCGCGGTTTTCTCGACTGGTGTTGTCTGTGTTTCTGGAGTAGACTTTGGATGGAGGGATGGCAAAGACTTCGTCAATGTCGAAGACGTTGGCAGAATGGTGGGGTGTTGAGGCTGGTTTGGCGATGCGAAGTGCTCTCTGTGACGACCGCGAGGGGATGGGCAGGTATCGAAGGAAAGCATGGAGCTTTCCTATCCCGGTACCATCCACAGCACTGGTCATGATGATCGGGACGACATGAGACCAGTTCCCATTGGCGGCAGCGATTGATTTCCGTGCTTCGTTGCTGTCCATGGCGCTGACGTGCTGCAAATCAAGCAGTTTATCTCCTGCAGGCGACGCGGGGAGCATTGCAGGCTTGCGGCCTGCACTTTTGAGTGCAGACAGAACCTTGGCGAGGTTGTCTCTAAGCCCGCTTCGAGAAGCGACATCCAGCTTGGTGATCACGATCAAGATAGGCGCCTCTAGTTTTAGGCAGAGCTCCAGGTACGCCAGACAAAGATCAATCTCCGCGGCTTGCTCCGTTTCACCTTCAGTATCATCCCCGCAAGTGGCCGGGATGCAAAGCATCACGTAGTGAGGGGCCCAACTGACCAAGCCGCGTAGCGTGGACTTCAGATATCGAACAGAGCCCGGAAGATCAGACACAAAGGCCAGGCGGCCCCCGCGTGAAGACGCGTGGATATCATTCCACGCGGTGACATTACCCGACGCATAATTGACCACGGCGGGCGGCTCCTCATCCGAGTATCCAACCAACTCCTGTGCGACGGAGCTGGTGATCCCCGAGGATATTTCATGGCGATGTTTGAGAAGGCTCAATCGACTCTTGCCCCTTCCATTATCCAGCAGCGATGAGGTCAGGGTGCCCAGTAGTGAGGACTTCCCAGCAGTGCTGGGCCCGGCAATGGATACTCGTATTTGCTCGGTGGCAGAACAGTCTTCTTCAGAGATGGGCTGCGGCCCCGATCCTGCCGCAGTGCTGTCGGAATTCTGGTTGGTCTGGATAGGGGATATGTTGTAGAAATCCAGATCGGGGGTCACAAGGGCCTCCGCGACCCAAAGACTGTCGGTATGATTCTTCGCCGGGTCCTCCGGCTCTGTCGGCGAGTCGTCTGCCCATTCGCACTTCCCTACAATGACTCGGCGGAGAATCTCGACCCTACAGCCGAGACTCGCGGCCATGGCTTGCAGGTTCGTCACACTCTCATCCAGCTCATCCTGGGTGAGGCCGACGAAGGTCCCATCGTCGGCAACTCCAATCTCGTACAGCGCGCCCTGGCTTTCTTCAAGCCCGGGGAGGAGGCGAGCAGGTTTGGGCGGCACACCTAACCTAGGCGTTGCTTCCGGCAGAACGGGGATGACCAGTTCAAAGGTCGTAGACGAGTGAAAGGGCGACGACTGTTGTAGCCGCCACAGCAGCTGTGTCGTTAATCCTTGTAGCCGTTGCTGCCGACTCTGGGACGACTTGGCTTGCATAGGTCTTGGGGTTGCGTCATAGCTTGGAGACGCCGAGATGGATGTCGCGAGCAGACTGGTACGGGAATGGTACGACCCCGCGACTACATTTCCAGTAGACATGGACAGATACGGCCGGCGCGGACGGAGCAGAAGGTGGAGTTTGTACTCTGTAGGGCCTTCCTGGGGCTCCGGCTCCAGTTTCGTAATCCCATAGTCCGACAATGAGTCCGGATCCGCGCTGTCCAGGATGGTGGTGGAGCGCGTACGGATCGCGAGACCGCGACTGCCGGCCGGGTTAACCTGGGGAGTCGACGCCCCCGAGGTGGACCACGGAGATGAGACCCGTGGAGGGTCGGGATCATAAGTAAAGATCGAGGCCATCGTTGGACCTCCAATTGGTTACAAAGAATGGCCTCAGAGTATGGGAGGTAATTCAGGCTAATAACAGTCGAACTTGGGATAATAAACAAGCGTGTGGGCCACGGTTCGATATTGTTATAGGAGTAGTAGGGAGTCGAGGCATTCTTGCAACCATGGGAGAATGGAAGAATCGGAGATAAGAGCGCAAGCCTGATTGAGGCTGTAGTTCGTTCGTTACAATGGTTGAGTCAGAGAGAGAGCAAGTCAGGTGAGAAGCGATGCCTGAGGCTGCAGCCACGTGCCCGAGATGACCATGGTAGTTGGGTATGTACAGTTGGGGAAAACTCATTATGTACCGGGCTGATTTCTCCCAGAGAAATCTCTATCCAGAGAAGAATGGAAATGTAAATGAAAAGGAAATGGAACGCCTCAGACAAAATCAGCCAAAACACAACCTGCTCTAGGCTACTCGGTGGAGGACTCCTGGCCCCCGCTCTTGCATTTGCCCTGCGCAACGTGGATATTGCGTGCCGTCGTGCGTGTGAACACAGCACCACAGATTGGACATTCAGCTTTGGCCACCACGCCGGACTTTTCGCGCTGGTGCCGTAGCAGGTTGCTGAAGGTCGAGAACTCACGACCGTTACAACCGTGATCCCAGCATTGCGGACGAGGGCGCGAACTAATCACTCGAACCTGATGCTCGGGCTCGGACGCGGGAGGTAGTGAGTCGGGCGACGAATAGATGGACTCGTTGGACACCAGCGAAGGCGGTTGAGAGCTAACCGGCATTGACGGGTGTGAGGATCTATTTTGTCGTTTCTGTCAGTGGGCCGTTTTACCTCGTGGAGAGAACGGAATTAACTCACGGGATTGAGGGTGCTTCGGGGAGGTAGTAGGCGGGTTGGTTTATAATATAAGGAGAGGAGCTGCGGGACAGCTTAGCCGCTTGCCTTGAATAGCGAATGGTGCAGAGGGCAGCTCGACTTACGAGGTCATCATCGGTTGCTCGCTTAAAGGGGGAGTACCCGGAGCAGATTGGCTAGACTGGGCGTGGAATGGCCGTGCCAAGGCTGGACTGCTGCGAAACGATTTAGTCTTCCTCCTTTTGGACCGCCCAGGGCCAGCGTACCTTCGCGATTGATTCTGTCGAGCTGCATAGCCGGGCGATGCGGCCAGGTACGAAGCGCCTTGCGTATCTTGAGGCGGCGGGTAGCTGTGCATTGCCCCGTTTGGGTGGCCATTATAGCCGCCAACGGAGAAGCCACTGGAAGGATAAGATTGAGGATGAGAAAATTGTTGATTCATATGCCCTGAGGGAGGTTGCAGGGGCTGAAAAGGACGGTGCGCCCACATATAGTCTGAGGTCTGTCAGTAAATGCCTTTCACCACCCGACCGAACACAGGGTGATCTTACTCTGGGGATTCGGCTGCATTGAGCCGGAGAAGTAGGGGTCTGATGCGACGGCCATCGAGTAAGTGGTTCCAAGACCGTTTCTGCGCTGATGGTTGGCACGAACCCTTTACTGACGAGATGGGTTGTTAGGGCTTGCTTACCGAGGGGATTCAACTGATGATAACTGCTGCTCACTAGCAGGAGGTACACTGTCAAGCGATGGCTGGGCAGATAAAGACGACTCTGAGCCAACGAAGGAGCTGGGTAAACTCGTGCTCGAATTCAACGAGGTCGTCGAGCTCTGCGGGTGGATTGAGGCCGGAAGTGCCCGACTTGATTCGGAGCCTCCACCTTGCACAGCAGAGACCGGCCTATTGACCGGCCACGAGGAGCCCGGAATCTGGATCCCCTGCTGAAAGACAGGTGGTGTAGAGTCAATTAACGTCGACGGATACGCGACGGCTGGTGGAGAGAGTGGGTGGTCCTTTGACAGACCCTCCCTAGGGTTCCTGTTCTGAGATGATGGATACTGTGAGCTTGACTCTCCGGGAAACATTGGGATGTCTGGACCCATAAAGGAGACCCAGGATTCGGAACAGACGGAGGAGACGATATGAGCAGGGGTGGGATCGATGATAGAAAAGAGACAGAACGAACATACAGTTCAGTTTACACCGAGAACGAGGCGCGATGGACGACACAAGGCTTTTTGTTTGTGTAAGATAACAGTCGGGCACTCTTTTTTGTTTTGGCAAAAAGGGCGCATACAATAAGCGTACAAGAAAGAAAATTCTTCACTGGGGAGATAACTAGGAAAACGCCCCGAATTAAAGGAAACGAAGGAGAGAAGAAGAACCAGTCCCCGCAATGATCTGACCCCAGTTGGGCGGCGGCCACATCAGGTTCCACTACGAGTAAAAGAGGGCAAACCAACAGCTTCGAGAACGTCGTTAACTGGTCCTTTTGCTCAAGCCGGGGCCAATCTATGACGAGTAATGGTTGCTGAAACGTCCTTTTCTCATCTATGGCGTTGCCCATCTTTCGACCCAATTGACCATATTCATGACATTCTAGTTTGACCGTCATGTACACAACGCTCTCATGATCTTCACCATGTGGGCCTTCCTGCCATGCTCGCCAGAGGCCAGGATTTATTTGATTTTATTTGTTTCGTTTTGTTTTGTTTATTGCCCCCATAAATGCCAATTGCCCGTCGAAGGTCGGTCCAGGGCCGGATTGGGAACTAAGCTAGAGGGATGCGGGAGACACTGGGGCCAGGGCGTATAATGATCCTGAGCAGCGGCCAGGGGAGCTTTCTAGGTGGGCATCCTGGCCCCATTTTGATCAATGGGGCAACCCTTTTTCTTGGGGGCCATATGACGCCTGGCGGCCTGGTATGAGTAAAGTGGCTGGCTCAATGGCCCAGAATTAGCTGGCGATTATTTGCTTTGGGAATACTGCGGTCCGGTAATGGTTTCCGGCCCATTTGCCCTGTCTTGGTCGTTTGGCCCCCACGAATACCGGGCCGTTGTTGGCTGCGTCGGGAATGAATTTGGACCATAAATATTTCCCAAACCGCCACGCGGAGATAACTATTGTACCCACAATAGTTTCGGTGCCGATCTATCTGTGTGGTTCATCGTTTAGTTAATGCGCAGGTTAAGACGGGGCTCCTAAGCCCTGTGGCATCTAGTGGGCATCTTTAAGTCTGTAGTCAACTCGGATAGCTCTCCTCTCCTGCCAAATCCAGGCTATGGTGCCAGCAACCATGGACCCAAGGTGGACTGTCAGCAGGAGAACAATTGTGCGAGTAGTCTAGCCACCACTCCCAGAGTGCTGGGGCCGGTGCCCAGGTGGTCGCGTCATGGCTTCCTTTTTGGACCAAGAATTCAAGCTCACGGAGAGTTAAGGGCCGGGTCCCGGCAGTTTGGTACCGAGAATAGCGTCTGAGCAACGGGATGCATACAATGGCATTTAGTGTAGTGAAATGCTTCTCAGTTAACTGAGCTTGGCACTAGTAAAGTGGCAAAGAAGGAATGGAGCGAGCCATGTGTATGTCGCTAATCCCTACTTAGTTTGAGGTTGAAGAGCAAAGGATGATTACGCTGTTTTGGGGTCAGCAATTTGTCATTCGTTGTAAGTCTCTTGGCACCCAACTACCGCTTTTCTCCGGCACCATCCCTGGTGTGCCATGCTTGAAGGATTCTGATCGTTTTCCAGGAACGGCGCTGGTTGGATCGACCGCCTCCTCTCTCAACAGCACGGGTTCACGCGTGCATTGTGCGAGAGCGAGAATTGCACTGGAGATACTGGAGATCCATTCCCCATTGCACCCAAGTCCGCTTCGGACAACTGTCACTTCGTCCCTCTGGTTTTGGGGGCCAATCGCGGGCTTGTCCGAGATTACCCCCCTCCCCGCCTTTGTCTCAATCCTATGTCGGAGATCAATTTTTCGGAATCGGGTTGGTCATTATTCTGCATTTCACTCGCAGCAAAAAAAAAAAAAAAAAAAAAAGGTCGAACAGCCTTGCGACAGCCTTGAACCTTCTGGGCGGCGCCCACGTGTTACTACTCTGAACTGTCCACAGAGAGTTGAGTCGGCTTGTTTTTTCGCAACGGTGCCCTGACTCGAAGAGTGGATAAACCAGTAGAGGGGCTTTTTAGCCGCGGCCCGGATTCACCGGAATAATATGTATGCACACTGGCTCGCCCACCAAAGTCCATCGAGGAGATACTGTTTCAAGTAACCCGAATAGGGGAAGCGGGTACTGTATTTAGGGTCGAGGGGTCGGTGGCATCTTGGACCTTGCCACTCTGCCCCTCCTAGCCTCGGTCGCAATCTCGCATGGCAAGGCGTTCAGATGAAGATATCATCAACAGTAACAGATCCCCGAGCGGCGTCTATTGCATACCACACCGCTAGGATGGCATGAAATGGAGAACGAATGTTATTGGGGCCCGCCATTACTCAAGAGCAGATCATTGCTACTCCGTCTACGATGCCACCAACCGCGTGATTGATAGGAGTGCCATCCCAATGAAAAACATGCCGATCCGTATCTATTGTTCTAGGCCCGATGTAACAGACGGCCCTGGGGGTTGCGGGTAACGAAGCCGGTTTGTCCGATGTCAAGATTCTAGAAATCTGACATATATACCCAAAGGAAGGGGCTATTGGACCTCTTTTTGCCTAAGGCGCCCTTGAAGCGCCCTGGCAGCGCCCGATGAGGTTGTTGAGCCTGAGACTCGATCCGGGGCTCTATTACTCCTGATGACATCAGCGTTAGCGTATTCTGTACGGTCTGTTGGGCAACCTTTGGGAAGGTTTATTAGAACCGTCCGGTTTATGCATCACACCAGTCACGGCTGCCCCGTGTGAAGATCACGGAATCCTTTCAGGATCCATCAGAGCTCCTTCTTGGCATGGTTTTTGTTGCCCTTCAAAGGATTCAGCCATGCGGCGTCCAGTCAGGTCGAAGCTAATTGGCAAACATTCTGAAAGTGCCCATCATCACCGGTACACTTTGGGGCGACCCTTTCAGGGCAACAGTTGTTTACAATGTTGCAATGTACATAAACCAGGTGTTGGTGGCTGAACGCCACCCAACAACCCTGCTGTTCCATCACTACCGGACTCAAGTTGCTAATTCTAGGGACTCACCCCTGCATTGCAGGCGCTAATAATTAGTGTCATGATTCTAAACGGTGTCTGATCCGGCAAGGGCTAACTAGTGGTCTAGGTTCATTATGTCACCTTATCGCCGTCATTCTAGTAGTCTACTATAGAATGTTCCATCTGTCGTCTCGAGCACAGTCAAGTCTAACCCTTTCTAGTTTTGCCCATCTTCCACAATCAATTGCCTACTGAGAAGGTAAATCAAGCAAATTGAAAGAAAGGCGTTCAAGGTTGAAGATGCTCATTATTGGAGGTCTCATGTTCATTAATGTTGCTTAGCCGATCTCCGAATTATAACTCTGTGACTCCAACTTAGTGTCTTCTTAAATTCGGGGCCGCGATAAGCGCTAGCTATTTACTGTAGCAGTCTGTTGGCTCTACTACTGGATAACACTGCGGCTTTTACCCGTCTATCTTTAATTATTATAGGAACCCCATGAACGTGTTTGTACAATCGTTATCGGCAGAGATCAATTAACAATAATACTTCTTGTCGGTTGGGTTTCCTGCGGGGCTATACGACTCATACGACTGCCCATTATTATTGGTCCGCCAGTCGGCCTACTAACCACTCCCCGGTCTGTGGCGGGGACTGACGTTCCGTGTACTATCTACATACTCTTCTACTTCTATCCCCATTCTACCTTCCTAGCCTATCCCCACGGCCAATAATTGCTCAATTGGTCCTTATCTAAAGGACCGGCCTCAAGTCACGGGCGATACGAAGGTCGTGACTTGTCTTTGTATAATTTTGCTCCACATATATCGAAGTAATTCTCTCGAGAGTTGAGAAAAGTACTATCGGACTTTGAATGTCCGAGTTGGTAAACAAACATAGGCGACGGTATCAGCGTAATGGTCGATATGGAGTTACCTGCGATAGCTATTACAGCCTCAATTGCTTAAATATTGTCAGTATTCTGCGTACTCCTGCTTGTGGCTAAAGTCCATATGAGCTCAAGTCACGTGACGGAATTTTGTGGTCATGTGATCTGGCGGATTCTCTGCGGTCCAGCATCATCAAAACCACACACTTTCATTGCACTCGAACTTCTCCACCCCGCCCAGCCTGTTAGCTTCTTGCTGACAACTCAATTCTCTTTTTCATCGTCAGAAAGTATTTTGGGGCTGCGACATTCCAAAAAAAAATATCCAAGATGAAGCTCGTCCGGTACGTGATTTCCCTGTCGAGCTTGCGCGACGGGCACTAGCTTCGATGCGCGCATCTCACTACACATTCTGTTCCTGCCAGAGACTAATGTTACAACCAGGTTTTTGATGAAGTGCGCCAATGAGACGGTGACGATTGAGCTGAAGAATGGTATTCCCCCATCCCGCCCCGAATCAAGCCATGATCTGTCTCTCTGACTCCGGATTTCTGAAAATAGGCACTATCCTCCACGGCACCATCACCTCCGTCTCCCCGCAAATGAACACTGCCTTGCGCACCGTCAAAATGACCCCGAAGGGCCGTGATCCCGTCTCGCTCGATACCATCAACATCCGCGGCTCAACAATCCGCTACTACATCCTGCCCGACAGCTTGCCGCTGGACACCTTGCTTGTGGATGACGCGCCCAAGCCAAAGAACAAGGCACGCAAGGAGGTAGACCGTGGCCGCGGTGGTCGCGGTGGTGGGCGCGGCGGTCCACGAGGACGCGGTCGTGGCCGTGGTCGGGGCCGCGGTTTCTAGATTCTGGGTTGCAATGCGGCGTTTTTGTTTTCTATTGTCAAATCCTTTTCTGGGGTTAGTTGTCTTCCAATCTATCTTGCATGATCATGGGATATTATTCTTCTGTTGGGGCTTCTTCCTACTTTGATGATGGGGGAAGAGCAAAAGAGCAAATCGTTTCCTTGCTGATTTGACTTGGGCGAAAGGATTAGAATCGTTAAAAACAGTGGGGCCTAAGAGATTACAATGGCTGGATTCTCAGATCCAAAGATATCGTTAGCGATATCTTCTCAACTTCAGCCGAGATGGCATCTACCTGTGTTCTCGAGAGACTTGCTTGGCCTCCAGTGATCAGCCTTCGGTGTATCGCGAAGGACAGCAGAGCCCAACTAGCAACCTGGTCAGCACTTTTGAGGAGATATTAAAAGAGAAAAGGTGCAAATGAAGCTACATATCTCAGCCATAGTGTCATAACATCATGTCAATGCTCATATATACAATTCCCACCTAGCACCATGGAGAGTAAATTACTCCTTCCAGATCCGAACAATAACCAACTTCTCCCAACCAGCCTGCATCCCACTCGATCCCGCGATTTCCGCCCGCCATCCACCTCCCCAGCCGTGAATGCGATCCATGACCTCGTCAGGCCGGTTCTGCTTGCAGAGCAATACATATGCAACGCCGCGGCTGGGCTCCAGCACCCCAGGAATAGCATCCAGCAAGCGATTCGTAGTTTCCATCCCATCAACACCACCCGCATAAGTCAGCGAGAGGAAGAACGAGTCACTCTCGAACTTCGCAGAGCGGGACGTGGACTCCGTCGCCGCAGGCTGGTTCTCCTCTGCAGATGGCAAGCGTGGGAGATCGTCTGTTGGGACATAGGGAGGGTTGAAGAGCAGGACATCCACGCAGCCCGGCCGGAGCGGGCTGCACAAGTCAGCCGTCAGCGATGAAATGTGCATAGTCCGTGATTTGGAGGTGCCGGGCTCGGATTCGGATTGCCCCGTGGATGATTGCTGGCGCTGCGCCCCTTGCACGGCGGTCACTACCGTCTCGCGCGTGGCGAGGCATGCATTCCGGTTGACGTCTGTCCCCAGAGTGAGCATGTCGCGCCGGCCAAAAATCTCGTGCGCATGTGCGGCGACGAAGCCTAGTACGACGCCGGAGCCTGTGCCCACCTCGACGACTAAAGGCGCGGTGTTGGTGGCAGTGGATGATGGGTCATGTTGGAATCGTTCATGGAGCCATTTTGATTCCGAGGCAGAGGAAAGTGTGTCTAGGAAGAGATAGGAGTCTTCCGATGGCTCGTAGATGGTGTCGAATGAGACATGTGATGTGTCGGGGGTGGGCAGCATCTTTGATTGTGGTTGTCAATGCAAGTTGGTGTTGAGGGATGTGCACCCGGAGTCAGTATATATGTCGGAGATGTTTCGCAACTTGGTGCAATCCAATGCAACTCTCTATAGCAATAGCCCATATATAATCATTTCCAGCGGTAATATTTCGTTCCTTAGTATCGTCTCAAAGCCGGGAATTTTCCCTTTAACAAAAAAAAAAAAAAAAAAAAAAAAAACAGGGCGCCTCTCTCCGCCTTCTTCCCGAGGTAAATCCAATTATGTCATTAACAACTTCACACTTCCCAAACACCTTCTCCACCACAAGAATGCGTCTCGCCCACCGCCTACTGATGGCCGCGCCGGCCTCAATCGGCTCCAAGGCCAGCCTCAGCGACGCCCTTGCCCTCCTCCCGCCGCTCCAGCTATACCGGCGCGTCCTCCGCGTGCACCGCAAACTCGATCCGGAAATGCGCGTGCTGGGCGACTCATACGTGAAAGCCGAGTTTCGCGCGCATCGGAATGTGGAGAATCCGTTGCATATTGTATGTGCTTCCCTTTTTTCTGTGGGATCAAGAGAACTGGGGACGGACAATGGCGGAAGGAAAAGCCTGTGACTGACTGACGGATGGCGACAGATCGGGTTCTTGACCGAGTGGCAGCTCTACGCGCAGAAGCTGGAAGGGGATAACTGGGCCGGGGAGAAACTGGATAAATCTAAGCTGGATAAAATGAGTGGTAGGGTTTCGGTTTCCTGAACTCCTATGACCGGGTAGCTGACGGAGCGGGCGACGCGCAGACCAGCAGCTGGGACAGCTATACGAACTCATGGAGGCGATTCGGAATAAAGACGGAGAGAATAAATGAGCTGCGGTTTGGCAAATGGAGGGCTTATGTTCGCTCTTAGCCAGTCGAGGTGGATGCAAGCCCTCATCTAGAGGGGAAGGAATACCAGATACAAGATCTGTGAACTGTCGGGTCGACAACGATCTATGACTCGTTTCCGTGAATTGGTCCTTCAAGAGGACAAGGGACTAGGACGAGGTATTTTCTTTCTGTGAGAGATGCAGGCATCTCTTATGTCTGTACCATTACTGTATATATACGTCGCTAGACATGTCTGCGGGCTCTCGAGACATTTTTATTGACTCAGGTCCAGGCCATGTAGTTTTATTTGAGAACTAGTGGCCTGACTATAATCTCGCAAACCTGACTTGACCTTCGTTTTGAGTTATTTAGAGTTGTGATCGCTCGAGTAGTGTAGGTTGAGTCCAGCTCGAGCTGCTGTACTCCTGCAACCCAAGTCAGCGATATCGGAGTGTTCTCTTGGACACAGTACAGAGACAGCACATAGTCCACAAGCCAGGACTGGTTCTATTAATCCCAAGCAATTGAACCGCATGTATATATGGTTATCACGCCCTGCCGATGACAGGCTTACTCATCCGCCTCCAACTGCCGGCATTTAACGTTCGTGAGCAACCAACTATATCATCCCGCGCAGAACTATCAATTGAACTCTTCCCACTTTTCCTCCCTCCTCAATCCCTCACTCAATCCCAGCAACACCCACCCAGGTCTTTTACCACTGTCACCATATATCCCACCTCCAAATACATCCCCCCTCCACCCCAAAATGCCCGCGCTCCTCGAAGACCCCTCCACGCGCAATGCCCCACCTCCATCGCACACCAACGCCGCAAACACACTCCTCCCACGGCACATAATGCTCCCCAAACACCCTTCCACAAAGGTAACCCTCTACCCACTCGCCAATGGCCCCTCCAGCGTTCCCCGCGATCTCATCCGCTTCCTGTACGCGGAGTTCAATGCCGAGATCGTGCGCGGCAACACGTATCCGATGGAGCAGACTATGGAGCTGGAGCAGTTTGCAGAGTATTGGTTTGGGACGTTTGCCGTTGTTGCAGTGTTGGATGATGATAATGAGAGTAATGGGTTGAGAGAAGGAAGGGACTGGGAGAGTGTTTGTTTGGGGACTTTCTATGTCAAGCCGAATTATCCAGGTCAGTTACTGTCTTCTCTTCTCTCCTATATGATATGGCATGTATATACTTACTTTACGACACTAGGCCGCTGCTCCCACATCTGCAACGCAGGCTTCATAACCACAGCCGCCGCACGTGGGAAAGGCGTCGGGCAGGCAATGGGGGAGGCGTATTTGGAGTATGCGCCGAAACTGGTTCGTCTCGTCCTGTCACCACTTCTTCGCCCTCTTCACACACCACTTAACGTCTATGCCTCTACCCACCTATCCATCTATCTATCCACCTACCCATCTGCCTATCTACCAATTCGAATACATCTAACAGAAACCCCCAGGGATACAAATACTCCGTCTTCAACCTCGTATTCGCGAACAACCCGGCCTCGATTCGAATCTGGGAGAAGCTGGGCTTCAGCGTGATCGGGCGTGTGCCCAGGGCGGCGCGGTTGGCGAATAGTGAGGAGTTGGTGGATGCGCTGATTTTTGGAAGGGAGTTAGGGGTGTAGTTTCCCGATTGGAATTGAATTGACCATGGTATAGACAGGTTTGTATGTACATAGGAATGCATGAGCTGGCGGAAAACCTATTATAGAAGAATTGAATATCCAAGTCTAGTTTCTATCATCAGCGTAGTTTGTAGATCTAAATCCTACATGGAAATAGAATATTTACATCAATAGAAGAAATAAACGGGAGGATAAAACTGATAATGACGCTAAAAGACCAGACAGACCATATCATATGTACAAATGGGGGAATCTTGCAAAACCCAACCAACCGTCAACCCATCCAAGCATCCTTGATCAAGATCCATCCCTTGGTGTCGTTTAGTAACGAAATCGGACGAAAATATTGATAATGAGAGTCAATCAAAAGAATAAGATAAGACAAGATTGAAAAAGTAAGAAGGCAAGTAAAAGATGTTACACCCTGAATGGTGGTCGTGAGTCCAGCTTCGACTTCGCAGCAGCCCGCTCCTTCTCCTTCTCTTGTTGCCGGGTTTTCGGCAGAGGTAGGAGACTGGTTCGTCGGTTGGCCGAGTGACCGAGGGACGTCCCGGGCCGGTTAGATTTGCTGGGTGTTTCGCTTGGGTCTTGGTTTTGCGAGACACTGCGGCTGAAGGATGAGCCCATCCCGCCGAAACTTTGGCGGCTGCGAGGGGGTGTTGGATAGGCCCGAGGGCCGGCGGAGTCGGCTGTATGGTGGAGGGTCAAGGATGGAGGAATTGCCGGCAGGAGCACGGGGAGAGATGTCGCGCATAGGAGCAGGGCTGCGGGAGCCCTGACGGGTCGACACGCGGCTGATTGAGCGGCTGTGTCCGGGTGCAGGTGAGGCGGAGATATCGCGGCGGAAAGGGTTGGGGAGTGGGATGGTGGATGATGGGCGAGAGTGCGCTGGGGCAGAGGACTTGCGGTAGGCGGATGGAGTGGTTGCGCTGAGCGGCTTGAAATTGTAATCCTTGTTCAGGTCATTCGTGTTCGTGCTATTGTTCCAACGCGGCCGGTTGTTCAGCGGCGACTGGGCCGACGGACGAGACGATTTGCGGGAGGCGGGTGTCGGGGTGTATGACCCTCTTGCATTCGATAGAGTTGGGGATCCGGCTCCGCTCCGTTGAGGGATGGATGACTTGCGGCTACTCAATGTGGAAGATGTCGCCTGGGGCAGTCCCGAGTAGCGTCGGATCTTTGATGAGAGGGACAGACGCCCAGTCGAGCTACCCACTGAGCTCTCGCGGCGGCTTGAGCTACCATGTGGTGTGGAGACACCCTTGTGTCCGTTGCCGGCGAGTATCACTGACGATGCAGGCGAGCTTCCAGGGGTCTCGATGGCGCTGCCCATGAGCGGGCTATCCATTGTGATAATGCTGGAGATGGAGTCACGCAGCTGCTGGCCCTTGACGATCTGCACGTCCTCCAGGGAGGTATCCATCACCCGGATACTCGCCTTCAGCGCATCTGTCCGCGATGTCATATCCGAGAGTAGACGCAAGATCTCGCCATTGACGGTCAGGCGGTCTTTCACACCCTTTTGAATGATCCCAACCACCCGTTCGATGGCTGGTACGTAGTGCTGTTTCTTCGCCTCGTAGTTCTCCATGCGCTTGGTCAATGTTGATGGACTATGCAGTTGGAGACCGGTCTCTATGCCTTCTTGCAATTTGCCAATGCTGCGCTCGACCGATTCAAACATCTTCTGTGCCTGGCTGCCGGCATTGCGAAATACCAAGATCCACTTGTCCTCACCCAGTTCTTTCCGCAGAGACTCTGCATCCGCCTCAAGCACTTTATAGCTCTTCTCTAAGTGGCTTCGTCGGTCCTCCAGCTCCTCACACGCGCTTGGGAAGATCGAATCGGCACGGGACTGAAACATGGACAGTCGCATAGGCAAGAAGTCCAACGACGCTCGAAGAGGCTGCATGCGTGCAAAGATGGCCATGAGGTTGGAGTGGCTGGAGTCATCCTGCGGAGTTTTGATGACGGGTGTGCCGGATGCTCCGGCCAGCATGGGACCGATACTCAGCCGGTTGTTCAAAGGTGAGCGCCCCTTGACCGGGGACTCTTCGACAATGGTTTCGAGCTCGTTGATGTCAAGGCCTCCGTTCGAGTCAGCTGGATCGTTCAACGTCTCGTGTCGCTTCTCCTCCATCTCGAAGATCAGCCCGCTGAGGTTCTCGATTTCCATGCCCACATCGCCCAACACGTTCGACCATAGTTCCTCCCACTCCATTGCCAATTCCACCTGATCCTTGACACCCTGGAGCTTGACTTTAATTTGGGACCAGTTTTGTAGGATGCTTTCCATCTGGCCAACAATAGCCTGCAGATTTTCTGTATCGACGGTGGCAATATCTTCTCGGAGTTGCACATTTTCAATCGCCGCCACGTAGACGTTGACCAGGGACTCGAATCGAGTGACGGCTTTGTCGACACTTTCCAGTCCCTCTCGGCCACCAGCAGCTGCCCACTCCACATCGTCCTCAGCGTCCAAGCCATTGAGCACATCAGATGCCTTCTTAACCCAGATCGTGATCTGCTCCGCGGCTCCATTTAGGGCCCGCACGGCAGCCAAAGCCGTGGAAATACTGGCGATGTTTGCCTCGAGCGAAGATGGTTGCGGGAGGGGGATGGACGTCAGTTGAGAGAGCTGATTGCTGAACGAGGCGCGGGAAAAGGAGTATATGGATTCGGTGCGCTGTAGGCCTCGCGGGTTGAATTGTGAGGAGGAGGAGAGCGAATAGGTTCGGGGAGAGTCTTTCGACGGGGGTATAGGGGCGGCGCCCTCTTCTTTGCGCGCCGTGTCTTCGACATATTTCTCGAAGTCTGTCTTATCTTGGCCGGTTCCACTGGACTGGGGTTCTGCTGTGTCTGGGTCAGCGCGCAGCTGCGCCGGAGCTGGCTCTGCAACAGACATGGAGGTGGAAGAGGGGGGTAGGTAGGAACACTCCGTGTGAGCGGTCGTCGGGTCTGACAATGCAGAGCCGTCCACAGCCACGTCGGTATGGTCGAGACCTGGCCCGGGATCGGAGCGAGAGAAGTCGCGTTGTTGAGAAGTCTTCGACGCGTTTTGGATCTGTTCGGGCGAGGTCGATGTGAGTGTCAAGCCAGCCCAGGCTTGGCCTTTCCTCTCGACCCTGATCGACAGGTCCTGGTGGAGACTGTCCAACTCCTTCAGATGAGCCTCAGGGATGCGGCCGACCGTGCTCGCGTTGCGGGAAGCAGACGCCTTGTTGCCGCCGTCGAGCAGCTTCACCCGGGCGGCGAGCGCGGGGGACAGGCGACGGAGGATAGACGGACGAAGCAGGGACTTGTCTTCTTCGGGGGCGAGGTCGTCTTCGCGGGAGGTGGTGGTGGTGCTGCTTGCCAGACTCCACAAAGATGATTTGGACTTTAGGCGACGGAGGGGGCTGTGGTCATTTGGGGCGACGGGGGGAGGGGGAGGCGAGAAACGCGTGGGAAGGATGCGTGTCGGTCGCAGTAGAAGGCCCGTCGTCGGCGTGCATGGATGTCGGAGGGGGAGGTGAAAGGGAAAGAAGGGACGAAAGGATCAGGAAGGGATGGACAAGGAATGTTTCGGGTCGGTACGGTGGCCCCTTCTGACGGTCGGACTGGTTACATGGAAGGTTGAGAGAAATAGAGAGAGAAAAGGAAAGGACGAAAAAGAGGGAAATATTAGAGAAGAATCCGTTCAAGACAGAATGAAAGACAATAGCAGTAACGCCATGGATGAAAGCCCGCAGCGCAAGGAGGCCAGTGACTGCAGAAGCCATAGTTCAGGGAGTTACTAATTTAGTTACCGTACGGCCCAACGTGTCAGGCTAGGCAGGTAAGATCGGCCGCCGATCTATGAAATCATCCCCGAGGGGCAGTGAGGGATCCGGAGGAATACTACTGATTATTGGAGTCAGTGAAGTATACAGATGATTATTATGACGATAGTTAGTTCCGTGGTAATTAGGGTAGTCGTTCCATGGGAATAATCCGTAAACAATCACTATACATCTATGCAGCAGATTCCCAACACAACCAAAACAAGAAACAACGGAGACAATATGTATGTACAAAGGGGGGTATACAAAGACCAATGCAAAACAACCACAAAGTTATGTGTTAAATCAGGCCCGCGCTGGGTGGCCGACCCGGGTTGGCCGCCTGCCAGTCGCGCACCAATTCCTCGCGCACCGTCCGACACCACGACAGCAGCGCGGCATCGAACTGTTTCCACGACTGCGCGCTGCTGCCCTGCACCACCCCCATCACATCCATCTCCAGTCGCAGCTCCCACCGCAGCTCCGCCGCTTTCACCCAGAACCGCAGATTCTCGGCCTGCCGGTACGGCTTGGCGATATCCTGGTGAAAGGCCTTGATCTCACCGAATGGGCGTTTGGACTTTTGTACGGAGAGGTTGTGCGTCTGTACGAGAGCCCGGCCGTCCCGGATGTGGGCTAGGAATGGAGGAGGGAGAGGCTTGGAGTCATCGCCAGGCTGATCGTCCTCCACCGGTGTCCATTTCGGCAGGGACTCGCCGCCAGGCATGATGCTGCGCAGGAAGGACTCTTCGCGTGCACGCTCGCGTCCGGTCCAGTCGCCGCTGGCCCAGTCCCAGCTTTGACGCTCCTGGGCCTCGAGGTCTTCGAGCGCCTGCTCGCGGGTCAGCATCGCCCGGACACCGGAGATCCATCCGGTAATGGTAGTGCGCTCCTCGTCGCGGAGGCCATTGGCAAAGGAGCGCGAGGCCCATTTCTTGAGCACGTCCAGCACATGGAAGAGGTCTTTGCGGATCTCTCGCTCGCTCTTGATCGACGCCAGACGATCCGGCCGTTCGTGGGCTGTGTAGTAGATCTTGGCCGCCCGGATGGCCATCGTCACGTCGTCGAGGATGAACATCCCCAGGGCCTCTTCCTTGGTGGATGGAGTCGGGGCTTCGGTCTGGACGTCGTCTGGGATATCACCCGGTGACAGGCTGGATCGGGTGGGTTCAAACGGGAGTTCGAGACCGTCTGCAATCGCCTTGATGCTGCGCTCTGCCTTGGCCAGCGCGGCGGAGAGATCCCGGCGGAGGGACAGCTGGTCTGGTGGGGGCGGGATGTGGTGGGTTTTGATGCTGTACGTGCTTACGGTAGGCGGGAGCATGACCTCGGCGTCCTCGTCCTCGTCATCGAACGCCGCGTCCTGCTCTGCAGGATCCGCCATTTCCATGGGACTGGCGGTTAGACCGTCATCGATATGCCGTTCATTCGGGGTGATGAGCAATCGAGGTACGTTTTCCCGGTTCTTATTTTTCTTCTGGAACTCCTTGCCGCGCCCAGTCTTGCCATCCAGCAAACCCGTACGAGCAAAATAATACTGCAGATGGGCGATGCTCCCCAGACTCATGACGCTGTCTCGATTGCGGGCGGAGTCGGCAAAGTCGGCGCCCACAGCGCGGATGTACCCATGGCGGCGTGAGGAGGTGGACACGGACGACCTGGCGTCGACGGAGGTGGCGGAGGAGGTCGAGCGAGAGGAGACGGAGGAGAAGGTGCGGTCTGGCGAGGAATAGGAGGAGATGGCGGGCGTAGCCGGGATGTCAGGCGAAGGCGACGAGGCCCGGACTGGAGGGGAGAGTGCGTCGGCGAGCACGGTGGGCTCGGCCATGCTGCAGCGAGTGTTGGTTCGGACACTGGAATGTTGGAATGTGTGTCGTGGTTGACGTGGGGGGATGTCTGGGGAAAGAATGGATAATATGGAACAAGTGGTCACAGGCGAGTCCAGCCCTCGGTCGCACGGCCAACGGAATTAAGTAGGATGAAAGAAACGTTTTGATGCAAGATCGCCGGGCGAGACGCTGCTTTGGGCTAAATAGGGGGTTGCCGAACGGGGCTAATGGGGCGGGTCGCGGGCAATGCGCGTCAGGGTGATGAGAGTGTTGTGCGCGGTGGTGCTGGGGGGTTCCAGACCCCAGATGGTGGCCACTGGGTGTCCGGTCAGGGTTAGGGTACGGACTGGGGAAGTACACAGGGTTGGTATACATCTCGAGGCACTGGAGTTGTCTGTTGGTGAATTGCCTGTCTGGGCTTAGCGTGCCCGCGTCCCTTGCTTTCGAGCCCTGACTGATGGACTATACTGTACAACAACAAGATGAAAACAACAACAAAAGAGAGGAGACTAATTCATAACATCACTTTTCATAATCAAAACACTTCTTTTCGCTCCCACCCCGTCGACTTCAGATTCTCAATCCCCTTAGTCGGATGCGGCTTGGTCGGATCGTGATACTCTGCCTGGTACGGGTTCGGGTCGACCGCCTGGTCAAGGTTACCAAGCGTATGGTTGACCTCGCGGTGCTTAGCCTCATCCGCCCGGATGTACATGAGCAGGTCACGCATCTTGCGCTGGTGCTCCGGCATCTCCCAGTACTTGACAGCGATCGCAGGGGCCTCCAGCTCGCTCCATTCCGGCAGCTTGCCATCCTCGAGCTCCTGGATCGCGCGTGTGTAGGTGAGCACGGCCTCCTCTTCCAGATACCCCACGAATCGGTGGCAGATCCGCGGCGAGATGAGGTAGGAGATGAAGAAGCCATTGAAGAAGACGCCCTGTGCGCCGAGCACCATGAGGCGCATGAACCAGCCGGGCTCGGCGAGCTTGAGGAAGGTGAGGAGGTGCATGCGCTCGTTGAATGCTTCTTCGAGTAATGTTTCGATCCTGTTGCAACAGAGCCAGTCAGTCTGGTGGTGTTTGCGTCGTAGGCCCGTGTGGCACGTACCATCCGTTATCTCTCTTCATCCGCCGCAGACTCCGCAGGTGTCGCAGCATGCCGCCCACCATGCCCGGGACACCAGCAACGCTCTCTAAGAAGATGAAGCGCGCCAGCCATTTCTTCTCCGTCATCTTGAACCGGGCCGGTGTCTCTTGGCCGGGCTCTGGGTGCTTGTATCCCGTCACCAGGTCCATGCCCCAGCGGAAGAAGCGCACCGCACCCAGGGCCGTCCAGTCAGACCAATTGGACGCTTCTCGATGTGCAACCTGAATATTCCGCATCTGGGCCTCGGTGTATCTAAAACGGTCTTTAGTATCATTGAGCGGATAAGAAACATGCAATCAGACGTACACTGGATGAGTCCACAAACTAGTTACTCCCTTGACCGTGGACGTTTCTGGGGGCGGGAAGTAATCCTTGATATGATGTTGTGGGGTGGAAGAGATGAGGCGTTTGGAGGAAGGGGTCAATGGCCCAGAGCGTCTGCTTGTGTGGTGGCATGGGCTGTTGAAGGTCATCACGGCGACACCGGAGTAGGTGCGCATGGCGAGATGGAGGTAGGCGCGTGGCGCTGCTGCCCGCAAGGGCGCAGTGGTTGACAGTGCATTCATGGTGTTGTGCTGGTGGTAGTGGTAGTATTTTATCGAGTGTTGACAACAGACAGAAGATGATGCTCAATCCCCGTCACTGGGTTTTATATATTTGGCATGCCGAAAACTCCTCCTGTGCCTGACTCGGTTGATCCGTGGCATGCCCGTGTTTCTCCCAGTTCATACATACTTCGCTCAGGTACATCCATACTAGCCCTTACCCCCAGCCCGCTGACGATCGCCGACGGGCCCACCCATCAACGACGCATCTGGCACTTGGCCAGGTTAGGGACTTCCTCATTCACTCTCATCGAAGAAGAAACAAACTTCTACCCCTTCCCATTATCTCTGCATCGCGCGTGTTCCTCTTCATTCGTGTTGAGTCTGTCACCACAATACACCTAGTCTGGGCAGGTGACCATCGGGAGGAATCGGGCTGACTCAGCCTCCAGCCCTGCCGGCCCCGTTTACGAGGTTTTACGAGCCCTACTGATTGCGGTCACCGATTGATCGGGATGCCTGACGTCCTTGTTTCTCGGGCTCTTGCTCACCGATGGAAAAGATCGGGATGACGTGGTGGTCCCGGTTCTCACCGACTGAGATCGATCTTGCAACTACTGAAGCCCATCTGATGGCCTTTAGCAATGGCACAGGCCCCAGGGTCCTTGGCTTCTCCTAGTCGAATGATTTAAGGCGGGATGTATTCATTAGACAATCTAGCAATGAACAAGACATCAACATTTCTCATTTATTGCTGGCGATATTACGCAATGGATCATTTTATCGACCCTTCTTCCACAGAAAAACAGATGAGATACCTCCGAGCGCAGCAACACCAGCCAGGAGTTCCCAAACAACGCGGAATGCCACCGCCGTGGCCGCCTTGATAGTCTCTCTCTGACCAGGATCCATCTGCACATCATTCATCAAGATGAGATATCCATGCGCCGTATTAATGAGATCCCGCTGCAAGCCAATATTGTCCAGCTCCGTGGCAAGGAAAGTCAAAAACACAACGCCCCCGACTGGCACAGCGGTAGCCATACCCCAACCCCTTATAAGCAGCGCCATTGTCGTTGGCTTCGTCGGCCAAGAAGCGGCCTCGTCCTTGGGTGCATTCCAGATGCGAATGTTATAGCTCGCGAGAAGGAGTCCGTGGCCCAGACCCGCGGAGAAAAATAAAAACACCCAGCCTACCGTCGGTGTGGTACTGTTGAGCAGAATCGCGCAGCCCGCTGCAAGCAGGGTGAGCATCCAGCCACTAGAGATGATCCAGTGCAGAAACCGCATCTCGTGAGCGAGGATTATGCCCACTACCGCGGCGGGTGCCATTGCCAGGCCGGTGATGGCCAGCAGAGTGATGCCAGAGACGGTGGGGGTGAGATACTTTGTAGACATGAAATAAAGTGCGAAGTATTGCAGCTGGCAGAAGACCTTGGCGAGCATCAGCTTGACTGGCACCGACTCGAAGCAAATTTCGAGGCAGACTTACCAAAAAGCCATGCAGGAAGCATCCTACATATGTCATGACCACCGCACAGGACCGGAATACCCGTCTGCAGAATAGCGGGTGCAACGCCCAGAAGGTCTCATAAAACGCCAGCGCCACGAACCCAGCAAAGCCAACAGCAATCGGTGCGAGGGTCTCCCACTGCACCCAGCGGAAGTAGACACCTCCCCAGCTAAGCCCGAGGATAATCCCACCGGCACCCATAAGAACCATAGTGGCGCCAGACCAATCGAGGATGCGCAGTTTCCGAAGCGGGATATTCTTCGAGAAACGCAGATCCACGGCGAAGGGGATAGCGAGCATGCCCAGCGCACAGAAAATAAAATTGAAATAAAACGCCCAGGTCCAATGCGCGTTATCGACAAACAAGCCGCCGACAATCGGGCCCAGAATGGCGCCCAGCATGCGGGTTAGCAGGATGTAGCTCGAGTAGCGGGCCTGAATGGGCTCGGGCGATGATTCGGCCATCACCACGAAACACAGGCTCGTCGACCCGCCGGCACCGAACCCTTGCACAAGCCGGCCTACGATCAGCTCTGGCAGAGTCATCGACCCACTGCAGATGCCTGTGCCAATAGTTGCAAACACCACGGCGATGATCCAGAGGGGGCCATGGCTGAATACCTCGCACAGCATCGGGAAGAAAAGCTGGCTGGCGGCGTTGAGGGCGAGATAGGCTGTATTGACCCAGAGGGTTGTGACTAGGGGTACTTGGAACGCATTTGCCAGATGCTATTGTTTGCAACCAACCTAATCAGCCCTCTCTTCCTAGGCAGTGAAGAATAAAGAATACTTTCACATCACTTACCGGCAAGACAGGAATCATAACCGTCGCGTCAAACGCATCCATCATCGCCAGGATAATAATACAAATGAACACCAACCGGTCCCGGATCCCGGGCTGCCATCTTCGATCATCGGGTCCTTGTTCGCTCTCGAAAAGCTGTATGGTGCTTCCTATCGCAGGATGTACTTTGGTTTCTTCATCTTCGACGCTGTGCACGCTCGCTCGCGCGTCGAAGTTGACTCTGGTGTCATGGTCGATGAAGTCTCTGGAGATGACGCGATGCCCCATTTGACGAGGGGGGTACTGGCTGCCCACTCTTTCCAAGTTGTGTCTAGATGTAGGGGTTCACGCTGTGTGTTGTTGACTTTGGGCTTCGGATATATATCTGGAGCTGGTTGTGTCGAGCAAAGCAGGGTCGAATTGAATAAAATAATTTGTGAAACGGCAACAACATCACCAGATAACAAAGTCTTCTTGAAAAATGCGGTACATTTGACAGCTCATACATTAAAAAGGGAGGGATGGGAGGACTGGTTAGACGACTATGAACCCAGTGGATTCCACAGATCAAGGGATATCCAGATCCCGAGTACATAGCTCCACAGCTAACCGCTCTCCTACATCAGATGAGAGAAACACGCTGCTTCCATTCTGGGGATTATGGTGGACGGATCATTGAGCGTTACGTTGTTGTTGGAGAGAATATGTCTGGATCACATTCCAGTCTCCCTCCCTGGATCCGTGTGGCATTCCGCTCAACATGCAAAGAATTTGCTGTTCGTATTTCTCTAATCATGGGCTGACTCGATGAAACAGTAGCCGGGAATTAGGTTAAGAGCATTTCAGAATAATGGGTTGCAGTGCTAGAAGAGTTGAGTTGTAGGCCCCAGGACCCGAATAACCCCAAATTCTTGTGGAACAGTAGCAACCAACCAAGAAAGTAAGTCGAGTTTCATCACTCAGTTCCTCTTTGATAGCACGTAGGTTTCAACAAGACTATGTTTCATTTGTTCAATTTGTACATGCCCTGCTCACTTGCGCAAAGCAATGTGCTACCCAAGCTGTCTGTCCAATATGTACACTAGTCAAGCACATGTCCAATGCAATCCTCCCAAAAAGAATATGTACAAAACCAAAAGACCTACCTATTCCATCTTGTCTCGATCAGCAGACGAAGATGGGATCTCATTGATATTGACCCGCGAAGTCACCCTCGACGGCGCCCGAGATGTCATTCTCGAATCCGCTGTACTAAGAGCATGGAAGGAGAAGTCCAGCTCTCCGACCAAGCCCTTGACAAGTCTGTATGACGAATATGTAAGCCAACGCGTGCTCCACACAAATAGAGGGTAATCCATACTTCATCAGACGTTCCACGTCGCCGACAATACATCTCGTGGAAATCTGCAGAACCGCAAACGCTGCGAATCCTGGCTCGGCGATGTGCCTGATGCTCAGAATGTCCTTGTCGAGAGCCTCCAGGCGCTTGGAGAAGCTGTACGGCCGCGGGGCTTTCAGATACGGCGGTAGAGGCTGTCTGTTCGTGATGCTGGCAGAGAGAAGACACAACAGGGACGTGACCTCGTGTGTGGTGACTTTGGCACTGCCGACCAGCTGCCGGAAATGGTACATCCATGCCGTGTCCGTGGCCTCGTCGTCGCCCAGGTTCATCAGTGTGTCGGATGCATAGCCGAGTAAACTCAGGTAGCTCACGATGCTGCAGCAGACGAAATTAGTACGCAACAACGCCAGGCTATAAAGGGGGGAAACGAACTTTTCCACGCAGACAATAATCGAATCGTACTGTTTCTTGGGAAACTTGCCACCGATTGGAACCTCCCATCGCAGAAACTCGGAGTACGTTCGTAATCCATTCAGCATCAACATCTGTTTGGAGAACACTTTGTGGCGGGCTTTCTCGAGCTTGCGAGACGTCTTACTGGTGGTGCCCCACTCATCGCCACGCATGCGTGCAGACACCGTTTCGTGAATGATCGAGTAGTGGTTCGCCAGCAGATACAGAGAGGCTCCGAGGTTTTGGCGAAGCACCGAGTGTTCTGAAATTGGATAGGGGAAAAAGGTCCAAATGAACGCAACGGCAATACCTCCAGAGGTGGCTGCTAACCGGTAAGGCGCGAGGAGATAGATAGGATAATATGGCTGGCCGTTGGAGGTGGCAATCTTCTCCCCGACCTTGCGAACCTGCAGCTCGTAGCCGATGATCATTGTCGTGGTCACGATGCTGATGATTCCAATCACGCGAAAGCGGAACATCTTGATGGGAACATAAAACCCGCATGAGACAAAAATGAATAAGAAGATAATTATACCTGGCGTCTTTTCGTTAGGGATATACCAGACCAAGAGACTTGCCACCATCGCGATCGTTGTGCCAGCAATTCTTAGCACGAAGCTGAAGATGCTCTGGCCAGATGTCGGGGACATGCTGAGGTTGACCATGATCATGGCCCACACCAGTCGCTGCTTGATGAAAAAGGTCTGCGTGTCGTGCAGTAAGGCAATAACGGCGATGGTCATCGTGGCACAGGCGACTCGGAAGCCGTATGAGGACTCGTTTGACCGCAGAAACCACGGAACTTTACGAACCCTGTCTCCAATCTTTTGGAACAAGGTTTCGGGTGGGAGGTGTTCAGGGTCTTTGCGATGTTTATAGGCTTCGCCTAGCTCAAGAATTTTGTTCTGCGCGTCAATATCGCCCATGGTGTCGTCTTCATGGTGTGTGTCCTCCGCCGTCAGCATACTTTTGACCCACTTCCACAGCCGCGGCGCTCCAGGGATGATAAGCCGGGTCCTGGACAGCTTTCCCTTGGCAGCGACGTGATCAGCATATCGGACGAAGTCAAGGACGGTTTGCCCTGTCGAATAAAGCAATTGATCCATCTGGGGCTTAATGTTAGCGTCTTTTCCCTTGAAATGTTGAGCGCGGTACACACGTATAATATTAGATAAAGCTGTCGCCGACTTCGATCCCTTTGGGATGAAGATTCGGCGAGAAAGTCGCTCTCCAAGATCTCCATTGACTGTGGGTGATCAAAGAAATCCGGCGGCAGTGTAATTCCCTTTTCTTCAGCCCATGCTTGCAGCGCAATCCGCTTTGCACAGCGGAACTCGCCCAGTTTCTTCTCAAAATGAGGCGTAAATTCTTTTTCTCCAGGAGCAGTGTTCTCTACCGGGGCTTCCACGTCCTTGTTCTCTTCAGCGGGGTTGTCATTGCTTGTAGGATAAGCAGCAGCGGACTTCTTGGGCGGCTTCGTCAATCTGAAAACATACGAAGTATGAAGCAAGCCCTCGTCGATCGTCTGGATCATATCTGCGAATGGATCGTGCACCGCCCGCATGATATCGTTCCATTCTCGCACGACGCGCTCGCGCACCTCATCCGGGAGAGTTTCGGCGTTGGGATCGAGAGGCTCGTTCCATCTGTTGTACTCTGATAGTCGCTGGAAAATATCGACCACAAAGCTCAGGCCAACCACAGGGATCATAATTTGCCGGAGGTGACGAAAGACCGTTTTGAGATCGGTAGGGCCCAGTTTCCCCAACGCGAATTCTCGCTTTGCAAATGTCAAATCACCGTGGAGCTTGGCATGGAGACCTGTAATTTGACGGATCGAAGAGCGGATGGCCTCAGCTTCGGGACTATAGATCTTTCCCTTCTCCCCGAATTTCTCACGGGTATCATCGAATGTATCGGTGCGACCAAACATGTCGCTTCTTTCCAGCGTCTCGAAGTAGACGACATGAGCCCCCAATGCAGACCGCAACCCGTTTATATAGCCGCTCATCTCATTGAAGACAGCCTTTCGCGACGTCATGGGAAGAATAAAGAGCGATACGGCGGTTGAGATGCCAAGACCAGTCAGAAATGCCTCCAGAAGTCGCTTCACCAGGCTGATTGCAGAGGTCATATTTTCGATCTGTGGCGCATAGATCGACGAGACATTGGCAAAGATTGAGTAAATTACCACAGGAAACTGGAATTGCGGGTACTTGGCGCGGAAAGTATGAACCAACCAGATCTGAAAGAACAAAAAGACTCCGCTGACGGCAGAGGACGACGAATTATACGTCTGACTGGATGGATTGGTCGCCGAGCGGGTGGTAAAAATACTAGGGGTTGTGTTGTAGCGTGCCTGAACGCTTGAGTACATCGTTAAGAGGGCAAATGACGCCGCCAGGCAGACGGCCAAAACATCGAAGATGATCATCTGGAGGAACTTGGCCCGAGGCTGAATGGCGAAGCCCAGGATCGAGACCACGGCCGTCAGATAGCCCAAAGTCGTATACTGGTCCGCCACATCGGTGGCTTGATATCTGCGTCATGTTCAGTAGAGACTCAGGGCATTATTCCTCACACATTGGGCCGACTTACATGGACACCGCGATCGTCGGTGGAATGCCGCCCCTGCAGCACCCATTCGTTAGTTTATCGTGCATAGAGTTTACTCCAATAATCCCCAACTCACTTCATCATTAGCAGAATAGTTGGCTGGTCCAGGCCGGAGTTCTTCCAGATGTTCTTCACCCGACTCGCAAAGGTCTGTTTCTCCTTGCGCGAGTCCTCGTCCTCACCCTGCTGCGACTGCGACTGGCGCAGGGAGGCCGACCGGTGCGAGCTGACACGGGAAGCCATTTTTGCTTTTGTCTAGTCGGGGGCGCACCGCAGTCGATGCGCCCAATAATCGTCTCAGTTTGTGGTCCAACACGAGGTTGTATTGCCCGAGGCGCGGCAACCAAAACTACCGGGCACGTGACACTCCACAAAGTAGGTCCCCGCAAGCAGTGGTCAAGTAAGACAGGATGTATACATGCAACTATAGAGAATTCGGTAGTTTGTTTCAATTTTTCCGATCGTCAGATTTCAATACCAAATCTGGAGATCAGAGCAAGACCGCTTACTGCAGTAAATCCAACAACCGGTGTAAGTCCAACGCGATCCGATATGCTAAATGGAACTATACTCAGCTCGTGTGGAGGAGTATTTTGGCTAATAGGGCGCAGATACCACGTTGATGTAACACCCAGCCATATTATAACCCACAGGTGGCCAACAGCTCGTTTCCATCTTGGAACAATATGACCCTCAGATCCTGTCATCCGTTTGTAAAGTTCTTGAATACCATCTTCGATCATGATCCCCAGTGTGAAACTTGTGAAAAAGGGCAATGCGCCGGAGTACCGCGTAGGCATGCCCACAACAGCATCTAGCAAAACATGTAATAGACCTGATTGAAGGAACACAAGGCAAATATTCGTGTATCGTTCCAGTACTGATGGCCTAGGAAGATGCATTATGTCGCGGGCGATCCAGTTGCTGATTGCTGTAAACGGCTGCCGTAGCAGCTGATGCCAAAAAGTCCTGCCAAAGCCGTCAGTGAATGGTCACTCGAATTCCCAGAATTCTGAATCAAAGGAAAGATAAAGAAAGCAGAAGGATATCTTACCCCCAGAACTGTCGTAACGTATAAGCATCGGCTATTCTCCCAAACAATGGCGGCCAGTCTAGGGGAGAATTCATCCCTAGTCCGACGGTAACGATCGAGACCAAACGATAACGAGAATCGATGAATACCCGGGAAATCAGAAACCAAGAAATAGAATGCATTATACAACGCTCAATCCATTCACCAAGGGGCACATTCCACTCGGGTTCTGTGAACACTACAGCCGTTGGTCCTGATGCCCGTTGGCGACCGACGAACTGGATGATATCGCATACAGCGTACTGCCAGGTTAGAATAGCCAGCTGTCGTAGCAAAAAAGCACATCGGGGAACGAGAGTGATGCCCGCTTTCTTTGTATAGCGATAGTATGCTGGGTACGAGGGAATGCCCTTCACCTGTCGAGGAGTTCCCACACCCCGATTTTGGCATAGCAGCTCGAAGGAGTAGCACATACGCCCAGTGAAAGTTTTCGTACGTCCAGGTTCCTCGCGGGCGAGGTCATCCGCATCAAGAGGGTTGATCAGCAGGAGATTCGCGGCTTGAGGGATATTTAGGAACGTTTGTCCCGTGATAAACGTGGACAATCCACAGAATCGATTCATTTGGCGCACATTTTGGCTTGCGATCCACACCATGCATAGAATTGCGAGATACCGAATAATCGATTGCTTCTGTGTCGTGGCGAGAAGTATCGTTGGAATCAAGCTCTGCAACACGGTGCTACCGCCAGCAAAACGTAGGTCCGTAAGGAAGGACATGTCGGCGCGAGGACCTATCAAGGAGCGCGATCATTCACAATGATCTTGAAATGATGATAGTGAACATGGGGCAAAAAGGAGTTCAGGATTTTATTATTACATGTTTTCGTTAGCACAAGGGGGATGTACCCCTTCGTTGGCGGACCGAATGATTCCGTAGGTATAACATTAAAGCTGGCTCCGTAAATTACAATAACCATCCGATGTGGTGTAGTGGTAACATCACCGTCTCTCACACGGTAGCCCGGGGTTCAATTCCCCGCATCGGAAAATGTTCAAATTTTTTTTTGTTCAGTGATGATATTAAATAATAATGAACCAAATTTTTAGGAAAATCCTAATTAACCTTTGTCACATTCCCCGTTCCTGTCACATTACATTCCCCATTTCTGGCCGTACCCTGGAATTTCTAATTCCTATATTTTGTCCTGCTGTAAATCTTCTTCGAGAGTTATGTGGACAAGCCCTTCTACCTAGTTGATATGTAACTCAAACTTAATACACGTAGTTAGCATCAGCGTAGGGAGTTACCTAAGTAATATAGTTACTAGTTATATGCTAAGTGACATTAATTAGGAGTTTACACATGGATGAGGGTTGATAAGGGCTTTTCTGAATGGCTCAAGGAGTTACGCAGTATTGCGAGCAGACAGCTCGGCGACGGGGAGTGCCCCCCCACTCGTTGTTTTTCCCCGCGGGAGACGCGGGGGAGTTTTCTACGCGCAGCGCAGCCAGTCCAGTCATCCTAGCATTCTTGTCCCTGCTCTTCAACATGAGTTCTCACGGTAACCCACGTCTCCCTTCGGGGTACACATTTCACTCCGGCTATCCTTCAATTCCCGAGTATTTGCATCTTCGTTCAGCCGCCGGACTCTCGGTGAAAACACCGTCCCAAGCGGCCGCCGTTCCCACGGGAAGCTGGTATGGTTGTTACATCACCTCTGACCCGACAAATGGCGACCCACAGCCGATCGGGATGGGACGCGTGATTGGGGATGGCGGCTGGTATTTCCATATCGCGGACATGGCTGTCCATCCTGAACACCAAAGGAAAGGACTTGGGGACGTAATTTTGAAGGCTCTCCTCCAGCGAATCAGCCAGGAAGCTCCATCTGATGGAAAACCCTACATTTCTTTGTTCGCAGATGAACCTGGGCGCAAGTTGTATTACAAGAATGGATTCAAGGATGCGGCGCCAGGCGCATTGGGCATGGTTTTCAAATCCTAATTATAGCGCAGGAAACCATGCAAGAAGATGTGTGAAAGCCTTGGGCCTAGATGGGCGGAGGGGAGGCGGTGGAACGCTGAGACGCCATGAGAGGGTATGAATCTATTGACCCAACAGCCTGATGAGGACTGTTGCCCAGTGTGACCTCATTGCTTGAATATACCGGGGAGGAGGGGCGTGTGTGTGAAATCATTTACCCCGACCCATCGCCGAGTTGAAGGCTAAAAATATGCATTTGGAAGTGCAGATACACACCACTGTACTCTCCCGAGGTAGTATTGTTCTCAAGCTAGTTGATCAAACGTACTAGACCAAGTGACAAATTGCCAAGTTCCTTCTGGGTATGCAATCCTCCTTCTCACCACCTCCAGCCATTGCTTGGGTCAAGTTGGAGATCCTTCGCCATGTTCGGAAGGTACTCATCCCGCTTCGAGGAGATCAGGACCAGGGCAAACATAACGAAGTTGTAGTCTTTCCATTTCGGGTCTGGATGAATGATGGCAGCCCCGCGGAAGCCGGAGATTTTGCTGCGTGTCATTAGCGTGAGATTGCAAAGGATAGAGTAGAGCATACACATCACCTGTAGACTTATCGAGTATGATCTTTGACGGGCGTGGCATGAACGGCTGGTACCCAAAACTCAGAACTTTCCTAACTCCAGTTAGCCACATATACGTGATCCTAATCATGGTTTTCAGTAACAAACTTGTAGGCCGTTTTGAAGTTGTCACGGATGATTCGTCGCTGGTTATAGGGAAGACTCCAGAACTCCTTGATATCAAGGGGATCTCCTCGAACCTTTTTCCATACAAGGTAGATGATATATCCGTTGGGGACAAGGTCGTTTGTGTCTTGCTTGCCGATTCGATACCCAAGGAGTTCGGGGGTAGCAGTACATCGTTGCTCTGTGAGACGCTTCAAGGCTTCTAGCTCCACGTGTCCATGATCCTCGGAGGCCTGTGCCTTCCGAACGCTCGAGTTGTCAAGTGCAGTGCCAGCTAGAGGGATCTGTTTGTAGATGCGCATGAAGGCGAGCTTGTTCTCGTTCCCAGCTCGTGCAAGGCGACAAAGATATTTCCCAGCGGTGTATGCGGGACCCATGCCTTCGGCGGAATCCTCTGGGGTGACCGAGTAAGGATGCTCACTGAGCTTTTCCATGACGATCCAGTCCCGATGGGGGTAAAGAACAGAGTCTGGAGGTTTCGAGCAGCGTGTAGTGATCGTTTCACCAATCATCTTGGGAAGGACTTCCATTTCGGCGATAGTGAGCGTGAAAGGGTGGAGATGGTAAGAAATGAGAAAGCGTAAAAAGGTTGGATCAAGGTGAAGATGGAAATGACGACAAAGTTGTCAGGTCAAGGGATTTAAAGTTTAAGGCCAACTTTGATGATGATGATGATGATATTCTATTAACCTATGCTACCCAGCTAGCGTCGCAATGGGAGTGCAGGCGCTTCGCCCGACCGAAGCCAGAATATATCAAGATGCTAGTAAACCCCACTCACAAAGGAAATAAAGTAAAATGGGTGAATGTAGACCTTATCCATCGATTCTATTGCCTCTCCCTCGCCCTCCTTGTTTACCTACTTGGCTATAGTATCGCATTCTCACACCGTCTTAATTAATCATAGTAGCTAGCTAGCCTCGGCTTCATACTCTCATAATCTATAACTTCTTAGTAGCTCTAGTCTTAATGCTAGATGCGTAGCGTCTTTACCGCTCTATTTATACCAGCTAGTTGTTTTACCGTCATCCCTAAGTCCGTAGTACAATGTATGAGTAGTACAGCCGCTATCTGCAGGCAGAATAATTAGCGCGGTAGTTCTAAGGTGTGGATGTGCGACTATAACATTATCCATGAATCCGACTGCTTTTTCCTAAGTTGTCTTGTAGACAGAGAACCTCCTCGTTGCGTTCTCATCAGGCGTCGCCGAACGCGTCGTATCTCTCCTCATAATTTCAATGGTCGCTGACGACTTTATAATTCAGGTTGTGTAGTCTAATGGTTAGGACCCCAGATTCTGATATACCATGTGTTCTGGTAGTCCCGGTTCGATCCCGGGCACGACCTTTTGTTTCTTTCTTTCTCTTTTTTTTATTTTTTATTTTATTTATTATCTCTCTCCTTCCCTCTAGTTCGTCGTGATATGCTACATAACTAAGACTTTAAACTAGTAGAAGGCTTGCGGGCGGTGGGGGACCGGGCACGGAGTACTCTGCGATTATACTATACAGAATGTCAAACCACATGGAAGCGCGTTATCCTCATATTTAATAATCAATAAAAGCCTAAGCAAAAAAAAAGAAAGCGATTTCTAATAAAGTAAGTCAAGGACAGGACGAGTTCCCTTTGGCTTTTAAACCTCACCCGTGTAGTCTGATCGCTAGAGTCTGTTCAGGTCAACCCGTTCCGAACAAGTCTAGCTGTAATTATACCACACATTATAGTCATACAGTGCTATCTGTGACTGACAAGGGATCTTCCGCAAGTATCCTTTTTCTCAGCACGTCGTTCATTCAGCATTTTCATAGGTAAGACAATAGTCAAACAGAAATTTGCTTAGGACGGGGACTGATCTTGGAGACCTAGGAGACGGTCACATATTGTCAGCCGCAACTAACTACTAAGACCTTATTGGTATTGCTTCCAGCAGATCATTCAATTAAAGAAGCATGTCAGGGTGGAACATGATTTCGTTATCCTGGTATCCAATTTTAGAACTCTTATCCAAAGATGACTGTCACACAATGTCATCTAACAAACATAGTGATAGCCCTCTCATCTGAGATCAAGCTACTTAATATAACCTAATATTCATCCGAATGCAGGTGTAGCAACAAGAGGCAGCCTTGTATGATATCTATGACAATTGAATCATTGCAAGTAGGTATATTTACTTTAGAAGATCTGCGTTTTGTTCTGTAGATGAATTAATCATTGTGTTTACCAGCCTGACGTGAGGAAAGGCAAGGTCGCACAATAGCAAGGCGCATGTCATGTTGCTGACAGCTGTGCTTGACACAGCGCCAAGCTGATCAAAAGCAAACTTCATCAAAAGCAAACTTCATGTGATCTTACTTTTACTTACAAGTATACAATGACTACGAAAACAAAAGTTATAAATAAGAGGTTACAGAAGCGCCAGAAAATAAGTGCATCTACGACAGCTTCAAGTTTGCAAGTGCATAGCTTTAAATTATCATTCATCCGCAAGCCACTTCGGAGAACGACAATAGATATCAATATTCAAGATGAGAATCTCTATCACCTTGATCTTCGGAATCATTTCACTTGTGGCCGCTAGCCCAGCTTTCAAGCCAGAAGCCAACTGCGGCCCTATCAATGGCAACTGCAATGACAATGATTGTAGTGGCAGCCCGTCCACTCTCACCTGTTCTGCTGTAAGGATATAGCTTTCCCCATATCATGTTTGAGGGGAGAAAACGTGCTAAGAATGAACTAGGGACCTTTTATAGGCTGCCCATGTGGCTACAATTGCGGGGGAAGCGGCCCCTGCAATCAGAATGGGTGCAATGGAGTAGATGGTCGCTGCACTGCCAATTACAAGGGCTGTTCTTGCTACTAGATCTCTATCTGATCTCTTCGGTGCAGTCTCATATGATTTAAGGAAGGGTGCCAGCTAAACCGTTAAAGCAGACCAATTGATGGTTATCGATGGAGGAATGAAAACCCCAAAGCGCTCCGAGTCAGACTCCAGGCAAATCGGGGAGTGGGTTACGATTATGTAGCCATCCCCGCTTCGTTGTGCTTTGATTGAAGCCATATTATTGGGCAACAAAAATATCATCTTAATCATTTTAAGCTGCATCACGAGCGAGCTAAATTGTTTAATGCATGCAGGCACGGTACTTGTTTCACATCCTATTCATGTTCCCTGTCAAGTGTGGCCCCCCTGAACGAGGTCCCGGCGCTTAAACTTGTACCAAGGCCGTTAGCCTCTCTCCCTCTCCAGAGTGAGATTTTAATTAACTGCCCATTGACTTCTCTCCCTCTCCCTCTCTTCTTCATCCACCGTACCTGACCAATCTTTAAATATCTGGCCCACCTTTCATGGCACAATGGATAATTACTCCCAGGAAACAAAAAGTTCGGCTGATGTGGAATCACTCGCTCCCAATCCGAAGACGCTGAGTCGCGATGGGTCTACGCCGGCTGCGCCCTGGTCGACAGTGCCCAAGCGCAAACCAGTTCCCAATCCAGCCCCAGTCCCGGAGACGACTACCGGCGTGCTTCATGGCGATGTACAAGGTGCAAGATCAAGTTCCGGCCAGAAATGGAGTTGGCCTTCGATTGATCTCTCTTTACTCTGGAGACGCCGTCGCAAACTCGTTATTATCGGTATCGCTATTGCCGTGCTACTCCTCGCATTGATCATTGGTCTTGCAGTCGGATTGACGGTGGGAAAAAAGTAAATATGCCTCCAATGCGTAATTTTTCTAATCATATCTTAATGACCGATGATACAGACATAACAGCAATCTTCCACTTCCCACCGCTAACGGCGGGCCCTACGAGGGAGACTTAACCTACTACAACCCAGGACTGGGAGCCTGCGGTATCACAAGCACAGACTCGGAGATGATCTGCGCCATATCGCACATTCTCTTCGACGCAGCATCAACAGGCTCAGACCCTAATGACAACCCGCTCTGCGGAATGAAACTGCGACTGCGCCGTGACGACAAGAGCGTGGATGTGACGATCGTGGATCGATGCGTCGGGTGCGCTGTGACAGACATCGACGTGGCCCCTGCCGTGTTTGAAAAACTGGCCGAGATTGACGATGGTCGAGTCTCCGTGAAATGGTCGTGGCTTCAGAAGCCGCCGGTGAATGTTTCTTGAATCACGAACACGATGACCACCAAGAAGAATCAATACTCCGGCCAATCCGGGTCTACTTCGTCTCGCCACGCGCGAAAGCCTCCTCGGATATCACCGATGAATCGCTGTCCGTCTTGATGTAGTCCCAAGTCTTTCATCTTTTTGACCGCAATCTGCGAGTCGTTTCCGAGACGACAGACCACATATACTGGGTGATCGGAATTGACGACTTCTGAAGGAATCCATGGGGGCAATTGACTCAGGTTATCGGCGTCGCCATTTTGAGCCTTGGACGGCGTCGAAGAAGAGAGAATGGTCGATATCGGGATGTTGATGCTGTTTTCCAGATTGCAGATCTCAAACTGGACCTTGTCCCGCACGTCAATGATGGTGGGCGCAGGAGCATTGTCTGGATACCGCTCGTGATACTCCAGCGCGGAAATGCGCTCGGTCGGACCAAGCAGCGAGGCCAGGTTCGCTGAACCACAGAAGAACACATAGTCGGTGGATCCCGACGTGATGGTATCCAACGTGACACTAGCCTCGGCGGAGCATACTGCACAGGTAGACCGGCGAGAGCGCAGACGAATGGTGCGGAAGGGAGGAGACGAATACGCCGAGAAGATATGCAGCGACGGAGGGTCCTTTGAGCTTGTCGCATCGACGGGCGGTGCAGTGATAACCTTGATCGCCTCCAGGGCCTGCAAGACACCCATCGTTCCCACGACTGGTCCGAGAATGCCTCCATCTGCACAACTGACCACGCTGTCAGCTGGCGGTGGTCTCGGAAATACGCATCGATAGCACGGCCCTCCAGTCTTGTCTCCTGGAGGTCGCGGGGGATTGTTCAGCACCATTAGCTGGCCTTCTGTACGCAGGGCAGACGCCGAGACGAGCGGTTTGCCAAGAAGTACTGCAGTATCGGAGATCAAGTAGCGGGTCGCTGGGTTGTCCGTGCAATCGAGGATAAGATCATACTCTCGAAAGATAGTCGGGGCTTCCGCAGGTGTGAGATGGGTGCGATGCGCAATGTACGTAGGATGCGGATTCAAGCTGCAAAATGAGTATCGTCAGTAATTGATATTTCGAAGGACGAGAGCGCACTTACTCTCGTAAAGACTCAATCGCGCTGTCCACCTTGTATCTCCCCACATTCTTAGTTCGATGTAGTACTTGGCGATGCAAATTCGAGGCCTCGACCGTGTCGCCGTCAATCAAGCCGATCGTTCCCACCCCTGCACCAGCCAGGTACTGTGCTGCAGGACATCCCAGCCCGCCTGCACCGACGAGCAACACCTTGGCGGATCGGAGTTTGAGCTGGCCTTGAAACTCGAGATGTTAGCTTCTTCGCGCGCACACTCCAGAAAAGAAGCGACACTAACCTTGCAAACCAACCTGCGATACTATCATCTGCCGTCCATATCGTCGATACTCGTCTGGCATCAGCGGCCAGCGTGTCGGGCCATTGCCTTTGTTTCCCGCGGTGTCGGCGCTCAGCGTCGCAGTGGCGGCCTGTTCGGCGTGAGCGAGATCGTTTTTCAATGCAGCTAGGGACGCTTCTGTTGCTGAAATCTGGGAGCGCAAGGAAGCGCAGGTGTCGTCTAGAGATGTTATTGCCATTGCATGACGAACGAGCAAGGGCAGAAGCCAAAATGTCGAGTCTGGTTCCCCGCGGAAGTGGGTCCTTATCGGTCAGGCATCAAACTACTCAATTAAGCGGAGTATCATCCTTGATCTTCTGTTGGCGAGGGAAACAAGCTTTTTTTTTTTTTTCCTACCACAGGGGGGAAAATACGCCATTAGTCTCAGCGTAGACGACCTGTTATTCACCACATTATACGTGATTGGACAGACTCAAATATGTCATTCGTTCAACGCCATGACATCCACTCTGCGCCCATTCTTCGCGATTCTTTATAAAGGGCATTCACCCCTAGTGGTAGGCATGGATACCGGGCGACATTGCCCGCGTTATATACTCCAAAGAATGCCGAAAAAGCTTATCCCAGTAAATTGGTTACTAGTGTGGTTTTCGCGACTCTACCAGGTTATCGTATCACTATCCTAACGTGCCCAGACGCTTCTGATAGTCATGATCCTAATGTGAAAGGCGATAAAGAAAAAGACGATTGTTTTTCCGACCCAGGGGAACTTTTATTGCATAGGAAGCTCGTTGTAGTTGACGATAAGAAACTTGTTACCTAGCGAGTAGGTAACTTCTCACGATTGTGTCTGACCCCAAACCACGACCACCACCGAAATAATGCATTAGATAACACCGATAAATCCAGAGCGTAGAAGATAAGCTCATTAGTACAATCTCAGAAACTGCTAGCGACACTGTTCAGAACGATATGTAGCTGGAGTATCAGGTCTAGGCTATCGCATTTTCCTCTGGAATTGTGACGTATGTGCAGAGAGCGACTACCGAAGGAATGAACTATAGAGAGGGTTGCAGCTCGTGTTTTAAGATGGTTTTCCTTTTTGGCCCTTAGGACAGGTACTAGCGTATTATAGTAGTGCATAGTCATATGTATGTAATTGGTGAGAGCTGAACCCTTCGGGGCAATAGGGCAATGTACACCTTCGGTAAATCTTTTTTTGCCCTACTATGCCCATTCTAGAACGAAATCCGGCCCATTCCTACCCCGTAGTCGTCGTAGCTCTACCGAACCTGTGGCCTACTTGGAGCGAGAAGAAGGTTGTCCTGCCTGTTCGTTACGGTGTTGAAGAGACTGAGGAATGCTAGCTGATCCAGTTCGGCTTTATGGTCGCAATAGTAAAATGTCCGTTTATCCTTCCTTTTACTCTAGCAAACTAGGTGTGTGGAAAGAGCAAGTAGTGTAGAAGTTGAGTTTTGAGGGCAACGTTGTCGAAGATCCAGACACGGCGAACTTACTGAGCTACCTTCTATTTGCTCTATAGAATCGAGCTAGCGATTGTATGTAGGTTGTGCTGGCTGCCGTCATAATGTCGGACATGCCGTTTAGCCAAGCTCCTGTTCAATAGGCTTATTCAATAAAAGATATAGACCAGTAATAATTACTTGGCAATAAGCACATTTCAAATTTATGCTTTCCTCTTATGAAAGCAGTGAGGATACTCAGTTAATGCGAAGCTGAGTATGATGATAATATTCCGGATATACATAGAGACATCACTCGCAAACCAAGCTACTTGTACTCTGTATGCTCAGCATGCGCCAAGTCACTCTTCTGCATGGTACTCTCCACATCAGCGCGTCTCTGCTCCTCATCAATAGCACCGAAGACAAGGTCCATCTCTTCCAGCGTGCGGCCCTTGGTTTCCTTGAAGAAGAGAACAATGAAAATACCCATCGCGAAACAGAACACACCGAACATAATAAAAGTCTTTCCAGAAAAGTTAGCGGTGGTCAAAATTGCCTGGATTTCAAAGAACATACCTTCCAGTGAATACTATTGATAGCATGGGGAGTGACTTCGGTGATAACGAAGTTGAATAGCCATTGTGTGGCGGCACCGAGGCCGACACCATAAGAGCGGAGACGGGTTGGGAAGATCTAGGCAGAATGTCAGCGGAGGTCTAGTAAAAATAGGAAATGAAAACATACCTCGCCCAGATACACCCACGGCGTCGGGCCCCAAGAGGCCGAGTATCCAATCACATACAGGTAAATCATCACCACCATACCGATCGACGCCGGTGAAACAGTCTTTGCTTTTACGTTAGGAGGATGAGTAGCCAGAACGGCGCCGATGATGAACATCATAACGGACATCCAGGCTGCACCACCGATCAAGCTCTTCTTTCGCCCCCAGCGGTCAATGCCAATCAACAGGAAAATTCCAGTCGCGATCACCTTGACAGTTCCGTAGATGCCAGTAGCAAACAGGGAAGCAGAAGTCTCAGACAAACCGACCTGTTAATTGTGTCAGAAGTGTTTCCATAAAAGAGATGAGAATGTGGAAGGGAACCCACGGTCTGGAAAATCTCAGGCGCATAGTATCCAATAGAGTTGGTGCCCGAGAATTGTTGCCAGAACATAAGAACAAAAGCCAAGAAGAAGCGGTATCGGTTGCTCTTCTGTAGGCATTCTTTCCAGGTGACACCCTCCGTGGCCGCCAACTCTTCCTGAATAGCAGCGTTGATCTCCGCAATCTCCTTGCGGACTGGCGCACTATCCTGGGGCTCGTTGCGGATGTAGGCAAGCGAATCCAGGGCCTCCTCATGACGGCCCTGCTTCATCAGCCAACGCGGAGACTCCTTCAAAAAGAAAAGACCGATGAACATCAGGCCACCTGGAATCAGTTGGATGGCGACGGGAATGCGCCATTGGCTCGTTCCTTCGGGGATATGCAGCGAGACGCCATAGTCCAACCAGTAGGCGAAGGTGCTGCCAATAACCAAAAACTCCTGGAAGAGACCTGCCACGCGGCCACGAGTCTCCGGGGGACAGTTCTCGCTGACGAAAACCGGGGTGATGCTGGACATGCCGCCGATTCCCAGACCGGCAACCACACGTCCGCCGTAAATCATCCCAATCTCGTGATGGGCGCCAACTTGAATGGCAGCGCCAACCAGGAAGATCATGCAAAAGATCATTAGCGAGTATCGGCGGCCGATGCGATCGTTGAGGAAAGCGGCGAAGATTGAGCCGAAGAAACAGCCCGCTGTCAGTAGGGACACTACGTTGGACGACACCGCCGCGTTTTTGGTGTTGGCAAAACCTGATGATTCTGTAGGTAGGCCAAAGTCCTTCTTGAAGCTGTCAAGAGCCAGGACACTACCCATCACACCCGTGTCATAGCCTGAAAACGAGGTATATCAGTCAAGAGGGGTAGGTAATTGGTCTGAGCGATACTCACCAAAAAGCAGGGAGCCCACATAGGCGACTGAGGTGAGGATGTACACCCGATAATTCTTGAAGAACGGCGCCATAGCGGTGACTTGTCTCGTGTGGCAGACTGGGGAAAAGCCTGGAGCAAACCAAATCCGGGAGCCACCCTCTTTTATATTCAATCGCCGGCTTAGACCGACAAGCCAAGAGCCCCATACTGGGAACCCAGCTGTGCGCTAGACATAATTACATACTGAGCTTCGGGTGGCTTTCACACACCCCAGACGGTTGGCTGCGCGGGTTGGCGGGGTGGCTTGATTGGGACAAATGGGAGAAATTGAGCGGGGTGATCCGTTGAATTTGCGCAGGGGATTGGACAATCGCAGACCCCTGAAGTGGTTTTTCCGTCCACTCAGACGCCCTGGCGTGAACGCAGTTGCCGTGGCGCGGTGGAGTTAGGGTCGGGCCTGGGGCCCCGCGGGGCACTGTGATTCATGGAAGAATCAAAGCCTTTTCTTCCGGAGATCCACATTCGACGACGCAAGATGCTTTTGATATAAAATCTAGGACACAGTCGTCGTCATTGAATTGTCGAGCATCTTCAAGGAAGTAATTCTGTCACTTCTGATAGATAATGTAAGTTGGCCGACGACGGCCGTATGTTGCATCGCGCTCGGTCCTCATGTTCAATTGCCGTCGGCGATAGAAAATATCAATAGCCGACACTCCGTCATTTCTCAAAGGCCTCAATCCTCTCGGCTGGTTGCTCAAACACGTGCGAGAAGTTAATTACCAATAATACTTCTCGATTCCATGGATATGTCAACACTCCACCTGTCTCTGCGCTCAAAATCAAAAATCTGTGGGGGCGAAAGGTCAGATCTACTCGGATTATTGGCTTTGCCCAACATTATTGCAAATACTGTTGGCTGCACTCGATTTCAATATCAGACACAATCAGTATCAGGGCCGACTAGAAAAAGAATTACAAGTAAATCTTATAGTATGAGTGTTAAAAATCATTCAACAATCAAACTCATTAAGTACTCAGCGACGCTAGGTGGTCTCCAAGAAGGCTTGGCTACGAGACACGGCATATGCAACCTGTAAGCTGACACATCAATAACGCCGTTGTCTTCACGATCGCTACCCTCGCAGGAAAACCGAGAACGTGTTTGCATCGTCCAGGAACGAGCGAGGATAGTGGTGCCGAGCTTAACATCTCCAACTTTTGTACATCAGTTATCATTAAGCCGGCCAGGCTCTCCGCGAATCTCGATAGTCAAGAACAAGTCTAGAGACAGCCCTTATTCGGATTATCGCTCTTTATGAGCCACGTCCGTTTGGTCAGCTTCTTGCTGAGTCAAGGAATACCGCTATATCGTTGGCTCAACCGTCATCCCGGTCCGGTATCCAATCCAGCTGGTCCTCCATGCAAGCCCCATCTGCGTCTTCCCAACTGATGAGGGGTTTAACCCGACGACTGTTAATACGCCAATTGTACAGTCATTTCCTTTGTCAGCTCTACCAGCCCTCCGTTTCTCTATATATAATCAGTCTGCAAGCTTTCTGTTTTTATCTTCTCTACAGCGATCAATACATTCGATTCTTTGATTGATTTCTCTGTCCTCGTTCGACGTCTTCCTCGTATCTGCATTCCAAGACTTCTTGACCAATTTATCAACATTCATGTTGCGAAGCACGGAACACACTGGACCGCGATCTTACAGCACGCTTCACATGAACAGTCTGCTGTGTACTTTGATCTTGAGATGTAGTAGGGTCTGGAAATGTCGGAGGTTGTGAATAAGTCTGATACGACCCTTGATCAGGACCGTCTTATTCAAGCACTCACCTTTCAAACAGAAATTCGCGGTCTGAAGGCTGTCCTGTAGGTGGTTGATCCACACGTCTCGACCGGAGAGCAGGTTTCTCGTGCGGGTCACAAACTGCGCGATGTAGTTTGAGAAGACCTTGTTGAGTCAGTCCTTTCTCTTCATGTCCTCGTCGAAGTTGTCCAAGGCCCCGGTGATACTTTCCCTGTTCGCCTGCACAGTAAGGAAGCACACCACCAGGCTCTTCTTTGCGTTCAGCCAGGCGGCCATTCATTTTGGGCCAAAGAGTCCGCTACGTGCATGTCCGATTTCAGTTTCCTTCTGCCATTTCTTTTCGAAAGCGTCTTTCTCGCCAAAACTACACGCCATTTTGGTTGATGGGGTGGAAGCGTGGTGTCGATCTCACGTTCGATAAGAAGAAGCTGGAATGCAAGAAAATTACCGCGAAGACATCATTATCTCGATCTCACAGAAGCTCGCGAGGTCCATACTTTCTGGTACTGCTAGTTCCATTTGGCTCTGTTCCGGCCATCATATCGCCGGCACTAGTAAATATTTGCCATTCAAAGTTTCTTTAACTAACCCAATCGATCTCGGAATCGGCATTTTGGAATTACGCGAGCCGTCCCAGCGTCTCCCATACTTTTCGTAGTATCTTCTTTGCTGGTGGCGCTGTCGAAATCTTTATCCGGTAACGGACATCAGCCAATGGATTGAGAAGAATACTACCATGTAAGAGGTATAGTACTAGCACAAGTGTATTAAGCTTGATCTAACGATGCTTAGCTTCTCGGGGTTAATAATGGCCTGGATAATATTAACGTTGCCGGCGACTAACTACGTTAACTCGAGGCACGTGTGTCAGCCACATACGTATAAACCAACTAATCAACAAGCGCTTCAAGAATAGTACAAGAATTGAGATTTAGTTATTACTTCATTAGGGCATTAGGGCCGGGCTCGCCGGATACGATCATGTACGTTAGTATGTATGTAGCATGGGTCAGGGGTAAGAGGCGGGGTGTTACCACGGGTCAGCTCACAATTGCAGGGATTGTATCCATTATTATTGTGAACGTGCACAGTATATAGGATCGAAACAACATATCCTATCCGACCAGTAATTTGCCGATCGTATCAACTGCCCGTTCCTGAATTTCTAAAAATAATGATACATTGAGATTTGGCCAGTGAGAATCGGCAACCTGCGGGGGCCGGGTCCATAATAAACCCGAGCCTAGCATTATTCCTGTTCACTAGCGACGCGGTTGGGGCCGACAGTAACATTGGAGATTTGGGGGGCCTTGAACTTTTTTAGGCAAATTTCGAAGGTCTGGCAGTGGCAAACCCCCGATTGATATTCCCGTCAGCATCGCAATTGGATCTTAAGCACAGATATTTCCCATAAGGCTGTTTCCTTTCTTTTTGTTGCTGCAGCCACGGCGATGAGCAAAGGCAGTCACTGTTGCCAAGACTGAAGCTATCAATCAGCTCCCCCTTTTTTCAGCATACGTCATTAGGGCATCGCGAAAGCAATCATGAAGAGGGGAAATGCTCTCCAGGACCTCACCCTGGGAGCGATGGCTCTGTCCGTTGGGCAGGACTACAGTCAATATGTCGATATATTGTGAGTTGCTTGTATTTGTGTTTTTGGGAGATATGGCTGACAACGCGAACCAGTATGGGGACCAACACCGTGGGCAACAACTTCCCCGGTGCCGTACGACCATTCGGGATGGTCAAGCTCGGTCCGGATCTGTACGTCGAGGGCACAGATTCGTACGCGGGGTATCTGTCCACGGGCAATTTCTCCGGGTTCAGCATGATGCACGAGCAAGGCACCGGCGGCGCGCCCAAATACGGAACCGTTTCGCAACTCCCGCTGGTTGGCGATATCAGTGATCCCCTTGCCAATATCACCGTCTCGCGCTCCGGAACGGACTCGGGCTCCGTGGGCTACTACAAGGCCACGACGGGGCAGGATGTCACCGTCGAATTGGCCTCCACGGCTCGCGCTGGGATGTATCGCTATAGCTTCCCTCCAGGGTCGCAGAATAATGTTCTGGTTGATGTCTCGCATGTGCTTCCCTCGTACCGTGGGATGGGCCTCAGTCAAAATTATGAAGGCGGAGAACTCGAGGTCTTCGATGACGGTCATTACGAGGGCCACGGCGTGTACAACAATGGGTGGAATGAAGCCCCAGACTGGACGATCTATTTCTGTGAGTGACGGCTCCAATGGAAACTTCTCACAGCCGCTGACAATTGTTCGCAGGTGGCCATTTCAGCTCCACCCCCACCAGTAGCAAGCTCTATACAGCTACAGGCTCTGGATCGAGCGTGCAGCAGTCCGGCAGCTCTGTCTCCTCAACATCGAATTCGACCCGAGTAGGCGGGCTTTTCACCTTCAAAGACCAAGATGTGGTTTCTCGCGTTGGGATCTCCTGGATTTCCACTGAGCAGGCGTGTGACAACGTGGCTAATGAGATTCCCAAAGGCACAAACTTCGAGGCTGTTGTCTCGGATGCCGTCGCCGAATGGAACTTGAAGGTCCTGTCCAAGGTCACCACAACCAACACCAACCAGACAACGCTCAACCTGCTGTACTCATCTCTCTATTTCATGCATCTGATCCCCACGAACCAAACCGGCGAGAATCCCGGCTGGACATCATCCGAGCCATATTATTCCGATATCTTCACTTTCTGGGTACGTGTGTGTAACTGTCTGCAAGGAACCAAAGTCAACTGACATGACACCCGCAGGATCTGTTTCGATGTGGTACAGCGTTGATGCAAGTCTTGCAGCCAAAGGCGTATGAAGAACAGATTCGCTCCTTGATCGATATCTGGCGAAATGTCGGGTGGATGCCCGATGCACGCTCTTCAAACTACAACGGCCGCTCCCAAGGTGGATCCAATGCAGACAACGTCCTGGCCGATGCCTACGTCAAGGGCGTGCGCGGCGCCGTCGACTGGGAAGACGGGTACAAGGCCTTGCTCGCCGATGCAGAGCACACGCCGCCGAATTATCCAGTTGATCCCATGGCGCCAGACTCCTCGACCCACGAGGGTCGGGGCGCGCTTCCGGATTGGATCAGTCTGGGCTATATCAGTCCCCGATTTACTCGCGCCGGCACTCGGGCCGTGGAGTATTCCTGCAACGACTTTGGTGTGCATCAAGTAGCAACGGGACTGAAGAAGCACCAGGACGCGAAGAAATACCTCGGGCGCTCACGCAACTGGCGCAACCATTGGGATCCGGACCAGACCTCGCTGGGCTTCTCCGGGTTTCTCGTGCCGCGCAATTCCTCTGGTTTTATTCCCAGCGACCCGTTGGCAAACGACGGCTACTGGGGCGATCCCTTCTACGAGGCCAATTCATGGGCATACTCCTGGAACGCCGTGCATGATATGGAGCATATGATTGATCTGATCGGAGGCCCTGAGAGGACGGTCGATCGGCTGAACACGATGTTCCTCGACGGCGCCAGTGGATCGAGCGGGACGATCTTCGATCCCACTAACGAACCGTGAGTGATTCTTCCCAAGCAATCGTGCTTTTCACATACTGACCGGCCCGACAGAATGTTCAATGTGCCGTATCTGTATAACTACGTAGGCCGACAGGACTTGTCCGTCAAGCAGTCACGCACGGTAGCCAAAGCCCACTATAGCACAGGGCCAGCAGGTCTTCCTGGCAACAGCGATGCGGGCGCTATGCAGACCTGGCTGCTCTGGAACATGATCGGACTGTATCCCGTCACGGGCCAAACCACCTTCCTGATCCATTCGCCGTGGTTCGAGTCGTTGACAATCGACCTGGGCGAGGACAAGACGCTGAAAGTTACATCGACCGGCGGGGATGGCAACGGGGATTCCAACTATTACGTGCAGTCCCTGAAAGTGAACGGCAAGAAGTGGACGCGGAACTGGCTGACCTGGGATGATGTCTTTGCGAACGGTGGCACGCTCGAGTTCGAGCTGGGCGCGAACGCCGTCAACTGGAGCACGGGCGCGCTGCCTCCGAGTCCGGCGTCTGTTTAAGTCGATTGCAGCTGTACATAGTGGATTTGTGGAATCCTACTCCGTAAATAAATAAATGTGTGGAACTAACTATCTCCCAAAACGGTGACCATCACCCTGATCCGATAACGCCCCGATAACAACGTCACATGTTGAGCTAGGACCCCTCTCTTTCTCTCTTCGCCCCGTCGTCATTGATTCTTTCTTCCTCTTTTCTACAACCCGCAATGGCTGATTCGACTCAAGTCCCTGCAGATGGCACAGGTGTGTTGGTTCCTCCCCGCAGTTCGGGGCCCGTTACTGACCATCGTTAGGCGTGCTCAAGCTCGATCCGTACCTGGAGCCCCATACCGATGCCCTGAAACACAGGTACGCTCTGGTGGAAACATGGGCCAAAACCATCAATGAATCCGAGGGAGGACTGGAGAAGTTCAGCAGGGTGAATTGATCGCGACTACATATTGGGAGGGCTAGTACTGACATGGTGGTCTCAGGGCTACGAAACCTTCGGTCTCCATGCGCGCCCCAACGGCGAGATCGTGTACAGAGAATGGGCACCCAATGCGGTTGAGGCGTCACTGGTTGGCGATTTCAGTACGTGTGGCAATCCTGAGGTGTTATGCTTGAGGGCAATTTACTGAGACATGGTAGACAACTGGGATGCCGCTGCCAACCCCATGACCAAATCCGGCTTTGGCGTCTGGGACGTTACGGTACCCCCGAAAGATGGCGGGCCCGCGATTCCCCACGAGAGCAAAATCAAGGTACGTCGCTAACATGTCTTAACATAGCAAGCTAATGCTCGGATTAGATCACAATGGTTCTCCCCAGCGGAGAGCGCATCTACCGGATTCCCGCCTGGATCAAACGGGTCGTCCAGGACCTGAACGTCTCGCCCGCCTACGATGCGGTGTTCTGGAACCCACCAGCAAACGAAGTGTATCAGTTCAAGCACGCGCGGCCCAAGAAGCCCGCGAGCTTGCGCATCTACGAGGCTCACGTTGGCATCTCGTCGCCGGAGTCCAAAGTCGCCACATACAAGGAATTCACGCAGAACATGCTGCCTCGCATCAAGTACTTGGGGTACAACGCAATCCAGCTCATGGCTATCATGGAGCATGCCTACTACGCCAGCTTCGGCTACCAAATTAACAACTTCTTTGCGGCGAGCAGTCGGTACGGCTCGCCGGAAGACTTGAAGGAGTTGATCGACACAGCGCACGGTATGGGCCTGGTGGTTCTCCTGGATGTGGTCCACAGCCACGCCTCGAAGAATGTGCTGGATGGACTGAACGAGTTCGATGGAACGGACCATCTCTATTTCCACGCGGGCGGAAAGGGTCGTCATGATCAGTGGGACAGCCGGCTGTTCAACTATGGGAGCCATGAAGTGCTGCGGTTCCTTCTGAGTAACCTGCGTTTCTGGATGGAGGAATACCAGTTTGATGGATTCCGTTTTGACGGCGTCACCAGCATGCTCTACCTGCATCATGGCATCGGAACGTACGTACAAATCTCCCGTGAAATGTCTCAATCCACTAATTTCTGCAGGGGCTTTTCCGGCGGATACCACGAGTATTTTGGCCCAGGAGTCGACGAGGAGGGCGTCACGTACCTCACTCTGGCCAACGAAATGCTCCACACGCTCTACCCAGAGTGCATCACCGTGGCCGAGGACGTCTCCGGCATGCCGGCACTGTGTCTCCCGCACTCCTTGGGGGGTGTCGGATTCGACTACCGTCTCGCCATGGCTGTACCAGACATGTACATCAAGCTCCTGAAAGAGAAGTCCGACAATGAGTGGGACATCGGCAATCTCTCATTCACGCTCACCAACCGCCGCCACGGCGAGAAGACGATCGCCTACGCCGAAAGCCATGACCAGGCTCTAGTCGGCGACAAGTCGCTGATGATGTGGCTCTGCGACAAAGAGATGTACACACACATGTCCGTACTGACGGAATTCACCCCGGTCATCGAACGCGGCATGGCCCTCCACAAAATGATCCGGCTAGTCACCCACAGCCTCGGCGGCGAGGGCTACCTCAATTTCGAAGGCAACGAATTCGGACACCCGGAATGGCTCGACTTCCCGCGCGCCGGCAACCAAAACTCCTTCTGGTACGCGCGGCGCCAGCTGAATCTCACCGAGGACAAGCTGCTGCGATACCATTTCCTGAACGACTTTGACCGCGCCATGCAGTTGACCGAAGAGAAGTACGGCTGGCTGCACGCGCCGCAGGCGTATATCAGTCTCAAGCACGAGGGCGATAAGGTGCTTGCCTTTGAGCGCGCTGGCCTGCTTTGGATCTTCAATTTCCATCCCCAGGAGAGCTTCACGGATTACCGGGTTGGTGTTGATGTCCCTGGCACGTACCGCATTGTGCTTGATACGGATGATCAGGCGTTCGGGGGCCTGGGTCGTAATCTGAAGGAGACGCGCTTCTTCACGACCGATATGCCGTGGAATGGGCGCAACAATTTTGTGCAAGTTTACCTTCCTACTCGTACGGCTCTGGTAAGTTATTTTCTTTTCTGTGGTATAACTGCTTTAATCAATCGGTACTGATATGCTTTCACCGCAGGTCCTCGCACTGGAAGACACCCTGTGATTTACTCCAATGTTACTTTCCTGATCTTTCCCGCTCTTCACAGCTACAAAACACGAACAGAGCCTTGGACGACGGGATTGACGACGCCTCGGGCAATCGATATGGCATTTCTCACGACGGAATTTACGGTTAGAATTAGCATGTTCTTCTTTTCTCTTTTTGTTTTCCTGTGGTTTTGTCCATCCATCCATTCCTTTATCAATACAATCAATCCTCCGGATGTATCTAGTATCTTGGTGCTTCTTAATAGCAATGCGTACGCACAGCTGTCCAATCCAGGCGAACACACAGTCTGATGGAGCGTGGCAGAACGAGGACCATTGACCCTACCATATCTGTCTTTGACCTAGGTCAGGTAGGATAAACCCCGTAACCTTAATCAACCCTTAATCTGGAAGATCCATACCTTTAGCGGTGACTATGGAATACCACTTACTACGACTACTAGATGATTATTGGCATCGACAAAGGAAAACAATTTGTATGGACCAAGATCAAGATCGCCGGACAGGCGGAGGATTTTCCAGCTCTAGATACACAAATAATGAAACACAAGCGCCGGCAGAGGTACCCATGCCGTGCTTAAAGGAAAAGAGGCAATAGCATCCGAATGGCCAGCCACAAAACCAAGCCCTCGCCCACACTCTCAGTCAAGTCAGTCACTCGCCCAGTCAACTCATTCATGCACCCTGGTGTCTTTCTTCTCCCATCGTTCTAAAGTAACTCCTTGGCTTCACACACGACAAACAGAAACATAGACTCGACAGTCAAATCCCTTTTGTTTTTTTCTCTTTTAGATCGAGTACTATACACGTATCGAAAAGGGAAAAGAGACAGTCGGGTGTGGGAGTAACAGGATGAGACAAAGGAAAAAGAAGAAACACACGACCAGGGGGCAGAGTAGTTAGGCAAGGAGACATACACGAGAGGGTAAGGGGGGCAGCTCTAGCTAGCACACAAAGACAAAATTACATCTAAGACGAACCCTCGAGCTCAGCCAGGATCTTCTCACCCTTGGCGCGGGCGGACTCGAAGTCGCCGACCATGTAGAAGGCGTTCTCGGGGAGATCGTCTCCCTCACCAGCGATGATGGCCTTGAAGCTGCGGATGGTGTCCTTCAGGTCGACCAGGGTACCCTCGATACCAGTGAAGACCTGGGCGACGGCGAAGGGCTGGGACAGGAAACGCTGCAGCTTACGGGCGCGCTCGACGGTGAGCTTATCGGCCTCGGACAACTCGTCCATACCCAGAATGGCGATGATGTCCTGCAGCGACTTGTACTCCTGGAGCATCTGCTGGACGCGGGTGGCGGTGTTGTAGTGGTCCTCACCGATGACACGGGGGTCCAACATACGGGACTTGGAGTCCAGCGGGTCGACAGCCGGGTAGATACCCAACTCGGAGATACCACGGGACAACACAGTGGTGGCGTCCAGATGGGCGAAGGTGGTGGCGGGGGCAGGGTCAGTCAGATCGTCAGCGGGCACGTAGACGGCCTGGACGGAGGTGATAGAGCCCTTCTGGGTGGTGGTGATACGCTCCTGCATGACACCCATGTCGACGGCCAGGGTGGGCTGGTAACCGACGGCCGAGGGGATACGGCCCAGCAGGGCAGACACCTCGGAACCGGCCTGGGTGAAACGGAAAATGTTGTCAATGAAGAGCAGCACGTCCTGACCCTCCTCGTCACGGAAGTACTCGGCGATGGTCAGACCGGTCAGGGCGACACGGGCACGGGCACCTGGGGGCTCGTTCATCTGACCGAACACCAGGGCGACCTTGGATTCACCCTCGAGCTGGATGACACCAGTCTCCTGCATCTCGTGGTACAGATCGTTACCCTCACGGGTACGCTCACCGACACCACAGAAGACGGAGTAACCACCGTGAGCCTTGGCAATGTTGTTCTAAAAAGGAATGGTCAGCAAGGAAGGGGCCAATTACGACCAGAGACAGAACTTACGATCAACTCCTGGATGAACACAGTCTTGCCGACACCGGCACCACCGAACAGACCAATCTTACCACCACGGGCGTAGGGGGCAAGCAGGTCGACGACCTTGATACCGGTGACCAGAATCTCGGCCGAGGTCGACTGCTCGACGAACGCAGGGGGATCAGCGTGGATGGGAGAGAACTTGGTAGCCTTGACGGGGCCACGCTCGTCAATGGGGTCACCAGTGACGTTGATGATACGGCCGAGGGTTGCCGGGCCGACGGGGATCTTGATGGGAGCGCCGGTGTCGTGGGCGGCAGCACCACGGGTCAGACCCTCAGTACCGTCCATAGCAATGGCACGGACGACATTCTCACCCAAGTGTTGCTGTTGGGGGGAGGTGATGTTAGCTTGCGGGGATCCTTCACCGAGGAAATCAACCAATCAGGATCACGTACCGCGACCTCCAGGACCAGCTTCTGGCCGTTGTTCTCGGTCTCAATGGCGTTCAGAATGGCAGGCAGCTTGTCGCCCTCGAACTTGACTGTAGCACGGCGATGATATTGTCAGATGGAATCGATCGCGATGGCTGGGGGGATGGATGGAGGTCCAGGAAAAAGATTTTCGCGAGGGCCTCCAAAGGGGGGTTCGGGCGGGAGCCAACATACCGTCAACGACGGCACCAATGACCTGGTGAATCTTTCCAGTCTGGACGGCACTCGAGCTGGCGAGGCGGGCAGACAGGGCCGGCAGGGCATTGGAGCGGAGAGGCTGGAAGGCGCGAGCGACGGGGGCCGGGCGGGCAAAAGCAGCCCTCCCGAAGGACCGGGCGAGACCGCTGCGAGGGAGAATTAGCATGGAAGAAAAGGAGGATGAGGGCAATGGATGCGAGAAGGGGTTCCATACCTCTTGAACATGATGGCGGTGAAGTGATGGGATGGGGGGAGGAGGTTCAAGGGGAGGGAGGATGGGGATTGGGGGAAGGGAAAAAGGGAAGAAAGAGGACAAGGCAGAGGTTGCGAGGGTGGACGGGGCGCCGGACTCTGCCCTAGCCTTTCCGGGGTGGTTTTTCCGAAGGTCCCGACATGAGCCGAGGGTGGTGAGGGTTATAGTAGTTGGGTGTCCTGTTTTATTTTGATTCTACTATGCTTTTACTACTATAATCATTCTTGTCATGATGGAGGGCATCGCGAGACACTGCAGTGTGTGTGGTGTCGGGCCACACTGGTTGCCCGGGAATTCGCGCACAAATGGGGGCTTGGCACCCGGATGCATCACCACAACAGAGGTAGGTGATGGAGGAGGAGCTGGAAACCCATAGACCAAGGAGTAGAAAATAATAGTAATACGAGAACAACACTAGTACGGTGCGGGAAATGCCCATGACTGGGTTCTCACATCCATTGACTCTCCCGGTGGTGGACAGGGAGCTGTCCCAGCTGGCCTGGAAATCTCTGACGTGTGTGGGAGACTCGATTCCATTTCGGGAACAATGACGGAACACGAGGACAACCAGCACCAGAACGGCCATAGATCAAATTGTTCTCGAGTCGAGCACTCTAACACTGACGCAGAGAAATATCAATTGCCCACGATGGACGCTCCATCTGTCTGCAACTCGTGCTGCTGCACGTCAGCTGGCTTCTCCGCACCAGTTCCGGCTCGCTCCGTAGACACTACAGGCAAGTATAAACCACGCATTTACATATACAACAGAGGATGAAAAAACGAATGTCTATGGCTACAAAGGAGATACATTGGATTATAGCACAGTACGGGATACACGCGTTTTGGAATGCGAGGCCAAAAAAAAAAGAGACAAGTGAGCAACCCGCCAGCAGCGCGCACACGGGGGCACGCCTGTGTCTTCCTACCAGCCAATTTATGACTTGTCGGCGGCGGACGGGCTCTGGACGAAGCCCTTGCCCTCGTAGCCCTCGGCGCTGATGCCGTGGATGGGGTTGATTTTCTCGCTCTGCAGAACGGTATCATGTTAGATCGGGAACGAACAACGGGGGCAAACCCTCGAATGGAGGATACTACATACCTTGGCGTACTCGTTGGAGGCCTCCTGCCACTCCTTGCTCATGGTCTTGGGCAGCGGCTTGCCCATCAGGTGGATGCCGTAGAAGATGACCAGGGACGCGACGGTGAGCTGGGTCACCTTGGAAAGGATCTTCCAGCCCTCACCCTTGGGGGTCTCGGCGCGGGGACCGTGAGGGCCGAATGCGATCCAGTAAGCTATAGAATAGAGGTATCAGCAAGTGTTGTAGACAGAATCTTTCTTAAGACAACCTCGGATAACCGGGGGAAACTTAAGGGGGGAAGCCGACGGGCCCTCTGGAAGAAACGAGCGAGAGGAAGGTGAACATACCGGCCTTCTTCTCCTGAACGGTCATCTGGTGCCAGTCGACCTTCATGCGGTCACGAAGCTGCATCCACAGCTCGGCCTGCTCCTGAGGAGGCATGCCCTCCCAGCGCTTCTCGATGCCGGCGAGGGTAGGGTTGGCGATGGCGTGGTCGGAAGCGGAGCGAGTCTGCTGGGCAGCGACGGCGGTCTTCGAGGCGTGCAGGCAGGCCATTGGGCCCGAGCGGAGGGCGGCCGCGCTGCGAGGTGCAGCTTGGGAGATGGTGCGAAGAAACATTGTGCGGTCGGCGGGAGTTGGGTGTCTGTGACCGGGTCGAAGGGGAAGTCAATTGGGAGGGATTGGCGGGCCGTGCAGCACGGGCAGCGGATCCTCTGTATGGTTTGGTTGGAAAACCAGAGACAGAGGTGCAGGTGGTGAGTTGGGAGGGGAGAGGGTGAAGTTCGCTGTTTCGGTCGCTGGCGTGGGAAGGTCGGGAACTCGCGGGCGCTGATTGGTTGGGTCATGTGATATAGTGTCACGTGTTGTTCTCGACAAGTATGTCTTTCAGGATGTTCTCACACATCATTTACAGGTACACTAATTCAATGCAGTAGACAGCAGGGTAGCTCCATGTCCAGGGATTTATTCCTCTATATCCTCAAGCAAACCCCATCCTCCAAGCCGTAGCGGTTTTGCATTGCAATTGAGAAGAAGGGCAAAAAAGCGGCATGCACAGAGAGAATAAATGGATTGAATCGTTCCGCCCTTACGAAGAGGATAAGAAAAAACACATCATCCTCCAATCGGTTGCGCAGCCCGGTCCCAGCCGGCGCCGTTCATCTATTTACCAGCCTTGCCACCGCTGGCCTCGGCCAGGACGGTCTTCCACTCGATATCGGACTTGTCATCGGCGTGAATGGAGGTGTGGATGTTGAGAGCGTTCTTCAGGTTCTCACGGGTGCTGGCGTAGATCATGGACCACTGAAGACGGTGTTAGAATAGGGTCGGGACATCCGAAGAAGCAGAAGCAAAAACGTACCAGAGTAGGGGTCTCGTTGGGGACCCAGGAGATGAAGATGATCTTGCTTCTATAGAGAACAGTTAGCATTCCGCTCCACAAGAGGAATAAAGAAGGAGGGGGAGACGCACCGCTTGCCCTCGCTGCCACCAAGCTCATACTCGACATCGTAGACGGCGTAGCGCGGGGCGGGGCTGCCCTTGCTGTCACGGGCAGACTCGAGCTTGCTGCGGAAGACCTCGTAGTCCTGATCTTCGGAGACCTCGTCGATGACGACCTCCTTCTTGTTGTCGGCGATCTTGAAGATGATGAACTTCTTCTTGCCGTGGCTCATGCGGAAGGAATTGAATTCCGTGATGCATTCATCTGTGATAGTAACACTGTGTATGATATGAGAATCGGTCGCCAACCATTGACAGACTGGGATGAGGGCGGTGGTGGGAATGTTCAGGGGGTAGTGATGGAGGGGTGGCGGGCGGTGGAAGGGGGGACGGGCGCGAGACAGGCTGAGGGATCTTACCCGGATGCGAGCTATAGAGAGTACAATCAGTATCAGAGCGGTGTATGTAGTGGATCTGAGTGTATACTCACCGACATGATGTCTGCGTGGATGGAGGGAAGTGAGACTGCGAGTGAAAGGAGCCTGGTTAGCTGGGTGGACACGCGATGTCAGTGGCTGAGTCGAGTCGGTGGGATAGAAGGGGAACAAGCGACCGAGTAGTTGCAGTAGCTTGGACCAGATGGGAATGGAGAGAACAATGACGGACAAGCCAGACTTACAAGCAGAGAAAGAACGAACAACAAAAAATGGATGATGAGATGGAGAAAGAGTTGAGGGGTTGTTGTGGTTGTGGTGGTGGGGGGATTGATTATTGGGCCACACGTGATTGCCGGGCTGGACTCCGTTACAGTGATTCTCGAAATCGGCTTGACCAATGCACATATGATAACTAGTTTCTGGACCACCGCTAAGCCTAGTGCGGATCAGTCATTAGGCAGGCCGCGTCAGACTGAAGGCCAAGGTAACATGCGCTCTGCATGTTATAGGACTTAACTACGTAAAATTACACAAGGCATAGAGTGGTGTTCATAGGTCTGAATCCTGTTACCTGCTTGGGCGATAGGTAGAGAGTTTCAGACTTTGGGAACACCACCATACCAAAAGCCTGTGGAATTCCATGGAACCGATAGTACGTCTCTGTAAATCAGGCAGAGAGGGCCGCCTGGAGCCTAGTTCCCAGACGATCTACTAGCTCTACTTTCCCACACGGAGGACCACATCCTCTATCTATGGGCTCCTTGACCAAGGTGATGTGCTATACGTGTTGAGGACTAGCAGTTAGGGATGTGTATGGTGGATGATATCCATTTCTCTCGATGAAAAATCCTATCTATAGGGCATTAATCAGGAATCCTTCCTCCGAGTCGAACCTAAGAAACACCATCCTCCTTCCTGCACATAGATCTCCGAGGGCTGGTTGTCAAGCGTTGATTAATCAATCCAGTGTCCACGACCCACAATTGGAATTACCGATCGTACGGTTGGTGCCACCGTTTCCCAGAGAGGCGTACTCATTACTGTTGTTTGAAGGATCACAGGTGGGGTTGCTTGGGACATTCAGATGGCACAGGCCCGGGGTAAAGGAATAACCAGAGCAGGTCCCAGAGTATGTTAAACAATCCACGCAGCAGTCATATGCATCTGTCGCAGGTGGGAGACTGACCGTCCCAAAAACCTCCCAAAAGTCGATTGTTGTACCATTAATTTCACTGATTTGGTTGTCTGGGCCGCAAGCTGCATAGTAGGTTGCTATAGGAACTTCCATAGTAACAGTATTAGTTATAGTCTAGTAGATTGGGTTAGTAATTGCATATTGTTAAGAGCTTTGGCATATGAACTTACCTGCGTGCTTGTCGTGGTGGTTGTCACTATGGTCGATACTATTGCGCTTGTGCTAAATGTGAGTGTTGTTGAGGCAGCAACTGGAGTACTAGTAACCGCTATTATGTATATATCAGCGTATATCTAGGAACGAACTATGACTATGAAAGTCTCTTCTCTGAAAATTTACTTGACGTAGATTCAGTCGTAATAGTGGTAGTTTTGGCAGGTGGTGTACTAGTCACAGCCAATGTCGTCGCTGCTGTCTTCGTTATTGTACTTGTAGTGATAGCCCTGACAATACCAGCGCATGTCACTGCTGTAGGGTAGATAGGAGGGTTGACAACAAGGCGAGCAGTTGTTTGGTCGCGGCGTATAGACAAGTGTAATGCATTTGCTCTGTGAGTAGCCGCGCCTTGCTCTACGGCAGCCGTCTGCCTAGGTCCATAGGTAGGTGACTGGCTGAGTGCTGAAGCGAAAGTAAATCCAACTGAAGGCGGAATAGTAGTTGTGGTGGAAGAAGTAACGTTAACCTATTTAATTATTAGTAATGCGAATCTGATAAGTTAAGCCTCAAATGTGCTGATGATGGCTAAATATGAAAGCCATATAAACTTACCGTAGTATCACTCGTAACAGTTTGTGTATTTGTAATGGTGTCATAGCTGGTTACCACTCTAGTCGACGTAAGTGTTGTTGAGAAAGTGACTGTACTCTAGTCTAAGACGCTTGTGGAATACACTATGTCTGTCACTACCGAGGTACTAGTCGACGGAGAAAGAGTTGATGTTTTGATAGGGGTCGAAGTTGTTGTGAGAGTAGCATGACTAGAAACATTTTTAGTAAAGGGTCTATAGATTGCTAGTAAACTTCAAGTCATCAGGACAGCCGCCATGTTGCCAAGCTGTCTGTGTTGATCCACTGCAAAAATAAAGGGAATATAAACCCCCTAAATAGAATTTGCGCTGCTTTCCAAAACGTTATAATGTCAAACACATGTGACTATATTACCTAGTCGAGCCAACGGTGCTTTTTGATCTAGCGGTATAGCATTTTTGACACTTTACACTTGAGCAATCTATATTAAAATATCGTAGACAGCTGCCGATCAAATAATTTCGAACTGAGATTTCAAGTAATGAGACATCATTCCACACAATCGCATTCCCAACTCTAAATATCTTTGTCTCATCGGATCATTATTGAAAATGGCTTAACAATGAATACTTTGGTCAGAGCTAAAAATCTGTGTCCTCCGACAGATGGTTTCAATTTGACTACCCATTAAACACACCACGGCATTTCATTTTATCTCCGATTTCACCACTCTAGAGGAGATCAGTTGATTTGGCCACCTTCAGCCACATCTCAAGCCTCCATTCTACCTCAGCAGCAATAACCAAGGCGGTTAATTTGACCATCCTATAGACACGTTGCAACATACCATTCCAATCCATCCCACCGCCTCCCATGAATGATTGGAAGTTATGGCCGACAAGGGGCACGCATCCCATGTACTGTAACATACAGAGCGCATGTTATCCTTGGCCCCCGGTTTGACGCGGCCCGCCCAATGCCTGATTCACGCTTAAGGCCTTGGCGGTGGGTCCAGAAAGCTAGTTATGGTATGTGTATTGGTCAAGCCGATTTCGAGCATCACTGTAGGTAACGACAGAACTACATATATACTCTGCCTATTTCATAGTATTGAACGGGAATCTGATATGTATCTAGGTAACCATTTCTACCGCAGCTCATCGAACCAGAAAATAGGGTGCCTAACAAGTAGGAAAGAAAGTGAGGGTTGCCTAGAATCATACCACCCAGCGGAGGGGCGAGTTAACGACGACCCGTCATTATTATTCTTATTAGAATACAAGGAGCACGCTAACGGCTGCCTAGCCTAAGCAGGCACTAATAGAAACTTGATCACTTGATTATACCTAACAGCAGCAGACTACCTACACCTTTGAAGCCGCGGCAAGCTTCGCCCGCGTCCGATCCACAATTTCCTGCTCATTAAAAATGAAATTCACGCTCTCATGGGCAACCGTTGCCTCGGCCCAGCGCTTGAATCGCGGAGTCTGCTGCTCGAGCAGAGCAGGCAGCTTCGTGCTAAGGAGGCCATGCTCCGGCTTGGCGAAAGTGAGCATGCGAATGAGGAATGAGCCGCACTGGACCTGTTTCGGAGAGTCATTTAGTATATTTCATCTCCCAATTGGGCAGTATGGTATAGCAGGATATATACGATACCGTGTAGTATATACCCGCAAATAAGAAAAAGAAATACGTACCTCGGCGAGAGTCAACCTTTCACTCCCCCCAAAGAACGGGCCCTTACCCTGCCCCGCCGCCGCCAGAAGCGGTTCAATCTCCTTTTTAATAGCAGCAACCAGTTCCAGCGTCAGATCCTCGCGCTCAGCCTCCGACGAGGCCCTGACACACTTCATAAAAGTACCCTGGACCTTACTGAAGAAGGCATCGACGAAGAAGCCGATCCGGGCCCGGTAGAGCGCGTTGTCGGCGGGGCCGGACGGGGGCAGAAGATGGGATGGGTGGGCGTCTGCGATGAACTGTGCGACGACGGCGGATTCGGTGATTATGTTGCCGTTGTAGGAGAGGCTTGGGACGAGGCCGCGCTGGTTTGATTGAGAGTTAGTTAGGAATAGATGGATGGCAGGGAATGTATGAGAGTTAGGAAGGGAGCGGTGGCGTCAATACCGGGTTGATTTCCAGATACCACGGCTCGCGGGGCTTGTCGAGGTTGATGCCGACTTCTTCGTAGTCCAGGCCTGTTTCGCGCAGAGCGATGTGGGCACGGTGTGCCCAGGGGCAGGCGCGGTTGGTGTATAGGATGATCTTGGGTGCAGCCATGGTTGTGGTTGTCAGGATGTAGTTAGGATTTGGGAAGGGAAAGGAGCTGAACGTCATAAAATCCAGGGACGGGAAAATCGTCTTTTTGAACCGTCATCAACGAGGGGCCCCCGCTGGATTAGTCAAGCGTGGAAAATGGCGAAATCGAAGCCCTTGGATTGCGTTCCCCGCAAGGCCGGGTAAACTATCATGAAGCTGGTGGTGGGGCGGCGGTTGCGCAGCTCAAGATTTGGATTTGGTCTTCGAAGATGTCGGAACAGTTGATTCGAGTCTAAATTATGTACATACATTATGCGTGCAGTATATATCTGATATCCTCAGAACGAAAACCTCCAAGCAGGGCAGCAGCACTCATCGCGAATCACCGTTGTACATAAACCTCAAACCGGTCCAACGACGAAAAGACTCGTCTGGCCCCGTGTTCACCATTTCACAGTGCCAATTCCACAGGAATTGGTCAAACAACGAAAAATGCAGAGGCATAGAGATAAAGGAAAAAGAAATGGACGGTCAATCGCCGACAAAGGGGTGGGGTATATCGAATACGCGTCAAAAGAAAACAAGCACCCACGACAACGCAGGGCAAGCGGCAGTCGAGCCGATAAGGATAAGCCAGTCTCCAGCTGATCAGCTCCTCGCGAAAACAGACGAGTCAACACGCTGTCATCAGGACGTTAAAGTCTGCATGGAACAAAAGTTCATTTTTGGTCGGTCACGCTTCATCCTCCTGCGGTGTTCCATCGATGATCTTGTGCCAGTGTTGGGGCAGGCAGATGCAGACCAAGGGGAAGGCCTTGATCTCGCCCGATGGGGCAGGTGATGGACCCGTTCGCTGTTGCGAACCGTTGCTCACTCCACTATCGCGTTGTTCGCGATGATGAACATCGTAATCCTCAGCCCGCTCAGTGAGACGAACACCCGTGGCCCAGCCATCGTCCCAGATGCCAATCACCTTCAGCATTTCTCCGCGGTCGAGTTCGAACTCGTCGCCGGCTCGTGGGGCATACGCCCAGAGAACAGCAACTTGATCGCCCGGGTGAATGTCGTCTTGCGAGTAATAGTCCCGGAAATATGATAGTTGCTCAGATTGGCCGCTGGTCACGGCTTCGGGGGACGAGTATTGGTTTCCAGTGGTAGCGGTGGCGGTTCCAGACCGAGGCGAGCTGTCACTTTCTAGACCAGCCAGTACGGAATTGCTCGACAGCGAGCCGTGGCGCTTCCCCGTTACGGGGGGATCCTCTTGGACATAGCTCCCGGGCTGGCACCAAAGGCTTCCGAGTCTGACGAGTCACTGTACTTGGCAGCGCCAAACATGGCGCCCGACGTGCGCGAGTAGGCCGGTGAGGAGCTTGGGATCTCGCGCAGGGCAGACATCCGTGTCACTCGTCCGCCTGGAACCATATTGTATCCTTTGGGACTCTCTGGTTGCTGCATGTGCATAGGCGGTGACCCTCTTCGTTGGGGATTAGGTTGGTTCAGTCCACTGTCGTTTTGCGAGCGGCGGCGACGACGGTAGCAAAGCCAGAGAAAGAAGATGAGAATGCACAGGATTGCCGCGGCTGCAACAGATCCGATGACAACGCCGGCAATAGCTCCACCGGAGAGACCACTACCACCAGCTGTCGCGGCTGCTGCGGTCGAGGTGGCGCTTGATGAGGGATTGAGCGGTTGCAGAGTTGCTGTTGAACTTGGGATGGTGACGCCTTGGCAGCGAGTTCCAGCTTTGGCGTCCGCGCAGCAGGAGTCACTCGAGTTGGTCGATTTACAATAGGTGCAGAGGCCGATTATGTTGGAGGCATAGCCACAATTCTTTTGCTGATTGGTGTATCCCTCAACGCAAGAGCCGGTCAGCGATTTCAGAGGTTCCGTGCACACTGCCAGATCAGATTTGATCTCGGCCATATAGTCCTTGTCGGTGCCGGTGCAGAGTTTCGAATTGACGATAATCTCTTGTTCGCCCATGGCTTGGAGCGCGCATGTGTCTGCGCAAAGGGGTGGTGATTGATCGGGACTCAGGTGGCAGGCATCCTTGGAGCTTTGGACGAGGCCACTGCACACCACGCTGGTGGTGTATCGGGCATAGTAGTCGTTCAGGGCGCTGGAATTAAGGCCTTCACATCCCAAAAGGTCGACATACCTGGGAGTTTGTTGTCAGCTCTACAAGCTCTTCCAGAAGAGAGATTCGCACTCACTTTAAAGTAACATAGCTGCCCTCGACGTAGCTGCTCAGCGCTTGGTCAAATTGCGCGAGAGTCGATACATTTTCAAGGAATGGGCTATGATCATGTCAGCATTCGCCTATGACCGTTATCTCATATCACTCACAAGTCCCCGTAGAGACTGGAATCGGTCCATATCGAGGCACTTTCCCAGGCAGGACAGGTTGTCGACCCGGACAGAGAGATGCAGTCCGACATGTCGGGCCTGATCTCCAAGGTCGAGGAATGTTGCCGAGGAATGTGTCAATGGCAACCGATCGCCAGTCCAGTATTCAATCGTAGGTCGGATACGCGAATCAAAGGGCCGAGGGCATTTCTTCACGCTGGGGTAGACCACAGGTCACCAGAAAAAAGGCGAGCGAGTCGAGCTCGGGGCGAAGCGAAGAAAAACAAAAAACAGCAAACGAGTGACTAGAGAGCGCACAGCAATCAGCGAGCCCCGAAGGTGCTCTTGGACGAAAAAGAAGCGAACGAATGGGGGATGACCAAGCGGGAAAGGCAGCGAGAGAGAGGAGAAGAGAGAGGAGAAGAAGACGGGACGGGATGAGTGAAGTGAGGTGAGAGAGGTGGTCCGGGCTCGAGTTCGCGCTGCCTGGGCCCAACGGGCAAGAACTCCTGCTGCTGCCGGCCTGGTGAAACACGCGAAAGAGTCTATCATAATAGGGGCACAGATTAGGTGCTTGTACCCAAGCAGCTTAGCGCCGGTGGGGGAATGGGCTCGATTGGGGAAAGTGGTTCCTGGCGTTCTCGCTTGGGCCCGTTTAGCGGCCGAAAGGGCCGATCTTTATTACACTGACAAGCTAAACAAAAACGATGAAATCTCGGTCGGTGTCTGCAAGTCGAGGGGTAGCAGGAGATGTGAGGGGCGTGCAGGACGAAGCATGAACTAGCTATGCAAGAGGGGAATGGGACAGACGATGTATACACTGGGCTCCCTAGTATACGAGTATACACGGGGATCACCCACGGCTAAGTTGTAGATTTCACCCAGCGCTTGGCCTCTGCTAGGGTCCAGTTGCATGGGCCACATTGCACAATCTGAGTTTTCATCGTTGCTCCTGCAATTCAATCTACACCTCCACCGTAGGAAAGCTCGATGAAAACACAGGTCACCTGACCCTGCGTCATCTGACCCCATCCTGCTAGGCTACCACACACTCGTCCGTCGGAGACTTCAACGCTCGATCAGATCCCAACCTATAACTAGTTTCATCAAATCATCACCTGTGGCCATGTGCAGCTCCGACTGCTTCCTGGCGGTCCTCGCCATCTTCTTCCCCCCATTGCCGGTCAGTCTCTCGCCCCCCATCTGCACCGTTCCTAACCAAGCCTAACTAACCATGCACAACCAGTCTGGGTCAAACGAGGCGTCTGCACTGCCGACTCCGTCATCAATATTGCTCTCTGCCTGCTCGGCTACATCCCCGGCCTGATCCACGCATGCTACATCATCGTCAAATATCCCGAGGCTGACTATGACGCCGATGCGGCCTACGAGCCCATCCCCGGCGGCGCCAGCCAGCGACGAGACCCGGAGAACGGTGGCGTGACGTACTACTATGTCTCTCACCAGCCGCTCCAGCATCCCTCCCAGCAGAGATCGTATGGCACCGTTCCACAAGGCCAGCAGGCGGCGCCGAAGCCGTCTGCTCAGCCGGAGGGTGGTGCTGGAAGCAGCGGTGGTCAGGCACCACCAACCTACGCCGAGGCTGTGAGGGGTGACCACAAGGTGCAGAACCATGACTAAAGAAAGGCCGCACTAAATATGAATTCGGCGGCTGCTTTCTTCACTTCCGGCAGGTGTCTGCGCTTATTTACTGTACCTGGTCTTCTGATGACATTACGAGGGAACGTTCTTCTGGATTGAGGTTTAGGGTCTATTGGGCAATGGGATTGTATGCTTTTATGGGTTTTCAAGTGTTCTGTATATTCGAATCAATCAAATCAACCAGTCATTTACTGAAATGTTCGTCCAGTATGACGGGAGATATATATTTTGACGTATAGTGCTCCCATCAACCAGCAAAACGGCTAGTCAAGGAATTAATAAACCAACAGATTATAGCTAGCAAATCTGAAAGACATTAATAAATACATAGTCCCATTCAGCATAGATTTCACTTGCTCAGTATGCGATAGAACAGCCCCATCCACCTGATCTGATAAGCGCCTATCCGTCCCGAACTTCTTCCCGCGACTCCCCATTCTTGCACTACACCACCACTTTCACCTCCCTCCTACCACCGTCCCCGGGGATCTGACCCTGCAGCCATGCAGTGCATGCCATTGCTGCTGCGGCAGTCACTTCGGTCCAGTCTACACCTCACACGAACACCCTCAGGGCCAGTGCGCGCAGCACAACTCCGCCCGACCATCCCGAGCGCCTTCTCCGTCCCCCGAGCCCCAACGCGCAACTTCTCTGTCTGTCTACAATGCCAATTCCGTCGCCAGCCGGAACTATATTCCTCTCCCGACGAGAGGAAAGACAGTGTGAATGCACAGAATACTGCAGAGGAGCTGAAGGAGGCCCCCAGTGCACGCGAGGAGGGTTCCATCTCGGGAGACGTGGGCAGCTCTCGCGCAACATTGTCACAGGCCGAAATCCCGGCTGAACAACCAGAGACTGAGAAACCGCTCTACGAGGAACCGACAAGCGGAAGCAGCGTTCATGTTGAAGGAACGCAGAGCGGGGGTCTCCCGTCCAGCCTCGAGAGCCGCCGGTCTCAGGTGTCCAAGCAATTCACCACCTTGATGGATAACCTACAATCCAACATCTTCGTGGCTGGTCAGCGGCTGAACGACCTAACCGGCTATTCGGGTATCGAGGCTCTTAAGAAGGAAATCCAATTCCAAGGTACACCACACCCGCTCCGTCGCTCACACCAGACACTTATAACTAACCATCAACACAGAGAGCCGACTCCGTGACGCCCGAGCACAGGTCAAAAAGGCGAAAGAAGACTATGCCGCCGCGATCAACAGCCGCTCTGCCTCCCAGCGCGAAGTCAACGAACTCTTGCAAAGGAAACACTCATGGTCGCCCACAGACCTGGAGCGCTTCACGCTCCTGTACCGCAATGACCACGCAAATGAGGTTCTCGAGTCCACGACACAAGAAGCGTTGTCGAAGGCTGAACGCGAGGCTGAAGAGGCTGCGGCACTGCTGAGCAAGGGGATTCTCTCGCGCTACCACGAGGAACAGGTCTGGTCTGATAAAATCCGTCGCATGAGTACCTGGGGAACATGGGGGCTTATGGGGATGAATATCCTACTGTTCTTGATCTTTCAAATTGCCGTGGAGCCCTGGCGCCGCAAGCGGCTTGTCAGGGGGTTTGAGGATAAGGTGATTGAGGCGATGGAGAAGCAGAAAGCGCTGGACCAGGGCGCTCCTGTCGAGAGTGCCTCACTTTCTGCGGACTCTGCCGCTGCTTTACTCCCTTTTCAAGCCAATGAGGAACCAATCGCCAATGCAGGAGAGATTGTTCAACCTGAACCATCCACCATCACCACCAACTCAACCGCTCTCCAATCTCTTCAGTCCCAACTCTCAAACATCTCCTCTTCACCCACTTCCCTTGCATACTGGCAACAAGCACTCCACGAGCTCTTCAGTGACCGCCACGTCGCCATCTCCCAGCGTGACCTGTCGACCCTAGCCGTCCAGAGCGCGGCAGCCGGCGCCGCAGTGATGGGCCTGGTGCTTGCACTGATCCGACATTGATCGGATGTGAGTCGATCCATCAAGATGGCTGCATCGACCCCCATGATTTTTCCTTGTGTTTGGCTTCATACCCTTCCTTCCTCTTGAGGCATATATTTCTGTACAGACCGAACATAGAAACCCTGGATATAGTCGTGGACAGACTCAGATCTAATGTATGAATAGATTCTGTATGTAACTGCATGAACTCGTTTGCCTTAGGCCTTCGTTTCAGATCGAAGCACACGTTTTGGCTGACTTTGTTTGGGAATCTAACCCAATGACATGGACTGCGATAACTGGCTGGAAGTGCTGCGCGCGTTATTGGGACCGGATAGACCACTGGTCAGGCTGCTGGCGTGGCAACCGGACTCATCGCTTCGATGGGCACGTTGCCGGATTTTCGAGATGTTCAGATGATACTGAAGGAGCGTGGTGCGATTCTGAACAGTGACAATTTGCCGAAGGGCATCGACCTGTAGTCGTGTGTATCTATAGGATAGGGAACAGCCTCCACCTCTAGAGTAGGGTCCATTACGGCGGGAAATTGTAGCATAGAAGATCTAATCGTCTGGTCTGGAACTGAAGGGAAAAAGTCGAACAAAGGAAATCTCATGAAGACTAGGCAATACACGAGGAAACTATAGAACACAAGTATTTATATACTCGAGGGGGGAGGAAAGAAAGAACATGCGCGATCAATCATCCTCTGTGCTTGTGGCCAACTTCCAATGAAAGAGATCAGATATACAGCGTCGGGAACCAAGAGTGTATAAGATTCTTGTCCATTAAAACACAATCTCTTAATCTTGACAGCCGCTCCGTCTAAAACAAAGGGAAAAATTGGCACAGACACATACAGACAGTATTCTTCCTCCTCCCCTCTCCACCTTCACCTTCACCTTCTCTCATCCACGATCGCAGTGCTGTGGCAACAGCGCGAGATGTATCGAATTGCTTACCCGATAACGAGGGTCTCGTCCTCGGGGAAGTTGTACTGAGGAACCTCCAGATTCAGAGGCGCAGGGCCCCTTCGGATACGGCCGGAGATATCGTAGTGGGAGCCATGGCAGGGGCAGAACCAGCCGCCGTAGTCGCCGGCCTCGCCGATGGGGACACAACCCAGGTGGGTGCAGACACCTGATGGAACAAAACCAGTTAGTATTGATCAGGGCAGTCGATATGTAGATATCCAGTCGACCTACCAAGCATGACCAGCCACTCGGGCCGCTGCACGCGGTCCTCGTCGGACTGGGGGTCGCGCAGATCCTGCCATTGAGCCTCACGGGCCTCGGTGATCTCATCCTGGGTGCGGTGGCGGATGAAGACGGGCTTGCCGCGCCACTTGATGATAACCTGTTTTTGGACAAATACGTTAGGACGGGGCCATCAGTTACGGAAAAAAAGGCAGGACACGTACATTCTTGCCCTCCGGGATGGCGCCGAGAGCGACCTCAACCTTGGCCTGAGCCAGGACGTCGGCGGAGGCGGACATGTTGACCAGGAAGTCTGGAGAGAATGTGCGAGTTAGCGAAATGTGCCGATCGGGTGGTGCGAGTCCAGCCACAATGCCATCTGATCTCATATGACTGTGTCTTTCCACCTCTTCTGCTCGCAGGGGACTGGAAAGGACAAAACCTACCCTGCACGGTAGCCTTGGCACCGACGGCAGAGGCCAGACCGAGGGACCCGGCCATGAAGTAGGAGAAGACCTGGTTGGAGCGAGGCGACTTGTTGGAGGAGTATTTGCCGAAATTAGGGATCTTCAGGGTCGAGGTGTACTCCTGGGAGCTGCCGAAGGGGCTGTCGAAGGACGACTTGTCCGAGACGGCCCTCCGCTGGCAGGAGGCGACCGCGGCCCGAGCGGTGGGCAGCTGCTGGCGGGCGCAGGTGCGCAGCAGAGTGGTGGAGGTGGCGGAGAGCGACATGGCGGGAGGTGGGAGAGGCAATTGACCAGAGGCAACGAGCAATTGCGTGGGGGGGAGGGAGAGGTGGGTGTAGTGTAGGGGAGAAACCAGGATTGATGATGGATGCAGTCGGGAAAAGTCGCTGTAGTCAGCAGAGCTTTCAATGGCCATCACCTGATTGGCTGTGGGGCCACGCAGTATACACTATGAGATGGACTCGCTATGGCCTTGATTAACGATAATAATTGTGGCAAGAAGACGAAGAAGAGAAACAATCATGAAGAGATCTCGTTTTTATTTTCTATTTGCCATGGTCCCCGGTGCCGGGGTCGCGGTATTCCAGCCCAGGTCCATCCGAACGCCAGCGCAAAGACACCAAACTCCAATGCTTCCCTCAATTCACTCTTTCATTTCCACATCGTGATCATGGCTCATCGTCCCATAACTCCCCGGCGCAGGGATTGGTTCGACTGTCCGATCCACCACCAGCGCACTCACCGACCCGGACGCGTGCATGACCACCGGTGCCCGAGGAGTCGCTGGCGCTGGTCGAGGCTCTTCGTCTGCGGGTGCCATAACCACTGCCATTGGATCTTCAGCTGCGTTACCGTTCACCTTGTTGCCAGGCGCACCGGTGCCGTTCAACGTGCGCTGGCCCTTCTCCATGACAGCGCCACCACCGCTCGTCCCAGCCGCCTCCTTGGCTTTCTTCTCCTTAAATTGCTTGTAGGTGGTTGTCTTGGGAATCACATCGGCGAGGAACTCGAGGTTGTCAATGTGTGATACTGCGGTCGCTGCGGCATGTCAGCATTATCGTTCGGTAGTTAAAGCAAGCAACCAACGCACCGAGATCTCTGTATTGGACGGTCTTCCGTGGTTTCCGTTCTGATTTGACGACGTTATGCCCTTGCTCGGCAAGGTAATGGATGAACATTTCCTGGAACCCCGGTCAGTTGGGACACGACCGCGGATAGACAGGCGCGTACTGTGGCCATGGCGATCACAAAGGTCGCGTTGTTGGAACATTGCACAATATCCTCGTCCAGATGGACGATCTTTTTGATTCGCGAGACTGACGAGTTCGTGTTAGCTGTATGGGTGTCGCGAGTCGTGGGTGGGTGGGAACGGACTCGGGAGAGCGCACTGCCCGGTGATTTCTTCAGGATCGCCTGCGTGCTTGGGTGGCATGGTGAATGTGATCTTTTAGTGAATATTCTCGAGAAATATCGAGGAAGGTATGGATAGAGAGAGGTTGGGTCGATTGTCTGGGGTCGAGAGTGAAAGCGAAAGGGAAAGCGGAAGTTGGAATCTACGCGTTATCGAACTTCACCCTTATCGACGGGCCACTTCATTTCGTCTTCTTTGTCACGTCTCGACTGTCAACCATCCACCTCCCCCGAGGAACTTGTCTCCTCTAGATTGCGGTTGAAATCAATCCCTTCCCCCCCCCATCTAGCGGACTCCAGCGATTCATCCCACACGGCGTCTCTGGAAGACAGCTGTCCCCGTCCATCCCCATCACCTCGCCGATTATGCTAGTACAATCCACTCGATCGATGTTATGACCTCCTCGCGCCCTTCCTCGAACTTCGCCCGGTCCCACCGGTCACCGTCCGTTCTAACGGAGCGCCGCGATGTCCAAAGGCTCTCAGGTCGCTCCGTTACGTCCCTCGACCCAGATCCGGCCCCCGACGCCGAACCCCCGGCTGTCGCAGAGGAGATCAGCGAGATCAAGCGATACGAGGATTTCACAACGATAGACTGGGTGCAGGATGCAGTACACGAACAGGCGCGGCGGCGAGCTAAGCGCCGGAGCGGCCAAGGGTTCTGGGACCAGGAGGGTACCTTTGGTTGGAGGCGGAAACTATACGAGTCCTACGATGCAGGCCAGGCCTGGCTTGTGGTCACTTTGGTTGGCATGGCCATCGGAGCCAACTCGGCTTTTCTCAATATCATCACCGAATGGCTGTCTGACGTCAAGCTGGGACATTGTACAACTGCATTTTATTTGAACGAGCAGTTTTGCTGCTGGGGCGCTGAGGATGGTATGATACCCAAAACGTGCACATGAGGGATGTTTGACTAATGGTGGGTAGGATGCCCCGAGTGGAAGCATTGGACTGGCTTTGCGCCGTTCAACTACGTTATCTATTTCTTCTTTGCGGTACGACTTTCCCTTCCCCCGAGATTATGATACCGTGGACTGAGCACGGTTTAGATTTTACTCGCTTTTATTGCCGCCATTTTGGTAAAATCCTTTGCGCCATATGCCGCAGGTTCCGGTATTTCGGAGATCAAATGCATCATCGCTGGGTTTGTCATGAAGGGTTTCCTCGGCGCGTGGACTCTTCTGATCAAATCGATTGCGCTGCCATTGGCCATCGCATCGGGTCTGTCTGTTGGTAAAGAGGGACCTAGTGTACACTTCGCCGTGTGTACGGGCAATGTGATATCGAGGATGTTCGGCAAATATAAGCAAAATGCTTCGAAGACGAGAGAAATCCTGACTGCCTCGGCGGCAGCCGGCGTGGCTGTTGCTTTTGGCAGTCCTATTGGAGGTGTGCTTTTCTCATTAGAGGTAGGCCATGCAAACTGTTGATAGGTGGGATGCATGCTAAAGGTCGACAGGAAATGGCCAACTACTTCCCACTGAAAACGCTGTGGCGAAGCTACTTCTGTGCCTTGGTAGCGACCAGTGTGCTGGCGGTACGTTAGCAGTCTGAGTATGATCTACATTACCACTGACTTTGACCCAGGCTCTGAATCCTTTCCGCACTGGGCAACTGGTTATGTTCCAAGTGGAGTATGACCGCAGCTGGCACTTTTTTGAGCTAATCTTCTTTGCATTGCTTGGAGTCTTTGGAGGTCTGTATGGTGCTTTCGTGATCAAATGGAATCTCTGGGTCGCTGCGTTCCGCAAGAAGTATCTGGCACCGCACCCAATCATGGAGGCCGTGGTCCTTGCCGGCTTCACTGCCCTTATTTGCTATCCGAACATGTTCCTGAGGATCAACATGACGGAGATGATGGAGATTCTCTTCCGTGAATGTGAGGGTGGCCACGACTATAACGGATTGTGCCAGTATGACTTTTTCCATTTCCACTCATAAGACAACTGTTCTGACGTGCTTGTTACAGGCCTTCACATCGGTGGTCAATGGTCATGTCGCTGGCTGTCGCCACCATTCTTCGCATCGGCCTAGTCATCATCTCGTATGGCTGCAAGGTCCCCGCAGGTATCTTCGTTCCTTCAATGGCAATCGGCGCTTCATTTGGTCGCATGGTTGGTATCATGGTCGAGGCTCTGCATCATTCCTTCCCCAAAGCCGCTTTCTTTGCATCTTGTGAGCCAGATGTCCCCTGCATTACACCAGGGACCTATGCATTCTTGGGCGCTGGTGCAGCGCTCAGTGGGATCATGCACCTGACCATTTCTGTTACGGTCATCATGTTCGAGTTGACCGGCGCGCTAACCTACATTCTTCCGACTATGGTATGTCTAATACTTGTGGATCATAAAAAATTCATACTGACACCTGTTAGATCGTCGTTGGTGTCACCAAAGCCGTCGGAGACCGGTTTGGAAATGGAGGTATTGCAGACCGGATGATCTGGTTCAACGGGTTCCCATTCCTAGACAACAAGGAGGACCATGTCTTCAACGTGCCCGTCTCGCACGCAATGACAACGGAGCCACTCACGTTACCGGCCTCGGACTTTCCCGTGCGTGAGGCAGAGCATCTGCTAAGCGACAACAAATTCCAGGGTATCCCGATTGTGGAAGACCGCAGCAACAAGATCCTGGTCGGGTATATTGGACGCACAGAGCTCCGCTATGCCATTGACCGCGCGCGCAGCGAGGGTCTCATCTCCCCGACAACGCGATGCGTGTTCACTCAGGAGGCAGCCGAAGCGACCGTCGCGCGACGGGCGTCAGTTCCCTCGCAGGCGGCACGCAGCACGGCGACCCTCGACGCGATCCAGGAGGGCGTGGACTCGGGCTTTGTCGACTTCTCGCGGTACGTGGACCATACGCCGCTAACAGTCCACCCGCGCCTGGCCCTGGAAACGGTCATGGAGATCTTCAAGAAGATGGGACCGCGGATTATCCTCGTCGAACATCGCGGCCGCCTAACGGGACTGGTCACAGTGAAGGACTGCCTGAAGTACCAGTTCAAGGTCGAGGCGGAAGAACAGGCCCTGGTGGCTACTAGCTCTGCGGCCTTTTCATCTTCGCTAGGCGGCCACCTGAATAATGCCCCAGAGTCTATGGAAGAGCGCCTGTGGCGACTCATCCAGACCGTTGCTGGCTTTGTATCTGGTAAAATAGGCCGACGCCCTGTCCGGCTACGCGGCGGACCAAGTCCTTCGGCTCCGGATTCGGGGATTTTGGATGGAACGGAGGAGGACGGGGTTGTGGAGCTGGAGGATAGGGAGTCTGGGGTTCGGGGACAGAGACAGTAGACGTGTGGCTGTATGTATATCTGCTCGATAGAGGGTCTGGTTAAATGGCGTTCCCATCCATCTATGACGGTGTTGTCGAGGTACCTAGATCCTGTAAATTATCGTTGCTCAAACCCAGAAAGGAAGCTAGTGATTGACATGTATCAAATGTATATAGGTATAAGCCGTAACCAAATTAACTCCGAATGACCCAAAGAAGATATCAACTGCTTTCCTCCCGCATCCCAACAAGAATACACCCAGCACCCATCATCGCAGCGCCCAGCCACCACAACCCGCCCACAGCCTCCCGAAACACCAACATGCCCAGCATGGCAGTAGTAAGGAAATTCGACGAGGTATTCGTGATAGACACTTTCGTCGTAGAAGGCCCAGCGGTTAGGGCGCGGGTGAAGAGAGCCCACATGATGATGTTGCAGAGGACGTTAAGGCCGAGGCAGATCTATTTCCCCCAAGTCCCAATTAGCTCGAGTCTCCAAAGCGAAGATATGATGTAGGACTTGGACTTGATGGTAGGAGAGGAGAATGGCAGAGAAGGTGAAGTAAAGAATAAAGCAGAAAAAGAAGAGGAAAAGGAGTACATACCCCCCTCACAACGAGCTCCAGAAACGGGGACCCGTCCGAGCCGAAGAGATGCGCGACTGCTTGCGCGAAGGCTGTGGTGTGGGTATCTGTTGTTCTGGCAGTGGAATTATAGTTAGTTACTGTGATTGCGTTATTTGATCGTAGACTGGATTGCGTACAGTTTGGCGAAGAGCCCGTTCAGCGCGGCGAATGCACCGCTGGCGATTGCGAGGAGGATCCATGGGGAGCGAGGAGTGGCGGTGGTGGGATGGGCGGGTGGGGGAGACATTTTGTGGATATTGGATGTCTGGAGGGGAGGAATCGCAGGCTTGGCGGGGTATGAGGACCGGGGAAAGTGGTTGGAAGGCGCGAAGAGATGAGTTGTAGCTCGAAAGAGAGAGAGGTCGGAGAGGGTTGATGCCAAGATTGATAGATAAGATAAGGACGGATCTTCTATTTTTTGGGATGGACATGAATGTTTATAGCAGAATCGAGTGGGGAGATATACATAATTGTAGGAAAAACTTGAGTTCATTTATTTCTTCAATTCGAAAATCCCAATCGAAGATCAATAACATCTCAAACTAATCAACATGACCAAAATTATAGCCAAAGATAGAAGACATCCACTTCCCCCAGTTACAACCTCATCGCGATACCAGTACCTTAACTAGGCCTGACAGACATAAGTGACAGGCTGACCCCCTGCATAGCGGCACAATTAAGGCCCTCGCAGCATCCTTCACTGCATGCTACGCCCACTACATCAAATCATCAGCTCTTGCTATCCTACCTATATTCTAGGAGGATCCACGTACCACCTCCACATCTCTTCTCCAGGCCTTCAGCGCTGGCCAGAGCGGCGAGTACACCCAGGATAGCTAGGCTGAAGAAATTCATGATGAATGGAATGGATGGGGTGTGGTTGTATATGAGTGAGGAAGAAGAAGAGCGTGGAAACCTTTATTACATCTTATCAATCTCCTCTTTACGATGTTGGCTCCCTATTTATATGCTAGATACGGCCCTGTAAGATCCTTCTTGTCTCCCGATTTCGGAGAACCAACAGCCCCCAATTCTCAAAATTGGGCAGGATGCTTAACGTTCTGGATCCATCAGGAATATATGGATACCCAGATCTGCACCGGAGAGAGATAATATGTGATGTATACTTGTCAGGATCTGGGATTCTAAGTTAAGTTAGGGTTACCTAGTATTCTACCATGTTTAGCTTCTCAATCCAACGACCAGATAATGTATCGTATTCGCCATTATACTCTTAACTTATTATTCTAGGCTTTTAACCTACAATCGAGGGCCGATGACCACTTTCACCAGTAGTACATACAACCATTCCCCCGATTCAAGGCGACAACCTCTGCAACCGCCAACGCGCACCCTCGCCCTCCCCCTCGAGCCTCACATACCGAAACCGATCATGCAGTCGACTACGGCGACCCTGCCAGAACTCCACTGACTCCGGGACAAGACGCACCCCACCCCAAAACGGCGGCAGCGGCACATCCAGCACACCAGCAAACCGCTCCTCCATCTCCTTAACCCTCTGCTCCAGCAACGCCCGCCCATCCTCAATATCCGTCTCGTCAATATCAGCCGGGATATCATCGCACGGCGTCCCCGCCTCCGCGGAAGCCTGCAAGCGCGCGACGCTCTTGCGCCGCTGACGCTCTGCCAACTTGACCGGTTCTGCAGACCACAGCACGCGGCTCTGCCAGCTTGCCCATGCGCCGATCTGGCTGCCTCGTTCGCGCGTGCGCCAGTACATCTCGCTCTCAGAGCGGCTGAGCGGTTCGAGGAGTCCCTCCACGCGGACTTGGCGCTCCGTAGTCCCCCAGCTGAATGTCAGCGCGGCCCATTTGTTGCCCATCTCCGCAGCTGGTGCCTTGGATGAACCATTCTCCTGCCCGGGCTCCGGCATAGAACCCAACACATCCCGCCCGCCGTCGGCAAGTTTCCCAAACACCTGCCCGCCCTTCCCCTCACGACTCCCCCAATTGCTATAAACTACCCACCCGCGCTCGTCCAATTCCTTGAGATAGACCACCCGCGCACTGACCCGGCCAGAGGGCATAGCGGCCGTTGCGAGCGTGCATGTTTCCGGCGCAGAGGTGGAATGCAGCCGCGGATCGCGGAACCAGGAGTGGAATTGGTGCAAGGGATTCGTGCCGTGCATTTGAGACACGGTTAAGGGCGGGTTGGTTACGAATTGGTGTGCTCGTGCGGGGTGCGAGAGTACCCGTTGCTCGGTGGTCGAGTTGGGCGTTGAGGTCTCGGAGCGTAGGGACTCCGCGACGGCGGCGGCGGGAGTGAGGTAGGATGGAATCGCGTGCTGCGTCTGGTTGGCTTGCGATTCTGGGGCCGAGGGGTCGATGTCGCCTGGTGCAACTGGTGGAGGGGAAATGTAAGTTAGTTTGAGGAGATTGATGGAAAGAGATAGAGAGAGAGAGCTTGTAGAAGGTAGGTACATACAGATCAGCTTCTTGGGCCGTCGAGCGTTGACGTCCATAGCTGTTGCGTCGTCGTGCGCCATCTTAGCTTTTGTTGAGGGCCGGTTTGCGTCGATGGAATACCAGTGTCGTAGGCGGGGTTGGCGGGAAATGGTCCGGATGCGACGGAGAAGAGTGTTGCGGGTAATCGTGGAGGGCCCGCGGGAGGAGAGCATTAAATGTGGACACCAATTACCAGTCCAACGAGGTCGGGGGAGTCCTCAATAGAAGTATGTCGTCGGAGTACAATAAAATGTCGTGGGGAAGAGAAAGAAGCGGGAAGCTGCGGAGGATGACTTGTCACTCCACGCATCAATCATCAGATCTATAAGAGCTAAGACAATGGCACGTTTTTGTACAGTTAATTTTTTTTTTATTCATTTCCGCGGCATTATTTGCCGGTGAAGAGTGGGAGAGGGTCTATAAACAACAGAAAAAAAAATATGGTATACAGATGCTGGGAACACCATCCCTTTTGAACTCCGGAACAGACGCCAGTAAAAACCTCGCTGGATGCCAAAAATCCCCAGTAAATCAAACCCAAATCAGACAGAGATATTCCCACCTGGTATACCCATACCATGACCGCCCTACATGCGCCGGAAACCAAACCAGACCAAGGGGTCCAGCCCCGGCAGTGAGATGTAGGGGTGATAATGTGTGCGTGTGTTTGTCACACATCACAGTGACTGAATCGAACAGTAGTCTGGTCGAAAAGTATCGACAGGAGAGAAAAGGTGGAAGGATGCTTAATTGGAGGGAACGGTGCCGCCGACCAGATCCATGATCTTGCCGGCCACGGCGGACGGGTATCCGCGCGACATCATCTCCTGGACGATGGTGGTGGCGCTCGCGCGGTCGTCCGCGCCCAGAAATGCTCGGGTCATCGCTTCGTAGGTGCTGGGCTCACGTTTCGCAAGACCGATGCTATTATAGATGGCCTTGGCCTTGGAGACGCTGCCCTCGGTGGCCCATCCGTGGATGAGAGTGTTGGCGATATATGCGGTCATCTCAACCTTACGCTTGAGCATGCCCTGGACAATCTCCTCGGTGTCTGCCACCCGGTTGTTGGCGACCATTGCCTCGAAGAGGGCCTGGTACAGACACGGCTGCGGACGCACGGTGGGATCGGCCACAACCGAGTCAAACACCTTTCGGGCACCGTCTAGATCATGTTGCACGCAGCCCTTGGCGTGGATGAGAGAAGCGTAGTGAACGGCATCAGGTCGTTGCCCAGCAGCCCGCATCGACTGCAGGATCTTCTCAGCCGCGTCCATGTCGACCGGCTCAAGCGAAGCATGAGCGTCGATGAGCAGCTTGTAAGTGTGCATCGTCGGCTGGATCTTGCGAGCCTGCATGCGCTCATAGTATGACAAAACCTTGCTGCGGTCGCGCTTCGTGGTGAGGAAATACTGGATCATGGAGTTGTACGGCGCGGGCCGCGGCTTGTAGTTGGGCATCGACTCCATCTCCTCAAACATCTCCTCGGCGAACCGCTCGTCGCTCACACGGCACAGAGCATTGACGATTGTTCCGTAGGTGACGCTGGTCGGGCGCACGTTGTTGGTGCGCATCTCAGCAAAATATGCGAGACAGTCGTCAATGCGGCGAGCCTTGCCGAGCTTGCCAATCAGGGCATTGTACAGGAACGATGTGGGCTCCACGCCCTCCGCAACTGCGCGGTGGAAAATCTTGAGGGCCTCGGTGGCTTCGTCGAATGTCTTGGTCGACTCCTTGAGGGTGGTGATGTACAGCCCGAAGGTGTTGGCTGAAGGGGCAGATCCAAGACCCAGAAGCTCCTGATGATATTGACCGGCCAGCTGTCGGTCACCGAGAGTAAGGCAAGCAGCGACCATGGCGTCGAGAATTGAGACCCAACCGTACTTGACGAGGTGGTACGCCGGGTTAAGGGGGACATCGGCCCGGGCCATACCCAGGATCTCGTGCACCGAGTCCATGCGGCCAACCTTAGCGGCAGCAGTAATCAGCTTGGCGTAGGTGATGTAGCGAGGGTGACGGCCGATACGGCGCATGTTCTTGACTCGGATCATCGCCTCATTGAGATGGGTCTCGGCGCGGCCGGTCGTCTTCTCAAGCTCCTCTGCGATGATGGCAGATCCCCGAAAGTCGGTGGCATATGCATAAGGGTCGACCGAATCCGGGCCGGATGACGTCGGGGTCGTGATCGACGTCTCTGCCATGGAGATGGGGCTCTGGCGGTCGGACTGCAAGGATGCTTGGGTCGACCCTTCCAAATACTCCTGCCACTTCTTGACAACATCCGGCCGGCTGGTGAAAAGCTTGCCGATGGCCTGGTCAATCAGACCAGTCGTGTATGTGTCAATGGGAATGGCAGTCGACAGAGCCACATCAAGCATGTGCGCGAAGCGGACCGGGTGAGCAATGTCGAACAGCAGGGTGCTATTGTTAGCCAGCATGCCGGCCTGGACCTGAAGGGCAAGGGTGAGGTCAGCGGGGCTGAGCTGGGAGATGCCCATGGGCCCCAGACTGGCGACAGCGTGCTCGGCAAGAGGGGACACAAAGCCACCGTTCTCAACCATGGACCAGAGAAGGGTCATAACCGCTTGAGGCGAGAGCACGGCGGCAGTCTGGATAAGCACTCGGCCAAAGAGATGAAGGGTCTCGGTGATCTGCTCGTAGATGGGAGATGCAACGGCAGCATCCTCAGCAAAAGCGTTCCGGATACGGGCGAACGAGTTGCGGGCTTCCTGTAGGGCTTCTTCGACCTGGCCACTCTTGATCAATGCAATCGAGTACATGGCGGTCGGCTGAACCATAGTCGGAGTCGGCCGACCCACGGTGTTCAACATGATCCACAAGGAACGGGCCGCGGACACATTGCCTTGGCGGATATGAAGAGCCATTAGAGAGATCGCAGGATTCTGCCGAGCATCAGGCGCGGTAGGTAGACGATCGTACGCCTCGGAAGCGGTGGCCAGATCGCCTGCATCGGCGGCGGCCATGCAAATCCGAGAGATGGCCTGATCCCGAGCCTCATCGTGCAACTCCATCTTGGCCTGCTCGAGGGCCTTGCCGTGCTCTCCAGCGTCTAGCGAGTGCTGCACAAGAGCATCTTGGATGATAACCGACTCGACGGCGTCCCAACGAGCCTCGCGGCTCTCCGTAATGTCGTCAAACGAGGAGCGCACGCGATCGAGGAAGTGGAACGCGCCCTCGTTCTTGCCGCAAGAGAGATAGGCGCGGATCAAAGCAGCATAAACCTGACCGTCCAGGCGCTGAACGATACTGAACACTCCATCGTCGTCAGAGACAGCAAGACTTCGGTACTCGTTGTAGCATTCCACAGCGCTCTTGAGATCGCCGCTGGCCGCAAACGCATCGATCATAGACGGGAAGATGGTAGCATGGGGAATCACCTCCTGCGTCTCCATGTGGGCAAAAATGCGGATCATGTCCTCCACCTTGCCTTCTTCAGCACAGGCGATGATGAGATGTCGGTACATCTCCCGCGGGAACACGAGCTCGGCATGACGGGTCGTGGCGGTGTCAAACAGTTTCACAGCGATAGACAAAGAGTGATCCTCCGCCAAAATGTCGCGCTCCAATTCACTCGACTGAAGCATGAACTTGCCAGGCTCCTCCATGCCACCGAAACGGATCCGCTCCTGCTCCAGCACTTCCTTGGCCTTGATTGTATCGTGAGCTCGAGTCACCAACAGCTGGACCAGGGTCTGGTAGGTATCTTCGTCGGGAATTACCCTTCGACGAAGCATATCGGAGTAGACATCGAGGGCCTTGGGAATGGCCAGCACGGCGTCGGGGTGAAGTCGGATAGCCGCGACGAGGAGGGCATTGTACGCCTCCACTGTCGGGGTCAGCCCGTCCTTGAGCAAGGACTCGAAGGCAGCCGGGATCTCTGCATAATTCTTCTGGGTGGCCAGATGTACAATTCGATCCGAGGCGGTCTTGGTCGCGTCAGACACGGGGTCCGAGGCAATGGTCTCTTCGACTGCGGATTCCGCAGTGGCCTCTGACGCCTCCAAAGCCTCCTCGGCCTGTGCCTGCTCCTCCTGGATCTGAATTTCTCGAGCCACGGCTTCCTCCACCTGTGCACTGACATCCTCATTCACAGCCGCCTTGGTCAGATGGGGCGGCGCGGACTCGGACCGAGACTCTTGCACGGCATGGTCACCCTCTTCCACAGACTCGGGCTTCCACCCGATGCGGCGCTTGAACTGAAACTGGGTCCAATCACTGTCATCGCCGGTCTGCTGTGCGTGCTGCCAGGCAGCGTAGTACGCGGCTAGACCGAAATCACCAGACCCGGAGCCACCCTGGCTGGCCTTGGCGCCGGCGCCGGAGGAGCTGGACGCGTTCGAGAAAGCATTTTGCAGCTGGGTGGTGCGGGAGAACTTGGCCGGGGTGCAGGCGAGGTTGTTGAAAGTGGTGGACGACGCGTAGGAGGACTGCGACGCCGCGACTACCGACTGGGCATAGCCATGGGTGAAGGCTTTGGCGAAACTCTGACGCGCGAGATGGGTGAACGGCTTAAACACCATTTATCTAGCGGGGGACCTCTTCAGAGTGAAGAGGCAATGCTAAATGTGCCGGTTAGTTTTCCAGTCTCGGTGCGAGGGAAGAGCAGTCCATACGTCGCACTCAGAATTGTATCTAAAGTGCAGGTTCATTGGACGACACGTGAGTCGCCAATGAACGCGCTGAGGGCGAAAGGGAAGGGGAAGAGTTGTTGTAGTCGTGAGTAAAAAGACCTGTGTCTGAGCACCAGGTCCAAGGATTGAAGGATGACGGAGAGAAGAAGAAGGAAGGATACCAGGCAGCCAACAGGTAAAAAGTTAAAAGGCCAAGATGGAGAAAACTAGTTGTGCGGGCCCCTGACAGGGAAAGTGTACAGGGCCGATCCGGAGAAAGGGCGCGCAGGTATCAATACTTGTCCTGCCCTACAGACTTCTAGGGGATTACCCGTACCAGTACATCCTCTCCGATTATCTGATCGTCCATCACTACTCGGCAGGTCACTGGTACCTGGCGTGTTGTGTGCGATCCCACGCTTCATGCAGGTACTCAGTACCTCCCTGCATTCCGTCCGCAGGTCAGGTGGCTACCCGCGACTCGGGAAGCATCCACCAATCACGGGGCGCCCAGTGCCAGGCATGAGTCACGCTGGCTCCGGTTCATTTTCTTCGGAGCTGCGTCGTTCCTTCCCCGGCGGTCTCTCGGGAGCCCGACTGCCCGAGTTACACTATGTACATAGTCGGGGTTAACGGTGTTTTGCTTCATCCGTGGAGAGTCCGAGAGAAGTGAGGTATTTACACAGCCCACGGAGGGTTACGGACGAAGTTCTAGTCAGCACTAAGCAGCCTCATGATGTCAGACAACCGTTATGAACACGCTGTCATCCTCGCAGCAGCAACCAGAATAACAAGAATGGAGGAATCACCCATCTTCGTGATGGCCAAGCCATTGCTGCCAAGGCCTCATGAAGGGTCACGTGGTGTTCGACCACCAGAACCGCATGATGAGTAATTCGACTGAGATCTAGTTAACACATCAATTCAAGCTTCGAATCATATGACTGGAACAGAGGCCGAGCCTGCAGACCGCGTCTAGCCACCTGCCGTAAGGTATTGGATGTCATAGACTTCATTCCTATTGCCACCGCGACAATAGCAAAGTGCTGATATCTCGCCGTCCATGGTTGCATCGACCCTTTTGGGTCTCCCCGACTATACCCAGCAGACTTGATTGGAGGCCAAATCCCTGCAGAACTATACAATTCGAGAACTCATGTGGCTGACATCATGATGACCCCGCGGCTCCTTCAGCACGAACACGTAAAAGCAATCATCCCAACGACCTCAAAAGGTGCAATGCAAGCTTATCTGAACAACCCGCAATGTACTCTGCAGTGATCAGACGAACCATCAAGCCCTCCGGGCTGCATATCACCAAGCTCGCTCGCGCAAGCTACGCGGACAAAATTCCCCATACTCCTTCCTCGGGTGGAAGTGAAGGTGAGATGCCAATTCTAGGTATTCGTCGCCAAGTATAACTGATCGAGCTCTGGGGTCCCAGACTTTGTGCACGCCTCTTTCCCCGATGATTTTGAATCGTCGCCCTTGCGGCCCGATCTCCAGGGCCCCAAGACGAATGTGAAGGGGAGTAAGGAGGCGGCGCTGCATGAAGCTTCGGTGGGTTTTCTGTCATGCTCTACTAATAGACGTTATGCTGATAAGTATGCACCTTCATTAGACTCAGGCGAAGCAGGGACAGGCGCAGTCTCCTGCAGCGCAGCGTGCGAAGAACGAAAAGGATCCGACGTTGAATGAGAAAGAGCCTGAGTTGGACGAGATGTGATTCTGGTTAGTTTGGTCCGGGGGCAGCGAGTATATCAAAATTGGGTATTTAGATAGTTGGATATTTCTTGACTTTCGTGTCCAGTATGGGTGCTCCACATTTGGAAGTAGAATATCCCTCGAGTTAATATCATGCTTTCGTTGACGGAGACTCTTATGGTAACCGACAGAGACTATTCTTCCTCGGATCCCCTAGACCCTGCCCTGCAGCTTGCCGTCAAAACCAAATCCTTCCTCGGACATCACACCGACGATGAACCCCATCGTCGATCAAATCCACGTCGCTTGGGAGCCGAGTTTGACCGTTACGCTGACCATGGGGGCCAGGGCGTCCTGAAAGTATCCATCTCATTCGTCCAGCTCACCCAACTAAAGAGTACCTGGCTGACCGCGAATAGTATCTGATCTGCCAGCTCTCCATGTCGGAAGGAAGCCAGCCCTCCGTCCTTGGCTTGTGCGAGTCTCGGCGCGCCCAGCGCGGGATTTCCATCCTCGAAACCCCCTAATGCAGGAGTACTCTAGTCCGATCAGTCCCCACGGTCACGCGAACGATCCCGTGTGGGGGCTGCTGCCGATTTTACATACTTATACCTCCCACCGTTGCCTGAATTTGGCCTAATACTTCCGTGACTAAACCCAGAAACGACTTCCGGCCCCGTTCCGGCTCCGGTTTGATCTGCAGGGCTGACACTAGACGGGAATAGCATTAATAATTCCCCTCCGCAAAAAGCCTCACGTCGAGAGGGGGTGCGGGATGCTATGAGTCACTCAGGACCCGCGATCTGGTACCTGGTTGCGGACAGCCCTCATTATTTCATCATCACCGAGAATCCATATCTCGCGTGGGCGATCTGACCCACTGGTTACTCGCTGTACTCACCACTACTGTACAGTACTCTTTTGAACGCATAGAATAGTACCGGACTTGATTCCTGGTTGAAATTGGGTCGATTTGTAGAGCCAACTCTATAGGAGTAGTGGATGTAAGTAGGTATAATAGTATATGGGTTAACCCCACCGCATGCCCAGCGGTGGCTTGCATCATGAGAATCCATACTACATAGCGTCAAGCCAGGCGTGTCTCACTACTAAAAAAAAAGGGAAAGCGCCCCTGTACATGGCGTGAGTCTCGCCCCGCGGAAGTGTACAAGAGGGTCTAATGTCGCAGAAGGGCTGCATTACTGGTTTGTAAGCGTATTCCTCCGGCTGTTCTCCGGGCGGAAAAGAAGCAATGCCAAGAACCCAGTACATAATATTTTCCTCTCGTTCCTCTTCACTTACAGACCGTAGGAATGGCAAAGCGACGCAAATGGAGCATCTTACTCGATTTGGGCTCGCCACGTGATCCGTCGGGCCCATTTTGCCCTAACAAGTATCAGATCAGACGGATATACGGAACGGTGGTCAGGGTCGTGTACAGTAGCCCGGAGACCTGACGATCAAATTGTGGATCTCTTCAATGGGTCTTTTCCGTCTTGTTACTATTCGATCAGCCCTTCGCCTAGTTAGGCATGACAGTTCGATCCAAATTCGACCCGTGGCCCACTTGGATTTTTTTTTTTCGTAGTAAAGTTCCCGGGAAACACGAAGTAGGGATCCGGATCTGTGCGCCATGTGGTCTTCCTACGTAGTATGGCCGCCACACCCGTTCCGAGTGGCCAACGATGAATTCATCTGCGCCCACATGGAATGGGATGACCAACAAGGGAAAAGCGGCCTGTCTCTGCATACCATGTTGCAGCACGGGCAACGCGCGAGGACTAATAGGAATCCGAACAAGTGATATCCGTCGTCGCAAGAGCCCGCGGGCTCCTTTTATATTTGGCGTACATGTACGATGATGTGCGATTGACAACGCTTGAGGAGTATGGATACTAAACGGAGTATTCATCGTCGACGAACGTGCCCCCAGTGGGTCTGGATCGTCGTTCCCATGACGATACTCATTTCCTCAACAGGGCCGGGTCCTGCGTCATCCGTGCCTGTTTGTCAGAACATACATACCTCATTATTAGACCGCCCAAAGGCCCAATTTCACGCGGATGGTAACGGCAAATCTGAAGAAATCGCAGGAGGCAAATATGACTGCTGATTAGAAATTATATGGTTATCTGGAAGGTGAATGCTTGGTTCGGGTTTAAGCCACTGCCGGACTATCCGGGACGGGAACAAGCTTCCAGGTCTGGTGACAATCCACATTCACGGCAGGTATGGTCTTGGCGAATGGATTTTCTTTTTGAATCGACGGAGATATTCGTGATTGCTTATAAATGGCACCGGCCCCGGTCTGTAACTAGTTCGGAGTGAGCTCAAGCCAAAAAAAAAAAAGTACACCGGCATCTTCCTCTTACACCGCTACCCCTATATACATACAAACACTCTTCTCTTTGTTTGGTCATAAAATATAGGGTATATCCTGTACAAAGCTTCATCATGGTGTCACAAACGCTGCTGGAGACACCGCGCCATCCTGGGCGGAGCGAGCGTGGCTCCGAAAGCGATAGCTCGTTGGACGAGATCGCGCAAGAGAAGCACAAGTTGATGGTGACCGGCTTTGCCCTGGGAAAGCACGCAAAGGTCCTCGACAAGTCCGCGTCGCCGAAGCGGTGGAAGTCTTTCTGGACGTCATTCCGCTACCTGGCCAACCTGACACCAAAAGAAGTAGATGACTTCATGGCATCATACGTCATCTACAACCTCGACTGGTCCAATGAAGAGCAAATGCTGAAGGTGCTGGGCCCTGACTATCAAGCGAAAGTGGGAGACTGTCTGAAATCTTACTATGGGGTGTTGAACCACCTCTGTGCTCTCGGTGATGTCGAGAAAATGGTGAGCGAATCGGTTCCAAATCTTTAAACCATTTCCACTAACCGGTATAGTACATCCCGCCATGGATGAGCCGCAAGGCCAACGTTCTGGAGAACCAAATTCTGTACGAGCGATCAATTGCGCATGACGTCGCCTTAACCGCCGGAGATAAAGTGCTCGATCTGGGCTGCGGCCGTGGCCGGGTAGCCGCCCACATGGCGCAGTATACCGGAGCTCATGTCACCGGCCTCAACATCGACCCCAACCAAGTCGCCCAGGCCAAGACCTTTAACGAAGAGCGCGGCCTGCAGAACAATTTTATCACCCAGGATTTCAACAGTCTGCCGCTGCCCTTTGCCGACGAGAGCTTCGACGCCTTCTACCAGATCCAAGCCTTAAGTCTATGCAAGGACCTTCCCGCACTCTTCAGCGAGGTCTTCCGGGTAGTCAAGCCTGGTGCGCGCATCTCACTGCTCGATTGGATCAGTCTGCCGGCCTACAAGCCAGAGAACCCAGAGCACGCCGAGCTCATGCGTCGCGTCAAGCCTCTGATCGGCGCCGTCGGCACCCCAACCCAAGAAAGCCTGGAGAAGGCGCTAACGGACTCCGGATTTGAGATCGTGCGCTCGGAAAACGCCAGCATCGACGGCCTGCAGGCCCCGCTGATTGACACCGTCGATGTCTACTTCCGCACCCTGCGTCAGGTCATCCTCGGGCTCGTCAAACTTCACGTCCTGCCCCGCCACTTCAAGACGCTGATCAACCGGCTATGTCTGGACGGACAGGCGTTCGTCAAGATGGATAGCATGCGTCTGGCAACCACCAGCTACAGCATCATTGCGCAGAAGCCCCGGCGAGTATAGAATCGGAGTATTATTTTTCCTGACAGGTCCCACCTGAAAGACGTGGGTGCGCGATCGATCGTTCCGGCGATGAATGGCAGATTAACTCCGGGCTGAATCATAGAATTGTTCTGGCCATTCCCCGGAATAAGCTGAGGATCAGGAAGATGCTCAGAAGTCTGGATCCAACTTTGCCGCCGTTTTCGTTCTCGGTCTCGGTCTCGGTCTCGCCCCGCCGCACCAGGACCTGTCAAACTGATCAATGCGAATACCCTAATACCCTGTACAGTAATCACGGCATTAGATGGTTTTGGGAGTTCAAGGCTGCTTTTCATTGCTTTTTTTCTTTTTGGTTTTTTTGTGAACAGTTTCCGAAGATCTTTGCGGTTGCTTCTCGTGTTTTCTCATGGCGTCCTGGAAGAGTTCATTGTCAATTTCAATCAATCAATGCAGCATACCACTTGATTTTAGTTTTCAATTCTTTCCACTTTGTGTTCTGTCCGGCTGTATTTATGGGGTTGTACAACATGACGCAGCCACCCGATCCAACGGCTATGTTTTTATTTGCAAGTAGGAAAGCCACTACGGACCAGGCACTACTGATTGATCTGACAGCCAAAGATCACAATTATGATAGGCAAGTACATTTGAAAATAGTTTGTCCATTCTATTCAATTTCACCTCTGGCAAATCCCAGGTAGGGTGATGCCAAGGTGCAAGTTGGTCTCTGGTTGGCTAGCCCAAGAGAGATATATCTTGTCGTTGTGTACATCAATCAACCTGCACTCCACATCCACCCCACCAACCTCACGTTCCTCCCTTTCCTCCTCCAACTCCCGTTCCTCTGCAAGGGGGTAACTTCGCCATTCAAAGTGACTTGACTCTTAAAAAGCGCAACCCAACTTCCGCATTCCCGGCTGGTTATCGTGAGTGAGGGCGGGGCATAAGCTCAACTCCCCAATCTCAATGACCCCCTTTCGATCGGTGACGGCATTGTCCGCGCCTGGCAAGGTCCTTCTCACCGGTGGCTACCTCGTCCTCGATCGCAGCTACACCGGCACTGTTTTTGCACTTGACGCACGCATCCATGTCATCGTTCAGCAGTTGAGGAAAGGTCACCGCCAAGACCCCGCTTCGCCAAATCACATCCCACCAGAGGCCGAGGCTCAGGAGACAGAGGACACTGTCATCGTGCGCTCTCCACAATTTGTGGACGCAAAGTGGGAATATGGTATACAGCGCTGTGAGAATGGTGGGGGAGTTAAGGCGGTCCAGAAAGGCGACGGGTATGCGACCTCGGGAGATTTTTGTTTTTGTGCGCATGCACTAATCGGAGATGACATTGCAGACCCCGGAATCCCTTCGTCGAGACCTCGTTAAGTTACGCTTTAACCTACATCAGCTACGTCGCCAACTCCAAGGACTTTGGATCGCTTGTAATCACCATCCTCGCCGACAACGACTACTACTCTGAGACGGCTGCTTCCAAGGGCCCCGCATCCCGAGCGCGAGGGGGACGATTTGCCAACTTCGGCGTTCCTCTACAAGATGCTCATAAGACTGGGTTGGGTTCGTCGGCTGCGCTGGTGACCGCTTTCGTCTCGGCCCTGGTCATTCATCGCACAATGCACGCAGACGATCTCGGCGCGGGTCGCGACAAGCTCCATAACCTGGCACAAGCGGCACACTGCGCGGCCCAGGGCAAGGTAGGATCGGGGTTCGATGTGGCCGCTGCCGTGTACGGATCGTGTCTCTACCGACGGTTTTCGCCCGCGATTCTAGAGGCGGTTGGCGATGTGGGCTCTGCAGGGTTCGAGGAGCGGCTATTTGCAGTGGTCGAGGATGCCGACTCACAACATCCCTGGGACACCGAGTGCGTGGATTTTGGCATGCAGCTCCCGCGCGGGTTGCAGATGGTTCTGTGCGACGTTGAATGTGGCTCGCAAACACCCACAATGGTCAAGAAGGTCCTGGAGTGGCGGAAGAACAATCGCAGCGAAGCCGACGTGCTTTGGGCCAGCCTCCAGAAGAACAACGAGTGTCTCCGGCAGGAGCTGAAGCATCTGGCCCAGCATCCCGACGCCAATCCCGACGGCGATTTCTCCGAGGTCCGGTCATATGTCCACCGCACGCGACACCACATCCGCACGATGACCCGCCTGACGGGCGTCCCCATTGAGCCGCGTGTGCAGACGGAATTACTCGACGCCATCTCGGAGATTGACGGTGTTGTCGGCGGCGTGGTACCCGGTGCTGGAGGCTACGATGCCATTGCGCTGCTGATCCGGGATGATCCCGCGGTGATCTCCCGGCTCAATGACAGCTTGACGAACTGGAAGAGCTCGGTGGATGATGATTTTGGCGGGAAGATTGGCCATGTGCGCCTGTTGGGCGTGCGACACGGGTCTGAAGGGGTAAAGAACGAAATGCTGGATCAATACGCCGGCTGGCTCTAGACCCTCAAACTCCGACGTTTTTCGTCTGGCAACCGGCAGCAGGCAACCTGCGAGCAAACGCCGCCTCTCGGGTGTGAGCGTGTGGGTTTCTCTCTATCCCCTAACAATACCCCGTTGCCTACTTTCTTGTTTTCCTATGCCCCTGCATCCAAGCCCTCCAAGTGCGCCGGTGGTTGTTTGTGCGCATGCCGGACTGGGCCGGAGCAGTGGGACTCGGGGCACTGGCCGTTGTGTCTGCAGGGCTTCGGGACGAATGATTAGCGTGAGTGAACAGCGTTGAAACGAGTGTCAGTACCTATGCAGTAAGCTTGGTATATGCAGCCGGTGTCTTGGCCGCTTCAACTAGTGTTCCCCCAGATTTAAGAAGGGGAGAAAAAAGCAGTATGAGTAAATAATAATAAAGTTTCAGACTTCCTAGCCTTAGTAGTTATTATCTAGGTTGTTGATGTGGTTCCGTCAGTCTTTGCTTTGTCTGCCGCCCGTCTCCTTCTCCCCCGACGCCTTTTGCTCACTCTCTTTTGCTCACTCTCTTTCCCTCTTCCCTCCTCTTCCTCCTTCCTTCTCTCCAAGTCCTTCGTTTGGTGACTGTTCTTGGCCACCATCATCACACTTCTATTTCTGTACAGAATCTCTCCACCGTGTGCTCCACTGGGCGCAAGTCTGTCCACCCATTCATTCTTCCCGCTGCTCAGAGTCTGGATCCGACCGACCGAACCGACCACATCTTCCTCTCCACATCATTCATTATTCGCTCACTCACCCCCTACCGCACATCCCCCGTTGACATTTCTCCCTCCCTATTTTCCTCCCCGGGAAAAATTGCCAACTAGTGATCCACGGGCATCCCGCCATGTCTTCCAGCGATCACCCAGAGTCCGGGGTGTCCGCCAACCCCAGCAACGAGCATGAGCTGGGGCCGACCACTTCTCCGCAAACATTGCAGCCGCAAGCTCCACCGACGCAAGGCACATCTGCATCTGTCCCGGCCGTATCGGGCCCTGTCGCAGACACGCCCGCCTCAACCGCCCAGGCCGACGGCAACGACCGGCCAGGCGATGCGAACCACCCCGCAACCACCGGTGGCGAAAGCGTCGCCCCCGTGACAGCAACGACCACGACCCAGACCACCTCGACTCCCCCCACCAACGCTGACGCTCTCCAACCCTCCGATGCACCCTCAATGGCTGTTCAAGAACCCAAGCCTGCTGTAGACCTGTCTTCCGATCCCTCGGATGACGTTGAGGAACCGAAGGAGGTCGAGGAGGATGCCGGCCCGTCACTGGCGATTACCCTACTGTTGACCACGGGCTCGCGCCACCCGTTCACAATCGATGGAAAGTATTTGCGGAAGCGCTCAGTCAATGTCGAGAACTACGATCCGTTCGCGATGAGCGTCTACACATTGAAGGAATTGATCTGGCGGGAGTGGCGATCTGGTAAGATCGAACATCTCGCAGGTTGCGGATAATGAAGGATATGCTGACGGCTGCTGTTAGATTGGGAAACCCGACCCTCGTCACCGAGTTTCATTCGATTGATCTCGTTTGGAAAGCTGCTGGATGATAAGTCACCTTTGACCGGTATGTCCGTTACGGTTTATACAATGGGGTTGGGCTAACAAATCGCGCAGACTTGAAGTTTAGCCGGGACGCTCCCAATGTCGTCCATATGACTGTGAAGCCGCAGGAGATGGTCGAAGAAGAGGACGCCAAAGGAGCCAAGGCACAGTACAGCCGAGAGCGCGAAGCCAGCGAACGCAGCCCAGGATGCCGCTGTGTGATTCTATGAGCGATTTCCGCGGACTCCCCTCCAGTACCCCAACACCTACGCTCCTCTTATCTTCTCTTCTCTCCCGATTCTTCACTTTGTTGCTTTGCGGCTAGAGTCCCATCCTGCCCGGACGCAGGATCCGATATCAAATTAGTCGAGCTTAGCTACAGCTGAGCATGAGCGCTCCGGAAGCGGCGTTTGGATTATTCTCGTCTGTCTGTTTGTCTGTCTGGCTTTTCTTGTTATTGTCTTTTTTTTTGGCCTCCCTTTGCATCTATTGATATGATGACCGTTTTGTCTCTTGTCTGTTCGGTTTACTCTTGTCTCGTCTGCGCGCATCAGCTTCCATCCACACTTGTCTATACATGGGACACGATCATCACCACCACTCTCCCCGAATGCTTTCGACCTTTTGTCTTATTTTTTTTTGGGTTGCATCCCTCCTCCCGTCATTCTTACTGTTTCCCCGACCTTCCTTTTCTATCTCCCTTTCCCGCTCTTCCCCTCCCATCCATCCCTCCTATATTATATACCCCCCAGTCGCCCCTTCAATCCTTTTCAGCATCATTCTACTTATCAATTGTATGGCCTGTGTTGTATCAGAGTATCTATAAACCTTGCCCTCCTTTGACAGTGTTCTTTTTCCAGTTGATTTTGGGGTAGGTGGTAGATATATTTTGTAGTTCTGTTCCCTGGCTTACGCATGGGACTTGATATTACCGGTCAGACAGAAGAGAATCCAGTGATTTATGCGAGGAAAGGAAAGGCACCATTCATTGTTCGTGACATGAAATATCTCCCGTGGTGGTGTGGCAGTCTGTGGTCTCCGCTGCATTTGATAATGGCTGGCGGCTTTGGTGATGGTTTTGCTGAAGATGATGGAGCTTGCGAGTGATACTTGGAGAGATCGTACTATTTAATAGGCAAGCTTTCAGCCATATCTTCTGTAACGCCAATTCGAGGGTTCCAGGATTGATCATGACCTTGATAGGAATTATAACATCAGGGTCAAGTCGCCAGAGGGGTGTCCCTCTCATCTACACCATCTACCTTTCTTACGAATTGAATAGCAGCAAGACAGAAGAAGAATACGGAAGGAAGGAAACTAATTGAACACGTTCAACAGAGGTCATGGTCTAAGAAACACATCCCACCACAATCAATAATCCATCCTCAGCCGCTTCTCCATCTCATCATGGAAAGCCGGCGGCTCACGCATCTCATCACCAGGGAAGACATCCTCCCAAGCAACATCCGTATCCCGTCCCCCCAGAACCAGAATATCTTCATGGACGTTACCACCCCGACACCCGCCCAGCACAGCAGGGCGGAAAGTGCTGTCACGCACGATCTTCAGCTCCATGCCGCGGCGCACAGGCTCGGCAATGCCGTACGCCCGTCGCAGACCCTCCATCTTCAGGGCGTCCTGTGTGGCGCGCCAGGCGAGCAGGCGGGCTTCGAGCGGGTGCGTCGAGGAAGCGGGAGTGTGGGCTGACGAGGTTGAGGAGGCGTGCTCAGTTGCAGGAAGGGTGATCTTGTTGCGTAGTGTGTCTGGCAGGCCTGGGGCTGAGGGGGCGCCCTTTGAGGGGCGTGGTGCGACGTCCGGGCCGGCGAGCCGGGTTGTCGTGTTGCTGGTTGCGTTGCGGTGGGCGGGTTCGGGGGCGATGAGAAGGGACTGGGGGGTTGGTTAATTGGTGATTTATGTCATCGGGAGGGCAGTGGGTGAGAAGGCAGGGGAGGTCGAAGTGTGTGGTTGGAATGTAGAGTCAAATGATCGGGGTTGATTGGGATTGATGTCGGAGTTGGTTGGGAGCTTGGTCACTTACCATGATGGCGGTAGGGGAGGAGCTGTGTTGTTCTGAGGGCTTAATTCGATGAACCGATGGGAGATATTCAGGTATTGAACCTCGTAGTAACCCCTATAGAAGATGGAAGGACGACGGAATAAAGTGATTGGGGGTGGAAGGCAGCAAGTAGTAGCCGGTGCTGACGATGGCTCAGGCAGACGAAGCAGCGCGTCCAGCTTCTCCGGCAGCCGACGCACTCCAAAGACGTAACTGACTCACGTGACACATACCAATTATTCCGCCCGTTGAATCTCGAATCTTTCCCCAGTGGCAGCAGCAGCAGCACCACCGCCACAATGCCCCAATTAATCTCGCCCCTAGCCCTCCGGGCTCTGCGGACGATGATCCAGCGACCAACAACATCACCCACACCCCTCCGCACTCTCAGCACAACTACCACCTCCGCCTTCCGTCGACCAACAACCACCACCCAGATCCCAACACGCTTCACCTTCCAACCAACGCTGCGCACCCAAGCCGCGCTCCTCTTGACCCTCTCAGCCCGCCGCACATTTACCTCCTCCCCCATCGCCCGCGCAACCTACAACCAGGTGCGCCGCGGCTGCCGGACCGGCCAGCAAGCGCGCCGGGGCTGCTCTCCCGCGCTGAAGGGCCACCCGGAGCTGAAGGGGGTGTGTCTGAAGACTGGTATCACGAAGCCGAAGAAGCCTAATTCCGGGGAGCGCAAGACGGCACGTGTGCGTTTGAGTTCAGGGAAGGTCGTTACGGCTTATATTCCTGGTGAAGGTATGAGTTATATCCATCTTGTCCCTACTCTAGACATAGAATTAGGAATTGGGTGTCCACTATGGGGGTATGAGTGAAGGTTTTAGCTAATTTGGGATTTCGTGGAAAGGTCACAACATCCAGCAGCACAGCGTTGTTCTGGTCCGCGGTGGGAGAGCCCAGGATTGCCCAGGTGTGAAGTATACCCTGGTTCGCGGCGGCATGGACCTGGTATGTTCTCTCTCTTTTTTGGTTTCCAGCGTTTCTATACGGCCACAGCTGACATGTCTTTGTTTAGGGTGGTGTTGGTAGTCGGATGACGAGTCGGTCAAAGTACGGGACCAAGAAGCCCAAGACCAACTAAGGGAATTTGTTTAAGATGACCCGTGCTTTTCCGCGTTAGGTAAGGGTGGTGGTCGTTAGGATTCTCTCAGCCGACGACGGGGCGGATGGTGTTGGATGGTGCAGGGGATAGCAGAACACTTGGATTACTTCTGTCCTCGTGCTATATGTATTATGGCTACATCGAGTCATCTCTTTTCTTTTGTACTTGGGGCATTCTTTTGTTTTTGTGGACAAATGTATCATTATACACGCCTCCTCTGGATATAAATTCGACGAGACTTGGCAAATGTATTGCATTCTTCGCCAAAGAGGTAACATTTTTGAAATAAATCTCTAAAGGATCCTGCCGACTCCGGACGTATGTTAACCCATGCAACCAAACAAACAAAAGTGTATCAAAACCCCTAAGAAAGGCAGCAAGGGTAGATAATAAGACATGACAGACATCGAAGAAGCGTGTCTGGCAAATTCAAAAAAAAAAAAAAAAAAAAAAAAAAAAAAGGTGCAGCACATTTGAGCTCCAGATTCTTGATGCACCAGTAAAGGAGTCGAAAGGGGTAATAATCAAGGTCCGAGACCTGCGTCCCTTGTTTTCTATTTTGGTTCTGAACGGGGATTGACTCTCGTCCAGCGGTTTTCCCGACGGTTGCGGAAGCGGTGGACTAGACCAGCCGCGTAGGCCATGCAGGTTTGAACCCATAGCAGCGAGCGAGCTCGCGCGTTGCGGCTGATGGCGAGGATAACGGCGCCGATCAGCAGGAGGGCCAACACCACACGGCCTACGGCAAGGAGTCAATTCTGATCTTCCGCGCCGGGTGGTTTCGGCATGTTGTTGATCTCGAACCAGCGGGAGGTGCCTATATAGCATGTGAGCTGCGTGAAAGAATAACCAACAAGACAGATATCACCCACAGGAATATCCTCTCCAGTCAAAGTTGTCGTTTGGTTTACATGTGCATCTCAAATCCAGTCTCATTGACTCGCTAGTTGGGCAATGTGTGAAGGGGACGTGGTAGTAGGCGATCTCGTCGAAGAAATGGATTTGCTCCTTCTTGAGGAGCAGGCTGGCGGCAATGGAGTGGACGGGTGCATCGCCCCAACGCTCGTAGAAAAAGCCGCCGTCGTGATCCAGCGACTCGAAAAAGTCCATGTACTCCTTGCCTCGCAACCATTCCAGGTTGCCGATTTCAAAGTTGGACCACTAAGCCAAAGTCAGCACCTCGGTCATTGACACCATACCGAATATCACTTACGAAGTGGCACTTGTTGAAGGTGGCGCCGCCATCGTCGCTCACAAATTCCAGCGCGTTTCCTTCCGCAAGGTGTTCCGGATGCTCCGTCATAAACTTCTTGACACTATCCCACAGTGTGGGGATGGTCTCCATGTACTCCTGCAGACTGATGACGAAGCTGTACTTCTTGTCGTTCTCCTTCATAAAGCGGAAGGGATCAAAGGGGAGATCACAGAAGAGCTCGATGCTGGGCTCGACACGCCAGTAGAGTTCATACTGCTGCATCAACTCGTGACGGAAGAAGAACCCCGATTCATAGCGGCACATGTGGCGATAGCTCTCCGAGTCGCCGTAGATGATCTTCTTGCGGCCCATCTCCTCGCGTGCCTCCTGGGCCTTTTTCTGGTCGATGAAATCTGGATACGACCAGTGTTCCTTCGGGATCTTGCCATAGTGGGTCGTGCCGGACACCAGCGCGGTGGTGAGCTTCTTGAACTCGTCGTCAAAGTCCACGTCGTTTAAGAACACCCAGTCGTAGTGGTAGTTGCGGTTGAAACGGTCTTCCACCGAGCGAATGGAACTGATGAGATCCCACAGATCGCCGTTGCGAGCCAGGGTCACAAAGGTCGCATTCACGCGGGCGGCCGACGGTGCGCCAGCGCTGATCGGCCCGTAGTCTGGCTTGGCAGGTTGTTGCTGCGAGGGCGCCGGAGCTGTGTCGTGTTGGGCGGGGCGGCTCAGCTTGGGTAGCGCGGAAGTATTGGGGATAGGGATGGAGGATCTCGAGACGAAGAAGAAGACGGCCAATCCCTAAATGGTGTTGCACGGCTCGTTAGGCGGGTTGCTCGCAACTAGGCATCCATCACCAGGCAACTTACCACGGCAGCGAACAGCAGGTACCGCACATATCGAGTGGAACCGGACATGGTGGATGGAGGACAGGTAGAGATGCAAGAAGCGAACACCTGAGGTTGAGTCTCAGGTGAAATGATGCAATCGACACGGGCGCGCAGTCGATCAATGGACACCACGGTGGAGGAAGGTGGCAAAGAACCAGTCCCGTTGTTTGCACGAGGCAGGCAGGCAGGGTCGGGTTCGGGCCAGTCCAGTCCAGAGAGCAATTCTTCAGGAGCGAGACATGGGAAGAGAACAAGAGCCAAAATATTCTAGGAAAGGAGGAGGGGGGGTATGTAGGATGTAGTGGAACAACGGCGCGCCAACAGGCCGCGCAATACCACACGACGACCGCTTTGAGCCTCCTGTTTCACTTGCGAGACATGCCAGACAAGGCCATTGATACTAGGCAGAACCATAATAGCACCGTTAGCCATCGGATGATACCACAGGGAAGCTCCGAGGTTTGATGAGGCAGATCTACGAAGATGCTTTTTGGCGCAAGGCTATTCTTATTCTGTACAGACACTGGTCGGTCGGGTGGAGGTATAGACAACATTATTCATGCCACATTGCACTGGAATGAGGAGTAGCCAGGAAAATAATCCACCAATATTATCTAGGTCAATATGACCAAATCAATCGTCAATCTATTATGATTCCATGAGACTAAGGGACAGCATAGATGAAGCCGCTCCAGTCTTCCTGCTGCCATCGTCGCTTGGCGTAGACCCTGCCTGCCTGAGGCCACCACACTGCCGAGCCTGAGCCAACCAACTCTCCTTCTCTTCTCTTCCCCACCACCATCATTCATCACCACCGTATCCCCCTCCTTCATCCCTCCCCCCTCCCAGCCGAGGCCATGTCCTTTTTTGGCTTCGACACCACCCTGCCCAGGGACCGCGACCGCGATCCCGGGCCCTCGCGGGGGTTTTTCGAGAACTCCGATCCCTTCGCGGACATCGCTCGTGCGACGGCCAACGCGGACGAGGACGATGATGCGTGAGAGATCCCACTGGTTCCACTTCGTGGTTGAACATTTGGACTGACACTGGCCCAGGATCGATTTTGAGGATACCTACGATGGTCTCGGCGATCAGCTCGACAACGATCAGGATGTCTTCAACGACGACACCTTCGGGGGTGGGGAGACCAGGGCGGTCGGCAAGGATTTCGACTTCTTTGGCAGGACTGCTCAGGTGTCCGATGCCATTGGGGAGGAGCAGGTTCGGTACAGCTTGCAACACCCCCAGCTGGCTCAGGCGGCACCTCCAGCTCAGGCTCCTGGAATTCCCACCCAGACAGCCACGGCTCACGCGGCACCTCCCTCCAATAAGCGCTCAGGCTATGAAAAGTACTCCGACCCGGGCTTCATTCCGGATCTGCAAGCCAAGTCGAGCGTCTGGGGCACGTCGCAGAAGAAACCGGAGCCGACTCCCACCCAGGCCCCGAACCGAAAGATGATGAGTCTGGAGGAAGTCGAGGCTCAGATGCGTAGGCTGGCCCCGCAAGCGGCGCCGATGCCAGCACTGCACTCAATGCCTCAGCCCGTCTCCGAGCCGTCGTACCCGCATCCACCGCCGCAGCACCTGCCCGATGGCTTTCCTCCCATGCCTCCAGAGCTTATGGCTCAGCTCGAGAAAGGCGTGCTCCCACCGCACATGCCGCCTCCGCCTCCGGGTGTCTCAGAACTGTGGCCTGGGCCTGGACATCCTCCCCCTGGAGTGCCGCTGCATCTCCTGCAGAATGCCAACCTTCCGCCGCAGAACATGCCACCCTCAGGGCCGCAACGGCACGCAGGCCCGCCCCAAGGCCAGAGACAGCAGCAAATGCCACCGATGGCGCGAGGACCGGGAAATAATGGGATGCCGGTGATCACCAACCCTCAGCAGCTGATGCACCTGACGGAAGACCAACGCAATGCCTATCTGGTCGAGGACGCGAAGCGGGCGAAACGCAACCACAAGATCTTTCTCCTGTCCAAAGGCAACGGCCTGATGACACCGCAGGACAAGAACTTCATCACCCGCATCCAGTTGCAGCAATTGGTGGCGGCGGCCGGTAACGTGACGGATTCGGACTTGGAGTCCGTCCTCACGGAAGACTTCTACTACCAGGTCTACAGCCAAATCCGTGGTGCACCACGTCAACATCCCCACCAGCCTCTTGGTCATTTCGCACAGACGTACCTTCTCCAGACCGGTGCCCGGTTTGGGCATGGTCGACGGGCACTCCAAAGTGCGGACAACCACATGCAGCGGATGCAGCAGCAGGTGCAGCGTGCCGTTGAGGCGGCCAAGGCGAAGCCCAAGAACAAGCAGCTCATTATTGAGGGCAGCTTGGGCAAGATCTCTTTCAGCAATGCGAAGGCGCCGAAGGCAATACTCAACATCAAACGGCCCGACAGCTCGGAGGGTGCCAAGCCAGCAAGGAAGATACAGTCAGATTTGAGTCTCAGTGATCGTAAATCGATCCTGACAAATCTCGAAGCTGTCTACAGCGCCCTGATGTCAATGGAAGATATGGAACGCACCATGCCTCCACCCCCAGATGAGAATGACCCGGAGGCAATCCAGGAGCACATGGAATGGCGCCAGAAGGTCCACACGCTGAACCAGAAACTCTGGCGATCTCTCAAGGTGATGGAGCCCATTGTTCCCAACTCGACCACGCCCCACCCTTTTATCGCTCTCCTGTCCTATCCTAAAGGAAAGAAGGCCATCCCTCGCATCTTCCGCCACATCGACCCGGAACAGCGGGTCACTATCCTGACGATGATTGTGGTGCATCTGGATAGTCTGGATGTCGTGCGTCTGGCACAGCCAACGCCTGGTGAGGCGCAACCATCCCTGGCTGTGCGCGAGGCGATCGAGCTGTTCTCGCTGGCCGTCATGCCGAGCCTGCTGGGCTACGTGAACGAGGCGCCATTCAACATCATCATTGGCCTGCTGGGACTGGTGATTGCCCAAACTCATGTGCAGTCGGTGGCTCGAACCAAGGTCGGCCTTGGGATCCTGACCATGCTGCTCAGTCGTGCTGAGATCGTCAAGGAGGCTGGTCAGGCCGCGGAACGCGACTGGCAGCAGTGGGTGGAGAAGTTTAATGTCTTGTTTGATACGTTGGAGCCTGTCCTGATTGAGATTTTCCCCGGATCGATCAACTCAGGCGACGACATGTACGTGTGGCAGTTCCTGGCCGCTGTCGGCATCGGTGCCAGTCCCGAGCAGCAGCAACGCTTGGTGATTGCTGTGAAGTGAGTGATACCCCCATCTTTGCCTATGTGCTTGTTTCTAACTATTGATTCCCAGGGACCGCGTGATGGAAACGGTGGCTTACAGCAAGACTCTGCCCGCCGACATGGCCAGCCAGCGGTTGGGCAATGTCAACCTCTTCATGCGTGCCATCGGCTTGGATGTCGAACTTCTTGGTTAGACCGGCTATATGATTCGAATCTTGTCTTCGGGGTTTCTTGAGTTCGGCCGGGGAATCTGCGGGTTGTGCTCGCCGATCGGTATGCCGACCGCTGCTTCGCCAATGTCGCCCGGGGCTGTCCGAGTGCCCTCCATGCGCGAACGACTACCCTGGCTGTGCTGCAGAACAAGAGTATATGTCTATGCAGCGATGGCCCTTGCTAATATGGCCTCGTCTGTCTATACCGGCGATCTCACGTTTACACCATCCATGCTGAGGCAATAAATCGGATGAACCAGCCAAACTACAAGTACTGGCTGAGAATGTCAGTACACTAAAATTCCGACGTGGCCTGTTATTTTATTGGCCCTAAACCCAGAGCATATTTTTTGTTTATTTTCTGCCAATACCAATTGTGTTATCGCTGCGAGACACGGTGGCGCATGACGTTACTTTCCCTATTTGTATGAATAGTTTTCTTTTTTACTGTTCCTGAAATCAATTGCAACATTATATTACTATCCGGTAACTATGGCTGATGGCGCCCCTGACACGGTGGGCCCGGCCTGAAACGGAGATCCTTGAATGTAACGAAATCTAAGAATAACACTATGTGCCCGTTTGCAGCTCACCGCTAGGACGATCTTATGGGGACGCTGACGAGTCCGATATCTACTAGATTCAGACTAGTGAGTGATTCGCCATAGTTAACTAGTCCTGGAGCAGTAGTGAAGAGAATTAACTTGTTGATCGACGGTCCTTCCTGTGCCCCACGTTGCCCCTCCACGCTGGCCTCCCTCTCTCTCTCCCTCTCCCTCTCTTTCTGTTCCTCTTCTTCCTCTTCTTCTTTTCTCGCTTCCGTTCCCCTGCTATACCCTCCCCCAACCCAATTGACTTAATTGAACAACCCTCTGTACATCATGCCTGCTGGTTCGGTTCTAGTCACCGGGTATGCGCCCTCCCTCGCCCTGGCATTGCGATCCTAACTGACTCCCGCCGCAGTGGAACGGGCTACATTGGCTCGTTCACCACTCTCGCCCTGCTCGAGGCCGGCTACAAGGTTGTCGTCGCCGACAACCTGTACAACTCGTCCGCCGAGGCCCTGAACCGCGTCGAGCAGATCTGCGGCAAAAAGGCCGAATTCGCCCAGCTCGACGTCACCGACGAGAAGGGCTTCGACAAGGTCTTCGAGGCGCACCCGGACATCGACAGCGTCATCCATTTCGCCGCGCTCAAGGCCGTCGGCGAGTCTGGCGAGAAGCCCCTTGACTACTACCAGGTCAACGTCTACGGCACCATCAACCTCCTCCGCTCCATGGTCAAGCACAATGTTTACAACATCGTCTTCTCCAGCTCCGCCACCGTCTACGGTGATGCCACCCGCTTCCCCAACATGATCCCCATCCCTGAAGAGTGCCCGCTCGGCCCGACCAACCCCTACGGCAACACCAAGTTCGCCGTCGAGACCGCCATCACTGACGTGATCAACGCCCAGCGGAACAATGCCACCAAGGCCGGCAACGCCGCCGAGGCTAAGAAGTGGAACGGCGCTCTGCTGCGCTACTTCAACCCCGCCGGCGCTCACCCGTCCGGTATCATGGGCGAGGACCCCCAGGGCGTCCCGTACAACCTGCTCCCGCTGCTGGCGCAGGTCGCCACGGGCAAGCGCGAGAAGCTGATGGTGTTTGGCGATGGTACGCTTCCCCCAAACCCCAAACCCCGCTACCATCCCCTCCCTTCTCTCAGTTCCTAACAGCTCTTCCAGACTACGCCTCTCACGACGGCACCGCCATCCGCGACTACATCCACATCCTCGACCTGGCGAATGGCCACCTGAAAGCCCTGAACTACCTGCGCGCCAACAACCCCGGCGTGCGCGCCTGGAACCTAGGCACGGGCAAGGGCAGCACCGTCTACGAGATGATCCGCGCCTTCTCGGCCGCTGTCGGCCGCGACCTGCCCTACGAGGTGGCCCCGCGCCGCGCCGGCGACGTCCTCAACCTCACTGCGAACCCGACCCGCGCAAACACCGAGCTAGGCTGGAAGGCTGAGCGTACCCTCGAACAAGCGTGTGAGGATCTCTGGCGCTGGACTGAGAATAACCCCCAGGGTTATCGTCAGCAGCCGCCTGCTGAGCTGTTGGCGCAGCTGAAGAAGTAGATTTTCCCTGCACAGGAGGTATAAAAAATTGGAGTGGACTAGATACGGACAGGGAGGAGTATGTGTGTGAAGCTTGTGGATGTAGAAAAGCTTGGATAGTCAGTAGATTGATTGATTGATAGCCTTAAACGAATCTCTTTAAGTACCGTGTACTCCCATTATTGTCTATTTGTTTCCTTTCTTAACCCAAAGCACCTATCCTCAAGACTGGTTTCGCCGACTCCGCCGGGACCCAGCAGTCTGCTTCTTCTCAGACGCAGTCTCCTTGCGAGATTGTTTCTCCGCCTCAGTTTCCTTCTCCTTCTTCTCCAGCGCCCTCTTAACGGCAGCCTCCTTCTCCGCCTCCTCAATCTGCTTCTCGCTAAACTCCCACAGCCGTTTGCCCAGTTCGTCGTCCTTCACATCTTTCCGCGCAAGATCTACCTCGCGACACTCTTTCACCATCCAACCGCCCTCGCCGCGCGAGTATTTCTCCTCCATCGCAGCGTACAGGACGCTCTGTGCACCCTGCTGCGGGGATTTGAGGACCAGCCACCACACCGGCCAGGTCAGTAGATAGACTAGCAGACCCCACAGCGATCCGCCGGTCAGCCAGCGACGCATGCCCGGCGTGCGGGACAGGCCCGGGTCGACGACCAGGACACGCGTGCAGGGCGGGAGGCTATCTGGACGCTTGTAGGCGTTAAGGTGACGCTGGAAGGACTGGGCGAAGATCATGAGAGAGAGTTTGCTGAGGGCGTATATGCCCTTCTTCTTCTGGGCCGGGGTGGATTTCTGGTGTTGTTTTTTGTTCTTGGTGAGGGTTTCAGAAGAGGGCATGGAATTGCCTCGTTCTACGACGTCCAGGTCGAACTTGGCGCCGATGTAGCTTGAGCATGTCGTGAAGATCACTCGCACGTCTCGGTGGGCGGGCTGGACGCGGAGTGCCGGGGAGAGAATGCTGAGAAGATGGAAGTTGGCTAGATAATTAATCTGCCATTCCTGGTCGAGGGCATTGGGCGTAGTCTGCTGGCGAGCAGCGCGAGACGGCGCCGCCGTGCCGCCGCAGAGAATCACCAAATCCAGCCGGCGGGGAGGAGCATTATCGATCCATTTGGTGGCGAAGGTACGAATGGAATGCAGGTCTGCGAGATTGACTTGTTCGGCATAGATGAGCTGGTTGCCTGTCGTGCGGCGCAGGTCCTCGATGTATTCGACGAGGAAGATGTCTGAGGGAGGTTGCTGCGTGAGGAGGATCACTTGGGCGCCGCGGGTGGCTAGTTCGTGGACCACGGACGCGCCAATCCCGGATGTTCCGCCCTGTATAGATAATTTTTGTTAGACTTGGTTGCAGCTGGAGATATGGAGAGGCTATCGTCCTACCGTTACCATGGCCACCTTGGAGTGCAGCAGCCGCTCGGAGGTGTTGCGTGCTCCGCCGAAGAAGTACTTCAGCGCAGCCACTAGCAGCACCCATGGCACGACGCGGAGGACTGTCCATACGTGAGGGATGGATGAGAAGCCCTCCGTGATGCCCTGGACGATGAGAGGGATGGGCATGGCGGAGGATGGAATTGATGGAGTGGAAAGGGAGATAGATGGTGTGTTGATGGTGTCAAGTGAATTTGGAGAGTTGGTTTGCTTATCGTTATCGGTCTCTTTCTTATCACCGCTTTTCCTCTTTCTCTCTTCACTCACTCAACCACCCACTACATGTCCCAAGAAGAGGAACAGGACGAGGACTACTTCCTCCCGCTAGAAGACCAGCGCGTCTTCGGCGCTGGCATCCGTCGTAAACGCGTGCAGTTCGTGCGCTCGGCCGAGCATGAACTCAACACCACCGTTCCGTCATCGTCATCAGCCTCCACGCCGTCCGCTACAAGCATCGCAGACAAGTACTTGTCGATCGTCTTGAAACCGAAGACTGCTACGTCGCCGAGTACGCCCACCGAAGAGGCTTCTGCTCCGCTGCCACCTCGTTCAACGCAATCTGCGCCTCCAGCTGCGGAAGCTGTTGCTCCGCCGCCGCCACCACCACCTCTACTTCCTCCAGCCGACACGGGAACGGAAACAGAAACAGACACCGCGCAACGGTGTGAAGTGTGCAACCTTCCACTATCCACAGAGACACCATCAACCCCATCATCCTCATTATCAACCCACCGTCCCCACGAAGCCTCCCTAGCACACCAACTCTGTCTAACGCACTCCCACCCACCATCCCACCTAGACCGCACGCGCGCCGGCCTTCGGTATCTCTCCACATACGGTTGGGACCCAGACAGCCGAACCGGGCTGGGAGCACCCGGCCGCGAAGGCATCCGAGAGCCGCTGAAAGGGCGGGTGAAGAACGACACTGTCGGGCTTGGAGCGGGAGTGGGCCGGGACGCAGATGGGGATCCGATCCCAGTGCATCGTCGTCCGGTATCGCCGCCGAAGAAGGTGCAGAGATTGAATTCTAAACAGGTGCGGAGACAGGCTGCTGAGGCACGGAAGAGGGGGGATCGGTTGAGGAATCTGTTTTTCCAGAGCGATGATGTTTTGAAGTTCCTTGGTGAGGGGCCTTAGGTTGGGCTGGGGTTGGGTTATGAGGTGGAGTTTGGATTGGTTGTTCGCATTGCTGCATATTTACACATTTGATACCCCTTATAGAAGATGATTGGTACGTTCTGGAGTACAACAATTTAGGTATTTTCACTATGATTCCTTGCTCAGATCTCTGCTCCTCCACTCTGCCCCGACACATACAAGCCGCCCCAAAATGGAAACAGAAACAAAGAAGGCAAAATACCAGATCAGAATTGTCAATGGTACAATCAGAGGGAAGAGAAGGCACCTCTACTTGTGCAAGACCGACCTGGTAGAAAAACCAAAGAGATAGGCAGGAAAATGGTATCACAACAGCGCTGAAGGAGAACCGCTTGGACACAGCGAGCAACGAAGGGAAGGAAAGAAGGCTGTCATATGATGGAGGGAGGGAATGAAAGGACCGAAGGGGAAGATGGAAAAGCAGAGATGAGGTAGGTGAACCATTACTTGAAAAATCGGTACTTCTTTTCCTTGTCCTTCTTCTCCTTCTCCTTCTTGTATGGCTTGCCGCCCGCCGGTGGTGTGCTGCCCGACCCATTTGCATTGAGGGACATGTTGACCATCAACGCCTCCGGCGGTGCGGGAGGGTTGAGGTGCTTTGTAGACACTGGCTTCTTTTTCTGCGGCGGGGGAGCAGGGGCCGCGGGCTTTTCGCGCTCGAATAGATGCGCCGGGGCCGCGGGCTTGGGCCGATCCGCGGGGATATCAAGCTGGCGCCTGTCGACGCTGAGGTCGCCAACCTGCCTCATGAACAAGCCTGGGGTCAACATGTGTGTTGTGGCCAGGAAGATGTCGCGGCCGTGGTTCTGAGAGACTTCGTAACAGGCGCGAGACTCGGCATAGGTGGCTCCGCCGGCCATGAAGACAATGATGCGTTGGCGAGGCTGCTCAGCGGTCCGAGTGCGCGCCCAGGTAGGTTTGGCACTGCGCAGGGACGCCTGCTGTGAGAGCATTTCTTGCGCGGCGAACCCACCGTCGGCATCGGTGTGCGGCCGGGTGAAGGGGAAGACGGTGGTGTCCAACGTGCCCTGGACCTGCTCTTCGAGCAGCTGCTTGAGACCCAGTTCGTACCGCGACAAACTGAGCTCCTCCGAATCGGGTGCTGGTGCACGGCGGTTAAAAAGCGGTTGCACCGGAGGCTTCTCATCTCGGAGAGGTTTCTCCACTCGTACACCGAGTAGGTCCAGATTGGCGATGACATCCCCGTCGCGCCCGGGTAGCTGTGCATGTGCCATCAGTTTGCGAATATCTCCTCCCAACAGCCCGCCGCGATACATGATGTACAGAAGCAGAAGCCGGAGTCGGTCTGGGTGCAGGACCGACTCATCATCTAGCAGCTGGACAAGCTGGGCCGCCAGATTCTTTGCCTTCTTGTAGTTCTCATCGAGACCTGTAGCGAATGACTGCTCGATGGAGCTCACCTCCAGAAGCTTGCGATCTTGGAACAGCTTCATACATTCATCCGCCATGTTTAGATGCAGCGTGTATGCATTCTTGCCCTCTTGAAATTCAGTCAGTCCTGCCAACATGTCCTTGATCGTGTCCACATTAGCTGAGTTTTGACTGCAAGCGTCACGTTAGCAAATGATTCCCAAAGAAAATAAAAAAGACACACTGACTCTTCGGCAAACTGGGGATGGGCCCGTCGAAATTTATGAAAATCATCGCCCAGTCTCTCAACCACATCCTTCATGTGCACATGACGGTAGTCCACCCAGACTTTGTCATTCTCGCCGATCTCCATTTCCTTCGTTTCCTCATTCGCGCCACCCTCGTTGATGACGGTCTTATAGGTGACCTTGTCCCCGTCTTTGATCGGCAGAAGATCGTGTACCATGGCCTGATATGTGAATTCGTGGAGAAGAGGTGCATAAACATCCATCGAGCGATCCACGACCATGAGAACTCCTCGAGGGCGCGATGACGGAGGCGGGAAATCGCGTTGATGCTGTGCAAATTGATCGAGCTCACTCTGAATGAATTTGGCTAGATGAGAGCATAGAACCGCAGCTTCGTGGGTCGGGGTCCGCGGCCGATAATACCGAATCACAGGATATTCGCCCAGACTTGCGCAAAGCGATACGACCTGCAACTCCGGTTAGCAGGCGCTTCAGGGGACTGAGTCAAATCCTTGCCTTTTGTGCTAGATCTCGGAGGTGGCCCGGGACCAAAGAATTGCAGCTCGGATGGAACAGAATCGGGAAGCTCCACGGATCCCGAAAAGTCACCACGCGCGATTCTCTGGGGTAGAAATGGACGTTCATGATGCGGAAGTCTGTAATGCGATCACGAGCCATCTGGGACCGGTCCAGCCGAGTGCGCTCTTGTGGATCGAGAACTATGGGCACTGTCAGTCACGCCGCGGAAGTCGACGGGTTGGCCGGTAGCACACTGACATGAAGTCCAAACCAAAGAAGCCTTCCTGTATCGTCCCACCTCGAAGTCGGCCATCAGGCAATCCACGATGTGGCTCTCCGGTGACAGTATATATAGCGCGTCCATGTCGGGGTTGGAGGGGCGGCGGTGCTCGATCTGTTCGATATCTAGGGGGAAGGACAGTTGAGCGAGGTGTGCGTTTGCATCGTGGAGAGGAAGTCGGGCTCACTGGAGATGTTGTAGTTGAGGATTTCCTCCTCATTGACGGCGCCATTGATCAGTTTCCGGCTGGTGTCGTCCACCACCAGGACTTTCCACTGCACAGGAGACGGGCTGTTAGTGTCGTCAACTTTTGTAGGAAGAGACACACTCACATCTTGGCCTCCAGCATGCCTAATGCTGTTGAGAATAACTGCACGGCGAGCGAGACGTCAGTGGATGGGGGAGAGACCGCGGGGCGGGCGGAAGGCACCTACTGTCGCGCTGGATGGTGATGATGGAGGAGCCCATGCTGGCGGGCGGGCCCTCAGAGAGGGAGCTGTTATACCGATCAGGGGACGAGAAAAGGAGAGCGAGTCTGGGAGGAAGAAGGAGAAGGAGAGGGCGAAGGAGTGAAGGGAGTGTGTTGTGTACAGTGCAGAGTTCCCCACCACGAGTTAACTATTGCGGGTGGCGCATTCGATAAGCAAGTTAAGCTGTGCTTCCGCTTTTTTCTTTTTCTCCTGGCATCAACCCCCCCAACCTCATCCATTCCAGCTAATGAGGATGCTGCCATGGTCGGGCAGGTCCACTCGCACCCTCTGGTGTGCCGTGCGACCGTTGGTTTGCCCGGCTGAGCGGTCGTTTACTACAACGGCCGCCCTGCAGCGGTCGAAACGAAAGCTGAACCCGAAGAGGATTACCCCGGACTCGACGATCAAGACGGTGGGTTCGTGTCCCCTGAATGGAGAATCCCTGCTGATTGACTCCCATGCGTACAGCCCTCGCCCGTTTCCCAGGCCAAAGAGAGCAAACCCAGAGCAGATCGACAGGCCATAGCGAGTGCGCAAGATTTCGAGCTGGTGGTGGAGAAAGCGGTGCGCGATACAGAATTCAAACTCAGAGAGATTAAAGAGTTGCCGGAAGGATGGGACAAGCTCGCGCGGACTATCCTCAATGCCGCCAAACTGAACGAGCAGAAGCTCGGCAACAACTGGGGTCCTCTGAGGCGCACCAAGGCGGTGCTGCAAAACGCCTATCTCACCGAGGGAGTCTATGGCCTGCGCGATGAGTTGGAATACATGGCTTTTGCAAACGCTATCACTGCGAAATATTCCCTTCCCAATCTAGAAGGGCAGCAACAGGTGGCCGACCTACGATATCCCGCCGAATGGTACCCGGCTGCACGCTCAATGCAAAGGACGATCCACCTGCACGTCGGTCCTACAAATTCCGGCAAGACATACCACGCGCTGCAGCGGCTGGCACAGTGCAAGGAAGGCTTCTACGCGGGCCCGCTACGTCTGCTAGCACAGGAAGTATATTATCGATTCAAGGCCGAAGGGATTTCAGCTGGTCTGGTCACGGGGGACGAAGTTAAGCTCCCTGAAAATGAACATCCTCGCATTGTGAGCAACACAGTCGAGATGGTTAGTCTAGGGCAGGCCTATGACGTTGGCGTGATCGATGAGATCCAGATGATTGCCGATTCTTCGCGAGGCTGGGCGTGGACACGGGCGTTTCTGGGAGCGCAGGTCTCCGAGTTGCATCTCTGCGGCGAAACACGGACCGTGCCGCTCATCCGAGAGCTATGCGCTCTGACAGGCGATACCTTGGAAATCCATCGCTACGAACGGCTGAATCCCTTGAAGGTGATGGATCGCAGCCTGCAAGGCGATCTCCACAATCTCAACAAGGGCGATTGTGTGGTGTCCTTCTCCCGAATTGGAATCCATGCCCTGAAGAACGATATCGAACGAATCACTGGAAGGCGGGCGGCGATTGTGTATGGTGGTCTACCGGCTGAGATTCGAACTCAGCAGGCCAGTCTCTTCAATAGTCCCGATAATGACTATGACTTCTTGGTTGCCAGCGATGCTATTGGCATGGGGCTGAACTTGAGTATAAAGCGCATTGTTTTCGAGACCTTGATCAAGCGGATCCCCGGCCGTTTCTCGCGACTCTCTGTACCGGAGATCAAGCAGATTGGCGGACGTGCTGGACGCTATCGTGTCGCGAATGCCAGCGAAGATGGCGATGACGAAGAGACCAGTGTCGGTCTCGTCACGTCTCTGGAAGACGTCGACCTGCCTTGGATTCAGCAAGCGTTCAAAGTGGAATCATCACCCATCAAGGCTGCGGGAATTCTCCCACCGGATGGTGTCAATCACAAGTTTAACGCCTACTTCCCCCGGGATACTCCCCTCGAGTATTCCATTAAGCGCCTTTTGGAAGTCGCGGAATCAAACCCGCTCTTCTTCATGTGTGATATTCGCAGCCAAATTGGTGTCTCCCAAATCATTGATACTGTGCCCGGACTGCAGGTTCAGGACCAGTTAACCTTCCTGGCCGCACCAACGGACTATCGTGAGGCCGAGTCCCGCGACATCCTCGTGTCCATGGCCGAATGCGTGGCCCAAAGCTCTCACGGGCGCTTGCTGGACCTCTCGACTCTGAACCTGGAGATTCTGGAGCAGGGGGTCTCCGGCGCCAAGGAGTACCTGCGCGAGCTGGAGCGTCTGCACAAAGCCCTGATCCTTTATTTATGGCTGGGCTATCGATTTGGAGGAATATTTACTGACAGGACGCTCGCGACGCATGTCAAAGGGCTTGTGGAAGAACGTATGATGCGGGCATTGACGGAATTCTCTGTCAATAAGAAACTGCGGAAGGACTCTTCACTGAAACGCCAGATTGCGTTGCAAAAGCAGCAAGCGGAACAGGAGGTTATTCTGGATTCAGACCTTCTTCAGCAGGGTGAGGATGAACATGAGATATCAACGCTCGAGGGATCCCCTGAGGCGCCTGGCACTGCTGAGGAATCGGTCGAAGAAGGCTTTCTAGAGACTACTACGCCGCCGGAAGAGGCTGAACCCTCGAAGGGGACGCAGACACAGACTTCCTAAGGTTGTGTTGCGACAGTGTGAAATTAGATCTGTATACTAGCGACCCTGTACCTATAGACCTACGAAAGTAATCAACTTCTCTCTAGAATCTAGAGGAATCGCATCTTATAGAGTGCTTATCTTATCGGTGGCGACTTCGGCCTTAGTGATTTTCCCTCCCTTCCGCTTTGGCAGAAACCACCAACTCTGCATTCTCCCGTCCTGCTGCTCTCACATCAACCACCATCGCAGCAGCCATGGATGACCTAGAGTCTCTGGAGCTTCTCTCGCTCGTCTCGCGAGTGACGAACGAGCTCCAGAACTACCTGGGCATCAACGACAAGACCTTGGCCGAGTTCGTCATCGACCAGCACCTCAAATGCAGCGGCTTCCCCGAATTCAAGAAAGGCCTCGACGACATGGGTGCCGAGTTCCCCCAGAGTCTGATGGAGAGTCTCGATCGCCTCATCCTGACCATGCACCCGAAGTACAAGGCCAAGAAGACTCAGAATGGCGACGCGGCGGCTGCGCATGATGGCGACGACATGGATGTGCTCGATGCTTTGGAGAAGAAGTCGCGTGTGTTCAAGGGTCTGGCTGTTCCTGACACGGAGAAACGATGGGTTGAAAACGATTACATGGATCCCCAGGAGGCCGCGGACGGGGCCGATGCCCAAGCGGGCGCCATGGACGATACATTTGCGATGCTGGAGGGTCTGGCGGGACAGCCGCGCGCGGCTAGGGATGATCGCAGCAGCACCAGGAAACGGAGCCGCAGTCCAGAGCATGATGATTACAACCGGGGGCGCCGGCGCCGGGACAAATATCGGTCCCGGTCAAGGTCTCGCAACGGCAAAAACGACCTTGTGGACGAGTTTGGTCGATCCATCGGTGGCCATCGCAACGGCCACAGCGATCGTCGGAGACACCGAGACGATGATCTTCGCCGTCCGCCCGTCGAGCTCGATGAACACCCAATCCTCTACAAGATCTACGATGGCCGAGTGACTGGCGTGAAGGATTTCGGTGCCTTTGTAAATCTACAGGGTGTTCAAGGGAAGGTGGATGGCCTCGTTCATATTTCGGCTATGCGGGAAGGAATGCGAGTGAATCACCCGTCTGATCTAGTATCTCGCGGGCAGCCCGTCAAAGTCAAAGTGGCTAGCATCCAGGGCACTCGCATTGGCTTGTCGATGAAGGAAGTGGATCAAGAGACAGGCATGGATCTTGTGCCTCAGCGCCGCTTAGCATCTGGTGCAAATATGGAGCGCCTCGACGGAACATCCGCAGCAGATGACAAGTATGGCAGCCTTAGCTCGGATGTCCCTGTCATCGAATCAGATGGACGACCTATGCGGAATCGCAAACGGCTTACCTCTCCCGAGAGATGGGAAATCAAACAGTTGATCGCGTCTGGTGCCGTGAGTGCGGCGGATTACCCCGATCTCGATGAGGAATACCATGCGACGTTGACGGGAGAAGCCACCTTCGAAGAAGAGGAAGATGTCGACATTGAAGTCAAGGACGAAGAGCCCCCGTTCCTAGCTGGACAGACTAAACAATCCCTTGAACTCTCGCCTATTCGCGTTGTCAAAGCACCCGATGGTTCTATGAATCGTGCGGCAATGTCAGGTACCAGCCTTGCCAAGGAGCGACGCGAGCTGAAACAGCAAGAGGCGCAGGGCAAGGCGGCTGAACGTGCTGCTGATGTCGACCTGAATGCTCAATGGCAGGATCCTATGGTCGCACCCGAAGACCGACAGTTCGCTACAGACCTACGATCTGCGCAACAACCTAAGGATGAGTCTGTACCGGAATGGAAACGGGTTACTATGGGCAAGAACACATCGTTTGGCAAGCGGACCAACATGACTATTAAACAGCAACGCGAAAGCTTGCCGGTATACAAATTTCGCAAGCAACTGCTAGATGCTGTGAAGGAAAATCAGTTGATGATCGTCGTCGGCGACACTGGCTCGGGGAAGACTACGCAGTTGACGCAGTACCTAGCCGAGGCCGGGTATGCAAACAACGGTATCATCGGCTGTACTCAGCCACGTCGTGTTGCTGCTATGTCCGTGGCCAAACGTGTTTCCGAGGAAGTGGGCTGCAACCTTGGTGCAGAAGTTGGATACACCATTCGTTTCGAAGACTGCACTAGCCCCGAGACCAAAATCAAGTACATGACAGACGGCATGCTTCAAAGAGAGATTCTCTTGGACCCTGACATTAAGAGATACTCCGTGATCATGCTTGACGAAGCGCACGAGCGCACGATCGCGACCGATGTTCTCTTCGGTCTATTGAAGAAGACGGTCAAGCGAAGACCCGATCTACGACTCATTATCACATCCGCCACACTAGACGCCGAGAAGTTCTCAGAATTTTTCAATGGGTGTCCTATCTTCTCGATTCCTGGCCGAACATTCCCTGTCGAAATTATGTATTCAAAAGAGCCCGAAGAAGACTACCTCGACGCTTCCCTCCTCACCGTCATGCAAATTCATTTGACCGAGCCTTTGGGTGATATTCTTCTCTTCTTGACTGGACAGGAAGAAATCGACACAGCATGCGAAATTCTATTTGAACGGATGAAGGCGTTAGGGCCCACCGTGCCCGAATTGGTCATTCTTCCCGTCTATTCTGCTCTTCCTAGTGAGATGCAAAGCCGGATCTTTGAGCCCCCGCCACCGGGTGGCCGGAAAGTTGTTATCGCGACCAACATCGCTGAGACCTCGATCACCATTGACAATGTCTACTATGTCATCGATCCCGGATTTGTGAAACAAAATGCCTACGACCCGAAGCTCGGCATGGATTCCCTAGTAGTCACTCCGATTTCTCAAGCGCAGGCCAAACAGCGTGCGGGACGTGCTGGACGAACAGGCCCAGGAAAGTGTTTCCGTCTATATACCGAAGCGGCCTATCAATCTGAGATGCTTCCGACGACCATTCCGGATATACAGCGCCAAAACCTCTCGATGACCATCCTGATGCTCAAAGCCATGGGCATCAATGACCTCCTCCATTTTGATTTCATGGATCCACCCCCGACCAACACCATGTTGACCGCGCTCGAGGAACTCTATGCACTGTCCGCTCTAGACGACGAAGGTCTCTTAACCCGGTTAGGACGAAAGATGGCCGATTTCCCTATGGAACCCGCGCTCGCCAAGGTTCTCATTGCATCGGTAGACATGGGTTGCTCCGAAGAAATTCTCACGATTGTCGCTATGCTTTCTATCCATTCGATCTTCTACCGCCCAAAGGAGAAACAGCAACAGGCCGACCAGAAGAAGTCCAAATTCCACGATCCGCATGGCGACCATCTAACACTGCTCAACGTTTACAACGGTTGGAAGAATGCGAAGTTCAACAATGCGTGGTGCTTTGAAAACTTCATTCAGGCTCGACAAATAAAACGCGCACAGGATATTCGCCAACAACTCCTCGGGATTATGACTCGCTACCACCATAAGATTGTTTCTTGCGGCCGGAACACTACCAAGGTGCGACAAGCTCTCTGCACAGGCTTCTTCCGCAACTCGGCTCGCAAAGATCCCCAAGAGGGGTACAAAACGTTGGTAGAAGGCACGCCCGTGTACATGCACCCCAGTTCCGCGCTGTTTGGGAAGCAAGCTGAGCACGTCATCTACGCTACTTTGGTTCTCACGACGAAGGAATACATGCACTGCACCACAGCGATTGAACCGAAATGGCTTGTTGAAGCAGCCCCGACCTTCTTCAAGGTCGCACCCACCGACCGTCTCTCCAAGCGCAAGAAGGCCGAGCGCATCCAGCCTCTGCACAATCGGTTTGCCGGCGAAGATGATTGGCGCTTGTCAGCACAGCGGCGCCAAGGCAGAGGAGGTGGTGGTGGGACTTGGGGTTAGTAGTACCTGGGTACCCAGGGAGCTCTCCAGCTCAGAAGACTCCGTTGGTGTTTTTATTCTTCTATTATTGTATCTAGAATATCAGAGATGCCTCACGGCATCTATTTCTCACAATGCCCTTTTTTTACATGTTTAAAAGGTTGCTTGTAGCTTGTAACCATGTAGGAGCTGTGGAGCTCATGGGAAGCTTAACCCTACTGAATTTTCTCGGGTGCTGATTGGTCCGCAAAATCTCAGCGGAACGACCATTTCGACTTCAAGAGAAAAAACATCGATCGCGACCTCTACCCCAGTAATGGAGCACGTCGCAGAACACCCATTCCGCACCAAGCGGAGAAAGCTGGACGATGAGGCACCTGCAAGAGAGGATGCGTCCATCACTTCTCCGGCCCAGTTGCGCGACCTGCTTGTTTTTCAGCAGGATGCTCCCGCTGCCAAGCAAGGTGAGAGAATTCCCAGTCGAGCTGCCCGCCAGCAACTCCTCGAAGCTGATTCAAGTCAAAGGCATCATCAAGTTCAAAGAATTTTTGAACTCAATAGGCCAAGCAGGGAACGAGAGTGACAAGGCGCAGAGTCTCCGCGTTCTCAAGGCCTATTGCGATAAGCAGATTTCTCATCATGGACCGGACGAGGACCCCGTCTGCTTCCCGGACCTCATCCAGACCTGGGCATTCGGAGACAGCAACAACAATGAGCCTCTGCTGACCAATGTTCCCTCTGTTCTGGCCATCTTCTTCAAGACCATCTCGCGGGAACTCGAGTTCCGCGAGTTTGGGCTTGCGCTATGCAAGCATCTGCTGCAGAAGGATCAGCTGCGGCTCTTCAACCGGGGCCTGACGGCGACAAAGACTAAAGAGCATCTCATCTCGCCCTGTCTGCGTCTGCTCACGGAGATTGTGTCATTCGATGGTGGCGTCGTGGCCCGCCAGCTGTACTCCCGGCGGTACATCACGTTCAAGCGCCTTGAGGTCTTTTTGACGCCCAACAAAGCACAGCTGGAGAATGCAGAGGACGAATCTCACAAGTCGACTCTCCGGCGAAATGCCCAGCGGTACTTACTCGCTAACCTGCGAGTCCAGCATGTCGCCGACAAGAGCGACATTATCGAGCAGCACAAAATCACCAAAGGTTTCCTCGAGTATGTCCGAAAGGATTCGAGGGATATCGTGCTGGATATCATAAAGTCGATTGAGAGAGACATCGTTCAAGATGCTGTGCTTGCTCGCAAATCCAAGAGCAAGTTCTTCAACCGCGGCAACCTGGAGAGACTCGTGACGCTCTACGGATACGATCGGGAATCGGAAGAACCCAATCCAGACGGCGTATCCGTCGCAAATGAGATACACCGGGTCATGATGAATGTTTGCAAAACCGCCGGACTTGGTGTTCTTTTGCCAGAAACTGGCTGGTATCCCGTCGGTACTGACCCCGAGACTTTGCCACTCGAAGACGACGAAACCATTGAGCTGGGTCTTGATTCGCCCATTTACGTTGACAAGTATCGCGATTCGGTTCCCGTTCGGAATGGCTCACTGTCGCACCTTATCCAATGTCTTCGTCCCGATGTGGATAGTCTTCAGATCGAGCTGCTGGTGACCATCTTCAAGGTGGCACCGGAGCTTGTGGCTGATTTCTTCACCAGAAAGACCATGTTTACATCCGATCCCAAAGCCACTCCCTCGTGGATGGCGGAGTCAGCTCTGCTCTTCTCGACGGTGCAATTGCCCGTTCCTACGAACTGCGGCTGGAAGGAAAAACAGCCTGCCCTGCCACCGCCTATCTCGATCGTTATCGAGAACATTCTTCCTCGACCTCTGAACCAGAAGATTTTGACACGGTGTCTGAATCAGAACGCGGAGATCATCACGTTGTTCGCCGTGCGGATCTTGACCGTCGCATTCAGTAAACTGAAGACCGTTCTCGCAATGTTCCGTGCTGAACATGCCCAGGCTCAATTGTTTTGGAGCCAAGCTGCTACCAAGCTACTTGCCGAGTTTTCTCGCCGATGCCCTGAGGTGAAAGATGTCATTACTCTATTCCGACGAACCGCCAAGGACGACTTGCAGCAGCAGGAAGCTGTGTCAGAGCTGCTCACTTGCTTCTACGAGGTCATGCCAGACATTGCACTGGAAGAGAATTTTGATGTTTCAATGGTCTTGGTAGACGTGTTGAAACGACTTGATGCATCTGATCTTAGCACAGACGACTCCGAATTGCTCTTGAGTCAGCTGCAGAGCATTTTGCGGATTGCACAGCAGTCTGCGTCCTTGCGTTGGTGGCAACAACCAGCGTCCATGTCATACTCTCCATTTACATCGATTCTCAAGGTCCTTGTGGAGACATCGGACAAAAATTCGGCGCGGCGCATCTCTACTCTTTTGAGGACCGTTCTGACTGAAGAAAATTCTATTCTGCTCAACTCGCCTCAATCATTTGTCGCGTTATTGGCAAGTCTGGAGGACTCCGAGTCTGACTTTCTGCACAGGCAGTTGATGTTTTTTGATAACTGCGTGTGTCGGGTTGCCAAGAAGCCGGTTCACTACCTAGACCTCATCGATTCCTTATCCGCCGATGCGGCCGGAAGAGTTAGCCCCATTGTTGCCGCTATCACTGAACAGTGGCCATTTATCGTCAAGAGCGGCGATGCCACGGCTGAGGCCGCTGTTGGTTCCTGGATTGCCAAATTACTTGGAAATTTGAAGAAAGCAAAAGAGCACCAACCAGCTTTGAAAGCTGCTCAGGATGCTTTGGTTGAAGCCACTGAGGGCAAGAAAACTCGTTCCCTTTTCAAGAAAGCCCTGAAAGAAGCCGCGGAGGTCGATGAAGGAGACCGGATGGACATAGACTCCGACCCGACAGTGCCTGCTGCATCCCACAAGCCTGCGGAAGTTGATCTGGACGAGATCTTTGGCTCCTTGCCTACCGAGGGAACAACCCACAACGCGCTGCACCGTTGGGAACGGGAGGATGTAGAAGCGGCAGTGGAGCAAGGACATATCGCCGAACTGATGCTCTGCCTGTGTTCCCAACACGAGGAAGTCCGACGCCAGGCGTTTGCCAATATCATCCGCTTCATGGCGAAGCTTAAGGTAATGCCAGCCCATTTCCCAGGCGATCAACTTTATTTACTGACAACGACTAAAACAGGAGTCGAACTATGCCGAGTGGCGCTCGGTATACATTCTCACAGGTGAACTGTTAGAGAGCGTCAACAAAATGGGACTGGAGCAACCAATTCCTTGGATTGTTGGCGAATGCGCTTCCAGTTCTCTGTCAGTTTTGATCAACCCACTGCACAAGGTCTACGGGAAAGTCAACAAGTTCCTGCAAAAGGCGCCTTCTTGGGAATCCGAGAAGATCCCGTCGTATTGGATCGACAAGATCCTCCTCCACGAGCCCGAATTGGATGATGGGTATTTCGATGAGATTGACTGGCTGCTCGGCTTGTTCGTCAGGGGTCTGCGCACCCCGGCGGACATGGAAATCTACCGGCGGGCAAACGTCTTCGAGCGCCTCCTCTCCCTCTATCAGTCCCCGACGCTGGGAGACTCTCCTCGACGCAAGATCCTGCACATCGTCTATCGGGCTGCACAGGTTGGTGGGAGCACGACGCTCATCACTCGTGCAGCTATCATCAGTTGGATTCAGGTTCAAGTCACGGCGTCGGAGGCGAAGGACCGGGCTATGCTTTCAGCGCTCGCTCAGGCTTTGTATGAGACCTCCGACCGCCAGCGTGTGGATAGCTGGGGCTGTGGGACTGTAGAGCGGAGTGTTGCAAAGATCAGAAAGATGATCTAAAGGAATAAAATAGATTAATGTACAATTTCAAAGCAAAAACAATAGTTCCTGTGAGGATGTCTTTCCCACCTCGGCAGTAGTGGAATCCCTTCACACCCCTTGGCCCTAACTAATAGTCACTTGACACTTTACCACTTCCACTTCCGACTCGACCCTCTTCCCTCGACCACCGCTACTGCCCGATTTATTTTCTCTACAGTTCTCCTCTAGTTACCCTGTTCCATAACTCCAACTTCTGCCTTCCCCTCGGACCGACTGTCTCTCACCGACCCCGTCTCCGCTTTGTCTGACACAGCATTGCCACAGCCAAAAGTCCACCACCCCCAGCGACTTTTTCGAATAACCTCAAGCCTCCCCTTTCTCTCCCCTCAACTTTTCTCGCACATCTCTACCTCTTCTTCGATTCTGCTCTCTCGTCACATCCCTCGACAGCTGAAGCTCTTTTTTCGTCTATCCCCGTCGACCAATGCGAGATTCATAAATTCTCTCTGAAGAAAGATCCCACCCACCCACCACGGACACAGCCGTCCTCATGGCGCGGCGGTACGAGATCGACGAGCTGTTATGGCTGCGCTCATCGCCTCTCGTCGCAAAGCCCCCCGGTCTACCCCCCATCGAAGAATGGATGTACGTACTGCCCCTCGCTGGCCAACTTCATACCTTCAAACGCTGATCGCACTCTCTCCGCTTCGCAGGCCCCTACCCGAACCAACAACGCAGCGCAAAGCACAAAATTCTCGTGATCCTAACAGTCCGGAAACTACTTCGAACAGAAGACCGAGCCTCTTCGAGGCCCGCCACACCTCCCGAGGCTCCAACTCTGGTATAATCATCTCTTCTTCCGCCAAGGGCATCTTTCCACCACTGATGGATTCGCTGACTGCGTGGACTTGCAGAGGATATTGTCCTTGGACCGCCCAAGACGGCCTTTGCCTCATCTCGCATTGGCGGGAAAGGCTCGTTCGACCTCACAGATCGCACACCGCGCCCAGCCGACTCCGACGAAACAAGAAACGACCGATTCAACTTCAAAGAGCGGTTCCCCAAGGACCGCGAACCGCAAGACCGTGACTTCGACCGTCGGGACGGCAGACAAGGGCCCTTGAATGGCAGACGTGGTGAAAGGGAAGACTGGAACGCAGGACGTCCTCCTCGTCGCACCTTCGGCGTCGATGAGCCAGACCGCAAACCTCGTCGCAATGGGGAATTTGATCGCTGGGAGGGCAGAGAAAACCCCCGCGATCCCAATCCCAACACTGAACGAGGAACCCGTGATAAGGAGGGACGCTTCGTCCCGCGGAGAGAGGGCCAGCCGGGACGCGCTCGACATGAAGGGAGCTGGTTCCGCGATGAAACTGCCAATCCCAATGATGCCCTCGAAGCCGACGACGAGAAGTCGCATCTGCGAAGCCGTGAATGGCGCCGTGACCGCCACGGTGCTGACCGCGAGTGGAACCGCGGTGCCAGATTCGAACAGGATCCGGAGTGGATGGATTCCGCAGACCGTGACGAGCCTCGCCGAGCTCATACCCAGGAAGATTTTGAGCGGTGGAAGGAGCGCATGAAGGCTGGCTCTTCCCAGCCGGCTCAGACTCAAGCGGAAGAACGAAGCGAGCCATCTGGAGAGCAGCCGGAGGCTCGACGCACCGATGGCGAGATCTTCAGCAATTCTGGCGCTCCTTTCATGTCGGATTCGTCTATGGAACGATTCTTCGGCCTGCTGGGAGATGCGAAGCCGACGCCGCCAGCGCCCCCGCCGCAAGAAGTGAACACTCCGAATTCTGTCGAATCGGCTATCAAGAAGGAAGCTTTAGCGGGCAAGGCCGGCAAGTCGTCTCGATTTGCGGGGCTGTTCAGCCCGCCGCCTGAGATGCCTACTAAAGAACACGATCCTCATGCTGGCATTCAATCTCCAGCTGGAGGAATGGGAGGAATGAGTGGAATGGCTGGATTGGGTGGTTTGGCCGGGTTGGCCGGAATGATGCCTCCCGGTTCCCATGATGCCGATCAGGAAGGCTTTCAGCGCATCCTTCAGATGCTCGGTGGCGGTCGATCTAATAACGGCACTCCTCAGCAGAATGAGCACTCACAGCACTCGCGTCCCTCATCCCTGGTTCACGCGGATCAGCCCCGTGCCCCAACAACGCTGTCATCTCCGCCTCGTGAATCCCATCCCCGGTCAGAGTACATGGGCCCCAGCCCGGAACAGCTCATGGCTCAAGGCGGGGGAAAGGATCCTCAGGCTCGAGAGAGAGAGCATCTGCTCCGATTGATGCAGCAAGTTCGAGTTGGCCCCGCGCCTTCCGGTCATCCACAGTCTCCGAATACCCATACTGCTCCTCCGGGCTTGGTGCCAGATGGCTTGCCTCGTCCGCCCGGCCTGCATGTTCAGAAGACGCCAGTCTTCTTGGACGACCCGGCGATTGCCAACATGCAGCGCCCGGACAGTGAGCAGCTTCGTCGACGACCTGCTAATGGCCCACCTCCAGGCTACTTTGACGAAGTGCCTTTCCCTCCTGGAAACCAGGGACCTATCACGCCTGGCGGCTCCCGTCCTCCCAACGCACCTCCGATGGGACTTCAGCGACCCCCTGGCCTTGAGGGGATGCCTCCCCCAGGCTGGGCTGGTCAGCTGCCCCCGCAGCAAGGTAACGGTCCGAGCCCGATGGGCCCTCCGCCTGGCATCCCAGCTCCAAACCGCGGCATGGCCCCCAACTTCCCACCTGGCATGATGCCAATGCCCGGCAACGCACCCCCGATGAACGACCGCCAAGCCTTTCCCCGTGGGCCTCCCCCTGGCATGATGCCACCTCCGGGGTTCATGAACGGGCCTCTGCCTTCAGGCTTCCCTCCCATGCCTCCTAACCCAGAGATGATGGGAATGGGTCCTGGCAACCAAGGACCCTTTGGACCGGGTAGCTCGGGTCCTCAGGGACCTCCTTCGTCCCGACATCTGCTGGAGATGTTTGGCCAGTCCAATGGAGGTGATGCCCGCGGCGGCATGGTGGGACCCGGCCAGTACAGGTAGCCGGGGACAACAGCAGAATGGATCTTGCTTTTGTCTTTCTCAGTGATTCACGTGATCTACTTTTTTCTTTTTGTCCGTCTGGCAAAATGAGGAAGAGATTGCAGGATTGCTCTATGTTTCTGCACATGGCACCCGAGGTTTTCTTCCCTTTTGAGATATCAACAGACCGGAATTGTTTATTTCCCTTTTCTTTCTGTATTTGCTGACGATGCCTTTTTCCTTTCGCGGCTTGACGATACCGTTGTTCCATACCGCCGTCCGTCCCCGTTTGAGCCTTCTGCGCTGCGCTGCGTTGGCTTTGCTTTTGCTATATGCGTCCGCCGGGGCCTTTCTGTTTTACCTTTTTGGTGCTTTGAATCTCTCAAGGGAAACCTCGCTTGCTGTGATACTCGGTCACTGAGATTGGCTGCTGGCTTGTGCGTCATACGATACTCCGATCTGGTGGTAGTTAGATTGATAGTTGGGTGTGGTGTGTGGTGATGTTGGCTATCTATCTACCAGTGGATATTATGCTCCATTATAGATGGCTGGACAGGGACAATCTATCTATTGCTGAAAATAAAACCTGCTGTAGTTGTCTGTAAATGTATCTCAGTCATATCATATCCAAGTATGTAGCAGGATGTTGATGGTGATTGATATACACAGCGTCTTTTTTCTGCAAATATCTCAGGCACTGCGTGCGCCTACTTCTATACTGTAAATCATTTTTATATCCAGGCTATTGCATGTAGTCAAGGGCGTGGGCTAGACTAGCAGTGAATGACAATATATTTTCATGGAGGCGCACACGTTACAAAGAATGCTTTCTACTTCCAGTTCTATGTGACCATTGCCTGTGAGAAGCTGTTAACTATGGCACTACGAAACCTGCCCACAGCCACGCCCTCCCCGGATTTCCCAAGTGCAGGGCCGGTCCCTTCCCTACTCTTCTTTCACACTTCCCAATCCGGTCCATCTAGTCTTCCACCCGCACTTCTCGTCTAATGATCCTCGACATGGAAAGCGGAGACTTTGATATACGTCTGGAGGTGCGCGACCAGGTAAGAAAGACCTCTCTCTTCATCGTTTGCCTTTCTTCATACTCACCCCATCCTTCTTCTTTTCTTTTTCTCCAGGTTGCGAGAGTCCGAATCACCTTTAAGCCTGCACACCATCGTATGACCTTACACTCTCAGACTCGAGCTGAATTTGATTTTCTGCCTTCTATTTCTTCTCTGTCTCGACCTCCCATCATGGCTGAAGATCTGCAGGGTACGTGCTTCCTTTCTTCTTCGACTGTTGGGCACTGGCATATATAAGATAGACCACTGACAGTTCCTGCGGGTACAGACCCTGCTGTGCCCAACAGCAACGGCGGCCTCAGCGACGCGGAAAGCGACCGCGTGATAGAAGATCTGGAAATGGAAATGGAGGAGCTGGACAAGCTGGAAGAGACCAGCGCCGCTCCTCCTACCCCCAAGACCAACATCACGCACCCCACTGAGGACAAGCCTCGCACCGATCTCCCCTCCAGCCCACTTGCCAGCCGCGGCACCCGGGTCTGGGAAACCCACCGTCCCTCCAGTCAGGACTTTGTCATCTGGGAAGATACGCCCGAGGACCAGGAAGCTGCCGAAGCTGCTGCTGACGACAACTACATCGACGTCCCAGATGAAGACAAGGAGAATATGACGCCCACGACCTCTGAGGAAGACGAGGCAGAGCAGGAGCAGACCGAACACGATACCGAACGCCAGACCCTCGTTGACTGGACCCAGGCGGGCCTTGGTCGTCACGATACTTTTGGTCTACCTCCAAACCACGACATGGCTCTTTTCGTCAACGACGACCGGAACATACTCCTTAACACCGCCCGCCCTGCTTTTCGTCGCCGTCGTCGTCTGCGCACCACTGAAGATGATTCCAGCTCTGATGACGCCCAGCAGTCGGTGATGCAGCCCGAGATGCTGCAGCTTCTTCCGCTGATCACGGCCGACAGGCAGAGGCGGCCTGCTGCTGAGCGTACGCCCCTTGGAGTTCTGGATACGATGTAGCCTCGTTGGAACTTTGGGACTGAGCGTATTCTGGAGCCGCGAAATCGCTAGCAGCTTGCTCGTCAGCGTCTTCGATTGAGCTCTGATGATTCGGACGAGGAGTAAGTTGGCATGGCATGGCTGAATCAGTCTGGCGTTTTTAGGATCTTGAAATATCTGGTGAATGTGGCTGGCCTTCTTTTTTGCCTTCTTTTTCCTTTGTCAAAGTGATCTTTGTTCTCTTTTGTTCTCTGGGATGGATGGATGAATTATGACCTGACCCTTTCGCCTTACGGATGGATGATTGATGATTTGATGCCGGGTTCTTTTTCTGGATGGTGCGATTTCAAGGGGTTTTCTTATTTTCAATGTATGTGTAGGGTCTTTGCGTCCTTCCTCTTACCAGTACAGTTGAACATAAACTTTTACAGCTTTTGTGTGTCTTGTTTGTACCACGAAATATAGGGCTCGATATTGCTTGGCAGGAGGTAAGCATCATACCCTAACCTTGGAACTATCAGCACTGCCTGACTGAAATTCATTACCAAGCTACCAGGGATATATTATTTGAAAAGGATCCTTGAATTTGAGCTGGCCCGCATTCCTCCTCTCCTTTTTTGCACATAATGCATGTGTTCGGTAGGTTGCAAAGTCAAACCCGATATCGGACAACCCTTTAAGTACCGATCGTCCAGCATCGTCATTGCGGACATTACATAAAGATTAGACGATCTGCTAATTGCTCAAAGCTTGCGTGATTTAACTTACCGACTGCGGCACCTGGCATGATCAGATAAGATAGATTGAAGATCTTAATCAGACACTGTGGACCCTGGCTACGTATTAGCTCATGTCTTGACTCCTGTAGACATATCCTACAGAAAGACCTGTGATTTTTACAATGCGTGACGAAAATATTGACAAGAGTGGATTTCGATCAGCTGTACTAGATTTTTACGGTCGAAAATGATGGAATTTATATCATTTTTACCACCTTCTCGACGTAAATACTTGAAGTCATCCATCACCCCGCCCCTGTTGCTTCTAGGCAATAGCTAATTCTCTTTCTGAGAGACCCCTGGCAAGGCCTATCTTCAGAAGATGACCATAGTCCATCTGAGCAACGGCAGCGGCGGGCAGATGCCTATCACCTACACCGATGTTCTTATAATCGGCACCGGCCCAGCTGGCGCAGGCCTTGCAAGTTTCCTGTCTTACTATGGCAAGGCAACAGTTTATCTCTGTTAGTTTCTCATTGCTAACTGTGCATCTAGGCATCCAAGGGATCATGGTCAGCGCGGCTCCTGGAAGCGCTGATACTCCAAGGGCACATATTACGAACATGGCCGCAATGGGTGAGTCGCCTGGTAAACTTGCAAGGACATTTGCTAAACCAATATCAGAATGTCTCCGAGACATTGGCTTGGAACCGGAATGCAAACGCCTCGCTACGGATGGATCGAACATGATGCACACGCGATGGGCATACAGCATGGCCGGCGAAGAGTATGCGCGCATTCACTCCTGGGGACACGACCCTAAGCGGAAGGTCAGTAGTGGAAGGGGTCAAATGCTTTCCAGAACCTCACTGATATCACTAGGGCGAATACGAGATTGCGAGTCCCTGCGACCCTGTTGACCTCCCCCAGACCCTCCTCGAGCCCGTTTTGGTCAGATATGCCACACTGAACGGTTTCACTTGCCGATTCGATACCACCTTTGTCGAGTTCGATCAGGATGCGACAGGCACTACGTCTACTCTTCGAGACAATATTTCCGGGGTTCAATACAAAGTCCGCTCAAAATACCTATTCGGGGCTGACGGAGCCCGCAGTGAGGTCTTTAGGCAACTAGACCTCGAACTGGACATTCAGCCAGACCAGGGCACGGCATTTAACGTGCACATGGAGGCAGATCTATCGCGCTACATGAAGTACCGCACGGGGAATCTCCATTGGCTCCTGCAACCAGATAAAGAGCATCCGGTGTTCGGATGGGCGTGTATTGCGAGAATGGTGAAGCCCTGGAACGAGTGGCTGTTTATCGTTCTGCCCGAGCGTGGGAAGGAAATGGACTGCAATCCGTCTCCCGAGGAATGGATTGCCCGGATGAAGGAATTCATCGGCGATGATACGATCGACACAAAGCTTTTGGGTGTTTCCAAATGGCGTCTTAACGAAGTTGTCGCAAGGACCTTCTCCAAAGGCAGAGTGTATGATCTCAGTTCTTCCAAAGTGGAGAATGGTACTAACGTTAACTCTTGAACAGATTCTGCCTAGGAGATGCAGTCCATCGCCACCCACCTTCAAATGGCCTCGGTTCCAACACTTGTATACAAGACGCCTATAACCTGGCCTGGAAGGTTGCCTATGTATTGAAAGGTATATGTTGCTCCCGCTCGTTATTGTGGTTGGCATATCTAACATTAATTCCAGGGCAAGCATCTCCCTCTCTCTTAGAGACATACTCTGCCGAACGCCAACCCGTAGGCCATGGTGTCGTTGCGCGCGCAAACCAGTCCTTCCGTCACCATGGTCCTGTCTGGCAAGCCCTCGGTGTTTCTTTACCAACCCCTGAGCAGAGGACGCAAGCGCTGCACGAATTGACCTTGCCTACCGCCAAAGGCCGTTCGCAGCGCAGCGCACTCCAAGCTGCTATCGAGGAGACCGAGCACGAGTACCACGCTCTTGGACAAGAAATGGGCCAATTCTACCAAAGTTCGGGTATATACGCAGCCGACGAAAAGTATTCGTACTACAGCCCTCAAGTCGTCGCGCAAGATCAAGACTTGACTCTGAACCGCGATACCTATCCGGGTTGTCGTTTGCCTCATGTATGGCTAAACAACGCCATTCCAGTGAACCGCATCTCCACTGTAGATTTGGCTGGACATGGTGCCTTCGCCGCGTTGACTGGTATTGGAGGTGAAGCGTGGAAGACGGCAGCTGCGCAAGTTGGAGAAAATCTGGGAGTGAAAATGAATTCGTATTCTATTGGATTCCGTCAGGATTACGAGGATGTTTATTTTGACTGGGCGCGGGTTCGCAGTGTTGATGAGACTGGATGTGTTCTTGTTCGGCCAGACCGGGTTGTGGCTTGGAGGTGTAACGAGGTGCTGGGCGATGAGACTCAATGCGCACTCAAGTTGCGCGAGGTCATGATGACCATTCTGGGCAGGGAGCCTTGAGTTATGCAGCGCAAATTGGCTTAACCTTAATATTCAGTTATTATTTTTCATATTATTGCATGCGAATCATGTACTCGGTACGTCTTAAGCAATAGAGCTGGTTACGCCCTATGACCGTTGATTGATTCAAACCCAAAATTTTTACGGATCTGATAAGATCTCCAAGATTATGCCATCTAACCTCGAACAATAACGTTCTTTCATGTGCAAAAGCCGATAACATGTGCCGGTCTCTTTTTTTCCCCCTGGGACACGTTGAAAATGTGGATCGGCCTCAACCAATTCGGCCCGCAAAACGGCGGGCGGCAGACTATCCAAAGGTCCACAAAGGATTTCAGTGCAAGTAGGACGTCTAACGTGCTCCATCCAAGGCCCACAAATTACACGTTCCGCTACAGAACAGGGAAGCTTAGTTCATGTGAAGCCGGTGCCTCAAGGAAAAGTCGGACCTGCATCATTCAAGTCGCGTAATGATCATTTTCACAATACACGCCCTTCGCGTCGAGCACTGAGCTCTTAATCACCATGGAGCCTAACGGCCTTGAGCTCAAGCCAGTTCCCTCGACACAATGGATGGCAGAAAGCTTCTCACCTCTTGACGAGGTCGTTTTCATCGCTGTTGTTTGCATGGGCCAGTTCATGACGCAGACCAATGTTGGAATAAGTCTCTCGCCTCTGGATATTGTCGGGGAAAGCTTTGATGTTACAAATCCCGGTATTCTGAGTTGGTGTCTGGCTGGGTATTCCTTAACCGTTGGCACATTCATCTTGGTGTCAGGCCGCTGCGGTGACCTGTTTGGCTACCGTCGAATGTTCCTCGTCGGATTTATCTGGCTAGGTTTCTGGTCTCTGGTAGCTGGCTTTAGCTACTACTCAAACTATACCCTGTTCATCTTTGCTCGTGTTCTCCAAGGCGTCGGCGGTGCTATGTTGTTACCCAACGGGATTGCCTTGCTTGGGGCGACGTACCCACCCAGCAAAAAGAAGAACATGATATTTGCCATCTTCGGCGCTGTGGCACCGAACTGTGTCGTGTTGGGTGCGGTCTTTGCAGGGATTTTCTCTCAGCTGGCATGGTGGCCGTGGACCTACTGGACAGAGGCCATTGTCTCTGTGGTGTGTGCTATCTTGGGCTCTCTCGTGATTCCGTCCGTTCATAACGAACCTTCCTATGACACAACATTTCTTGGTCTAGTCAAGGCGCTGGATGCCCTCGGTGCAGTCTGTGGAATTGGCGGCCTCATCCTTGTAAACATTGCTTGGAATCAGGCCCCGGTTGTGGGATGGAATACTCCCTACGTTTATGTGCTACTCATTATTGGGATCCTCCTGATAGACGCCTTCTTCCTGGTCGAATTCCGCTTTGCAGAGTACCCGCTTATCCCTTTCCACGCACTCAGCTCAGATGTCTCTTTCGTGCTCGGCTGCGTTGCCTGTGGTTGGGGCTCATTTGGAATCTGGATCTATTACTTTTGGAGATTCATCGAGCAATTTCGCCAGGCAACGCATTTGCTGGCTTCAGCCGAGTTCATTCCCGCAGGACCAATGGGGATTCTTGCATGCTGCGTTACTGGCTACTTGATGGGTCGCATGCGACCGGGGTGGATTATGGTTCTGTCCATGACGGCATTCACGCTGGGAAGTGTCCTTGCAGCTATCGCGCCGGTTCAGCAGACTTACTGGGCGCTGACTTTTGTGTGCCTTCTGGTCATTCCGTGGGGTATGGATATGTCCTTCCCTGCTGCTACCTTAATGTTATCGAACGCGGTGGAGAAGAAGCATCAGGGCATTGCTGCCTCGCTGGTGACCACCGTTGTCAACTACAGTATCTCGCTGAGCTTGGGCTTTGCGGGTACCGTCGAGGTGCATGTCAATAATGGAGGGAATACCCCCAGCGACGTCCTCAAGGGATACCGAGGTGCAATGTACCTGGGCATCGGCCTTGGTGGATTGGGTATGGCTCTCAGTGTTGTTTACGTGGCTAAGGTCTACCAGGCGGAGAAGAGGTTAAAACCCGCAGTCGAGGAGGAAGCTGGAGAATAATCCGCTTCTACTGTATATACCATATTATTTGACTGTTTCCATCATTTGTACCAGTGGAACATGTTCTTGTCCATATCCCACAATACTGGCCACGGCGATGATCAGATCAGATACCATTTTAGGTTTCTTAGTTTCGTCACTGATCCTTCCTCGCTCGATTATCAATCAGATAATAAAATATTGACGTTTGCCACTCGTTTGTATAACCGCAATCGGCCAGGAGACTGTACTAGTGCTTTCTATCCGTGGTAAATTAGGGCCCACATAATGAGTCTCTACATAGCCTAGGTCCCTTCCCCTAGAACTCGTTGTTTGCTGCTGCTGCGCTAGACGCGGGACAGAATTTTCCTGGCTCGCAACATCAGATCTGCCCATGCCAGCTATCCTCCCCTCCTTGTACGCAGTCCCAACACCAACAGCGGTACGTAGTTAGTTGACCGCTAAAACCCCTATTTTCCTTATTTGCCCGACATCTCCACTTGTCGCCCATGAATGCACCGGTGTCGGAACTCACCTTGGGTCCCGCACTAAACTTTGTTCGAGAAAGGGTGTGGAGCTACGGGACAGGGACGGTACCGCTGTAATTTTCAAAATGCTCAGAGTCGCGGTCGGCAGCCCACCTTATCAATCAGCCAGCCCGCTCGAACTTCTTCTTTCCTTTTGTGATCGGTGCAGTAGTCGAGTGCTGTCTTGAGGACCACGCTACAGACAGACAGAATGGGTAACAACCCTGTCTTCGCCGTGACGGGTTAGCATCCGCCCCCTCCTTCTCCTAGGGATCCCGCGAATTATTTCTGACGATTGGCGCCTATTCAGTGTTTTTCATCTGCTTCCGAGAATGCATCGAAACCACGGTGGTCGTGTCAGTCCTACTGGCATTCCTCAAACAGGCCCTAGGAGGCCCTGATGGAGATCGGACCATGTATAAACGACTGGTCAAACAGGTGAGTTGAGCTTTTACGGCAAAGAACTTGCAAAAACTGACCTGTCCTGCATAGGTGTGGCTAGGATGTGGCTTAGGTCTCTTCATCTGTCTCTGTGTCGGCGCCGGCATGATCGGTGCTTTCTATGGCCTGGGCACCGACACCTTCTCTAGCACGGAAGACATCTGGGAAGGTGTTCTGGCCATCATATCGTCGCTGATCATCTCGCTGATGGGCGCCGCTCTGCTTCGCGTCTCAAAGCTCCAGGATAAGTGGCGTATCAAGCTCGCCAAGGCCCTGGATCAACAGAACAATGCGAAAAAGTCGGAAAAGGGCCGCTTCAAGAGGTGGCTGGAGAAATATGCCATGTTTATCTTGCCGTTTGTGACGGTGCTTCGCGAGGGCCTCGAGTGCGTTGTCTACGTCGGTGGTGTCGGACTAGGGCTGCCGGCCACCTCTTTTCCTCTGGCCGTGGTGTGTGGTCTCGTGGCAGGAATTTTAGTCGGCTACATCATCTACAGGTAGGATACAAGAGGCCAAACATCCGAGAAGCAGAGCTGACCTATCAATTATACAGGGGAGGAAAAGAGACATCGCTCCAAATATTCCTAATCATCTCCACCTGCTTCCTCTATCTCGTCGCCGGAGGTCTGTTTTCGCGAGGCGTTTGGTTCTTCGAAAACAACGCTTGGAACAAGCTCGTTGGAGGCGATACTTCCGAAACCGGATCTGGTCCGGGGTCTTATAACATCGAACAAAGCGTCTGGCACGTTAACTGCTGTAACCCCCAATTGGGCGGCGGCGGAGGTTGGGGTATCTTCAACGCGCTGCTGGGATGGACCAACTCGGCCACCTATGGTTCGGTGCTCGCTTACAACTTGTACTGGATTGCGGTCATGGTGGGCTATGGAGCAATGCTGTATCGCGAAAGACGAGGCCCTCTGCCTGTGGTGGACCCAGTTTTCAAGCGAATCGGGGGGTACAAGGCAAGAGTCAAAGCTTTCATCTTCCGCGAGTCCGTGGAAGAGCCGAGTCCGGCCGAAGCAAGTGGTGCGGCGGGCCATTTTGCCATGATGGAGAAAACCTCTACTATTGTCAGACAGGCTGAGCCTTGAGAGCTTGTGTGGGTTTTTATTTACAGTGTTCTGTCTAATAAATTCAAACTGTCGGGCGTCGAAGGCTATAGCTTCCCTCTTCGATGGTAAATTAAGAAATAAATAATATCTTCAGGATCTCCATCAAATCCACTGTACAATATTCTGAAATTCGATCTCCGATGCCCAACACTTCGAACATGGGTGCACCAGCGGTAATAGCCGAATTCCGCATTTAGCACTCTGACGGAGTGTGCGCGACTTCATTTTTGCAAACTGTACGAAACGTGCTACAATGCTTGGCGCACAATTCCGCACAGGCTTAGCGAGGATTAACACCGTTCCCTTTTCTTCCGCTAGCCATGGGTCGAAGTAACCCCGTCCTCGCCAATGAGCGACCCGGTCGGCATCTGATTACCCGGATCAGATATGGACTCGGCTAAACATTCCTGGTAATCTAGGGGGAGGATCCATGTTGATCGCCATTATTATTATTATTCTGTGTCGGACCACCACGGAAATGTTGGACCCTTGACCCTTGGCAAGAAAATGGGACATTTCCTGCGTCGATCGTGGAAAATATCGAACCACTCCACGACCCAAAGGTGGCATTATTTCCCTCACTAGGAGCACGGGCTGCCCTCCCACTCCACTTTTGTTTTTGCAATTCCTCTAGCCCTGCCCCACTCATCGTGTATTTTTTACCGCAAGATCGATAATAGAATCTTATCACCCGCACACCGTGAACCCGATATTCGGACACGTTTTTCACGCTTTTTCCCCCAGTTGTTAGTCATGCGGTAGCTATTGGCTTTTATGGTCGGTTCTCCATCTGCAAGAGTCTTGTCCGTCTCCCCTCCCTCCCTCACGGCCATAGACGAACTCCTCGCAAGATGGCCAGTTCGGTGCGAGGCCTGCTCCTCTGTCTCTCGGCAGTCCTCTTCTGCCTGCAATCCTGCCAGGCGAAAACGGTCCATTTTGATTGGAATGTGACCTGGGTCACTGCCAACCCGGACGGCCTCTATGACCGCAAGGTGGTCGGCATCAACGGGCAATGGCCGTTGCCCGTGGTGGAGGTGAATAAAGGCGACCGGCTGGTTGTCAACATGTACAACGGTCTAGGAGACAAAAGTGCCTCCATTCATTGGCACGGCATGTTCCAGAATGGTACGAACCACATGGACGGGCCATCGATGGTCACCCAATGCCCGATTCCGCCAGGCTCTTCGTACACCTACAATTTCACTGTCAATCAGAATGGAACATACTGGTACCATTGCCATACGAATTATTGCTACCCGGACGGCTATCGGCAGGCCTTGATCGTGCACGACAACGAGGCATACTTCAACGATATGTACGACGAGGCCTTCACAGTTACGATGAGTGACTGGTATCATGAATTGATCGAGGATATCGGCCCCTCGTTTATCAACCTGGCCAACCCGACAGGCGCAGAGCCTATTCCCAACGCATTCCTCTTCAATGACACATTGAACACGAGCATTTCCGTGCAACCTGACAAAACCTATCTGATCCGGTTGCTCAATATTGGAGCGTTCGTCGGTCAGTATTTCTACATCGAAGACCACAGTTTCCGCATTGTCGAGATCGACGGGGTATATGTGGAGCCCCAAGAGGCCGATATTCTTTATATCGCCGTCGCTCAACGATACGCGATTCTCGTCACCACCAAAAGCACCGCGGACAAAAATTTCCCTATCGTGACCGTCGCCGACTCTGATTTGTTGGATACCATTCCACCCACTTTACAACTCAACCACACGAACTGGTTGGAATATGACCCGTCGGCTGCCCATCCTCAGGCTGTGATGAAGGTAGACGTTGCCAGTGACCTCAATCCATTTGACGATATCAACCTCGTGCCTTGGGACCATGAGCCCCTACTGCCTGATCCTGATCTCACCATTGATGTTACCGTCATGATGCAAGACCTGGGCGACGGTGCTGGATACGCCTTCCTCAACAATATTTCCTACACAAAGCCCAAAGTTCCAACACTTTACTCCGTCCTTTCGTCCGGCGACCTCTCCACCAACTCCGAGATCTACGGCGAATTCACCCATCCCTATATTCTCGGCCACAATCAAGTCGTGGACATCATTCTGAACAACGGGGACTCTGGTGCCCATCCATTCCATCTGCACGGCCACAACTTCCAGGTCATCGAGCGTGCTCCGGCGTACGGCCCAAACTTCTACAGCTACCTAGATGGCGACCCAGTCCCATATGACCCTTCCAACCACACGGCCTTCCCCAAGTACCCAGCCCGACGAGACACCCTCGTTCTTCCGCCACAGGGCCACTTCGTCATCCGCTTCGTCGCTGATAACCCCGGCGTATGGTTCTTCCACTGCCACATCGACTGGCACCTATCGCAAGGCCTGGGGATGACGCTGATCGAAGCTCCCCAACAAATCCAGGAACGTATGTCCATTCCCGAAGACCAGTATGCAGTTTGTCGAGCAGGCGGTATGCAATATGAAGGCAATGCAGCAGGGAACACGGAGGACCTGCTTGATCTGCAGGGCCAGAATAAGCAGGTTGACTGGCTGCCTGCCGGCTTTACGGACAGAGGTATCGTTGCTTTGGTATTCTCTTGTGTCGCTGCGTTCTCAGGAATGGCTTTCATTACCATTTACGGCATGACTGGCCTTGAGACAAAGAAGTCAAAGAAGCCTGAAGGGGCTGAGGACGCCGATAGTAACTAAGCGCGTTGCATGCCCGTTTTCGGGTTTTGTTTGTATCAAGAATATTAACGATTGTCTGTCTCATTGGTATAGTCGCTGTAAGCCGTAGGGTCTCAATATGTCACATTTCCTTATATCGTGGTGTCCATTGGCTCCAAGTTTCAACACCACTCATAAGATATTCCAATCCTTTGATATACTTCTCCATATCCGGGGTCAGTTCTGCACTTGCAGATCTGATATCATCCCCCGATTGCTTAAGAACAATCTCCAATTCTCGGCAGTAGCTATACATTAGTCTTTTGCAGGCCGCGTAGGGCAACCCTGTTTCTTGCGACAGGATATAGATGGCAGAGAAAGGTCGAGCTCCATCGATGGGATTTTCCTGATAAACCCTCCATTCCCGGTTCCAGCTATAGATATCATTGAGGACACCCATGAACCGAAACGCAGATGTTTCAAGATCCGCGGCTCTGCTGAGTTCTGTCGGGGTGAGATGGAGATTGGCTCCGAATCTCATTAATGCGGTATAAAACCTGCATATTAGCTGTTAATTTCATGGTACACGTAAGAGCACGATGATTTAAGTACATACGGTCTGCCCACATCCACTTCCCTGGCCCCAAGATACGGACCAAGATGTCTGATTGATCGACGTTCTGTAGCCGTCTGGGCGCGAAGGAGCGTGCAGAATCCTTGAATGAGATCGTGGACCAGAAGGTCGTCCATGGAGTGCATTTGCCGGATGGTGTCACTAAGCATCCATTCAAGACAGATCTCTCTATCGGGCTGGATTGCACCATTTGCGATACCCATGACCCTGTCTCGATAGGATAGCATCTCCGACGCGTCCATCTTCTCCAGCTGGTCTGAGGAATAGATCAGAGATAGTCATGACGCGGTATGTCAACACTGGCACTCACCATCAATCAAGAGAGCAAGGTAGTGCATCTTGCAAGTTGTCTCTACCCTATCGTTAAGGGTGAGTGGGAAGAATTGGCTGAAAGCGCGGGAGAATCCGAGTGCGAGGAAACCCTTCTTCTCCTTTTCGCTGGCGAATTTCCAATTCGAGGCAAAATATGGTTCAACCTGTGCTTGGATGGTTTCAAAGCCCTGTGGATGGCTTTTGGATTGGAGTCGGCTTGGTGGAATCTCATAGCGCTGGCCTGGAGTGGTATTTGTTGCCGATGAGAATAGCCGGGATAAAGGAATTCTGCGCAAAGCCAGTTGGTTTATTCCTACGCTGGGAGAGGGACATCTGGATCCAAATTCAGGGGCCCATCTTAAGCTTCGAATATTCACAGATAGCCGCATGGTGAGCCGCTTGACATCCGTCTGGTATGGAGCCCCTTTTTGGGATACTTGACAAGCTATTGTCAAGATTCAGCAGTATTGATCACTGGATAATGAACGCCCTGAGCCAATTGACTGCAATTGAGCTCTGTCTATTCATATGGCTCCAGTTGCAACAGCCAAAGATGCTGCAAATTGTGTCATGAACAATCACAATCGCAAATCAGATAATGGATAGGCGCACGGGCCATATCTTGCGTCCATCAACGTCACCCAGCAAGCATCCGGTCTCTCGGCAAGATTAACGGACGATTCTGCATAGAATACACATGTTTCTTGTTTTATCGAGACGTTGTAGCAGCACCAGCTTTCATCGAATCTGCCTCAAACACTTCTATACCTCTTCTATCAGCCACACCCGTTGCTTTGGTCCCCGCATCAACACTCCGACTGCAGCGGCATACTTATACTCAACATCCACAATGACCACCCCATCCCGCGCATCCTGGCGGGGGATCATAGACTCCCACCTCAGCCAAACACCCGACCACGAATTCACAATCGCCACCATCGGGTTCGATGACCAGAACCGCCCCGTTCCGCGAGTGCGCACCTGTGGCTTCCGCGGCTTCTTCCCCGAGCTCACACTACACCCCAGCGGCGGAAAGGATATGGAGCAGCAGGTAGAAGACGGCGGCAATCCACCTCTGTACGACAGTGACATGTTCACGCTCACCACCGATGTGCGGATGGAAAAGCTGGCGCAGTTGGAATTGTCTGGCCGGCAGGTCGAGGCTGTCTTCTGGCTGAAGGACCTCAACACCCAGTGGCGGGTTAAGGGGAAAGCGTATGCAATTGGGAATCCCTTTGGCGAGACAGATACACAGGAGAAGTTGGCCCGGTCGGCAGTTCAAAGAGGGTTGAGGGTCAAGGATGATGGCGGTGCTAATGCATCGGGTATGGAGAAATGGTCTTGGGAGAAGGCTGTTACCAAGTACTTTGCCAATCACTCTCCATTTATGAGAGGTATGTCTTTCCTTGCTGTTGGTTTCCTGTTTGTCGCATACAGAGACACAACACCATGGCTTCTTTGTCTTGCTGCTTGGCTGTCCATGCTGACCTAGAAATCAGGCTCTTTCAGAAATCCACCACCTGGTCAGCCCAGATCACAAGAACCCAGTGATCCACGCTTGAAGATAGGGCAGAAAGTGACTGATTTGCATGACCCCGTCGCCCGTGCGAATTTCAGAGTTGTGGTCATTCAGCCTGAAGAAGTTGAGCGCTTGGATCTCACGAACCAAGAAGACGTTCGGCGGTGGAAATGGACTTTGGAGGGCAATGGTGAGGATTCATCAGGAAATAAATGGGTTGAGGCTGAACTGTGGCCATAATACATGTTTGTGGATAGGAATAACTACCATAATAAAGCCTGTGCCAGGTTCCTGTGTCATTCTATCAACCAAAAGTGGCTACGTTTCTCAATATCAAAATGGATGTCTTTGAAAAAGACCCCCATGCAGGTCTTCTCAAACCAATTGCTCCTGTCTTTGAGTAGCGAAAAGGTATACTCGTTTCTTTCATTCTGCGCAGTGCAACGTTTGCCGGAGTTAGCCCTCTGAATATCATCTTGTGCTCACAGCATATAATCAAGATCGACGAAAGCTTCTGTTCTGATCGTATTAGTGAATCTAGATCTCCATATCATTCGATCGCTTGATATTCATTGTCAAAGCCCGTGAATGGGACTGGCAGACGGCTGCCTGTGCGAGAGGAGCGCCTGCTGGATTTTCTTGTTGGGGAGCTGCCCTGATATCTTGTTCTTTCCTCGCTGTCGGTTCTTGCGTCCGTACACCCTCCCGCACAACCATCTCTCTCTGTCCGCCACGCATCCACATTCACAACCCGCTTCAAATCTCGTACCAAACCTTTCATCTCAAAAGTACATTATCCTCCAGTTTTATGGCGCGTTGGGAACGAAATGCTGGTGCTGACGGGACGCGTTGCAGAAAACAAAATGGCTGGTGACAAGTCCGCTTCCAACGATGAGAAGAAGGTCTCTCGCCAGAAGGCCTGTGATGAGTGCAAGGCCAAGAAGAAACGTTGCACGCACTACCTGGGCGCTGAGGTCGCTGCCCCCGCTGTTCCTTCTGCTTTCAAGTCGGCGCCCGCACTCAACGCGGGGCGTCGCACCGCTGCTGCTGGCATTGTCGTTGCTTCTAGTCCAGCCGACCACATGGCCGCGGCCGCTATCAACAACGAGCGTCGTAACAGCTTAGATGTCGAGATTGATGCTGTTCTGAGGGCCATCGAGGCCGGTGAGTATGAACGCCGGGAGGACAACTTCTCTGAGGCGTCCACTTTGTCCGAGGAGCCAGAGGACATCCCCTGGGATCCCGCCCAGAGCCGCAAGCGTGGCCGTTCCACTCTGTCCGAGGAGCCTGAAGATATCGCCGCGGGCCTCACCCTCGCCCTGAAGCGCAAGCGTGGTCGTCCCTGCAAGCCCATCGTCGCTCCCAAGCCTCGTGGTCTTCCCAATGTCCCCGAGGACGCTCTCGAGGCAGCCAGCGCCATGGCTATTCACAAGGTCTTTGCCCAGGAGCTACAGGAGAAGCTGGGCGAGTTCGACATGCAGGTCCAGGCTAGCGTGCAGGCTCACAAGTCCACCATGAATGCCGCCAACTCGGTTCGCCGCACGGTCGACAACTGGCTGGAGACCTGGGTCAAGGGCCTTGCCAAGTGAGCCTCACGCAGTGCTCCGGCTACCAGACACTTCTGTAGTCTGGTTATGATGTTATGTGTATGATCAACGATCTTTGTGTTTCTCTTGACATTTGAAGGATGGTCATCATGGGGGTTAGTTCTTTTCTTTCTGCGCCATCTCATGACGATGAGCCGGTCAATATGGGTTTTTATTTTGAGATTTTCTGTGCCATCTGACTCTAGATGAGCCGGCAGTCATGTTCATAACATCGACAATAATGCCACTGCAGTTTCAGTCACTGCCATCTGCCGTAGGGTTCCATCCGCACACGTGATGTTGCGTCCTAGTCCTCCTGCAGTAAATAGTCGCCGGTATACAAGTACCCAGTAGTTCGGAGGTGGTTTCTATCACTTAGATCTGTGTCACCTCTTCCGTGTCACAATAATATAAGGATATCACACCCCGTCCAGTACAGGTCTCCTGCCCCCATGATTTGGAATTGCCCCCAAACCAAAAGTACTGCCGATCCTCCAGGAATTTACTGACACTGGCGTTACGGCCAAGAGCAACGATCCGGCTCGATGAGCCAATAATAACAATGGGGGCATGCTGATCTCTCTGGGCCGTCCCGCGCAGGATCGCCTTGTACATGGCCGTAAAGTCCGGTCCCCGGTCACACCGGTTACAGACATGCAGCACCCCTGTAAACCCCGTGCGAGATCCCCGAGTCCCCGACCGTTACGTGTCATGCCTGTCTTGGGAATGGCGTGAATAGTTAATCCCGGGCCAGGATGGCACTTTGACAGCTGCCTTGGACCAACGTAGGGCCAGAAGCGGTCTCAGAGGGCGCTGTTGTCGCTCTGTCTGGCCGGCCCCTGACTTCTAAGGGCCCAGATGGATAGCACAATTGGTCCCCGGTTAATATTAGTGAAGTTGCAGTGCAGCAGCTTCTCTGCACCGTAGATTGCCAGGAGTTAAGTGACCGGCCTCGAGATTGATTTCATTCCCTAGACAGATAGCAGCAACGTGTTGGGCACCGCCCACTGCATCTAGTTCATGGCGATCAAACATCAACATCCACATCTTCATCCACACCATACCTCCAACTCCTCAATTAGGAGATGCCTTCTTAGCCGTTACCTGAATATTATTCTCACCGCTCGTCCATGAAGTCGATCCAGGTACTATGGTCAACCTGCTAAGTACCTAGTTTACTTAACTAGGAGTCGTACAGCCGTCGCGCATGCAGTCATGACTATGATAGTGGCCCGGGGAACACACCGCGCCCGGTAATACCAATACCAACTCGCCCTCCATCCCTCTCTTTTCCCGATCCTTCCAAACTCCTCTTCCGTGCCCTGCCCTTCCCCATAATTATTATTCTTGTCGTTGGACTTGCCCTACCCTCCTCAACCCCTCCTAACTAACCATCCGACCTCTTTGCTTTTCGATACTCACGCTCTCTTTCTTCATCAACTCGAAAAGGAGCGTGGTTGGAATTCAAATCTTGCCGACCGTGCTGAAAGTGACCCTTTCCGTCGAACCCGCCCTCGGCCGCTTCCATCACATCGAAAGAATCCACCCTGGGGCCCTCCCGTTATCCCTCGACCTGCCGTCCTTATTCTGGTCGACCTCACGATTGACGACGAAACGGACCCTCGAATATACATCTCTCGGAGATATCTACTCATACACCCACTCTTAATCTCTCTGCGACCCGTGGGTGAACCCCTGCGCTTCGACCATGGCTGCACCTCCAATGGATGCTCTGGGGGCCTTCACCTACCTAACCAACAACCTCCCAGCTTGGGTCGCCCGTGTCGCGGAGCTCGCCGACCACACCTCCGCTAAACACGCCGAATTCGCTGAGACATACCGACGACATACAACAGGGAAAACGCGCCGGCGGAAGAACAGCTCGATCTGCTCCATCCACACCGATGACAACATGATCCCAATAGCCGAGCGAGCAAGCCCTCTCCCGGAAGCCATCGAGGCGTCCACCAACCTCACAACCGAGTCGCCCGAGTCGGAACAGCAACGCCCGCAGATCGGCCACAAACGCCGCACGGACGAGGCCCCGTCTCTCGACTCGGCGGAGCGGTATACGTTCGTGAGCACGCGGCACAACCTCATCATCGAGTACGACGGCCACACGCAGAAGTCTCTGGAGGAGATTGTGCAGGACATCGGCAAGGCGAGGAACAATCTCCGGCGTGCGAAGATATCGACCATGCCACGCACGGGAATCCGCTCCAACTTGCTGGGCAAGGCCAGCGTGATCAACTCGTCGGCTGTCATGAGCGGGAAGACGGAAACCACGGGTCTCTCGCACGTTCGCAGCATGCGGTCACAACCTGGTGTCGTCGGTGTTCGTGGTACCAGTTCAGCCCGTCAGGACTCGCCCTTTGACTATGCCGATAAACAACTCGAGCTGGCTCACGGGCTCTGCGAGACGGCGGCCTATCAAATCCTCCGATCGGGTGACTGTGCTATGGAGCTCGATAGTGTGGAAGAGAAGTTTAAGATGGTGCTCGACACGGCCAGGAATGAGGTGGAGCGTCTTTCGGAAGAGAAGAAACAGCTGTCACCCGAAGAGAAGGAGGAGAGGGAGAAGGAGGCAGCACAACCACCGCCCACCCCGAGTGCAGCAAGAATGGCTCGCATCGCAGCCCTTACTGCCGCCAGCAAGTCCTCGACGCAAGAGACTGGCCCTGGTGCCATTGAAGTCGATGATAACTCGTCCATATCAGCCGAGTCGATTGACATCTCTGCATTCCGATCATCCCGCATTCGGGCTTAAATACCCTTCTCTTCACAGCATCATCAACATAATATTTTTGGCCATTGTTTTTTTGGGGCACATATCGCCTACGATTTAGCGTGTGTTGAAGCCTTTCAGCAAAAGCATTACAACCGGTTCCGTCCACATCTTCGATTCGATCTCTTTTTTTTTTTTTTTTTTTTGTCTTTTGATGGCAGATCTCAATACACCTCAAACGCACAGAATACCCCGTTCATTTTGCAATATCTCGTGTCGTCTGCTCTCATTTGTGACGTTAACTTGACTCTGGGTTCGATCTCTTATTTGTTTCACCAGACTACCCTGTCTATTTCTTTTCGATCCTTTGCATCTGCTTATGAGCCTTGGAGAGCATGGCGTTGGCGTCGGAATTTTCTTTCTTCTTTCTATCTCTAGGGTTTTCTCCAACATGGTCCGTTCCTTGACCAGACACCAGGCATTTTCAGCTGATATATCCCATGAATTCGAATATGCCTGTGCCACCATTCTTTTTCTGTGCTCGTGTACCGCGCCACCTCGCTTATAGAAGCTCGTAGAAGAAACCCGTGCAACCATCCGTCAGCCTTGTTTCTGCGGTATCCTACTCTCAGAGTTTCAGCGATATGTACGGTAGCAAGGCCCAGGCACCCCGGTGTTAGTAGTGTCCAATGGATCGTCCCCTTGTGGTGTCAGCATTTTAAATTAAACTCAAACTCTGGTCAGCGAGCACACTGCGGTCGGGTATAAAGAGACAGATCAATATTATTAGGGCTTTGTTTATCTCATACATTGATCATAGATCCTACAAAATGTGGCGAAGATGAGATAGATGATGGCATGGAGTCCCCACAAGACAAACAGGGTGTCTATCATTGCAGGTTGTTCTGGGCTTTTGATGGGGCTAGAGCGATAATCAACATGAAACCCAGGACTCGAGGGAGTGTACATCAGATCGATCAAAAGACCGGACTCTGTTTGCCGTTCTGTTTGTTTGTTTGTTGACCGTTTGCGTTGGAAAAACAGTATGCTCCTTTCCCTAACACGACTATTATGATTGTCTGAAGTTGCAAAAAAAAAAGCATGGCGAGGGCACAACCAAGGCTAGCTGAATTCATCTCCCACACTGGCCTATAGGAAGCCACAGACGAGGTACACTCAAGACTCGATGACGCGGGTATGTAAAACCCCTCCTGACTGCTTACGAGATGTAAACAATGGTATTGACTAGCCCTGCACGCCCAACCCCTCGGGCCCTGCTCGTCATTCTGTATGGCTGCACAGAAGGGTGGGCCGCGCTTTGATTCCTAATTCAGAACGCCCCGAAAATGCAGCCTCCGTTTTCTTCCATGGATTAATTACGGCAGGTGCTGTCAAACTGAGGGACCTTGGCCATAAAATATTATGAGTTTGTAAGCTGGCACCCATCTGGGGACGAATAGAGGAATTTTGTCAATGCAACCAGCTAATGTAAAACCAAACTTTCTCGTTATTTTGACGTTCGGTATGGATGCTCGAGGATCATGCACATTCTACGCATAGACAAAAATCCGGCTCCGAGCCACTAACCCAAAACAACAAATGGTCACCTTTTTGCTCCTAGAGCTTTTGCCAATGGCCACTTGACACAGCAGTCCGATGATGACATAGTACCTAATGCCTTGACTAACTAGTCTTTCTACACTCTTTCTTCTTAACGTTCATAAAACAGCTTGTTGTTGAGCTCCTCCCATCCTTATCCAGACAAGGGTGTCTTCGCGTTGTTGGATGCAGCTTGCTTCGTCCCAGACTGCCGCTCCTCGTTTACTATTCTATGTAATGCGCCTGGAGAATCCGGGAGGAATGGTGATGGGATTAGCGTTGAGTTGGTACTGTACGAGTGCCAAGAGAGCCAGACTGTATGTAATTGGTTACTGCGTAGTGGTGTCAGTGGGTGTTTCTTCTTCAGACCATTCGGGCGTCTGAGAGGCAGAAAGCGACTGGGCGATGGTGTTTGTTAGCTGGGTGCCAGACGTAGCTCATCTTATTGCCTATAGAGTGAATGACAAGTGAATTGGATCTTGTCAGTAGCAGTTGCTACTTCTCTGTGGAATTGCTCATGTTACTGATCGGCAATTGGTTGTATCTCAAGGTATTGGCAGTATGCTGAATATCAGAAGCATATTAAATCTATGCAGGACGTGCTGTCTGGGATAGATGGCTCTCAGAATCAAGTACAAAACAGCAGCAATATTCGAAAACAGATCCCCATGGATATTCAGGAATTATTTCTCTGTCCCCGATATGCAGTGACCTCAACCCTGGATCTAAGCCAGTGATCTTGTTGGGTACTTTCTAATTCAGATTATTGGTAAATCAGACTCCAGATTGAGCCTCCGGATACAAGCTCCACGGATCAGATCATGGCAACTGCAAATTTCCTTGCCCGTCCTATGTCTCGCAGTCATAGTCATGAAGGCAACCTAATAATTAAACATTACATATCAGATAGTTATTTATTGTAGTCAACAGATGACATATAACGTCACATCTATAATTAGCTGACTTCCTAGGGCCAGGCCGAACTGTAGCTGGTCGAGATGTAGCATCAAACAATTATAAAACTTGGATAACACGGATTAGTTTTACCAACTGGGTGTTGGGAAGTCTTTGCTATCCCGGTGTAGCCCAAGCTGCGGAACCTATCATCCACCAACACCGTAAATGTTTGTTGGTTCCACGACGAAACCAGTCGCTAATAGTACCTAAACTACTGCTGACGTTTGATGAAGGAACTGCAAATATGGCGGATCCCTCGTATTCGGGAATTAGGACACGAGATAAGACACGAGACGAATATCTGAGTTCGACTTAATTGGGTGCCCAACTGAACTAATGCTCGTATTCAGTTTGGAAAAACTATCGCATAGGCAATAACAGAAGGGGATAACAGAGTAAGCTGATGAAATTCTTTGATATATAAGCCTGCTCGATTGTGTCCGTTGGAACTTCTCCCTTTGAAAGTGACCACTACCTTCAGTTTCCAGCCTTTCCCTTACAACAGCAACAACCGTCATTATGGCTTCAGAAACCGGCCTTCTTCCTGTGATCATAAACCTCGCCGGTCAGACCCGAATCAACGAGGTCGTCTGGGCAGACGAGAATGTTGAATCTTTTGAACAACTCGCGGCTTCCTTCTATACGAGCTTGCGACATAATATTCCTGAGTTCTACTTGGAATCGGGGGAAAGGACCATCACTAAGATGTGGGTTGAATGGAACCAAGGCGGCGGTAATTTCCTCCCCATGGAGACGGAAATCCACGAGGGAAACCTCCGCGCTGTCCTGCGAATCCTGGCTATGCGTCGGGGTGTCGACATGATTCGGGTGTGGCTTAACGAAATCGATTAAAGTCAAGTGAGCAAAGCCAGCTTGTGATCATTTGCTGAAAGGTTGCTAACTGTTCATTTCAACGAAGATAATTCCCTTCGGTCTGCTAGGTTTTAAGATTGAGTGAAACAATCTTGAGAACGGCGATGGCCGCAGATGAGTGTCCATTTGTTACAGAGATATTCACGTCCACATACGGTGGTGTATATACAACTGTGAGATTTCCACTTTATGCACTCACGAATTGTTTTTCTGAACTGTATCCTACGAAGTCCTATATATACTTGGCCACCCTACAAACACATTTTTCCTATTCCCTCCTCTATAATCTCTTTATCAAAGAAAGGCCTAGGAGGAGAGCAGAGGTTATAGGGTTTCACGACTAGTAGAAGGAGCCATAAAGTTCTAACAGTTTCAAACCAAACCGGCTAGCCAGTCCATGTAAATAGCTATGGCGTTTCACAGTTCTAGATCGCCGAGTCGGCGAACCAACTGCTCAATCAGCGATTGAGATGGGCGGGGCTTTGTTCTTTGGTTCTACGGCGACGGCGTTATTTAAAATATCATCGAAATAATGCAGATACATTGACATCTACTATATGAAGAGGAACAACGACCAAGGAGCTATATATAATACAATTGCTATTCAATTTGAAAGTCATGAAGCGCGGAAAATCTCCAGTGCGTGGCAACATTCTCGCACCGCAACATATCAGACGTGTAGCATAGACATCAATCAACCACATATTACGAATAATAAAAGAAAAGCATGAGAGATAAATCTCCAACCATATGATCCCAGGCCACTCGGCCGGGATTAGTCAGTTAGAGCCGGCCAGTCTCAAGACTAGACTGGCCGGCTGGGTATCAAAGTAGACCAGAAACCAAACACAATCCCCCTCCTAAGAGAGGAATTGATTGCAAGCGAGACAGATAGGCAGATAGATAGACAGGCGCAAGACGGGAAACAAAGACCAAGGAGGGAGGCCAGTCTAGTAGGGGATCTTCTCCTCGTAGATGGGTGGTTCGCCCTTGGCCTCGTTCCAGGCAATCTTGTTCTTCTCGTCGAGCCAGGCATCCTCGTCCGAGATGGGGATGACGCGCATGGTGTGTGCAACCTCCTGCTTGCTGATGCCCGCGGGGTCGCGCGGGATCCAGAGCAGAGGGGCCTGCGAGGTAACAGCCGGGTGGCAATAGGCGTCGCGCTCAGCCTCCTCCGTGTAGGGCACGACGTCGAGCGGGGCGGGCACCAGACGGCGCAGGGTCGCGTAGTCGGTGTACTTGTCTGGACGGAGCCACTTGGTAAAGAAATTGGGCTTGGAGTGCGCGGGAGGAAGCGACGCATGGGTCAAGCCCTTTTCTGCTGAATCGAGGTTGTCGACGTTCCCGACGCCGCTGTCGCGGTTGGCATCGGCGGCGGCGCTGGAAGCAGCCAGGCCATCGGACTGCGAGTGCTCGTCTGCCGAGTGGCTCAGTTTGCTGCGCTCCACGGAAAGGAGGGCTTCCTCCTCGTGTTCGATATTCTTGGGAAGGTAGTTGAGGAGCGGCTCCATGGCGCTGTTGAGGGAAATGTGGTATAAGATAATGAAGACCAGGAAGATGATCATCAGAATCAAGGGACCAAGGGCCATTCTGTCGGCAGCGGTACCGATGGCAAACAGGCCAACCAGACAGCCCATGAGCAGGTAGGCGCCCACGGTGATGTGCTGCAGAGCGCGGGTGTAGCCACGTCCCTGGGTATCGATGGTGGCGTTGGACACGTACAGCAGGTTGTAGCGGTAGGCGAAGTAGAACAGATACATGCCGATGGTGCCGAAGCCCATGACCAGCGGCGCAATGCAGGAGTAGGTGATGGCAACAACAGTCAACAGGGTCAAGACCGGGTAGATGGTACCCCATCCCAGTCCAGCCAGGCTAGACCAGCGGGTGTACATCTTGCGGGGAGTCTTGTCAAGGAGCTTGCCAAGGGCCTTGCTAACGATCAGACCAACAATCTGGAGCAGAGCACCCGAGCTGAAGGACAATCCCTGCAGAATGATGTACGAGATATAGAAGTTGGAAGCCTTGGGAAGATTGTTCGCCAGCAGAGAGGCAGCGCTGGTGGGATCGCTGATGATTTGCTCAACGACACTGGTCGCGGCGGAGGCGAAAGTGACGACCAAGAACACCTGGACGACCTGGAAAGCGAAGTACGAGTTCTGAACCGACAACTCGACCGCTGCCAGGGTAGGAGCACCGCCCCACTTGGCCATCACTGTGAGCGTTAGTTAGCAATTGCAACGTACCCAATAAACAATTTTCAGACATACAGCGAAGAATGATGGGCACGAGGGCCATGAGCACGGCCATCAGGACAGATGGCAGCATGCCAGTAATCAGACCGAGAATAACCTTGGGACAATTGTTGATGAAGCCCAACCAGGGAAGCTTCGCAATCAGGGAGTTGATGTTCGAGAGGGCACCCACGAAGGCAGTGGGAATAGCCCAGAAGATAATCATGACGGTGATAAAGGAAATAGTGACGGTGCGGCGAGTGATGCGCTCCCACCACCTGATGCGCAGATTCGCCCAGATGACTTGGGTAGGATCCAGACCAATGTAGCGCGGGGACATGTGCAGGGGAAGGTTGTGGGCGACGGACTGGTATGCAGCTTGGGCATCAGACTGGTTATAGAACTCGACAAAGCACGAGGAAACCAGCTTGACATCTCCAGCGCGGTGCTTGGCCTGCAGTTCCTCAATTTCCGGGGTGAGACGCTCAATCTCCGACCGAGCCCAGTTGATCGTGTCGACCTTCTTTCCAATCAGCATCTTCAGGCGATGCGTGGGACGATTCTTGGGCTCAACCCAGCGAGCGGCAAGAGAGCCGGACTCGTCATCGAACTGCTGGGGAACATCATCCTCCGCACCCTCCTCGGGCGAGGCCTGCTTCTGGAGGGCCTTGGTGCGCGCCTTGTTGGCCAGAACAATCAGCTTGGTCTCGGCGCCTTCGAGCTTCATGGCTGCGTCGTCGCGCTGCTTAACCTTCTCCTCCAGCTCCTTTGTGTCGGTGGCCAGCCAGACATTCTTGACCTTGTCGCGGCCGAACATAGCACGCAGCTTATCCTTGTTCAGATAATCTTCGGTCACGGTAGTGAAGAGAACTGTGCGCGAGGAGATGCGGCTAGCATAAGCGGGCGAGAAGAAGTACGCCTGGCGCAGATTGATGTAGAAAATGTGTTCCCGGGTGACGGTGAAGAAGATGAACCCTGGCGAGCAGATGGTCAATTGGGCCCAGTCGTGCATGGAAATCAAGCCAACTTACCGACAAAGATCCAGGCGAGGAAGCAGTGCGCGTAGTACCGCGCATACTCCGAGTCCGAGATGTGGGAGATACTCAGGATATTCAGTTGAGTCCCAGGGCCGTGGGCGGTCGCATTGACGGGGAACAGGATGGGCCAGGTGATGCAGCACCCGACGAACATGATCATGGAAGAGAGCTTAAGGAACCGCAGCAGGAGGTACGCGTCCATGGAGTGGTGCTGCAGGACGTAAGTGTCGGGCAGCTTGTACATGCTGGTGATCCAGTTCAAAAGACCCGTGGGCGACTCAGGGGTGCGCTGCCAGGGCTTCAGGTACCCGATGTAGGTACGGGGCACGTACGTGCGGCGCTGGCTGCGACGCAGGATCACGAACAGGAGCACCATGACCGCGAATATGACGAAATTCAGAACCAAGGTGGTCAGCAGCGCGGACGCGGAGCTGCTCCCGCCGCCACTCGAGTCATCCTGGTGGAGCTGGTTAGTTTTCGTCCATCATTGAAGAGAGGGACGCGACATACCCGAGCGAAGAGCTGGTGGAAGCCACTTGCGTGGTCCGCCATGGTGAAGGAGAAGGAGGTGTCGAAATTCCTTGGGCTTCAATGGGTGATGTGCAGTCGAAAAGCACGTGTGTCGAAAACACGAGTGGTCGACAAGGGAATTGGTGGGAGGAAGAAAGAGAGGAAGAAGAAAGGAAAGGAAAGGGAGGAAAAGACGAGAAGAAAAAGGCAGAGCTTAAACGGAGGGGCAGCCGATCTGGGAACATACGATCGGCGATCTTTTCTTCCTAACCAACAGGGGTAGTTGCTACGTACCTAGAGCAGTTCCGGGTTAGCGTGGTGATCGATCAAGTCTGGATCAACCACGATTTGAATAACCGATTCTCGGGTCGATGACTCCATCACTCCTGCGCGTGTTGTTTGCTACTTGGCTATAGGAGTATTTGGCTATAGGCGTCACAGCACAACAATCTGTCCGACGCGCCGACCCCTTGCTGGCACTTCCTCTCGCCAATCCCGTCGGACAACTCCGAAAAAACAGAAGGAAAAAAAAAGCCACCGCCACACCTAGCCACAGCCCAAAGCTCCAGCTCGCCGATCCCTATGACGCGGACCCGCGTAAACAGGGGTTGCAAGGCGGCAAGGGATACACTAGCCCAAGGATTCATAGGTGCACGAGCCCTCCGGATTTGAGGTTGGAGAGAGTATTTGGCAAATAATAGTGACTACGACTAGCAGCCGAAGGAAAATCGGACGAACGACTGGATCGACTGGGGCCGATTATCGAACCTTGGAAAGGGTATGTGGCATTGCGCAGAGGCAGCGAAAAAAAAGGATCGCCCGCGACGCTGATGAGCTGGATCCAATAGATCGGAACGCTAGCAGGCACCTAGTTGGGCTGAGGTGGATGCGCTATTGACTAGGGATCTGGCTTGCCCATGGGCCGTGGTGATGGGCACCACTTTTTTCTTAATCCCTTTTTTTTAAGTTTCACTGCCTCGGCTCAGAGAGTAACTACAACAGTTGAATGACGGTGTGTAGGTACAACACATACCGAGTAGGAGATCACATTTTTGCGCCACAGGAGCCAATTTTGTCTCTTGTTCTCCATGGGGTTTCGGGAATGCAAGAAGAACAACACCGCTAGCGGATTGCGATGTGCACTAGGGGTCGATTATGCCGATCGACATGACCCTGAGTACCTGGCCGGTACCTCTCCACACGCGGTTTGGTGACACGGTACTTTCGGAGTACCTGGATCCTCGTATTCCGCGCGGCGATGGGATCGGCTGAGTAGTATTGGTTGATCGATGACGCTCACACCCACCACTGGTCCCGGACCCTGCCAAGCCGCACCCCCGTGGTTGATGACGTTTTCATTTAATATTGCACTGGAGCATTAAGAGGGGAAGAAGGCAAACAGACGGTATAGACTGCTTTATTGGTATGAGGTTGCTTCGATCGTAATGAATTTAGTATTAGAGGTGTCAAGTATATATTCACCCCTACGCCGGACCAACAGTCCCCAGCTCCAATTCCTCTTCAAAAACATCAATGCCACGAATCGGCGAGCGCAGCGTCAAAAGGCTCATGAGAATCTCATTAAAATGGAACTGGAGGTCCGGCCGAAGCTGCTTGTGCGTCTTGAGCAGCTCCCCCGTCGACCATCCACGCTCCGGGTTTCGTAGATCGGAATCGCACCCTTCCTCCAGCAGCAGCCACACCAGCGTTTCGCAGGCCGGGTACCGATCAAGATGATGTTCGCGTACCAATGTACACAGGTAGCGCAGAAAACGACCGGTGTTTTCCGGCGACCCCTGGAAATCCCACAGCGCCGCGGTGATGTAGATGAGCGCCGCTGTGCGGCTGACTTCTTGCGTCCGGTCGTCGCGGACTACATACATGCGCGACGCATGCGGGACTTGTGAGGGGCGCGGGCCGCTGGAGAGTAGCGGAAATAGGGGACTCTCCATTTCAAAGGCCTCGCGTCGGGGAGGTACGCGGATGAGGTACTCCGCCGTGCTCTGCTTGCGCATCAGATCTTCTGCGCCACGGAGAAAGGTCACTAGCCACCGCCGCTCGGCGGGGGCGATCGTCGTGCTTTGCGGTGGTGTCATGATAAACCGGACGTATTGTAGGAAAGCTTCCACCGGCATGTTGGTTCCGGTCCGCGGCCGCATGATTTTAACGGCCCAGTCGGCGTATTTCTGAGCGCTCTCCTTGCTCCCAAATCGCTCTTCCTGCAGGGCCATCCCGGCCAATGCCATGGCCAAGTTGTCTTCCTTCACCTGCGTGGACCCCGTGGCGGCGGCATCTTCGATCAACTTTTTGGCCTGCCCGACATGGTGCTGGATTTCCTTGCTATCGGACAGACCGTATAGCTGCGCTTTCCATCGCGCACAGTATGATAGGATGACCGCTTGGAACGTGAGAGGATGGCCCATTGCGGTCCGGAAAATCTGGTTCTTGAGATATGGGTTTTGGCCAGACCAGTAGGTCAGTTTGCTCGTCCAATAGTCTGCCAAGTCTAGATCCTCCCGATCGTAGGCCATCGGCAGACTTGAAAATGGATCTTTTCGAGAGGCATCGAGGATGGTAACGGGCGAGCCTAATTGCAATGGTTTCGTTGGACGAGGATTTGGCTTCATCGCGGAGAAGCGTATTTGGAGCTGTTGCGAAATATCATGTTAGCATCCATTTTGGTTGCACACTATGCCTGAACTCCCATACCGAAGGATCCTCGTGTGACGGAGTGTCGGGTGCGTTCATCAAGGCCGCCTCCACTTTATTTGGAGTTTCAACTTCGGTCTGTTCCGACACACCTTCTTCGACTGCCAGTGTCTCATGGGACATTTTGCGTTGTTTGCGTTTCTCCTGGACATGGTGGCGCATCACATGAGCTCGTTTTTCCTTAGATGAGGAATTCGAATCGACGAAATAAAAGGCTCGATTTGGAGGCGGTTTGGTCTCCGCTGCTCCCCGCCGCCGCCTTCTGGATCTCCCGGGGGTCGCGGATGTATCCTGAGAGGAACCTAGATCGAATCGCGCGATGAGTTGGCCTGATTGATACCTGATTCACAACAGCGGGGCTATCACACACCTGAAACTTTTGGCTCCTGTGGACGGGATGTGGATGATGGTTCCTTGACCAACTTGCGCTCGTTCCCGGACATCTCGCGCCGCACAGTCGAGAAGACACTTCCTTGGTTGACGCAATGGATAATTGCTAGAGCTGCATGCCGCACGGACGGTCACCAAGATACCTCCAGCGAAGAACTCGGGATTTGAATAGAATCATCGCAGGTTCGGAATCTGTGCCAGCCAAGAGTGGAATCAGACGAGTAGTTCACGCGCGCGGTGGTCAGGCAGGCAGGGAGGTGTTTTGGAGATGAGGGAGAGAAGGGGAGAGGGAAAAAAAGGGTATACACTCACAACCTAAATTGCAGGAAGGAAAGACGATCACAATAATCCCCGAGAGATCCCCGAAAGGGGAATAAGATGGCAGTCCGCGGTTCCAATTTGCCTGGCGGATATGGAGGTGTGTAGCATTCAGATTCCGCTTGTCAGGTGCGTAGACAGCAGGTTCGTGAGCCTTTAGGAGAGATTGAGTTAAAAGTCGGGGTATGTGACTTGAACGAGCGTAAGGGTCTATTCGGGGACCTCACAGTGGGCCGCCGGCAGAGACCCATGCAAAAGTCCTTGGAGCGGCACTTTTCAGGCGAGTGGATTCGACGGCATGTAGGGACTGGTCAATAATTCACCCGGATTGGACTAACCTAATTAACTAACTAATGAACTGGGATATGCGAGTGGCCAGCATGCTGAAACCAAAGCATCAATCGTGCTGATCCGAGCAGTCCGCCGCTTCTCCAATTTGGGGATGCGGCAGTCAGAATGTTACGTAATGCGCACCTAATCTGCCGCAATGATGACATCGCACATCAAAAAGAGAGTTGACGAGTATCCGGTGTTGTTCTGTGCAGATTGAGATTTGGATATAGAGACAACAAACTTGGATTCCATAGAAATGTCTGGGCTATAGGTTCTTTATGGTGAACGCCTCCTGGCTGCCTTCCTAAACGGGACAGCAAAGAAACGTACTCTATATAGTCCCTCCACCTCTTCCTCTTTCCTTCTTCTCTTTCCGGCTCTGCCTAGATGCAAAGCTAGCCGTTATCACACTCTCCACAGTTTACGTGAAAGTCTCTGCAACTTGCTAGTGGAGCTCATCGAAGCTGTTACCCGCCCTAATGCTAGACCCGAGGATCTACAAAAGTCCCTTGCCGGAGGGGTCCAGAAAGTTTCGGTGGACTTACAAAGTACTACCTCACGCATGCCAAAGTCGACCTATGAATGACATCGACGAGCGAAAGGCATGTATATTCTAAACCTGCAAACACCCGTGACTGATATGTACACAGATGCCCAGCACAGCTCGGCAGTGTGCCAGTGGATCAATCAGTATGTCGACGCGCGCCTTAATAAGTTGTTATAAGAAATGGATGGCTAGCGAAGCCGGCTTGGCGCAGGTCAACAAAAAGGTTATCACCATTGGAATAGATCGCAAATGGCTTCTGTGTTTGAGAATGCGACACTCTCACGCTGTGGACAGGTCCTCTACGGCACGGGCACTCTAGCGGTGACGGAGAAACAAATGTACAATGCGGGCCATGTCCTGTACGCTATCCGGGTGATGGGGTAGGAGCAGCTTCACGAACTTTATTTTGACCCGAGGACCATTCAGGAATTCGGGGAGAGTGACGATCAATAACCACGAACATTACTACCGGGCTCGACGAGTATTAGGTATTATCTTTTATTCTAGATTGTTTAAACAGGTTTGAATCATAAAGTTTATCCCGGATGGATGTGTACTGCCAACAACGGCATGCCTATGTCTCACTGAGGACCACTAATAGCTTCCCGGTCAATACTCCCTGCTCTCCTGAGACCTCGTGTGTTCGATCTATGGCGAATATGTGTTGAAATACATAATCAAATCCAATCCAGTAGGCACTGCTTAAAGTGGTTAGCTCGTTCCCCACCACTTAACACGTCCCGAACGCGGGTCCAGAGACGCGACGCGTGTTCCCGTTTTTCTCTACCCATCCACTCTTCCCTTCCATCAACCCCCTCCATCCCTGTTTACTCCCTCCTGGACCAGCGACCGATTCCTGGTTGCTCGTCATGTCTTCTCTTTTCGATGCAGTGCTCCAATCGGAGCTGGGCTCCGCAACGGGCCGCCAGAATAATATCCAGTCCGACCATCTGCCCAGTTCGCGACGCTCCGAGAGCAATGGCCCCATGAGTGATATGAATGCCTTCCCCGATGACCAAGTGGTCGGCACCGGCAGCTCGACTGTCAATCGGCTTCGAAACCCCTATGCTGCCGGTCCGCCTCCCGTGATCGATGAGGCCGGTGAGAAAGTGCAGCAGGCATTCGAGGAGTTGCTCGAAACCTTTATCGAAGAACCATCCTCCTCCGCGCCCCCAACGTCCTCCCAGCGACTGAGCCCTCAATATTACGTGTCGCAGATCAAGGGGATGAAGAAATTCGAACTGTCGACCCTTTACGTGGATTTCACCCATCTGACATCCCTCCCAAACCCAATTCTGGCCGACGCCATTGCCAGCCAGTACTACCGCTTCCAGCCCTTCTTGACCAAGGCTCTGCACAACCTGATTGCCAAGTACGAGCCGGAATACTTCCTCTCCCACCGCCTCAACGGCAGCGCTTCTTCGGCGGCGAGCACTTCCGATACCACCGCGTTTGCGAATGTGTCTGATAAATCGGATCTGGATCAGCGTATCCGCCAGAAGACGCGTCACCAACAGACCGACCGGCTGTTTTCTTTGGCATTCTACAACCTGCCCCTGGTCTCCAGACTGCGGCAGCTTCGAACGGCGCAGATCGGAAAGCTGTTATCGGTCTCGGGAACGGTCACCCGGACCTCTGAAATCCGGCCGGAACTGTATCTGGGAACTTTCATCTGTGAGGGCTGCAGGTCCGTGGTCCAGAATGTTGAGCAGACCTTCAAATACACAGAACCGAGCGAGTGCCCCAACAAAACCTGCGGGAACCGCGTTGGGTGGCGTCTAGATATCGGGAAGAGTACATTTGTGGATTGGCAGAAAGTCAAGCTGCAGGAATCGTCCCACGAAATCCCCACCGGTAGCATGCCGCGCACCATGGATATCATCCTCCGTGGTGAGATGGTCGACCGCGCCAAGGCCGGTGAACGGTGCATTTTCACAGGTACCCTGATCGTGGTCCCCGATGTGAGTCAACTAGGCCTGCCCGGTGTGCGCCCAGAAGCGGTTCGCGACAATGGCGCTTTCCGCAGCACCGAGGTTGGTGGTGGTGGAGTGTCCGGTCTGAAGGCCCTGGGTGTTCGAGACCTCACCTACCGACTCGCCTTCCTTGCCTGTATGGTGACCCCGGACACCACAACACCCGGGCAGAAGCCAGAGCAGCAGCTGAGTGGCCAGTCAGACAACATCCTGGCTTCTCTGAACCAAACCCAGGAATCAGATATCCCGGGAGAGGATGCGCAGGAAGCGTTCCTTCAAAACCTCACACCCGCTGAAGTCCAAGATTTGAAACAGCTCGTGCATACCGACCGCATTTATGCCAGATTGGTGGATTCGATCGCGCCCATGATCTTTGGTCATAAGCAAATCAAGAAGGGCTTGCTCCTTCAGCTGCTTGGTGGTGTCAGCAAAAGGACGGAGCGGGAGAGCATGCAACTGCGTGGTGATATCAACGTCTGCATTGTTGGTGACCCGTCCACCAGTAAGAGTCAGTTTTTGAAGTAAGTCATACCTAACCATTCAGGAATGGTTGAATTCTAATGCACTCTTTTCAGATACATCTGCTCTTTGCATCCTCGCGCGGTATACACCAGTGGTAAGGCTTCGTCGGCTGCTGGTTTGACTGCGTCGGTCGTCAAGGATGCCGAGACTGGAGAGTTCACCATCGAGGCAGGTGCTCTGATGCTTGCAGTATGTTAATTTCGCCCCGCCTCTCCAAAAGCCCAATTTCTGATATGCTCTTTTAGAACGGCGGTGGTATTTGCGCAATTGATGAGTTTGACAAGATGGACATCGCCGATCAGGTCGCCATCCACGAAGCAATGGAGCAACAGACCATCTCCATTGCAAAAGCTGGCATTCACACCACCCTGAATGCCCGCGCATCCATTCTTGCCGCCGCTAACCCAATCGGCGGCCGATACAACCCAAAACTAACCCTGCGTCAAAACTTGAACTTCAGCGCTCCGATCATGAGTCGTTTCGATGTGTTCTTCGTCATCCGTGATGAGCCCAAAGAGGCGGTGGATCGCAACCTGGCCGACCACATTGTTAACGTGCACATGAATCGCGATGACGCCGTCGAGCCTGAGCTCAGCACCGAGCAGCTGCAGCGTTATATCCGGTTTGCGCGGACGTTCCGCCCTGTTTTCACGGATGAGGCCAAGGCCCTCTTAGTGGAAAAATACAAGGAGCTCCGTGCCAATGACGCGCAGGGAGGCATGGGTCGCTCGTCATACCGCATCACCGTCCGTCAGCTCGAGTCCCTGATTCGCTTGTCTGAGGCTGTTGCCAAGGCCAACTGTGTCGAGGAAGTCATTCCCAAGTTTGTGGTTGAGGCCTACGATCTCCTCCGCCAGAGTATTGTGACGGTTGAGAAGGACGACGTCGAAGTGGACGAGGATGAAGCACCGACTCGTGCAGCTAACGGTGATGACGACCAAGAGATGGCCGACCAAGATCGTGACCGTGACGGGGACAGCCCCATGCGCGATGATGCAGAGCAGCAGCAGGCTCAGCCAGAACGCCAGAAGACGAAGATCACCTGGGACAAATACAATACGATCATGAACCTGATCCTGCGTCGTGTTCATGAAGATGAGCAGAACTCTGGCGAGGGGGTCGAGCAAGAAGATCTTGTGCTCTGGTACTTGGAGCAGATTGAGAATCAACTGAACACCAAAGAAGATTACGACTCCGAGCGCGGTTTGACCGCGAAGGTCCTAAAGCGCATGGTGAAGGTGAGTTCCTTTAACCTTTCTTGCACTTCTAATATGCTGACTGACGATCCCTGCAGGACAAATTGCTTTTGCGTATCACTGGCTCGGGTCTCATGGATTCCGAAGAGTCGAGTGCGAACCAGAACAAGATCCTCTACGTCATGCACCCAGACTGTGTCTACGAAGAGATGTGAAGTGACACCATGTATTCTGTTTTCTGGGCTCCTATCTTGCCTTCCGGGTTGGTTTAAAGGTTGCATTTGCTTTTCAAGGAAGGGAGCATGGGGTTATGAATGATGATATCTGTTCTTTTCCGATAGGGTACGAAATGTATACTTTGCCATTCAAATACTTAGATCAAGATTTATGTCTGCAACTTGTGGTGGGTTCAAATCACCCTCCTAAAATTAACTACGAACAAGCGCTTCTTCAACAAAGACCCTCACTACTCTTAAATGGAGCGATAAAGTACTCAACTCTGGCAGGTAAACTTATCAGGCCGTTCCCCAGCAGACAATTTTAAGGTTGCTTGAAGCTCCAGGGAAACCGTTTGGGCGTTGGCAGTGTAATGCAGCGCTAAATCTGCTTTGATTAGCGTTCCCGAGGATACGAACGATGAGGGCGCTAAAGCCGACGCAAATAGATATACATAGCTTTAACATAATGAATTCAAAGAAGGGCCGGCCCTTGGTTGATTTAATTCTAGCTTTTCCAGGCAGTCAAGGCTGTAGCGGCATGTGTCTAGTCCTGTTTGGGTTGGAGTATGCGATCGGAATAGTCGTCACGGGATGTTACTTTCTCGGTCCCCGTCGAGCTTATTGTCTGGGGAGCAGAGGCTTAAGATCTACAGAAACCGGAAATACTATAGCATTCTAGTCTAGAAGCAAAATTTCAGGCAAATAATACGTATAAGGTGCTTAGTTAATGAATTTTTTTTTTTTTTTGGGAGTCTGCTTGGCACCGGTAGCCTGATATATATAATAGCAATGGATTCCTTACACTTTGCAATATCTTCCCTTCAAAAGTTATATTCAGAGCAGGACATAGTATTTCTTTCAAGAGATTGCAAGCAACTTCTGTTTATTGACACACTTGGGCTTGCGTCTTTACGAGCCGGTTTCATCAATTGCTTCCAATCCCATTCCTCCCCGAGTCAATGGTTCGTCGGAATAAATATGGTATTTAAGAGATCTCAGAATCAACTGTATGGTATTTCCATCAAATTCTGAGCTCGGTTACTCACTATTATAATAGGGTTTCTGGTTCGGCACCTTCGACATTGGAAACTTGTAAAACTTAAGCATGTTGATCGATACCGGTCCATCTGATGTAACTGTAAATCCAAGTCTTTACAAAAGGGGCCCAAGTCAACCAATCTTCATTTGCAATTTGGCAAATCTTATGGCACTGCAAAGAATGGTGGGTCGGGAACGGCGTGGTTGTGTAACTTCATTATTCTTTGGTGTTCTATCTAGATGAAGGATCGGCAGCTAATACAAGCTGTAATTTCGTTAAAATCACTGGTGGCCTGTGCAATGGCACCGTCTCATCTGGGCCCTTGAGTTCTACTTGAACTATTCGTTCCGCGAAGGGTGCTGCCAAAATCCCAGATGACGGAATCGTTGGATACTGGAACAGTCACTATTACTGGCCACGTGCTCGCCCGTTCTTCACACAAGTTGGCATGGCTAAGACATGATATATAGTCCCCCTGGATGATGGTCTGGCAATCTTTAATGATATATCCTTCCAGCCAGTGATACATAACACCACATATGGGTTGGGCCATTGTCACTGGAGACTTCCCCTGTGATCAGCCACCGACGTCTGTTTCAACATTCCGTTCCTGAAAAATATGTCTGTGGCTTAAAAACCAACGTGGCAAGTATCAACCACAAGAGTACACCTTTGACATTGAACCTGAGCAGTCGATTGCTGTCAAAAACGGAAACACAAATCGTACGGCCATTCTCTTCGGTGCTACTGTTCCTTTATATCTCACCTTGTGGATAGTTGGTCGGCGTATGTCTGGCACCTAAAGATTTCGCTCTGATATCGCTCTGATAATCTCGTAGCTAACATATGGTAGCATTTTTTCATGGCCTCTATGCGGACTACAATATTCAAGATGGTATCATGGGTTTGCCACTGCTAAGACTCAATTCGCGCGAAATGGGACCAAAACATCCAGTTCGGCGAGTTCATCACCCACCCCGACTAACGTCGTAGCCTCTTCGAAACAAATTGGTAGTTTTTGGCTGTCCGTCATGATCAGGTTTGTCGCATTTATGTTTTAATTCTAGAGTCTAATATAAAGTTAAACTTCTCGAAGCCTTATTTTGTGCAATCGATACGTGCTTAACCTTGATTCCTGGTTTCATTTTCCATTCCTTATGATCTGCATGCGATGCATCGCGATGCATTTAAAAATCCGTAGAAAAAGAATACGGAAAACCTAGGTCTATGTTGCTTTATTCAATCACCTTTGGCACCCTCCGTCATAATGCCAGCCGTCAACTTGAAGATGGCAGACCTTGGAAGTGGTAGCAAGCAATTGGCATACTTCATTCTGTCCAGATTTGTCTTAGGCTTTTCCTTTGGTCCAATGCTCATAATGCTGATGTCAGAGATGTACATTCGAAGCACCGTTTACAAAAATTCTTGAAATGTGACCTTCCTGGGGTCCAGAATTGGATGTGCCCTTTCCCCGAATCTGACTGCTATGGTCATCTTTCGATTCCTATCAGGCTGTTTTGGTGCCACAACAATGAATGCAGGAGGTCGAAGTATCTCTAACAGGGTTTCCTTGCAGGATCGGGAAAACATTACCGTCCGCTTTCTTTACAGGAATCTGCCCGGGCCCAGTATTGGCTCCAGTGATCGGCGGATTTTTGGCCTAGGTAGCTGGTTACAGCTAGGTCATTTGGCTGGTATGTATTCTTGTACGTCCGCTTTCTTTAAGCGGGACTTGACAGGGATATTTTGATTTGATCTGAAACTCACAGACCACCCTGATCAACATGGTGGGATCATGAAAGTGGCCTGTTACACTGGTCCTTCACAAAGAAAGCTATGGCCTCATAACATCCGCAAAAAGGACAAAAGGAGAAAAACAAACAGGGACAAACATCATTTGATGACGATAGAGCAGGAGGTGTTATTTCGTTGCTTTCTGCGACTGGCACAGTTATTATGCTGAAGCCTATCGCCGCCCGCCTACATATCCCTATACTCGGCGATCATTTAGAACAAATCAAACGAAGGGCAGAATTTCCATGTGCCACGGGCGGAATGTACCCAAGTGACGATACTCCCTTTACGGATCAAATAGCTTATTTAGTAGTGGAAAGGGATAAGGAGAGGGGCGTCGAATCAAGGGACTTGTTCTGATAGTTGGCATGCTGGGAAGGGTATCGGAATGCTGAGCATGCGATCCGCGTGCCGGAGATGAAAAGGAGATAATCCACTGCGTATGTGATTTACCATGTCTGGTGTGGTACGGGGAAGTAGTTCATATATAAAGTCCTTGCAAGAATGTAGATTTTCAAGGGTTTGCTCGAACAGAATGTGATATCCTGTATACAAGACATAAACCTGATCAAAAGAAGAAAGGAGAATATTAGAAAAATAGCCTGAAATTGGACCAAAGCTCAGTTACGAACAGATCAGACGTTGGGCAAGAGGGAAGAAAATGTTCCGCAGAATGTCTATGTGTACTAGTAACATCCAGCGGGCTTGAGAGCAGTGACTTCGATCGGCATAATCAAAAATGGGCGGCTGCAACAGTCTGGAATGGGACTAGATGCCATAGAGCAAGACAAACTGACCTCAAAGGGCTGGGTGGAATGCTGGGAAAGACTATTTAAACTCCCGTTCGACGCAGACATAGAACACCAACCACTCTTCTCCTCTGCAAACGCATTCATTCTACCCTCACCTCTCAAAATGCAACTCTTCACCCTGATGGCTCTCGTGGCGAGCGCGGTGGCACTGCCTCCGTCCCCTCCCATGGTTGGCAACGCCAATGGTATGGCCAACAAGGGCAACTCCGACGTGCGCTTCCAGGTGCCTGACGATATGACGGTCCACCAGGCCCAGGCCAAGTGCGGTGACCAAGCTCAGCTCTCTTGCTGCAACAAGGCTACATTCGCTGGAGACACCACGGATGCCGAAAATGGTATCCTAGCTGGTGCTCTGAGCAACCTCATTAGCGGTGGCTCTGGTTCCGAGGGATTGGGTCTGTTCCAGCAGTGCTCGCAACTGGATCTTCAGGGTATGTGGTTTACCTTCTAAGAAAAGCACATAACGCTAATCTCTTTTAGTTCCGATCATTGGTATCCCGCTCCAGGACCTGATCAAGAAGAAGTGCCAGCAGAACATCGCGTGCTGCCAGAACTCTCCTTCTAGTGCGGTAGGTACATCATTCCTAGAAGTCAATGCAATGGCTAATGATTCTTTAGAGCGACGACCTGATTGGCCTTGGTCTGCCTTGCGTGGCTCTTGGTGCCCTGATCTAAGAGGCTCAGCCTTTGAGGGCCACAAACTGTGGAGGCGAAGGGTCGGCGATCGGTCCATCCATCTTTCCTTTGTTTCTACCTTTCTCACCTCTCGTTAGTGATTTTATCACAAATATTACTTCGAAGATCTGTTTGATTCTTATATTTTAATATGTCTCCAAGCTCATCGAATACATACTCGAGTCCGAAGTGGGTGTCTAGAGTTAGAGAATATCTTCGCTAGCTTCGTTTTACGATATGCAGTTGTTTCACATTCAACGTCAACGATGGCTATGTAGATGCGTAATTATTAGTCGGCTTGAACTTCATATGGTTTCAAATTCCCTATTTTTTTGGGGGGCGTGAAATTCAGAGCGATTATTCATTTACGGTGAGCTCTGTATCTTGTTGGAATGTTTGGCTTGCAGCAATTTTACTCCAGGGGCCTTTTAAAATTCCGCGTTTCATACCAGTAACCAAACTAAATTGTCGCTACCGCTGGAACCCAAAGCAACATTATATATATACACACAATATTGCAATTTGTATTCATCTTGCCCCTGCACTCGCGTCTTGTCCCTTGCGTCTCGAAGCTGTAACTGCCCGATTTTCGTTGTTCTTATTTGGCCCATCAGCCCCGTTAGAAATGTGATAGACGAAGGAGTTATCCAAAAAGAAAAAAAAAAAAAAAAAAAAAAAAAAAGAAAAAAAATTCACCAGTGACGTTAGAAGGATGGTTGCCATAACATCGATATATTGTACTCAACCCCATTTAGAATCCAGCCCCCGGTGTTACGTCCGTAGCTTCGGAATGCCTCAAACATAAAACTGAAGAAACGGATGCAGAGGGGAGATACGCTTACGTGTAACATTCTATTTATAATCAGAGGGAAGCAGAGAGCATAGGTCGACTAAGTCTAGTAGTTCTAGGCATGCTAAGTAAAGCGCCAATGGAACGAACCATGGAAAACCAGTTTCAACCAAAGTTCTAGTCTTGCAATCTCGGAAGAGAAATTAGAGGGCAATCTCAAAATAAAGCCATACGGACTCTCGAGAGCCTATGGTCTAGGGCCTAATCAATCGCTAGGTCGGTCGGATGAACACTGAAATACTGCATCCCTATTCCGCTGAGAAGTAAAGTACGGCTAAGCGTATGGTACCTTACGGTTGCATGTCATCGTTTTTTCAAGGGTGGTTAGGGAATATATACCATAAAATGAGGCCAAATTCCCTAATTCTATATTGAAATTCCTACTAAGCCGTAAGTTAAGTTTGGTGGGCAAACAGCTGAGCCTGGCCAACGCACTTAGTCTGAGCCATCAGGACTAGTCATCGGGAAAGTGTCTGGCAAGTGTCCTTTTCTATGACTGTTCATGACGCCTAGTTCAAGTGTGTTGCCATAACTAACTACTGTATTCAATACAGCTATCTATTTTGGTGACATCACCGTTGTCAATCCTGGCGGTAGTGGTATCCTTCAATATGATCGAATCTGGCTCTGGCGCCGACATTGTTTCTTTTCTTTCATCTATGCATCAGGTCTCTCATCATGTTTCAGTTCCATCAGTGGGCATATTTGGATTTATTTTGGAGGTTGTTTTTGGTCTGTTGGTATGGAATTCGTCAACCGCTTGCGCTGAATTAGCGGCTAGCTTTTTGATCTAGAGTACCGTTCCTGAGTGGCGAAAATCTCTTTGTAAGTCGAATTCCACAGACAAAGACATGATAACCAAAGATAAGACTAAGCGGTGGGAGTGGGAGCTAGACGTGGGCTCCTTCCAAGAAAAGTATTCTATGCGACCCTGCCTGATTAGTCCTGCGAAATAGTCGTTCGAGCCTCATACAACTCAGAGAATTCGAAGACGTAGGAGTGAGGTATCCCAGCTGCGAAGTGACAAGCTTTCCGACACATAATGCAAAGGTGTTTACTGAACTGGTCCCAATAAAGAATAAAGGTAAAAGATTAGAATTGAAACTAGACTAAAGTCATTCCATTTGCTCTTATTCAGACATATAGCATCCATCAATAGGGATGCCCTTAGAGCAGGGCACCAAGAGTGATACAAGGCAGACCAGCGCCAACCCCATCGTGGTCCTAAAACTGTTAGCCATTGCATTGACTACTAGCAATGATGTACCTACTGCACTAGATGGAGAGTTCTGGCAGCACGCGATGTTCTGCTGGCACTTCTTCTTGACCAGGTCCTGGAGCGGAATGCCAATGAGGATTGGAACTAAAAGGGATTAGCTTTATATAGTTTTCTTAGAAGTTGATCGACATACTCTGAAGATCCAGTTGCGAGCACTCCTGGAACAGACCCACTCCTTCAGAAGCAGAGCCACCGCTAATGAGGTTGCTCAGAGCACCAGCTAGGATACCTTTTTCGGCATCCGTGGTGTCTTTGGCATACCTAGCCTTGTTGCAGCAAGAGAGCTGGGCTTCGTTACCGCACTTGGCCTGCGCCTGGTCGATCGTCATATCGTCAGGCACAGGGAAGAGGCCATCGGTGTTGCCCATATTACCCATACCATTGCTGTGGCCAAAAGCCGGCGGCATGGCAGCAACAGTAGAGATGAAAGTAAGAACGGAAAGAGTATTGAGACGCATGGTGACGGCTGATGTTTTTGAGAAGAAAAAAGTAAGGCCAAAGAAGAAAGATATTGGTATAGTAGCGAAAATCAATTCTGGCCAGGAAACACCATCTTAAGTAATTTTTTTGGTCATTTCCTTGACCCACGGTCCTCTCGTCTCAATCATTTGAGAGATATTTCCGCCATTCTGAGTGCTGCCAAGGATTATCATTCCACAATTATATGCTAATTCAACATTCTACGTAAAGGCGGTATTCTCACGCGGGTACATGCCATCCATTCCTCAACACAGGGACATTCTTCCGCTTGTTTTTATCCAATAGTTGGCGGTTTTTCGATGAGCTAGCCCTAATCGAGAAGGCGGTTCCAGCAACGTCTCGCCATGTTCTAGAGATGGCATATACCCTGGAGACAATACTTCTTTTACGGACCAGTAGTCAATCAAAAACGCTGATGCCTCGTTGTTGAAATTAGGAATATGCAAAGGACCAATCTCTTCTCACAAAGGACAACTGTGTGTTTGTTCAACGACAAATTCAGATTAGCGCACATACTTCCTGTACTATTACCCCTTGCTCTCTTGCTATCTTCTAACGAAACCACTTTTCTGATCAATTACAATCTCGCCTTTTTTAACCTTTTTTTTAAAGTTGCATATCTCCCATAGCGAGACCTCAACATTCTACGCCCTCTTTGACCTTTACAGCCATAAAAGTTGGAATGGGATCCCTGCCAAATGGCCCATGTGTTTGACCATACTTTCCCCAGTTGGAAACACTTGTACCAAAACGCCCTAAAGGCGAGTGAAAAAGTTTTTAAAAATGTCGTGATTCGTCGTCCAGATCGGCATAGACTGAGTGTTCTGTATTTTGAGATTAGGAGACATCAACGCATGTGGTTACAAATAGGCGAGCAATTTTTATCTCTATGAGAATGGATAGACATACCAAGGGTTGTTTACAGTTGTCTTTTTTCCTTACTAGGAGTGTTAAATGCGTGCAAAAACCAGTGTTGGACATGCTCGCCGAGACAGCCCAAGAATTAAGCGCGCTCTAATTTGGTCGGAATACTAGCTATTCGACAAAAAACAGCGGAGATTTGGCATGTTAAATTTGGTTTACAGACAGGGATATTTCTGGCATTTCTTGTCATTGGTCGAGCGAGTGACCAAATCAAGCCAAACTGACACAAAAGCATGGAGCAGTAAACCCAGAGTATGTCAACCAACAACAACAACAAAAACAAATCGCGGCATAAGTGCCAATAATCAAAACTAGATTCTGTCTGGTGACCTGTAATAGTCATATTCGACCACTTCGAACAGATAGAGCGGGTGGAATTTCAAGTTAGAGCCAAAATACACATTGGAATGCCTTATCTAGCATTTTTGTTGCATTATGTCTCTTTGGAAATGCACATGTTATTAGTCCGTAGAATATTCAATCGTATGTACCAACCTTCAGCAGATACTGCAATACTGCGTTTCTTGTCAAAGTCAAGAGTATCTTCGCACCTACCATGAATATCTGAACTGGCGATCTTCCTTATCCGTCAGATCAGCCTTCGGTAATCCGTTCTCATCAAGCGCAACTTCTCGCCTCGTGGTGTCAACAGAAATTGCGTTGGCATCGACATCTCGCTTTTGATTATCATGCATGCATAGAAAGCGGTAAATAATCACTGTCAAAAAAAGCAGACACCAAGTCACAATGCCAGTGATCACACCTTCGGTATACCGAGGGTTGTGGGTCCATAGCTGGGGAGACCCTATACAGCCAGCACAGTAGCCGATGAAGAACATGGTATTGACAATAGCACGTTTGGTATTACCCTTGACATTTGACGCAGCGAGTGAGAGAAGCACCGACATGGAAGCTGTGATGCAAGAGGACTGTACGCTGAAAGTCAATAGATGCAATTTTTCGAGAGAGTAATAACAGCTTACCAACCAAGCGGCGACAATTAAACCCCATTCGGCGGACACAGTGAGCTTCAAGAGGAATACACAGCCAATAAAGGGAGGTACGATGAGTGCTAGAACGACTAGCGTCCGCTGGCGGGGAAAGAAAAAGACCAGCGCAGTACCGATCCATAAAAGTGTGATTTGGACAGCACCTGACGGGGCAGTGTACAGCATTGTTTCAAGCTTGCCATAGCCAATTGACTCGATGACAAGCGTTGCAAAGGTCAGCACTGGAGACTGCATCGTCACCAAAACACCGAACCAGAAGACGGACCACGCTTTTGGATCCAACAGTGTTTCCTTCATTTGAGAAACCGAAAATGAAGTTTTGTCGCCACCGTCACGGTCTTCAGCCATGCGGAGAGATAATACTTCTTTCTCGCGCGCGTTCAGGAACCAGGCATCCTTGGGCCCACCGGGTACCAGAATAAAAAATCCAACTCCAGCGACAACAGTCAGCGCACCACAGATGATGAACAACACGCGCCACGGCTGAATTGATAGAGATGTATTTTTGCCAATTCCGTACATTACCAAGCACCCCATTACCTGGGCAAGACCATTCATGCTAATCCAGAGAGCGGTGCGAACAGTATGTTCTTTTTTACGGTACCAGATGGATGTGATAGTCACGAAGGAAGGGGAGACAGCACCCTCACTAAAACCGAGTAAAAATCGCACAGCAGCAAAGCCGGCATAATTCTTCGGTGCAGCAAGGCACATGCAGATGATTCCCCAAACAATGCTAGTGAACCCTTGTTAGCGAGAAATGAATTTATGAAGAAGAGACAGCCGTACACGGTGGACCCGACGAATTTTGTCAGGGGAAGCCGACTCATGAGGTAAATAAAGGGATATTCAGAAATTAGTTGGCCGACATAGAAGATTGAGGTGCACCAGGAATATTGCGAGCTCGTCATGTCGAGATCCTCCATCAGACCAAATACTGCGGCATAACTGAGACTTTGTTTGTCAAGATACTGCAGAAAGAAGACGAAGCACATCTTGTGGTCCGATCAGCCAACGCATCCAGTTTCGCAAATGGCTTTATTTTCGGCTCTCACAAATGGCAGAATAACCATATCAATTTTCCGCAAGACTGCCTTCTCTTCCGCTGGAGTGTATCCCTCGCTGAAGTCGAGGGTCTCACCAGCCGCATGTTGGCCATCGTCGTTTGACACGGGGACCTTTGTTTCCTCCATCGGATTGAGATATGGAAAGTAATGATCAGGAAATTTTTTTATTTAGAGGCTAAGTTGGGTCTCCAGGGAGAGAGCTAGGAGAAGGAAAGGGCACAGCGACATCACAGGGGGTGAAACTCTGTTTGTTATAATCGGTTCCCCTAGATCTCCCCGCGCACAGGTCATGGAGATATCTTTATTGGGCAAAGATAGGCTTCGTTGACCAGGCTGGTGGAGAATGCGTACATGCAGCCGATGTGAGGCCATCGGATAGGGCGAGCGTATCGGTAATGTGGCTGGGCAGATTGCCGCCCTTACGGGGGCGCGATAGAAGTTGGAGATTAGCTCGTTTTAAATCGCATGGGGACTTACATTATCTCTTCTGCAATATCTTCAAAATCCTTGGTGCCATGACAACTGTGAAAATGACCCAACGCAGCCAGGTTCCCGGCTCCGACATTAAGCCCTGGCTTCGCCCGGCTCCGCGGGGCTATCTGTTCACAAACGCCAACATCGTCGACGTGCAGGCGGGTACAATCGTGGAAAACGCATCCCTCACGACACGCAAGGGGAAAATCCATTCCATAACCCAATCAATCCCTGAGCCCCTGCCAACAGATCTCACGATTGTCGACTGTCAGGGCCGATACCTCTGCCCCGGTCTTTTTGATGCCCATGTTCACCTATGCGCTGTTCCGGGATTTGGCGATCTTTCCAAAGCCTTTGGCAATCCTAATGATGTACATCTCCTTCGACAGCCTTATTCCGCTGCCCAGATGCTTCACCGCGGTTTTACCAGTATTCGTGACTGCGGAGGTGCTCAACTCGCCCTGAAAGAAGCCATTGAGGATGGTGTATTTCCAGGTCCTCGTGTTTTTATTTCTGGACATGCTCTTTCTCAATTTGGTGGGCATGGGGATCTCCGCGGCTCGCACGAACCAACCGAGTGTTGCGGCGGCCTGCATAGTAACAATCACTTGGGACGTTTGTGCAACGGGGTACCCGAGTGCATGGCTTCTGTACGCGAAGAAATCCGCTGTGGTGCAGATTTTATCAAGATCATGGGATCCGGGGGCGTAGCGTCTCCAACCGACAAGCTGGAGCACCTCCAATTCACCGCCGGCGAGATCCAGGCCATGGTCGAGTGTGCAAGCAATGCTGGGACGTTTGTGACTGCCCACGCATACACTGTTAAGGCCATTCGACACTGCATTGATAATGGTGTCCGGGGAATCGAACATGGCAACTTTGTCGACCCACCCACTGCACACCTCATGGCGGAGAAGGGTGTCTACCTGACCCCAACACTTATCGCATATGCCCAAATGGCTTCAGATCGCTGGCAGGGCTACTTGCCCCCGGAGTCTCAAATCAAGAACTCACAGGTACTTAAATCTGGACTGGAGGCTTTGAAAACTGCTTCTGAGGCTGGAGTCACCATGTGCTATGGCTCCGACCTGCTAGGTCCACTGGGCTCGGCTCAGACTCATGAGTTTTCACTGCGTGCTCAGATTCTCTCTCCGCTAGAGGTCCTGCGCAGCGCCACTGTGAACCCAGCAAAGATGATGGGCTGGGAGAACTCCATTGGCCAGCTTAAGGAAGGGTTCATCGCTGATGTCGTGATACTAAACGGAAACCCTCTGGAGGATGTCACTGTGTTTGACAGGCCTGAAGAACATGTTCTTGGGGTGATGAAGGATGGCCGCGTTTATAAAAGTCGGTGGAATGCGCTTCCTGAGGATGCAGATATCCCTGTGAGAATATAAGTGTTCAACCACAGTGGATGATTTATTGATGCAGTATGATAGCCTTACCATTGTAAGAAGCCAGACGTGACATCTTTCTGACAATTATAGTTGATCCTTTTATTTGCCGCATTTGAGAAAGGGCAAGTCCACTATATGGGCTAATGTGAGACGGAAAGTCGAAGACCGAAGCTGCTGATGATGAACATCTCGACAAATGATAGGAGGGGTTTTCGCCATCAAGGATATATATAGTTGGTCAGCTTGGTTCCCTCTATCAATGATTATGCGGGAGTCAGCTACATATTTGCGACCTTTGATACACTGCTAGCTCATATTTTCTATTCCGTGACCAATGTTTCATAGAAAGAGCGTTATCCAGGTACAAGGAATCAGCCTACTACATAGGCTGATCAAATCATGATATCAAATATGCAAAAAAGTTTCTACGCAACAATATCAAGTTGTACCTCTGGCGGAGGCAGATAGCCGACCCGTCGGCAAAGGTTACAGTCCTTTCCCCACTTCTCCCCCAGGCTTATCTCTAGAGTTTATTCGGACACATTCCCGACAAGAATATCACGGCTAACTTCTTCCCCGCACGCCGTTTTGGGGTATCCCTTTTCACACTGCCGCAGCGATGGAATCGCCCGCTGCAATTCGGAGGCGGCGCCGCCGGCGCGTCCCTGATGAGAATCGTAAGAGGGCACCTCGCGCGTATGCCTGTCGCTAGAATAAAGAGGGAAGAGGTTACTAACGGTATAATTTAGGTGCGATCGCTGCAAGACTCGCAAGAGCAAGTGTGTGGAGTCCACACCCGGCAGATGCCAGCGATGTTCCGTAAACAATTTGAGCTGCAGATTTGAGAAGTATGTTTCCCAGTGAGATTAATGAGGCCCACTTTCTTACACAGGAGCAGAGGAAGATCACCTTCATCACCGTCATTCCATGAAGAGCCGCCATCGTCAGCACAAAGTGAACATGGCATATCCGCCTCCGACGGCCATGCGAGAGAGGCACCCGAGGAAAACATATCCATCGAAAGTCCAGAAGTATTCTCCCCAGCATCGGCATTGTCGCAAAAACTTTCCAAACACGTCATAGTAGATCAAACAACAAGGTTGCCATGGCCGAACATTTTTTGTCGCCTTCGAGAAGCGTTTTCACTCAACCCGCACACTACACCAGAAGAACAGGACATGGTGGCTATGCAAGCAGTAGGTTGTCCGTTTACTCCCAATAGAAGTCTCGATGGACTAATTTATCAAAGCATATGACTTGCCCAAAAGAGGCGCATCCGTCAGAATTGGCACGCCTTCGTCTTGTCGTAAAGGCATTCCCTCCGCGGCCTGTGGCCAACTTCTTGCTGTCCGTCTTCATCAAGCATGCCACAGACGCGTTCTTCTATTTTGATCAGTCCCAGTTTCTGGCGGAAATTGATCAACTGTACACTGACTCGAACTCACACTTAAGGTGCGACCCGAGCTTCGTTTGCCTCGCTATGGCAGCCTTCGCGTTAGGAAGCCAGTGGACACCACTTGAAAGACCCGAGGGATTGGACACTGATCTCCACCGGGAAAACGTGGACCTTGGTCGGGTGTTTTATTGTCACGCTAGGACGTTGATTCCTGATATAATTGACAAACCAAGCTTGTGGTCTATCCAGGCCCCCATGGTTTTGAGCGTGTATCTGTTGCCGGCAAGTGCAATTGGATCGTCCTATGTTTACATGGGATTGGCTTTGCGAAAGGCACTAGCCTTCGACCTTCATCAAGACATAGATGACCCAACAACCGACGAACGTGAAAAAGAAGTTCGTCGTCGCCTATGGTGGTCAATCTACTCTCTCGAAAGGTTTATTTCTGGAGATTTTCAGATTCAAAAGTTTAATTCTGACATCTAATAGATGCACCACTATTAAATTGAACCGGCCTCGTTCTATAAACGCTGATACGATCACAGCGATCCTTCCATCACCAAACCGATCATTAGACCGCCTTCAGAAGTTCGATAATCTCCAGTTTCAACTGGCATTCATCCATCTGGTAAAGATTCTTGATCAAATCGCAGAGCCAACGTAAGTCTGCCTTTCCCATGTGAGATTGTACATGCTAATGAGACAAAGCAGTGATCCCTTGAAGCACACGGAAAGGCTTACACGCTATGAAAAATGTGAATCCGATCTTCAGCAGTGGAAAAAATCGTTACCACAAGAGTTCAAACTTGAGAAAATCGACCCCAGGGACTCAAAATATCGTGCAGTGTTCCATCTTTACCTGAACTACTACTATGCCTGGATCTCTATGGGCAAGGTTTTTCTTGTCACTGTCGTACGAACCAACCTCAACTCCTATTTCTATCCCAAACCACAGCCTCCACACATCAACGAGACAGTCAATAAGTTATCCCTTTCTTGCACAAAGGCAGCAAGAAAGCTTCTCCAGCTGTTTGAGAACTTGACGCACACTCGCAATATTACTCGTTTCTCCTTCACAGATTTCCAAGGGTGCAGTATTGCGACTATCGTAACCTTGGTGTCCGGAATACTGGTCCGTGATTCGACATACCACGCGAGGGTAGCATTCGGTCTGGACTGCCTTCGAAAAATGGCAACGGGGAACATGACAGCCAAGATGGGCGTCAAATTTGTTGAAGCTGTGCAGTCCATTGCGAATGAGGCTGCGAGAAAGCTACATCACACGTCTTCGTTTCAGGAAAGCATTCAAGTGACTGGAGGAATAGATACGACATCCGAATATAGCCAATGGGCCGAGTGGCTCACGCAGCAAGAGAATATCCCCCAGGGAGATTCAACACCTGCATCGGGAGGAGGCCATACAACAACCATGGAAATAACGGCCCAAGATGGAACATGGACATTGCCTCAGCCTTCAGTCAATTCCTCTAGCTGGGGAATCCATGGTGCAGATGTGCCGCCGACGGTCCCATTTTCGGACAATTTCACACAGCAAACGACGTTTTCTCATGAAGCCCATTCTGCGGAGAATAGTTTTATTTCAGCACTACATAGCGATGATCAAACATTTTTGATGGGTTTGACAGGACTTGATGGTCTGGATTTGTTGGGATTCACGAGTCCGCTGGAATGAATGATCACAGAATATACAGCGGCGGAATTGCACATACACACATATTATGGTCATTGGGAGTTAAGACGGTTACTTGTCAATTATATCAAACTCCGTTATATTCTGGGGCTTAGTCGCGTTCATAGTGGCTATTGTACTTGTATCGTGGCTAACTAGCATGGCCAGCGCAGCCATGCCTGAAAAGCTGAGAAATGAATGACAGAGACAGCTTTTAATAGTAGTATGGAGTTCTAGTTCACAATGCCGACGTTTAAGCTTGACCCAATCAAAAGAAGAAACACCACAGAATAAGAGATGAAAAGGAGAAAAGAAAGCCCTCAAATGATACGCATATAACCCCGTGACGAAAGCCAAGCCCAGACGAGAAACGGAAAATTAGACAATAGGGTATGTCCAGAGGATCACAGCATGATGACACAACAACTCACATCTGCATCCGCTCATCCCCATCCATATCTTCATTTGTGCCGAGTGCGCCGCCAGGTATCCGCCCCTCGTTAAGCTCCTTTTCCAGCCGCGTGATCTCTTGCAAGCTCTTGGCCTCACGGATCATTTTCTCGACATGCTTTCGCTCCTTGTCCGTCAATTTCACGCGGATAGCTTTATCACCCGTGGCGCGATCAGCGGGCGTAACGCTTGTGACATCGAAAGTACGAGACTTGACACCCATGATCTTAGCTGCCAGAGCAGATGGTTCCTCAGCAGTGCCAAAAAGTTCCTTTGCTTTGGCCCGTTCTGCGTCTTTGACTTTCTGATAGTCTAGGAAACGGACGCTGGGCACCCGCCATATCACCCAGTAGCGGTAGTTCTGGACATGTCGAGTTAGCTCCGATCCTGGGACAAATAGCAATAAAAGTGCCAAAACTAACCTCCTTCCGTGTGACCGGGTTTTCCACCAGAACCAAATGCGTCAGCCGTTGCAGATTTTGTAGGGGATCGAGATCCGCCAACTCGGACATGTTATTCGCGGTCAGGACCAAAGTCGACAGGTTGGGCACCGAGGATGCTAGAGAGGGCTGTATATGGTTGATCCGGTTTCGAGCAAGGAGGAGGGTGTGAAGGCGAGGAAAGAACGGGAAATTCCCGAGGGAGGAGAGGTCGTTGTCTGTTAAATCAATCGCATCTTGTTCCTGCGAGAGTGAATGATCAGCCATGTATCCCCCGAATTGAACGCATATCCTGTATATCTGCAAAAGCAAACTCACCTTGGCAATACCCAAATTCTCAATGGCGGGGATCTTGTGTCCTATATCGCGAAACGCAAAAAACCGCTGTCAATCAAGCTCTTTCTCAAAGCGTAGCACCCGTTCTTTTCAGGACTTGTGACTGATTTCTGATACGCACCTCGAAGATCCAACTCGCGGTCTTTGAGCGGGTTGATATATGAGAGGGAATTCTGGATGAGCTCGACGGTCAAGCGCATCGCGGCGGTGGGTTTGCAGTCAAGGGCTTAGGGGAAAATTGGAGCCGGCGGCTGATCTTATAGCGAAAGCATAGATATGCGAGTGTAATAACGGGACTCTAGATCATGGCAAACCGAAAAGCTGGCGGAGAGAGAAAGTGGATGTGTCTGGCGTTGCAGCATCGCAGGGCTCAAAACTCCGCCGTTTCTGCCGGGCGGTGTGGTGGTTTATGGCACGTGATCATCTGAAGTATAAGTTGGGGTGATTGACTGGAAGGAAACAATACCCAGATACAGTGTGGCTTTTAATGGGAAAACCGCAGTCTTTCGCACTTGTGTACCGTCTGCTCGATGATAGTATATTCCTTCAACAGAAAAGTCTGCTTAGAATTGTCATGGAACAAATTCGGCTAGCTTTTATGTAGAGAAAGTACATGGGACCATACGTTTTAGCACCCTGCAACTGCCGATACTCGGCTCGATCTCGAGAATTCTTTATTTACGATCTGTCCACGAAGTATACAAGTAGAGACACTCAGAACAATCATATTCTATTCATTGGACACATTCAGGTCCAAAGGTACACTCCCATTACAACACGTAAGCCATCGGGATCAGATCGAGAGCACCGGGAAGAAACCAGGAAGCTAACGAAAACCAAAAGTACTCCAGAGCACAAGACGTTGAAATATTGTACCAAGAAGGGAAGTCAAGGGAAGCAAAAGCCGGCCCCGGCATAGAACGCCCCGGGTCGTTTCATCCCAGCATTAAAAGAAACAAGAACACCCAGCCGAAATTGGATCGGCTCAAAACAGAAAACAGAACAAGCCCGTAACTCCTCTAGTATATGCAAATACCATGCGCATGCTGTGGCACATTAACATTAATTCGGTGGTGCATCAAGGCATCATTCATCGGCCAAGGGCGACATGGAGGGGGATTTGTGGTGGTGGGATCTTGTCGGACTGCCTGCTCTCGACCGGCGCCCGTTCGTAGTGGGCCCAAGTGCGATGGGAGCCAAGTTGTCGCGACTCTCAGTCCGCACCACCAACCCTGCCCGGTCTATGGCGATACCGGGGGCCCCGCCGCTAATCCCTAACCCAATCGTGCCCGATGAGTTGTTATCAAAAGTGTATTTCAAGCCTGGTGTAGCAGGGTTACTACCCCAGCTTGTTGTGTGTTTGAGAGCCCGGAAGGTGGTGGACTCGGCGTCAGAGGGGCGGCCATCCAGATCGCTTCCATCGGAGTCGGTCACGCTCAGGTCAAATTGCTGAGCACCCTCTTCGAGAACACGCTCGTACGAGGGACCACGGTTGAGGAAAGGCAGTCTTAGGCCAAGTGGCTTTCGCTTCTTGGGGTAATTAGGATGAGAGGGTCGTCCGCAACGGAAGAAGGTGTTGACGCGGTGATAAATCCGCAGGCGACGCCCCCTTCCGCACAGGAAGAAGCTGACCAACAAAACGATGAACAAGAACAGCAAGAATCCCGGGACCCTGCGCGGTGAATCGCCGTCGAACAAAGCATCATGCCAATGCTCGCTATGGAAGCCCTCGGAATCCGGAAGAAGTTGAACACTAGGATACTGGAAGTCCGCAGGAATTCCCGGGACGTTGCTGCCAAAGCCAACCGGGAGCGCATCCTCGACTTCTGCAGTCACCTGAGATGATGCATACAAGACGATTTTGCCCAAGGTCCAGCTCACTTCGGTCGAGTCGATCTTGTTGACCGCCTGGAAAGCATCCAGGTAGCCCTTCTCCTTTCCGTGCGCAAGCACTTCCTTGGTACCATTGTGAAGGGTGCCAGAGGTATCCTCCAGTCCAACACGAGGCACTCCAATGCCATCATGCAGCATGTTGATGATCCATGAAGCCTTGAAGCAGACCTCGTAAGCTTTTTGACGGTCAACTGACTGGCCCCATTTATGATCCTGAAGTCCGTTTTCAATGGAAGTCCAGTCTTGCGAACAGAATGTTTGAACACGCTCTTGATAGGTGTTGAAGTCATATGCCTTGTCTTTGTAACCCATCTCGAAGATTTCATGGGTGGTGTGCCAGAACTCGCTAATTCCAACGAAATGATTGACGTCAAAGTCGATGGCCGGTGTGTGAACACCGTGAAGAAGACATGGCTGATCTGGACACGGAGCATCCTTGTCTAGCAAGGGGAATGTCTTGCGCAGGCACTCGTCGAACCGACCTGTGCCTACCAATGTGTCGCCCGCAGATACCAATACATCCTGTCCGCCAGGAGTAGTCCTCAACCCCCGAGGCAGACAAGGATCAGGAAGTTCGGTGATACCCATGCCACCGCTGGCAGTCTGCAAAGCTTCCACGTATCGCCGTCGGGCTTCGTTAACGCCAAATTCCAGCCACGAGGTGACAAAAACGCGATGTTCCTGAAATGACCCGTCGATATTCCGCAGTCGCAATAACTTGAGATCCTCCGCGTGCTTCTCCGTCTCTGTGGCGTTCGGGGCAAAGGCGATCTGAGCGGAAGCGCCACCCATATCTAGAAAACCGTAGGTATGGTGGCCTTTTCCATGATCGTGATCTTGAGTAGAGTCAAAACTTCCCAACAAATAATTCGTTGCAATCCATCCATATAATCCCTCTGTCACACCTGGAATCACCTGGATATGGATGCCACAGTCCGGGAGCAAGAAGTCCGTGTTTGCACGCGCATATGAGCAGATCTGGTCCAAAAGCAGCTGTCTCTCCAAATCTCCCAGCAATCGCATGCCCGCAGTGGCCAGAAGGAAAATTGGGGTGTCTCTCGCGTCCTTTTCGGGGATGATACTCTTGGCATGTTCGAGCAGATCGGCCAGATGTTCCGGCCCAACCAGTTCCGGTCTATCAGCAAACGAGGAAACACCTGGATTTGAGGTCAGAGCTTATCCAACAGCGGCATTGGCGAGGCGGGTCGGCCAGTACTCACCGGGATGGATCTTCTTTGTCCAATGATCCTTCGTCTTGATCTCCGGCAACGACTTCAACTCGTTGGGATCCGCGCCCAGGCGCGCAACCGGGTTCCGTAACCAGCGATATACGTGTACACGAGTCCCCTGCACAAGTCAAGGTTAGATGGTGGCCAATGCGACGAAGAGGCGAGGAGCTGATGTGGGAGGCGACATACAGACGAGCCTGCGTCCAGGACCACGCCATAACGCCCTGGCACGCGAGAAGAAGTCAGCAATTCTGTCCGATTGGACCGGTAAGAGGCTCCTCGATACGTACATTTGCCCATTTGGACTAGATTCGCGCACTACCTGATGAGCATGACAAGGCGGAACTTGATTGCGGGCAGCGAACGGCAGAGAGGGAGCGCGAATCGGTCCCTGGAGGGTTGTCGAGGAGAGTCGAAAGGGAGGAAAGAGCAAAAAAGGGCGAGGAGTGAGAAGGATAAACGAACGACAGTTGGAAAGGAAGTGAAGGAAGAAGAGAAGAATGCGGCAGATAAGGAGTGATCATCTCTTGGGCTTTACCGTACGGGACGGGGAGGCGACCGCCCGTTATTATTGCCTCAGGGGCTGCATCGGGAAAGGCGCGTCCGGTGTAACCGTACGGAACCACCGGTGGGTATTTTTAGGGCCTCGTGTTGT